GTGCCGCACTCGCGCTTTTATCGTCGGCGCAGCCTTCGGATCCATCTAGTCTCGAACCCGCCTCTCACGGACACCCTAAAAGGGAACCCGTCCGTGAGAGTCTGGACGAGAACGAGCGCCCTAGGGGGACCTTTGCGTCTCGCGACTCGCGGCGGGCGCTTCACTCACTCGCGCGTCGCGTCGCCTGTACCATCGCGCTCTCCTGCGTGTGCGGCGCGATGTATAATACCCTTCTTTAACTGCAATCCATTCGTTTGTCTCCGGAAACCCGCGTGGCTGTCTTTCTACGCGTTTAGAGCTCTTCGGAGCTGTAAAATGCAAGCTGCAGTATGGCCTCCACCTCGCAAGCGTCGTCGTGCTGAGCAGGACTCGCAATCCACACATGCCCACGTACACCATTGACAGGCTCGTCGACCAATGCCAGCTCCTTACACCTCACTCGCCAACCCGCCATGTTCAGGCCAGTGGCCAGTCTCTTGCTCGTGAGCAGTCGAGGGGCAGTCCTTCCGACTCGCCGGGTCGCATATCACCACTCGCCTCGAAGGCCAAGAATCACCACGCTCTCTACCGCAATGGCTACGTTCTCAAAGAGAAACCCCCTCCCTACAAACCATACTCTCTCAACGCTCCAGGACGGCGTCGGCGCCAGGCCTTCGCATTCGAGTGCGATCTTCCGCCCAAGATCAATCCGACCACCCACTCCTGAGAACACAGTGGAGCATGCTTGCTCGCGGTGCAAAAGCTATCCCGCTCGAGGGAGAGGTCAAAGAGCTTCAAATGGAGTGCTCCAATGCAATTCTCGCTCGCAGTGGGGACATCTGCGTGATTGCACCGACCGGCTTCGGCAAGTCTCTCCTATGGACTCTCCCGCTCCTTACTCTGGATCGCGGTGTAGTCCTCGTTATCACACCTTTTACGAGCCTCGGAGAGGAAGGTCAGAATCAGTGAGTCCGCACACATCTGCTTATGTTATAACCGTTTGTTCATGTCACTGCGATCACAGGACGAACACACTGGGTATCCCGTCGGTGTTCATACATGCAGGCCGCAAGGACTCAGCAACCCTTGAACAGGTTGCGAGTGGCTTTTATCGCGTGACCTACGTCTGCGTCGAGATGCTGGAGTCGCCCGTGTTTGCGCAGATCCTGTACTCCGAGTGGTACAAGCGCCAGCTCGTCGCGATCTTCATCGACGAAGCGCATTGCGTTCACGAGTCGGACACTTGGCGTCCTGCGTATGGCCGGATGCATCAGCTGCGAACGACTGTGGGTAGTATGACCCCATTGATCGCCATGTCGGCTACTCTGCCTGCGCTGTATCGGGCGTCACTCACTGCGCATGTGGGAATGAAGGATGATTACATCCTCTTCAACATCGGAAACTTCCGTCCGGAGCTCTCGACAGTTGTCATACACATGGAGCACGATGTGAAGAGCTTCAAGGACCTCCGATTTGTGTTGCCGCGTGGGGGACAGTCACTCGCAGACCTGGACAAGTCAATTGTCTATTGTGATGACACAACACTGCTCACCGAAATGCTCTATTGGTTCCGACAGAAGCTCGAGGACCTCTCCCTTCCCGGAAGTGCGGTCGACATCCTGCACGCCGGCCTATCTCCGGACCATCAGAGTCGAGCACTAGCAGACTTCAAAACAGGACGGACGCGGATACTCTTGTCGACCGAAAAGCTTGGCGCAGGCATGAATTTTCCGTTGGTAAAGCGAGTCATCCAGTACCTCTGCAGTGGTCTCACTATGGCAAAAGCGGACCAGCGCCGTGGGCGTGGTGCGAGAAGCCCCGGCATGACTGCAGTAGGCTATTTCATTGCAGAGAAGAAGTTCGAGCGCGGAGGCAAATTGAGTCCGCAGAAGCCTGGCCATGAGGACCCTGGGATAATCGAGTTGGTCCAGACAGAGCGCTGCTGCGACTCCGTCTTTGATCATTACCTCGAGAACCCCCACGCCCATCTGATAGTGCCCATCTAGTACCACGTCGTCTCTGCTGCTCCAATTGCTACCCCCAGCTCATCCCTCCGCGCGAGTTCGAGTTCGTGATGGTCAATCCCGCAGAAGACGAGTCGCGGCGCGCGGAGCGCCAAATGTCCACAAATGCGAAGCAGACGGTGCTCGCACGTCTGCAGGATTGGCGGGACAACGAGTGGCGCGAGCGATGGCGCTCCCGCTGGCCATTGTACGGCCCAAAATCGCTCATCTCGGACAAGGATCTCGAGGCCGTCGCCGACCATGCAGGTGCTATTCGGCGAGTTGACGACCTGTACCCGTTGACACATATCATCCACTGGGATGATTTGGCGGAGCCGCTCTTCGACGCTATCCAGGCAGCTCTTCGTGCAGTGGGTGATACTGGGACAGGCCATGACGAAACACATGGTGAGCATGACCTTTTTATTGATGATACATTCAGGACTAAGTCGAAATTCGCAGGACACTAGAGTGACGGACAATCAGCCGGTGCTACGAAAGCTCGAGCTAGTGTAGTCACCCGCAGACCGTGACGGTCTGCCGTTCCCTACGCTTCATAATCATTGTATGGACTACCTGACCTCAATCCATTCTCTCCTGCTCTTATCAGATCCACGAGTTCGTTCTCCTGCGCGTGTTCGAAGCCGTTAATCGGACCATTGTCGCTGTGAGTGTGCAACATGACTTCGGCTCCGTCCAATGTATCTTCGGCATTTGCCAGTTCATTTTCCGCCTCTGTGATGTCTTCGACAGAGTTCTCCGGGTGCGTGTCCCCATGTGATTCATCTGCATGACGAGAACGGAGTCGAAGACGGTGTCGGAGAAGGTGCTTCGCATGGCCGCCATGTGGGCCGGCCAGTTGATGAAGGCCAGTTCGAAAGAGATCGGTGATGGCATGCTCAGACACCTGGTCGAGAGCGAATGACAGTGCGTGCGACGTGACAAGGTGATTCGCAAGGAGCCGGATGTCGGTATGTTGCTGCACCTTGGCATGGTGTTCATTCACGTCGCGCACACCTGTCTCCTTGTACACACGATCTGTCAAGTCCCTTACGTGACCAAGTGATGGTGTGACTTTGCAGAGCATCTCGGGTGTGGCATTCGTGCCATGCGCGCGGTTCTTGATGCGTAAATTGAGGTGTTCGACGTCCAGATCTGCCTCGAGAAAGCCATCAGGCTCACCAGTTGTATTGACGAGCATGCTGGCTAAGAGGACTTTGGCGGTATCCTCTGGCCAGTCATGTATCAGGTTGTGCAGTAATTCCATGCATTCGTGGGCATAATTGTAGCTTCGCCCTGCATAGAACATGGGTGTCCAGAATTTGAGGATCCGTAGGATCCGAGTCGGATGTCCGTGCTTGATAGCATGACGCATCTCTCGTAGTGTCATGAGATCAAACATTGTGAGTGCAGCATGGCCCGAGGTCGTGTTTCCCTTGACCGACTTGATTCCGTCGGCCTCAAGACGATCTGGTGAAGACATGACATATGTATCGACGATCGTCTCGCACATGGTCCGGAATTCGGCTGCTGTTGGTCTCTGCGAGGAGAGCTCTGTCGTGTCCTTGAGCGAGGGTTGAGACTGCAGCGGAAATCACGAGTGCTCGTAGGACACAATCCAAGAAACGCAGCCATGCATAGAAGTCGAATTTCTGGATATTGATCTCGCTCCGGTTTCGGAGCAAATCACGGAGTGTCTGAAGGCTCGTTGTGTCCCTGTTTGCTCCGCCCCAAAGGTTTTTGGCACATGCCTGGATGAAGTTGAAGCATACATGCATAAGCCCACTCGTCATAGCGAGGCTTGAGAGGTGGTCCGCCCTGAAATCGGAGCGATCGACTCCTCTTTGGTCCTGCGCTGCCCGATCGCGTGCAGTTGTGAGCCGGTCCCAAGAACGAAGAACATTGTATCTTCGAAGACTGCTTTAGGGATCTGCAGTACATCGATGAAATAGTGTTTCAACACGGCCATGTTGCCGCGTGTCGACCCTTGCTCTTGGTCGAACGTCGGTAGGTAATGGCGATCGGTCTTGCGTACGGGAATCGCATCGGGGTCAACAAGCCCTGGAACACTTGCACGGAAACCCGCAAATCCCGCAACCTCGTCCACCAGAATCATCATGACATGGCTGATAGCTGCGTCACGGAAGGCAGTATGGTCTGCTTCACTCGGCACAATGTCCTGCAAGGCTGTCTGTGCAGGCAGCCGGTGACGAGTCCCACGGCATGCTTCGAAACGCTCAACACTTGCGAGGCGATGTGCGGTCCCACTTTCAGGAAGGGTGAGGCTGATGACCATCGCGGATACCTGGTCATGCTGTACAGCACCGTGGAGAACTGATGTCTCCCACACACCGGAGACCCAGTTGAAATTGTCGTATGGCAGCATGATCATATTTCGGGGGTCGTTGGCGATCTTGCGTGCGATGCGAAGTGCGTTCGCCGAGAGCACCAGGATAGAGGTACATAGGTGATCATAAGACACAGAGACACCGAAGCGATTCAGCATCTGGACGAGGCGCTTCGGTGCACGGTTATCCATAGGATCATGCTATTGATGACCTGATGTACGTTGGACTTCTGGCTACGCAGATTCAACAGTATCGATGTCGCCAATGTGCACCCCTATATGCAATACTCTGTAAGCACAGGTCTAAACAGCTAGGCCCGAAACACACGCACATCGTCTGGATTCCGGCTTTCGCTATCCCTCGCTGTGTTCTCCTTGTTGATGATTGCCTTCATGATCATCCGAGTCCGAGGCATAGTCTTGGAATACGCTGCCGTGAGGTCCTCGATTCGGAAGGACTTCAGCTGTGCGACAGACACGGTTGTCGCTGGCGAGCGAAGTCGTTCAGCATACACAGTATGCGGTCCTTCCGCAGCTCTGTCTGTGAGCCAGCCTGCCTCCCGTGCACATATCTTCGCTGCTCTCTCTGCGACCCAGCTGCATACGTCCTCGTCCCGCAGTCCAGACATCGACCAGAGCACTTCCAGCAGCTCCGGGATTCCACCATTGCCCTTCCATGTATTCACATAGTTCTTGATACCTCCGGAGTTCGAGGAGAACAGCGTCATGAGGAATGTACGAAGTGAAAAGCGGGAGGTTCTCCCGCATGAATTTCAGTACTGCGAACGCCTTCTCCTCGTCACTGCGGCGCCGCGCAGGAAGACCATGGCTTGGTACATAGCTCAGGTCTCCTTCGTCATCCTCTGGGAAGTCCGGCAGTGTACCGAAAGGCTCCGGCGGCAGGTCATCGACCTCAATCGCCTCCACTGGTGGTGACGAACTCGGCAATAGAGCTCAATGCTTCGGGCTCATCCGAGTCGTCAACGAGTGTCAGATAGCCGGTATTTCGCACAGATCGAGTAAGATAGGATAACGGCATGATTTATTGCAGTCTAGTGGAAGATATGTAGCCAAGGTCGAGATTGTACGCTCGCGCGAGCCTCAAAGGCGAGAGACGCGACGCGCGAGTGAGTGAAGCGCCCCCGCGAGTCGCGAGACGCAAAGGTCCCCTAGGGCGCTCGTTCTCGTCCAGACTCTCACGGACGGGTTCCCTTTTAGGGTGTCCGTGAGAGGCGGGTTCGAGACTAGGATCCATCCTGCGGGGACACGCTCGGGGCTGCTCGGGGGCGCGGCTGAATTCTGATATCATGCACCGCCCTGATGGGAACTTGAGATGCGGCATCCTACGCTAACTGCGGTTGTAGTCATCAAAGTACATGTTTGATCGATGTGGCGGTTGTAATACTGTGTCGTTCAGAATCAGCGTCTCGCGAGAGGATTGTCCTACCGAGTCGTCTGGGTCAGACGCGACTGAACTCTGGTGCCATGTAATCCTGAGGCCCCAAAGAAGACGACGTATATGGCTGCATCTGAGGGTGGAAGGCACGTTGAGGCACGATGGTCATTACCAAATGACTTGATGTGATTTAGATCAATGCCAGATGCCCTTTCCGCAGCACCTGCCGATGTGCAGTGATCCACATTTTGTCAAGTCGAGTACAACTACCGCTGAACAAACACTGCACTTACCGCACATCTCGCGGCCGGTAGACACCTGTTTGGATCGAAGAACCGCCGTCTCACTCCCATCAAGTCGATACAGGACAGTGTCAGTCTGGAACGAGGGTGAGGCGTGGCCGAGGCAGTCACTCATGATCTAACCAAGTTGCGGGTCATTTGATGCTACCTCCTATATGCTCTATTGAATGCCATGCTAGTTGCATGAGCACGTCGGTACTCTCAAAAAATCACTGGCAGACGCAACAATCACCTTGATCTGGGACAGTAGGAGACTCGACGCTGTACTGCCAGTGCCGTGGTTCAGTGAACGCTGAACTTGAACGGCAAACGTTGTGCCAGTGCGTTATACGTAGAAACCGTAGAAGGGCCAGCAGATGTGAGAAAGAACGCGCAACAAACAGCTAGAGAGGTTGTTGTGCGCCATCGTGAGGTTTCGACTGCTAAGTTGTACTATCGCGTAAGTACCGAGGCCTGTGCATATCGTTAGCGCCCGAGGAGGACGGATGAGATCTGAGATCTGAGATCTGACGGTAGACCATCCTACTACTCATCCGTCGCTACCTCTCTCGCAAAGTAACGCACATCCAACACTTGCATTGACCGAGCGTGTACTTCGATGGATATCCTGTCCAGAACGACTGCTGAGCAAACTGCACCTCATCACGCGCAGAACCATCCATATTCAAACCGCGGATCCGATGCCCTAGCCCGCCTCTTAGTCGGCGATGCATGTATTGCTCGAAACCCGCGGAGAGGGTGTGGTGTTGAGAAGATGTGCTGCGTGTAAGATGGAGAAGTATTGTGTGCGTTTCGTCTCATGTCTACATGCCTCTAGTGGTGCTTGTCGTGCTTATAGCTGATACGTTGCCCGTGGACTCTGCAGGACAAGCAGTGCCAAAAGGCTGCCTGGCCACTGCACAAGATGATCTGCAAGCTGAACCAAGAGTCGCGTGCTCTTTTCAAGACGATCTCGAATTCCGACGAACGATACAAAGATCTACACGGCTTCCTAACCAAACACGAGCTCACCATCTCCGATGCTGCCGTGGAATGCGTTCGCGCCCATTATCTGCCTCCTGCGCAAACTTTCCCTGCCACCCATGCCACTACCGATACTGGTGCCAAGCTCGGACGGGTGCATATGCTCATAGAGCTCGTATGGGTCAGTGGCGCCGGACATGTTGAGGGTGTCGGCAGCAGCAACGAGAGTCCAGTAGTGCGGTCAGTCTGAGCGCTTGTATACCGGTCCGGCGTCCCAACCGAGCTTCTGGTTGAAAGACTGCTGCTTGGGGTCGTAGCCGCGGAAACGAGAAACGAGAAATATCAGCAGACTACGCTATTACAGCTCAGGTCACGTGTGACCTCGTCTACCGTTAAGTACAAGACAAGGGCGAGCATACTTATAGGTCAAATGTAAGGCGAAGAGGCATATAGGTAAGGGCGGAGAGGCGGGCATATGGACAGCAAGGTGACGAACCATAGGGAAGAGGAGAATGAGTAGGATATTAGACAAAGTGGCGAAGTCACGTGTACGGACGGTACACAGTGGGGCTGCTGTGGATGCGGAGTTCGGGGCCATGCATGCAATCACGAAGCCGAGATGTCGACGCAGTGGAGACACCGCGTCCTCTCTTAAGATAAGGATGGTTACATGGGGCTTCGTCCTCAGCGACAATGAAGGGAAGAAACAAATCAAACAAACAAACGAGACTGTTGCCAGCTAGTCGACGATATGAAGTCCGTGTAAAACATCCCTTATGGTGGACCAATCGATCTGCGGTATCTCAGCCCACGAAAATACATCTTCCTCCACGAACCATGAGCAATAGAGGTGACGGCCCTTGGCGTCATCAACCTCACGCCGAACCATGCGCGTGGAACAGGCGGTGATAGTCCCGGGGTCTGTGCGAGGTCAATAGGGCCATTCGGAAGGTTGAAGCGGCCGCCACTGTACCGGCCCAATGTCGCCACGACGTCGTAAGAGCCGTAAGGGCTGCCGTTGTCAAAGTGCTCTGGACATACCCGATTGCGGACAACCGCCAACCCGGTGAAGCACGACGCCCAGTGGGAGATGACCTCTTGAAGGCCCTCCTCCTCCCCAGCGCGAGAACGACAGGCCATCCCGAGCTGGTACTGTTCCGGGTGAATGACAGAGATGATCGCCGCGATGAGCGCATTAGTCTCTGCCATGTTGTCAAGAAATCGCTGGCCAGAGTTCCAGTTCCTTCCCGTGAGAGTGGTCGATGGTCTCGGGGGCACGTCACCGATCTGCGCCAAAGTCAGTAGCCAAGCCAGCGCTGAGAGGCGGCGCACACGCGCACCGGGTTCGGCGAGTAATACCAGGCGGGCGCGAAAGTGGGCGTTCCCGGGATCCCTCGGGCGACTGGCGGAAGAGTCCTTCCTGTGTGGGCCAACTGCGGGGCGTCTCGCTGGATTTCTGTTCGTTCTCCTGGAGCTGACGAGGCACGCCGTCTAATGCGTCCACGATTTTCCTCTGCATCGAATATCAGTGGTGGGAAAGAGGAGGGCGTCACTTCGCAGACCTGGCGAGAAGGCAGCAGAATGCCGGGCAGGTACCAGAGGATGATTTTCCCGAATTTGTCGGAAAACGTGCAAGGAAGGCTCGCTGCCTCATTCTTGCGGCCATTCGATCCTCCATATCGAAGCAAAATCTTGTCGTCTCCTTCTGGGTGGTCGTGAACCGCCTTGAGCCGATCGCAATACCTGACAGCATCTATTTCGGTGCACACATCTGCGTCTACTGCGTGAGCATCTCCAAAACAGCTAGGTTCAGTTGATCGCGTACAGCCGTCGCACATAGCATGCGCCAGTAACCTCGCAGCGAAGGCAAGTTCAGCCGTCAAAGATGCAGACAAGCGATCTGGCTTGTTGTTCTCGATTTCGGACGGCATCTCAAGGCCGTAGCCATTGCGCGCCTTATGGATTTTCCGTATAGCCAACATCGTCTGTGCGTGAAGAACGCCAGACGCTGTCTGTACAAGTTCGAACGCTGAAGGCGTGCGGTGTTAGCCCGTGACATTCACCGAGACGGAGACTTACCTGTGAGGTTCTTCATTCTGGGCCGCGGCAGCGTCAGGGAAGAGGAAGTAGGAGTGAATCGAAAACAGAAGTCGAACAACGCCAACGGCCCAACTTTAGCGCCGGGTAGTGGCCGCTGATCAGATCAGCACGATTCCGCCCGTGATCGGCGCCGAAGCGCGGCAGCCTGGGCGGCCCATGCCGGCGCCTATGCCTAGATGGTTGTCGAACCCACTTGGAACCCACCGCGGGATACTGTCCCGTTTCGACCAAGGGTTCAGTCACGTCTCACAAGCCTTCTGAAATAGACATTTAGTTCTCTTGTCACATGTCACAGATGGGTACTCCGGGACGTACCGACCTAAAATGGTGGGGGCGACCCGCCACTGGTCACAGAGGGTTCTGAATTCGGGCCCCTAGTTCATCTGTCACATGTCACACCCACTGAACCTGTGGTCGAAACGGAACAGTAGGCAGCGTCGGCGATATTGGACACCGGCGTCACTGTCTTGCGGCAATTCGCGAGTTACGCAATGGGCGCCGGCGGGGGTGTGTATAGTCGAGTGGGGTGAGATGAGAATGGGAGTGTTGTGGTGTCTGTTCTCGGCGCCGCTTCAAGCCAGGATCTTGGCCATACAGCTCATGAGAGCTATAGGCCTGTAGGATTTCGCAACCGAGTAGTCGCTTTTCCCAGGTTTGCGTAGCACGACTGTTGTGGATATTTTCCACTCCTCTGGTTAGTAGTGCAGGTCGAACGTAGCGCGAAAGAGGCAGCCGAGAAAGGGGACTAATAGATCTGCGCACCGTTTGTAAACCTCGTTGGGTGTCTTGAACTCCTTGAGGCGGTGGCAGGCAGCGTGGATCTGATGGTCCGAGACATGTGCGAATTTGAAGGCCGGGGGAGGGTAGTGTTCAGCGTCCGGGTCTGGGAGCTCGAGGTCTGGTGGGGGTTGTGGGAAGAACGTCTCGTAGAGGACGCGGCTTTTCGCCTCGTTCTCGCGCTCCAGTCGAGCACTGCCCTGGCGGTGCAGCGGTGGCACTCTGCTTTTGCTGCCATCGTTCGAGCCTGAGCGTATGTACTTCCCCACGGTCCAGATCGACTTCGCGTCGGCCTCTTCGAGCCACGCATCCCAGTGCGCCTTCTTGGCAGCGCGTACGTGTTCTTGACATATATAACCATGAGTTCATCCAGATCGTGCGATAAGCAATCTCAGTGCTAGCGTAAGTTAAAAATACATGATATAGATGCTGCTGAAAAGGCTGGGCATTATTCCCCCTGGTCCATCAATTCCTCCCCAGCCTGATTATCGGGCGCCGTCTTGCTCTCGGACTCGGAGGCCAGCTGGTCGCTCTCTTCGTCGATCTCGCCGGTTCGGGGGCGCTTCCTTCCTGAGCCCTGAGCGTTATACGTCGGACCACCGAGTAAGGGGCGATTGGATGACCTCGCGGCTTTCCGCGCCTCCACAACGCGTCGAGCTCTTCCTGAGCGGTGGCCCGCGCTGCTGAGGAGGTAGATGCCGTGCGCGTACGGCCGTTGCAACGTCGGGTTGCTCAACACTCAGAGATACGGGGGAAAGTGTGCGCGGTCTCTCTGGGAGAGACGCCGAACCCGACAAATAGGCGACGGCGGCGGGGGATCTCATGGCCAGCCCGTGGGCCTATTCCAGCCAGGCGCTGCGCCTGCTGAGATCCGGCTTGCCGGCAGCGCCCTCTTATATGTGGGGGCTGCGTCTTCGACTGGCTCGTCAACTTCTGGCAACGGCGGAAGTAGCGAGCCGGTGCGGGAGGGGAGAGATGTCGTGGGCTTTGTTCTCGTCAGCTGGACGGGGGATCGAGTCTGGAAGAGGGGCGAAAATAACGGATTCCGCGCCCTCGGAAGCGGTGGGGGACGGTGGTGATGTTAGGAGGCGCACTGGAGTCAGAGGGCTCAGCGGAGCCGAGGGCACTCTGACCACGCGATTAATGTCGTCGCGAATTTTGATTTCGATCTCTCGAACGCGTTCCAGAGTCAAATCCATCGCCTGGAGTGTCCCTCCTTGACAAGGTCTATGTCGCTTCGCAGTGTGCACGCCTGCTCGACTCCACTCCTCATCGTCGCAATGTCGGCTGAAATGTCAGCATGACGCCCTCCAGCTGCGCCTTCTCCGCGTGAAGCTGGTTGACTTCCTCGCGAAGCTGGTTGACTTGCTGCCCCATATCCCCCGTTGTGAGAGCCAACTCGTCGCGTATCTTGTCCACCTCAGACCAGTGGGACCAGTGCTCGGCGCTGGGCCATTGGCCACCTCTTCGACCCTCGCCTGCAGCACTGCGTGCCTCTCGCTCTCATACTTGAGGAAGAGGATGATACTCGCCCACGCGTCGGCAGGATTGAATGAGCCTGCGGCGTAGCTACACCCTGCGTCGCCAGGAACTGGATGTAACCCTCCGCCTCCTGCCTTGCCTGTAAACTCAATGGTGCGGGAACCGACGGCGTGGCCGATGTCTGGGGCACAGACAGGGAGGGAACCGACGGCGTGGCCGACGTCTGGGGCACGGACAGGGAGGGCCCCGCGTGGGCTGCGCTTGGAGACGATGGCACGGGCGACATTCTAATCAGCCCGGCGAACGCGTCAGTCTGCTCGTCACCATCTGGGATCGAGATGACGTCGTCCTCTTGGTGCGCCTGAGCTGCTTCCGGAGAAGACGCCGGTCTCTTCCCAGCGGCGTGGGATGGTGTGCGCTTCGGCTACGGAGAGGCATGAGGACTGGTTCAAAAAGATGTTGGGGCAAACTCACCGCCTCGGGAACAGGCACGACGCCTTCGCCACCCGTTTCGTCCGCGGGCGTTTCGATCAAATTGATCACATCGGCCTCCTCGTCGAGATCAATTGGCTTGTCGGGCGAAATCCCTCGGCCGACTAGTTTCGCCTTCTTCCGGGCACTCCGCTTCTTCGAAGTTGGCTCGGCCTTGTGACCCTCCTCGTCGCTCTCTGGCTCGCTCTCCGTGTCGCCTTTCCTGTCCAGCTTGGGAGGCTCTATAAATTGGCCCCGTGCTAAGGCGGACCGACGCACGGCGACCCAGTCCATCAGCTTGTCGCTGACCCGTTTATCCGTATTGTCCCAGGTATCCAGGTCGACGACCCAAGAACCGGGTTTCCCCTGTATCCCATTCCAAACCGGCAGGTCCGGGTATGGTAGGCGCTGGGCCTTCCGGTCGGCCACCCACATTCGCCATTCGGCGGCGGCCGTCCCTGCGATGCTGTTCTTGAAGACACGCCCGTCGTGCATGTGGCGCGGGACGAGCGAACAGGCCGATTTAGCTGTCTGACAGCCCGTGCAGCGAGCCATCACGACCTTGTGGGTCGGCTTCCTCTTGTGCGCCCCAACAACGTAGAGGCACGTTTTGCCCAAGTGGAGGCAGCGGTCGCATTCCACGGGCTAAATCATCAGGGTCCGCTGGTGAACCGAAAGCGGCGCAACTCACCGGATGAATCAAGTCCCCAACCCTCGCCTTTGATTCGGCCAGTTCGTAAGCGTTGACTTGCACCGACACAGGCGCCTTTACAGGAGGCGCCGTACCCCCGTTGCCGTCGGCGCGCGCCACCTCTTCCTCTCGGTCGACCTCCATTAGCGCTGTGGAGGGCCCGGCCTCCTTGCGATCCGCGGCCCCCTTCCCCGCATTTGTCTGGCGGCCGTGAATCCCCTCGGCCATTGCCAATGGCTCTTCTTCATCCGAGCCGACGCGGGCCCTCGACTTGAGCCCAGCCTTGCCGCCTTTCCCCAACCCCTGCCCCCTCTTGACGACATCGGGTGGCTTCACAACATTAATGCGCTTCCGCTTCTTCTCCTGCACGCCCTCGGCCGCCTCGCCAACCGGCGCTGAGTCCATCGGCCGAGTCCGCTTCTTACTGGTGGCGGTGCCGACCTCTGCGGAGTCAGCCCCTTGTAAGTTTCTAGCAAGACTGAGTAATGAATACCAAATCCTTACCATCCGAGGGTCCCGCAGTGGGCCTTTCTCCCTCCGCGCTGGTTGAGACGGGTCCGACGGCCGTCTCTGAAGCGCTTGTAAGCGAGTGAATCAAGACGCTAAGGGGATGGCGTACTTGGCTTCCACCATTCGTGCGCACGCGCCGCATAGCGTTCAATGTCCATAGCCACAATATACTTTTCAGGTATCTGCGTCGGAGGGGGCAGAATATCCGCCCTAATGCTGTCAAGATTAAATTCTGTTCTCAATTGTAAAAGGTACAGAGCGGAAGCCAACAAAGGGGGCATCTTCAAACTGCCTGCATTAGCCGCCTGCACGATGCCATACCAATGTTTCTTCTGCGAAGAATGAGTAACCTACTCGAGGATGAGTCTCGTGGGATTCACCATAAGAGTGCACAACGCTTGCTGCGCGGCCGGACGCTCTGCCTCCGGTGCCTCAATCGCTGCATGTACGTAGGCGGAAAGGAGGAGTACTTGTTCCTCCGTTATCGGCGGAAAGCCGGTGCTGTCCTTCACGACCTTAGCCGTGTCTTCCGAGATGGCGGGCTTCGACATGCCGTCAACTGTGAGACGCCGTCGAGCGTTGTGTGGCGTGTAGAGGCGGAGGGGCGCAATTGAGTCAACGGCTATGTAAGCCGCGGAATCTTCAGGCATGTTTGACAGCGCATCAAATTCACGTGATTGCTTCCCACGCGTGTTTCACCCGCATCAGCGCCCGCGCGTCGCGAATCTGTGTGGCTTCCGACTCTGACCGTCGCCAATTCCCGCTTGCCCCGCGGCGGTCGCCATTCGCCCATTCCATACCACAGGTATGTGTAAGCTCCGTGGATGCCATAATTGAGCGACTCATCGCTAACCGGCGTCAGTCTTGCGCAGCCCATAGGCAATATGGGTCCTGATCGAACTCCCCACAAGAGGCGCCGTGGCAGCTACGGTGAGTAACTCGGCTCGGTGGGACACTCACTCGGTGACAATTGCCCTCATAGAGGTGATGGTTGGAGGAGCTCGACGGCCGGCGAGGCATCTCGGCGGCAACGAAGACACAGGCATTCCTCCTCTCCGCGGTCCACCCGCTCCAGTTCTGGCACCTCCCCCCTTCCCACGTCACTCGGCTGGCATGGCCATTCCCGCCCCCCCCCTCTATTGCGACCACCTGCTGGTGCCTCTCCCCTGGGGCCTCCCGCACCCATTCTTTCCCCCCTCCCGGCAAGGCCTCCTCCACCTGTTTCTAGGGCTCTCCCGGCTTCACCGGCGCGTGTTCCTGGCCGGCCGGCTTATCCTCCTTCGCCGGTCTTTGCCCCGCCTTCCCCGCACCCGCACCCCCGCTCGCCGATCTTTGCCCCGCTCCCCCCTCAGTCGCCGCTTTTTGCCCCGCTTCCCCCTCCTCGCTCGCCGCTTTTTGCTCCGCTTCCCCCTCCTCGCTCGCCGCTTTTTGCTCCGCTTCCCCCTCCTCGCTCGCCGCTTTTTGCCCCGCTTCCCCCCCCTCAGTCGCCGCTTTTTGCCCCGCTCCCCCCCCCCAGTCACCTCTCCCCCCTCAGTCACCTCTTTTTGCCCCGCTTCCCCCTCCTCGCTCGCCGCTTTATGCTCCGCTTCCCCCTCCTCGCTCGCCGATCTTTGCCCCGCTTCCCCCTCCCCGCTCGCCGGTCTTTGACTCGCTTCCCTCCCGGCTTCCCTCCCGTCCGGCATCGCCACCTTTTCCTTCGGCGCACGCACCTATACAGATACCTGCGATGCTCGATCGAGCTCTGTTGAGTCCGCGAGCCCGGCAAGCGGCGGCTGCTCGCACTGGATCTTCGGTGCTCGCAAACCCGCTTCGGGTGCCGCAAAGGCCGCGATTGGCATTTGATCCCGACGCAGCTCAGCGCGCTTCTGAACGGCGCGCATCGCTTCGCCCTCGAAAGCCGAAGCAGGTACTGGTAAGTCGCGCGCAGTCGACTTATCACCGCCTCTCACCCGCCTCGTATCCAGGGCAAGCTCCGCAGCGGTGGGTATTTCGAAGGGCTCTGTTTCAATGAGAATCTTGAAGCCGGTAAGTACCCTCAGCACTTCAGCCTGGCCTGTGCTGATTCTGGCAGGTCCGTACCTTTGTCAGTCTGACGATTTTGACGATGGCCCGCCAGTTCCGAACCAGGGTCCCCTGATGGACGCCGGCCGATCGTCCTTCTATGACGTTGAGCGCATAATCGGCCACCGGATGGTCAGGCGGGGCTCTGAATTCATTTATACTTATGAGGTGAAGTGGGCGGGTTGGGATGAGACGACTTGGGAGCCTAGGGACAACGTCGCCGGCATGCCCGCCTATTACGAGTATTGGGAGAGCATGGGCCCATGCTGATCGTCTTCGTATACTGTGGTTCAACTAGTCAATGTTGTATAATATTGAGATCCCAGTGTACGCTGTGCTTGGTCTGGGCTCCATCGAACGACAGCAATCAGTTCGCCCGCGGTGGGCTCCGCCGCGACGCCCGCAGCCGCCTTATGAGGCGGCGCCCCTTCCGATCGGACACTTCGCACCGCCTTTCCAATAACCTTCCCGCCTCGCTGAATGCGCCTCTCGACAGACTCTACCGTTGCGCTTGCGACGAACGAAAAGGCTGCCAAGCGGACCCAAACGTAGGACGAGACGAGCGCCGCAACGATGAGTGCCGTGCCTGTTGGGGCTCAGGGTTAGCAAATAGCACCGCGCGAGAGCTGCCAACTTCGTACCGAGACGAGGGTTCGTCGTTCAAGGCTGGAAGGGGAATCAACGGCTTTCCGTCGCCTTGCAGGTTACACATATACAGTCATCGACGGCTCCTTGAGACGCCCAAATCGCGTTTGGCGTCTTGCATCGGAACACCGCGTACTCTTCGAGATCGGACAGTGTACGCACAATCAGGCATGTCCAAGGCATCCTACAAAAAAATTGTATCCTTATCCATAGAGCGAGCGTTGCACACTAAGGAGATCAGTCGCGATTTTTCTTATCAAGACCTTGCCCGGTCCTTGAGACACCTGCCTAAAATGGTAACTATCCCAAGTGCTCATCAGTGCAGATGGCTCTTCCAGACTCTTTCCTCAAGTGAAATATCCTTACAAACCATTGGAATGATCACTGACAGTACAAAGGAAACTTCCTTTGTGTTTAACCCCCACTTTCGCGCCGTTCCGCATAGTAGGGATTATGGGCCGGTATGATTATGTAATGGTACTTGCTAAATCGGGTAATGAAATTCATGAAATGTGGTTTTCCATGTTCTTCGACATACCGTGCAGCGACCAGCGCTCGCACCATCGCAAACACGGTCTCAGTAGGTACATGACAACGGTAAGCAAATTGTTGTCATTTTTCTAGGCTAGCAGGCTTCACTGAGCACGCACTGAAGCCCGCTGTCTCAAGGACCGGGGGTGTCTCAAGGAGCCGTCGATGACTGTAGTACACGCAGATGGGCCACTCCGTAACGGACGGCACGCGCATTGGAACACTGTCGCGACGCGCTTGAGGCACTCGTACCGTTCCACAGCTCGAACACGACGGGATCAAGCGCAAAACGAGTCCAGACGGAGAAGTCACAAGAATGAGGAGCAAGAGCGATGGGCGAGGGCTAAGCAGAGAGACGAAAACCAAATGTGAGTCCTCTGTTCTGTACCAACTATATAACGACTTCTGTTGCTACGCGCATTGACGAGCTTAAAGCTCCGAGTCGTGGTGCCTACTTGTCCACCAGCTCGCGCATCCAGCCCATCCTCTCACTCATTCGCTTGCCCACCCGCGCGCCGCTCTCACCCCCAAGTTCTGCCCTCTCGCGCTCGCTCACTCATTCACCACATACCAAGTCACGCTTGCCTCATCTCCTGCTCACCCGCGCATCCGTGGGTTGCGGCCGCAGGGTCAGCATGTCAGGTGAGTGCACCGCTGTCCATCCCGACCCCATTGCCAACCCCGGCAAGTGATTGTCCACCAGGACGACTGGACAGAGACGAGCCCGACGAAGACGGCCCTACCGGTTCGCTCGGTTCCAGCACCTCGCGCGGCGTATCCTCTCCACCAACTGCCTTAACCGCTCGCTCGTCACCTACCTCGTTTGGCGTGCACTCTCTGCGGCGAACCGCGGCAAGCCGCTCCTCCCCCGCCTTTGCCGCACGGTCTCTGACTCGGTGTTCTACGTGGAATTCCTGCTCCTCATCCCACGGACGCCGCGCCACATCGACTTGCAGCACTGGGACGAGGTGTACGGCCCGAAGTACGAGATATCGACGAAGACGGAGTGTGAGTGCATGCGAAATCTGACGGCGCGCGACCAGCCGACGACACAAGCCCGTTGGTGCAAACCCATACCGCGCACGGACCCACTGGCATCGAAGAATTGGCCGCCTAACAGATACGGATCACGAACCGACGCGCACGGGTACGACGCGGGCCAGTTCGCCGTACATAATGCTCGGTACAGCGCAGCTCAACGAGCAGCACTGCGACAAGCAACAGTCCACCAGGCATCCGGCGCGGCGTGCAATGGCCTGCCGAGCAACAGCCGGGCATACCCCAGCTCGACGCGCATACGCCCGTGAAGGATGAGTGTGCCGCATCCTAGCCCGAGGAGGAGCCAGGCCACCGAGTACGAACAGGACGAGCGGGAGAGAGCCTGCTGCGCGCACCCACTGGGCAGACGGTAGCTCGCACTTTTCTACGGTACATTATGAGTAGCTAGCGCTGTTCTGTACAGTAGTAGTGATCAATAAAATAATATTGAGTTGACTTCTATGCCCTGGCTGATCTTGGCTGACGAGCTTGGATGGTTAACGTTGATCGACCGCCCAACGTCGGCTATGCCAATGGTCCTCGGGGAGCGGGCGTCGGCTAGTTGCGATGTCATTCGCTAGCCGACATTGGCTGCGCCAGTGCGAAATGGCGCAGCCAATGTCACGTTGGTGGCCGGCGCTTTCTCACTGCCCGTTTTGAACGGGCTTCGTCGTGCTGCGAACAGAGCGTGTGACCGATTGCGATGGGGACGTAACCGAGACAGGGCCCGCGTTGCCGCAGGCGGTGACGGCGGGCGGCGGGGCGATCCACAGCGCAGCGAGGGAGCGCCCATTTGGCGCCCCAGCCATCCCGCGAGCGATCCGCCACCCCGCCGGCGTTTTACTGCCTGTGGGCCGATGTTTGCCGCACCAATGGCATTCCAGTTTGCGTGATCCCGCGCAAAGAATGGCGGGTTCGACTCCCCCGCGAGCACCGCGCGGCCGCGCAGTGCAATGCGCCGCAACCGCGCGCAATTTGAAACCCATGATTTTCCCGTGGATCCATCATACCTGTCGATCGGGAAACACGTGATCGCGAGTACCCTGGGGCTGCGCGCCTCCTCATTCTACCACTTAAACTTGCAGGGCGACCGCCGCTTCTCCCACGTCCCCAACGCAACATCTCGCCCATGACCGACTCCTCGAGCTCAGCCCCCGCCTCCCCTCGTCTCGCCCCACGCGGCGCTCGTATCCGTCCATCGCTCCACCCCGTCTCGCATGATACCGCCCCGCTTGCTCTGGCCGCCGCCACTGCGATAGCTCCTGCGGCCGGCCACGCCGACACCCCAGGGACTCCCGCCACTGACGTCGCTCACTCCGCGCTTGGAGTCGCACCGGCTGCGGGCGCTGAGCTCCGCCGAAACCCCGCAATCCGTCGGTCCACGCGGCGCGCACCCCCGCAATACCCGCCGCCGCCCGCATAGAGACGGCGGCTCTCCCGCTGGATGCACTCGCGCCGCCTTCTACGTCCGGCCCAGCGAGGATGCGCCTGCCATGCCCCGCTCGCTCGCGCCTCACGACGCATTGGCTAGCATACGGTGGATCGTCGAGGACATGAAGCCTCACCCATGGTACGTTGCCTTTTTTTTTCATTCTAGGTTCCATTACTGAATCTTTCAGGGTGCACTACGAGGCGTACGTGAAGCGCACCGGCCTGTTAGTGACGGCGTCGAAGGTGTCGAGCGCGCCGCAGGGCGCTCCTTTAGTATGGTACATGGCAGTTTGGGCGTCGACGGAGCAGCAGGCGATGGACTTAGAGCGGTACGTGGAGGATCTGTTCGAGGAAGACGGGCGGGATGTTATTTGAGGTGGGCGCCGCCCACATTACTATCCCGTAGTACTACTACACACGTTCTGGCTACACCACTACATATATTCAGTGTTTGCGACACTCAGCTCGCTTTCTCCCAGTCGACTTGTCACTTAGGCAATGCGCTCGCTGCGAAAGAAAGCCCGGCCGACCCGGGTAGATGTCTTCATCATGGCCAATCCGCCGCGCAATCCGCGCATGAAATGCCCGCCTCTTGCAAGGGCCTGGCGCCGCGCACGTAGACGCGCCCTAGTACAAGCTGCGTACAGCCGCTCGGTTTCTTTTGTAGCCGACGGTCGGCCAATCAACGGGTGTGGGTTGTGTATAAAGCGTCGGCCGCCGTCGGCTGGCCCTATACCATTGGTGGTTTCGGCACGTCGGTTACTCTATGATTATAGGGCAAAGACGCTGCCTGGTGTGATCGCCTGGCAGCCTGAGGTCACAATCTCTGGACAGTGGACGAGACAGGTAGTAAGTAGTAATTGAGATGGCTTTATTAGAACGGGGCCATCTGCTGCCATACGTTACCAGCGTCACTGTCTCCCCGCAAAATGGCAGCGTTCTACGCTGGCGTGGTGCACTGCCATGAGTCCTCCATCTCAACCGCCTGCGGCCCAGCAAACCCCCTCTCGTGTACCTTACTACGCACGGTACTCCAAACTCATCTCAAGACAGCCTCTTTATCGACAGTGCACGTACTGCTCGAAAACAGCGGGTGAGGGAGCAATCTTGAGACGATGCGCTGCATGCAAGATAGAAAAATACTGTGTACGTTCAAGTTCTGCTCCATCATGTGCATGATATCCCGGAATCTCTCGCGACGCACGTTGGGCTTGAAGCTTCGGACGCGTTGCATGTGGGTTTGTGCAGGACAAGCGGTGTCAAAAGGCTGCCTGGCCCATTCACAAGAAGATCTGCAAGCAGAACCAAGAGTCGTACGCTCTTGCCGAGACATCCTCGGATGAGCTGTTCAAAGCTCTGCACGAGTTCCGACGCACACACGAGCTCGTCATGATCGATGCTGCCGTGACTTGCGTTCGCGCCCACTACCTACCCCCGGCCTGTACCGACCCCATCGCTGCCTAGAAAGAGCGGGAGGACGTGGTAGTCATCAACCTACGACCCCGGCCCAATGCCCAACACGTACGGCCCGAGACGCGCTTCTATGTCACGGATGCCCAGCTTGAGACTCTATCTTCATCTGCCACCCTCTTTGAATGGGACATCGAGATGATGCGCACCAGGCTACAGGCTTGCAGGGAGTTGATGTCGAAGGGTTACGGGCCATGTGGCTCTCTGTTTGTCGTCGCGCACGTCGTTGGTTTTGATATTTCGGAGATTATGACGCCCGCGTTCCTGTTGGACAAACCGGGGTATCTGAAGAGTGCATGGAAAGAGTATCTCTTTCATATGCTGAACGAGGGTGGCGTTAATGTAGGATGAGTGGGATGGGAATCTGGCTGGGAGAATGTTAAACCTTTACTGTGTACAAGTACCCTGCCGTGATTGTTGTATCATACTAGCACGAACCTGTGCTTTGTTAACTCGCGCTATATGTTGCGGACATCGTGTTGAGGTTACTGCACGCTGCAAAAGCTGTCTGTATGGGGCGCCTTCTATGCCAGGAAATAGTAGCCCACCTATGTCTAGTCTCAAGATCTCACCTTCCGATCCAGAGCAGACCTCGTACAAATCTTCGTACCCCTCCGATCGTTCATGTCAACGCAATGATCGATTTGTATCGACGTCCGACTCGTGGCAGGTGTCATCTAACGTATGTTGATATGGATTATCACACTGAGCATTCTATCATATCACTACGAGGGCACGGACGGTACAGTACATCTATGGACACGTAGAACACAAGCAGTATAGGTCTGAGTCTCAATCACTAGAGATATCGAGTAGATACTCGCCTCCCAGGATATCCTTGAGACGATACCGAGAACTGTCAGTGTGTACCCTGATGTAGCCCGCCGCGAAGTTCTCCCATGCCGCCCGCGCATCTGTATCCCTCAGCACGTATCGGACACGCTTCACCGCAGCGATGGTCTCGCCAGTCAGTTCTTGTAGGACTTGTGCTGTTGGCCTCCCCGTAGCCAGCGCGCGTTCGTGGATGTAGTTGTCCTTCTCTCCCGCGAGTTCCTCTTTGTAAAACGACAGGATGTCACTGTGATATACGTGAGCGTCTGATAACGGGACAAGGTCAAGCACGGTTGATGCTCACTTCACGTGGCTGACGTACAACATCGTGTCACTGTCCCCCACGTTCAGTAAGCGCGACTACGAGACAGTACGGCTACACGTACGGGATGGCTTGCACATACGCCCTATAGTCGGGGAACTGGGCTATTGGCCAGATGAAGCAGGCGTACGCTTCCGTAGTAGCCGTCATGCTGCGTTTGTACTCCACGAACGGCCGTGCCTCCCGGCAGAACGTCTCGCCCTGCCACTCGTTCTCCATAACAGACGCGTTGATGAACCGGAGCGCGGACGCGTATATCGTGTTCGCCGTGAAGCCCGGATAGTGGTCCCACATGCGCCCGAGCACCTTCGTGAACTCCCCCAGGAGGCCGGGATCGCGCTGGACGACGCCGGAGCACATGTTGCGGTGGAAGTCCGCGGGGGTCAGGCCGTCGAAGAAAGCTGGGTCGTCCATGATGGCGATGAAGGTGGTGAAGACCGTCACGTGGACCTTCGTCTCCATGTCGGTGATGTGGGCGTATGCGGTGATGGTGAGGATGGTCGCGGGGACGACGTAGGGACGCATGGTACGTTCATCCCCCAACTGGCTGACGATCTCGTTCACTCGCCGCTCGAGTTCCAGGTCGCGGGTGTACTTGGGGAGGTCGACGTCGACGTTGTCCAGGAAGCTTCGGACTGCTTGTTGAGCGAGTAGTAGAGCTGAAGACTGGATACTGTTCGTGAGACCGAGAGAGATAAGCGACGCAATGCAGCCTACCTGTGTCATGATGAGGCTTGGAGGAGGTTGCGAGACAGCAGAGCTTGTTGAATGGCGACGTAGAATAGTCCCTGACGATCCATTTTATACCTTTCTGCTTCCGCTCGAGCTTAGTTGCGTACATGGCATTCGCCAGCGGCGGCATAGCCTGGACAGGACACCTCCTTTCTTCCGCGGACTTATCACTCCATGAGCGACGATGAATGGTGATCAGTGCCGGTCAGTGGTCGTAGAGGCGTGGCAATCGACATTGAGCACGACCATACCTGTACTTGGCCCTGTGGCGGTCGCAATTAGTTCCGGTCCAGGCATGGAACGGTGAAGGCCCCACGTAGAAGGCAATGACTTGGACGGGTCCGAATACTTCGCAACAGCCAGTGGCCCTCCGCACACATGTCAGTGAAACCGCCTGCACAAACCGGTGAAAAGGGAGACTGATCACAACGCATTCACTCAATGAAGCTATCCAGAGTTCGTTACTCGGCATATGGTGTATCGCTGTCTCCGGTCTGGGTTGCGGAGTCGCTGAACGATCCACAAGCAGTTATGTTGATCAACGCTGCTCTCTCCTGCGAACCTTAGTCTCCTCTCCAGGAACTGGAATGCACGTACCTTTTCCACTGAAGCTGTACTCACCGACGTCGTTGGAGGCTTGGAGCCGGATGGACGCCTCAGCCACTCTGAGTTCTAGCGTGCAACAGGACACCAACCGACAGTGGCGGTTTCGCGTGGCCGACAGATACGAGTACATGTCATCGAAACGTGCCTCGGGCGTTGCTGTGCAGTGGGCTCGGAGGCTTGTTTAGTAGCAATATTACGGCTAAGGTTGGCACAGTGTACAGTCTGCAAAGGGACGATGTACTTATCATATCCGCGCGTGCTAACGTATATTAGCCCAGCCAATTGACTGCTTGCGATGAAAGTGGAAACGACTGTGTCTGCCTGTTCTGTTAACAGCACATCCATCTTCTACGCATGATGCATGAACACCCACCTGAATGTTGCACCGATGTCCAGCTGGCGCTCATTATGGGTCGGCATCAAATACGTTCAAGCTTCGAGGAGGAATGAAGTTAACGAAGTGGTGTGCATGAAAGCCGAAAAAGGCATGAAAGTCTCATTGCAGACCGGACATGCCCGATTCAGGAGTTCACGGCCACTGTCAGTGTCACCGTGACGGCATGACCGTTGCCAACACCGTCGGGCGGTGGTCACGAGCCCACTTCGGTCGCTATTGACGGGGAGAACGCCGCGGCCTTCGCTCTTGTATGGGAAACGAGCCTGGGCCAATTCGGGGCCATATTGTTCTCGGGTCCACGGACGGGAGTTGGAAGTCGCCAGTGAAGAGGGCCGAGTCCAAAGTTGGGCGTGCGCTCAGATCCAGATCTCAGATCGAACGCACTCAACGCCGCCACAGAACATCCACTTTAGGAAACTTCAACTGAAAAGAAGTTGAAGCGCCTGAGAGCGCAGTAAGTATCTCGAGAAGCCGACTTGCGCTGTGTTGTGACTGGGTAGGGCGATTTCTGCATACAGTGCAGATGAAGTCTGGTGGAGAGTTTCATATCCGAGTCTTGATGCCATAGCCTATTGAACTGCCTGCCCGCTTTTCGCCCGGACTGGTGTGCACGTCTAATCGTTACTAAATCAAACTCGTGAAGATATTATCGCACGGATATAAGCCGAGATAGTACACAAGTAGAGGGCCATTAAATCAATAACTAGTTACGTCTATGATGTATTCGCCACCCAGGATATCCTTCAAGCGATACCGCGGATTATGGGTGTGCACACTGATATACCCAGCTGCGAAGTTCTCCCAAGCCGCTCTTGCCTCCCCGTTTCCCAGCACACTGCGAACACGCTTGACAGCCGTGATCGTGTCGTCGATGACGCCCTGCAGGGCGTCCGATGCCGACGAACCGGTAGCCAGAGCGCGCTCGTGAATGTAGTTGTCTTCTTCGCCCGCGAGCTCTTCCTTGTAGAAGGAGAGTATGTCACTGCGTGTGGTGTAAGCATGAGTGCCGTATGGAGACCAGATATATGTCACTTACTTGACATAGCTGACATACAGCATCGTGTCTCTGTGGGTGGTTGATCTTTGTCAGCCGGAGCGGCCCTCAAACCACCTGCGTGACTCACGGTATCGCCCGTACGTAGACCCGATAGTCCGGGAACTGCGCCCGTGGCCAGATGAAGCAGGCATAGGCTTCCGTAGTGGCTGTCATGCTGCGCTTGTATTCCAGAAACGGACGCGCCTCCAGGGTATAGACCTCCCCGCGCCACTCGTTCTCCATAACCGACGCATTCACAAAGCGGAGAGCGGACGCGTAGACAGTGTTCGCCGAGAAGCTGGGATAGTGGTCCCACATACTCTGGAGGACCTTGGTGAGTTCGCCGAGCATGCCGTGCTCCTGCTGAATGACGCCGGTGCACATCTTGCGGTGGAAGTCGCCGGGGATGAGTCCGTTGAAGACGACGGGGTCGTCCATGGCGATGATCAGCGTGGTGAAGAGCGTGATGAGCACCCGTGTCTCTAGGTCGGAGACGTGCGCGTAGGCGGTGATGGTGAGGATCAAGGCCGTGATGACGTAGGGCCGCAACGCCTGTTCGTCGCCCCAGTGCTTGACGATCTCCTTCACTCGAAGCTCCAGTTCATGGTCGCGGACGTATTGAGGAAACTCGACGTTGACCTTGCGGAGGAAGTCCCGAATCGCGTCCTGGGATATACTGAGGGTGGATGACTGTGGGCCCACGAATACATTAGCTTCTAGCGTGTACAGTGCGTGTCTTCGCTTGGCTTACCATCGATTTCGGATTGATGGCTCTTTGCGTGGTGGGGTTGAAGCGGTAGGTGAGATTGGTGAGTCAAGGCCAGGCATGCTGGCCTTATATACAGAATGCCAGTAAGGCTCACCGTGAGCGACACGAGTACTGACCCGTCTGAGGTATCGGACTCAACATGTAAGGTCTGGTGCTAAAAGGTGTCAAGAAGACACCCATCCTATCGGCTACATAGCCTGTTCCCGATGGGAAAGGTATCATGGCCATCGGCCCAGCTCAAAGGGATCCGCCACACGCCAGTTCACTCACAGACAGAAAACCTCGGATCAAGGTACTAGCTTCCTGTCTTGTCGGGATTGAGTTTCTCTAGGATGAGACATCAACAACCCACTGGTGGCGGGAACGAGTGAGTGCTGCCGCGGTCCAGATTCTTGACCGACTAGCGATGGAAGCGCTCGGGCCACACGGGCGTTAGTTTGAGAATGGGCATAGTGTCTTGAGACGACGATACTGATGCGCAAGTGACACGATCCGATCCAATGTGGCCTACAGATCCTTGGAGCGAAAACTGTGCCAGCCAGATGTCCTCTGTAGTGGATTGAATCGAGAAGTGCAACTCGGATGTTTGCGATGTCTGGCGCCGCTGGAAAGGTAGTATGTTCACCAAGATCGGGATTCACTTCACTGGGTGTTTCCAGCTTGAGCTTGAGTGTGCAGCCCGCGGATGTGCACATGCGTCATAGGGTCGTGCTCAGTGTGGGCTATCATGAACTTCCGGCCCATCTCGGATGGAACGCAAAGGTAAGCATGCGGCGGAACGTCAGCCTGTGAAACGTACCATTGAGCACATTTAGTGGCCCCTCCCTTGGCCGATACGTGATCGGAGTGAGAATTCTGGTAATTCCTGCTGGCCGTCTTGGAGACCGGATGAACACTGACTAGTACTGACTACGGGAGCCGGGCCAAGGTTGCGGTTTCTCTGAGTCTATCTGAAATGTAGTCCTCGGACAGCGCATCATCAGATAGTGTCGTGGGATGACAGGTGGGACGGCGCATGTCTCGACACATGCTCTCGCAGTGCAGTGCCGCCTTGGTGAGAAGGAACGTGACGTACTGACCTGGTTCGAGTAGACGATCTCTCCGAGACCGGAGTCCAGCAGTGTGTCCGTATCGTGACGGTAGACAAGGGTGGAATGCACTGTTTAAAGCGATCTTGAGCCTCAGTGTAGACCATACATTGCAGAACGTCCCAGACAACCGCGATTGCAGTCGTCTGCATAATGATCGTCGCATGCACGCGCGACGAGAAACTTGTTTGGCCCTCTTTGGCTAGCCCTGGCACACTGGCACCGCAGCTGGTCAGTGCCATCGTTTGCGCAGAGTGCGCAGAGTAGCCCACGACAGTCTCTTCTCAACTTCGGTCACGAAACTCATGACAACTTCTAGCCTGCATCTCCGCCACAAGGTAATCAGCAAGATCCCAGGTATCCCGAATAGTTCGGACGAGGGGCCCAGGTGCTGTGGTCGTCCTGCCGGTGTGTGCCGTGGCAGAAGCGGGGCGGGGAGCCACAGCCCCGTACGCTGGAAAACGCAAAACGACAACCATTATGCAAATGATTGTACAAGCAGGGTACATCAAGGCTTACCTGCCGCCGCCGACTGTGGGAGACTGGTCAACTTGAACATCGCGAAGGTACACACACGACGACGGCTAAACAGCCGTAGACGGTTCGGACACCATGTCACGGTGTCCGTAGATACAATGCGCGAGCTCGTTCTGTGGAGCCGTACGACAAAGGAACGGTTCCCTCGGAGCGGTAGAATCAGATGATAGGCGCATCGCGCTCGTGTCCGGTAATAACAACGACCTTCGGGCGTAGTGAGAAAATATAATACCTCGTACGTTGTCTGCGCTCGATTGAGACACACCACGACGCAATGGAAGACAGCTCTCTCTTGTCCGTCGTTCAAGTCCATATCCCGTAGAATCGACGGCTTGGAAACCTGACGTAGACGATGAGCACCTCACTGGAAGCAGCTGTCCATTTGCGATGCACACCGCGAAAACGGTACTCGTAGTATTACGTGTCGGTGACCTCGGGCAGTAGGACACCGGCTATCATAGGACGCGAAGCCCTGCCGAGCATGGTACATGCCTATGAGGGAGCTGCTTCTGCAGAGTATGGCGGGAATGTTAACCGATGACGGAACAGCTGCCATCTGTCCTGTCTAGACGAATTACGCACTGCTGCCCGTCTAAGGTCATCCGCAGGTAAAATTTCCTGCTGAATGGCACCTATAAGCGCAGGCCAATCAGCGCCGCAGAAGATGACGGCCCCCTCACATACAACAGAATCTTGTCTCTCGAGATGAACGCACGACGGCGTGCAGCTGGTCATCATGCGTACATCTGCATTGAGTCGGAGTGGAGTGAATGTCACAGACGCACGAGGCGGGTGCAATGAGTCATTCAACTGGGCCAATACCCATTGTCAATGACGGTTCCTGGGCACGCACTTGGCTCAGAGGTCTTCGAAGTCCATGCCAGCGTCATCTGCATTGAACGCCGTAACCGTATAGGCGAGGCCGCCACCGAATTTGAACGACTTGAGCGCCTTCCCAAGGCCTTCCGCAGTTTCTACGATAGCCAATTGCCGCAAAGTAGCACGCGGTTGTGTCGACCGTGTTGTAGCTTGACATCCAGGCCACATCACCCTATGCAACAAGAGTTCCAGAGATTCCGGATGGTGTAGACCCAGTGGGCAAACTTCTAAGAGACACTGAATGCTTGAGCAACGAGCGGTGGAGGACGGAAGGCACCGGTCTGTACGTCGATCAGTGACCGACTCCCGCTAACTCCGCGGCCATGCTGCGTGAGAGCGCTCCGAGAGTACAACGAGGCCGGAGAAGACACGCATCGACAACGTTGAAGCAATTACGCGTCACAGGTGTCCCGAGGAAAGGTGTGTCGGCGGATTCAGCGCGGCGCGGAAGAACAAGGTCGGCGGACGCAGGCAGAACACCGGGGTTGGTACCTCTGAGCCTGAGCGCTCTGTGGCCCAAGCGTGCAAGCAGAGCCAAGTATATAGAGCAGGGGCGCGTATGCCGAGGACAAGGCAGGGATGGTAGCCAAGACGGAGCGCGGTGCTACACGGCAGGAGAAGACCTTCGAGTGGTCTATATACCGACTGCGCAGTTCGAGACCCGCTGCATGCTCGCGATAGGGAGTGAGCAGAGAAGACGAGGATTGCGCGTGTCGCTCACGACTCCTGGCTGCCAACCTTCCGGGATGTGAACTTTGGCATCACAAGCTGTAAGAGCGCGTTAACGGAGGGCAGAGTAGATCCAAGACAATGGCTCACAGGTACAGATAGGCTTCAAGCTTCAGATGGTACCGACACCTTGATGCGTACGCCATCCTGTCATATCTGGTCGAAGGACAATGTGGAAGGCGTAGACGCATGCGACGCGAATAGTGCCATTCTGGTAGGTCATTTCATAAAGTGCGGCAGGTTCTATCGCCGCACCGTCTTGTAGCAGGACCCTTCTCGGACCCCCGCACTACCCGCCGCCGAGAACGCTACACCGCTACTCATCTTCCGGATCGTCCACAACTTCACAGAAGCCCGAGAGTCAACCGTCTCGAGTACGTACAGTCCATTAAGCGGGATAATTGACCTACCGGTACCGGCGGCCATGTGCATCACGGAAAAGGCCACGTTGTACGGGTTGCCAGCAGAGCGGTACCGCCATATGTAGGACAACGTAACGAGCGTCAGCGAGGACCAATCCCGCGCGTCACCTCCCGTAAGGCGGATCGCTGCACGCGAAAGCCTTGTGCGAAGGAAGCGGCGCCTCGATGACTAAAAATTGCTGTTTATGGTAGTAAACCGCCCTATTTGGGCGGGCGGGAAGCGATGTCATTCGTCGGTGGCGAGCGCGCACGGCGCGCGCCACGGCCCTTCTGGCATACCACGCTGCAGCGCGCAGGCCTTGGGGCAGTCGCCATTGGCCAGGATGCCGAGGAGGCATGTCTGGCCCCTGAGGACACGCGACGGTGGTATGATCCCGTCGGCCTGAACGAGGCTGGCGGTAATAAAAATGTCAAAGAGCAATGATCGTGAAAGAAAGAGAACTTGCAGCTCGTCGGGCGAACACCAGGGGGCCGAATTACATGGGTTGGGAGGCGAGGAGAGTCGCGCTGGCCACTTGACGTCGATCAGATACGATGTATCCGACTTTCGACCAGAGACGGAGTCCGGACGACGTGTCCAGCGACCGCACGCACTGCATTGGGCGATGAGCGGAGCGTTCCACGAAATGTGCGACCGTGAGAGGTACTTATTGTTGAGCGGTGCACCATCACTGCTACTAGTGCACTGCGGACCCGCAGATGAAGGCTGGGTCTGCCGGCGTTATTGTGGGGGGTGTTTCCGCGGAACTTTCAAAGTTCTGTTACCAGATGCCGAGGAGGCGTCTTTGACTTGGTGCGCGATGCGAACTGTCAGCGTAGAACAATAGCACTGCTACGCAACCCAATTGTTCTGCCATTGCACAGTGGGGCTGTTGAGAAGACGAGGCGGCGATGTGACCTCCGAACTGCAAGCGAGGTTGCAACCAACAGCACGCGCCGCTGGTGCGACCTGTTTGAGGATGGCAGGGCTGGGTGGATGTCCGGATGAAAGCCCGGTATTTTCTCACCGTGCGGGCGCATCCTGTACGTACGGCGTCCGTCCGCCAGAATCGGACTGTTGTTCGGGCCAGGGTAGTTGGTGGCGGGCTGCCCGCGCGAGTGCGTGCGACAGCGAGGAGGATGCAGCGGCGGGCTTGCTGGTTGCGTACAAGAAGACGAGGCAAGCGAAGCAGATGGGCAGGCTGTGGGAGCGCCAGGAAGCTTAATTTTGCAATCCCCATTCTCGGCGGTACCGTGGCGGTGAGTCGGAAATGCTAATTATGACGCCGGCGAACGCCGGAGTGGACAGATCCTGAGAGGTGCGCGCCCGATGGGCGACCGTCACTTCACTTTGCACACAACTCCATATATAAAGCCCTGCACAGACATGTCTGGCCCGTCCGCTTCCCCCTCCTCGTGCCCGACGACGAGCGACTCTCCGGATCTCCTCCCGCGCTCTTCTCGTCCAAGGACCAACAATGGGCTTCTTCTCCTTCCTGTACGCGGCATCTGGACCCCAGGTGAGTGTCTTTTCCTTCGCTGCAAAACCGCATATTCGACGACCGCATATATGGAGACGTTTCCGAGACAAAGTAATGTCGCTGCGCCTCATTGATCACGCCAAAGGCACGACTTGGTGTTATGATCAAGCGTCGACGGACTAGGGGTTACGTTGCAATGTCTCTGATCTCGTTCCCGTCTCCCAATGCTTTTTACAGCCGAGTTGTGGAGAGATTTGCTGATTCATGTGGACAGACACTCCCCTCTCATGAACCACTAACTCTCACGACCCGCTACCCGGCGCGTCCAGCAATGGCGCGCAAGAATGTCCGAGTTCCAACCGAGATCGTCATGAACATCCTCGAGACCGCATATGAGGATGGCGAGCCTCGTTCGAACATCTGCCTGTATACGAATTGCGCGCTGGTATGCAAGGATTGGTCTGTCATCGCGCAAAAGCTCCTTTTTCGCAACGTCTGCCTGCGTTGCCAGACGGCATACATCGCTTTCCAGGACGCGGTCGACCGGTCGACGCCCCGGGGGCGCATGCTTGGTGATGCCGTCCAGGCGATGCAAGTGACCTTGGACCACAACCAGCCCTATCGCCTCTGCCACCGATCGTTCGCGCGTGCCGTCACGCTTTGCCCCAACCTCCTGCAGCTGAGCATCGCTTTGTACGGGAAGCCGGGTCCGGGCGAAGACCTCGTCGGCGAGCCCTCAGTCGACCGCCTGAAGCGCTCTGCGCCCTCGTTTGACGATTCGACCCTCGCGATCCTCCGCACGGGCCCGAGCATTCGGTCGCTGCAGTTCAGCAACTGGTCCGACAACAGCTCGTCGCTCGCACAGCTCCTCAACATCTGGCCTTCGCTCAAGTCCCTAGTCGTCAGTGGCACGCCGCCGCAGCTGTCGAGCACGTCGCCCGCGCCCTTTGCATGCGCGCTTGAGGAGCTCAGGATGAACTTCCAGCGCGCGCCGTCGGTCGACTTCATGAAGTGGCTCCTGCACAACTCTCGGGAGAGCTTGCGCGATCTCGAGCTCGAGCGGGACCCATCGCCAGAGCTGCTCGAGCACCTCCTCCGCGAGCACGCGCCGACGCTCGAGTCGCTCGCGCTCCCGACGTGCGGCGGGCATGAGGGCGTCGCGTCGATCCTCCAGTGCACTGCGCTGCGCGAGTTGCGCGTGGAGAGCGGGTGGACGCCTCAGGGCCTTTTCAGCTCCCTGCCGGAGGGCGTCCAGCATATCGCCTTCGGCGTAGACATGGACACGTCGCTGCAGCCCGTGCTGCGAACGATCAAGAAGAGCGACGCGCTCCGAGTGGTAACGGCCCACATGTGGCACGGCGGCGAGCGTCATCCGCACCTCAACGCGCTGAAGATTGCGTGCGCGCGCCAGGGCGTGGACCTCCGGTTCACTCAGGACGTGCGCGAGTTCCGTGCTATCAACGTATGTGTCTTCATTGGCTGTGCAATGGCGAGGGGCTGACGCTGATGTCCGATTTTCTAGCGCGGGGTGCTGGACTCGTGCGAGCGCGAACGCGAATATGACTCTTGAGGCCGAACCCCCTTCAATCATGCTCTTATGCCCACTATCACGAAGACGGAATCACCTCTTAAAAATCGACTAATGTCACCCTCATGTGCCATAGCCTCCTTTGTCTGTATATTCGTGTTGTCCGACCAACTTTCCAACGATTCACGACTACTCATGACCATCTCCATCTGTTCGTCTCACATCATATCGTTCCGTATACCATCAATCGCCTATCGTACACTTGCTACCACCATCAACCCCGGTCTCGGTCGTCTACTCTGTGGCTCGTCGCCTCGTTCGTCATGGACCCAGGTATCCCGGATACGGAGGTCTCTTAATCGTCTCGATTCTCGCCACTTTATGCCTTTCCTCCGATTTTCGTAGTATCAGATAATTTGCATCCGCGCCGATGGGGAGCGCGGGGAGTGTGGGCAGGGGACTGGAGTGGGGTGGGCGGTGCACTTGTACATGCTGGAATCTGTTTCACGACTTGTCGCTGTTGCGCTTATTGATCTCGAGCGAGCTCGAGGTATGATTCACGTTCATTCGTGTAGGTGCTGTAGCTATTCTGAATGGTATACTAGGCCTGCGTAGCGGTCTTGCCTGCGGCCTTGCTGTCTAATGTGTATCTGGTTATCAGTGCGCGCGCGTGCGTTGTCATTATTGTTCTCGCTGATTACAGTATGTACACGACTTCAAGCTGGCGTTAAGGCCTCTTTCGAGCACGAGCGCCACTGGCGCCGGCACTGTTGTAGTCGAAACGCTGGTCTGACAGCGTGAGGACGACGTGAGGCTAGTACGACTTGCCGTAACGTTCATAGTATGCTCACATTGCTAGTCGCCGCACATTTCCGCACACCTGCTTTTGACCTGCAGGCTACCACCGACCTTGGGCTCGACATCGACGCGTCAGACTCACCTACGGCCGGACATGGCAGGATGTCGAGTTACGGAGAATAGGGACGTTCTCCGTGAAATATTCCAGCACTTGGATCCATTCGTGGACCCCTTTGGCGACGAGCTGCCAAAGGGCTGGCCGGTGACAAGATACCAGCTCGAGCGTCGACGAACTCTGTGTCGAGCAGCCCGCGCATCGCGAGCTATATCGGAGTGTGCTCTCGATGTGCTCTGGAAACACTTGTCTACTCTTACGGACCTATTCAAAGTGATTCCGTCTCTGCAACAGCGCAGGGCGGTCCACATGGACATCCGGGACGTAATGGATGGTGTGGAACGAACTGAATGGGTGTGTTTTCATCTTACGAGAAAATGTACTCTTACAAGAATCTGCGACAGAATGTCTCCGGTTCAATCACTACCGACGACTGGCGACGATTCAACGGTTATGCCAGACGTGTGCGTGCGCTGGACGTATCCTGGAGGCCAGTTCAGGTCGGGTCCAAGGTCATCGAATGGGTGTCTACCTTCAGCAATGGCAGGCCACTGTTGCCCTCATTGCTCGAGTTGACAATCACGCCCGGGCAGCCGTTGGAAAGCGGGGTAATCAGCCTCATCTCGCCTACCATCTTGAGTCTGGCTATTCGTTCAATGTCATATTACTCATGGTTCAAGATGCCCGACTATCCTGCACACCGTCATGCACTGGAGCAGGTCATTCAGCATGTCTCTTCGGCGTGCCCAAACGTGGAAGAGGTCGATCTAGGCGACTGCCACGATACGGAGACCCTGTTGCTCTTGAGCAAGTGCAGGCATCTACGACAAATCCGCCTCTCCCGTCCTACGTTCGGTCTGGACACACGGTTGCTACGTGAGTGGTCACGCATCCCACATCTCACCGAGCTTTCCTTGGACCTTCCCCGCGACGATCCTGTCACGGAGGCGCTGGCGTTCCCGGCCCTTCAGAAGATCAGAGTGTCGTGCAGCATGCAGAAGCCGACGATTTCTTTCTTCCAGCATTGTTCGACTCCTGCCTTGTCCTACCTCTCACTCACGGTGTACGATCGCGCCGAAGCAGACCCTTATGATTTACTTGAGTGCCTACGCGTCGTCTCTCTGACGGTCGCGGACAGCAGTTCATTCCGACATTTCATCCTCGATCGCAAAAGCGTGGAGAAGAGGGGGAGGATTTCAACCTCGCCGCGGGCCCTCATTGACATCGTACGGCCGTTATGCCAGCTTGGACAGCTGGAGACAGTCCATCTATCCCCGCCTGCGTGCTGGAATCTCTTCGGCTCAGACGCGGAGGTCGAGGAGATGGTGTCGAACTGGCCGAACCTGTTGTCGCTTCGAATCGACCTTGGTTCATCCGTGCTCTTCCCCCCCGATGATATTATGTTTCAGATGGCGGCGCAGTACTTCGCACCCATGATGAGCAGGCTCCGCGCCGGGAGCCTCGTTGCGATCGCCAAAGCCTGCCCCAGGCTGCAGGACCTCACCTTACTATGCGATCTTCGAGATTTGTCCCTCGCCGCTCTCGATGACTCCCCCTCGCACCACCCACTGCGGGAGATCAGACTACTCAGCATTCAAGCGATCATTTACTCCCCGGAGGAGGCCCAACTCAATGCAGAGTTCATCGATCGCTTGTTTCCCAACCTGATCCTCGACGAACTATTCCTTGCGCGCAGCTGGATGTGGGGTGGCACGCTCTCAAAGGACGTTCTCAAACGTATGCGAAATCTGCAACAGGAAAGAACAGGAGAGAAGGCTGTATCGAGTGCGACGGGGGTGAGTTAGCAATGCTACCAAGGCTAAATTGACGGATAGAGTACTCACGGGAATATGGCACTGTAGGTGCTCCTCCATCCTTGGGGACCAAGCGCACAAAACGTCCCGAGTCCTGCGCCTACGGTGGTTGGCTAGTGAACTATGCAGTTTTAATCCTTCAACTGCTTATGGGCCTGGTAAGTCGCATCAGGTCTTTCGTAGACCACAGTATCTTACCCTACTTACATGGCAGTGGGTCTGGCGTAATATTTGAAGCCCCCCTCATCGTCGGAAAAGTATCAGGCATTGCTCGGAATATATAAAGACTATATGTATGAGTATATCAGTTGTACACGCGAACTCCTCTGATGTAGTAGCGAAAGCCGCTGCGGCGATGTAAGATACACCTCATTATGACATCTCTACTCTAGTCAGCGAATGTATTATTACATAGTACAAGGGTGAGTATCCGAGACGGTATGCGGCGAGTGTCCCTCACGGTCAAATCCAACCAACCAAACATTCAAAAGCCCTCCTTGCCCATATCCCACTCCCTCACGGACCCCTTCTTCTTATACTTGATATCCATGACGCTGCTCCCGCCCTCCGACCACGAAGCAACGGTGTCAGCACCCTTCTTCTTCTCCTTGTCTTTCCCGACGCCCCACCGCTCGAGTATCTTCTTCTCCGCCTTGTACTCCCGGCGCTGGCGGATGACCTCCAGCATGGCATCCCAGCCGGCGAAGTCGGCGTCGTCTATAAGGCCGGTCTTGGGCACCGTCGGTAGGGCTAGGGGTGCAACGTCGAGGCGAGGGTCATATGACGACTCGAAGTATTTGTCCATCTTCGACGGGAGAGGGGGTAGAGGTGGGGGTGAGTTGAGTGGAGACGGTGGACTGGGGGACGATCGCGCTGGGCTCATTGACGAGCGCATGGTACGCGACGAGGTTGAGCCATTCCTTGTGTCGTCTGCGTCGGGTGTACGTGTACGAGATTTAGTCCGACGATCGCCGTCTCGGGTCGCGGAAGTCTTGCGTGAGGTGGGACTCCTGCGAGTCTGCGCGATGTCGGCGTCGTCCGTCGCTTTTGCTTTGCCCTTCCGCTTCAGCTCGAGACGAAGCTTCTCTTCTCGAGTGAGGGTATCTTCAGCTTCCTCTGCATCGTCATGTCGTGGCTGCGAAGGGTGGCTGGGACCGTCGTTAGATGGAGAGTGTCGCCTTGAACGCGACGGCCGGTCGACTTCAGCAGATATGAGACGTGTCCTCTCAGAAGGGCTCGAGCGACGACTTCGGTGAGATGTAGTCTCGTCTCTATGCCGCCTCCTGCGCCGTGCATGGTCTCTGTCTTCGGATTCATCTCCCGGGTGGGCACTAGACCTGCGTTCTCTGTGCCGTCTCCTCCGCCGGCGTCGCTCCTCCTCATCGTCTTCTTCCTGGTCATACCGATCCCGACTGGGCGACCGCCTCGACCTCCGCTCGTCGTCCCTCCGACTGCGCCCCTCTCCGGACCTCGACCGGTGGCGGTGACGACGCTCCCCTTCGTGTCTGTCCGACCTGCGTTCCCGCTTGCGCTCTCGCTCAGGCTCGTCGCCGTCATACGAGTCGCTCCCCTCCCAGCTCCGCTCTCGCCGCTTGCGGTCCCTCGACCCGCCACGATCCCAGTTGCTCGCCCACTCTGTCCGGCCACTTTGCCCCATGAGCCGCCGCATGCGCTCCGCAGCGACCGCTTCCTCTGCGCGGGCCCTCCGCTCCCGCCTCTCCTGCTCCTCGCGCTCTAGCCTAATCTCCTGTGCCGCTTGAGCTTGTGCGCGCAGTATGGTCTTGTTGTGGTCGTCAGTGTTCTTGATAATGGACGAGAGGAAGCGCTTGTTAGCCCTGGGCGCATTACTCTCGTTGCTGTTGAATGTCTCAGTCCATGACTGACAGAACCAACTGGTGGACAACGCACAAGTTACTTTGGAGGTACGCGCGAATACCATCCTTGCCATACTTCTCCGCCTTCTGCTTGGCCTCCTTCAATATTAGCTCCGCAACGTGGCGGTCGAGGTCTTCGTCGGTCACCGTTGGCGACATCGCGCTGCCCATCTGGGCCCGTACCAGGTTGGAGACGACCGAGGAGAGGGTGGACTTGGACATGACGGTGTACTCGGCGGCTCGAGTGAGCTCAGCCACAGCATCCCTTGGTGCCACAATGGGAACCTCTGTGGGTACATGCTTGGCTTTGGTGGCGTATTCCTAAACGCTGAGCTGAGCGCTGCAGTTCTCGTACAAACTTAGCACAAACCATGCCCGGCCGTCGCTCGTTGCAATTGTCATATCTGTCGTCTTTGTTCTCATTTCAGTCGTATCACCGTTCACAAAGTTTGGCATCGATTGAGAAAGCTGGGTCTTTGAGAAGCGTCACCCAGGCTTGCCTCAACCGGATCCCTGTTGATCAGTGAGTGCAAGGACGTCTATGACCTGCGCCTGCAGTGCGATCTTATTTGCGTGGTGTTAGTCTTGCATAGATTCTGTATTGACCGCCTGATCAGAGCTTGTCATCGCCAGGGAGAACCGACTTGCGAAAACGATGTCGCCCCGAACGACGTCATATCCGCTCCATCACATTCGACCTTTAGTACTTCAGTACTTCAGTTTCGACGGCCTAAGTGACATGCCCTCAACAACATATCCCTTTCCACCATGTCGTCTGAACCAGCATTCCGCGTCGCCCTACGCGGCGAGGTCATCCTCACAAGCCCGCGGTGGAACAAAGGCAGCGCGTTCACGACCGCGGAGCGCAAGGCCTTCGGTCTTACAGGCCGCCTGCCGCACCGCGTCAACACGCTCGACGAGCAGTGCCAGCGGGCCTACGACCAGCTCCAGTCGCGCGAGACGCCGCTGCGGAAGAACACGTTCCTGCAGAGCTTGAGAGACCAGAACTGGGTGCTGTACTACGCGTTGGTCTCGAGGCATTTGCAGGAGCTCACGCCGATCATATACACGCCTACCGAGGTGCGTTCGACGCGTCATTCCAGCTGATTCCATATTACTAGACCCCTTCCCTAAAACTCGTGCACAGGCAGAGGTCGTCAGGCCCTTGTCTGACCTTCTCGTCGAGCGATCCGCATCTTCTGCCGGCTGACTTTGACCACAAACCTCGGTCTCGCGCTCGGCATTCGTCGATATGGTCACACCCTGAAGGGAACGCCCCAGAGCCAAGGTTGACATGCTCCGCCTGTGCACACATTAAGCTCGGGGTCTAATGATATGGAATTAACTGTTATTATCTGGGGAATGTATCTGAACAGACTGTGCCTGCACATATATATAGGCGGAGGCAATCTCTAAGTATTCCCACCTGTTCCGACGGAGCGAAGGGCTCTACCTAACCCTTCCTCACCAAGACTCGATGGAGGAAGACTTTCTCGAGCAGGCGCGAGGGCGAGATGTCGACCTAGTCGTTTGCTCCGACGCAGAGATGATCCTTGGGATTGGTGACCAGGGTGTGGGGGTAAGTTCGGTCATCAGTCACGACGCAACCAACTCAGCGATACTTTTAGGGTATCGGTGTACGCACCGCTTGCATTGTATTGATTAGTTGATACATTCTCATGTCCAGGCTAGATATCTACCGCGAAAGCATCGATCTACACGTAGGCGTGAACCTTTCATAGCATATACCCTGCCCTAATGCCCATCTAGTCTCTTAGCAGGCGTGGACCCGTCGCGAACGCTTTCGGTGACGCTCGACGTCGGAACCGACAATGAGAAGCTGCTAAAGGACCCTCTATACGTTGTACGTGCCCTCATGCTTCATCGTCGAATGTGGCTCACAGCTTGTCAGGGCTGGCCTCACAAGCGAGTCCGGGGAGAAGAGTACAATCGGTTTGTTGACAAGTGAGTACCGGCAATATCTGCTGGCTGAACTAGATCATGAGACCGGATATAGATTCGTACAGCTGGTGCGGAAGCACTATCCCCATAGCCTCCTCCATTTCGAGGATTTCGGCGTTCACAACGCAAAGCGATTGCTGGATGCGTACGCGAGGAAACATGCCGTCTTCAACGACGATGTGTACGTCGCTTGTAGTCTATTGTCATATTCAAGCTCTCAACCATTCGACCAACAGACAAGGCACTGGAGCAGTAACGCTTGCAACGATCTTGGCCGCTGTCGGAGTGACGAAGTCCAAACTGTCAGACCAGCGCATCGTCATCTTCGGCGCGGGCACCGCAGGGCTCGGCATCGCGCGCCAGCTGCGCGACGCCATGGTCACGCTCGACGGTCTGTCGTCCTCTGACGCGAACAAGCAGTTCTGGCTGCTCGACCGCTTCGGGCTCGTCAAAGCCTCCCTCGGATCAGACAAGATCCGGGAGGGCCTCTCAGACTTCGTCCGCGCGGACGAAGAGTGGGAGGGCGCCGAGGCGAATGAAAACGGAGATATTGGGCTGCTGGAGGTCGTGCGGCGCGCGAAGCCGACGGTGCTGATTGGGTGCTCTACAGTGGGCGGCGCGTTCGACAAGGAGGTAGTAAAGGAGATGGCGAGGGGCACGGAGCGCCCGATCATCCTCCCGCTGTCGAACCCGACGAGCAAACATGAGTGCAAACCCGAAGATGCGAAGCGGTGGTCGGACGGGAACGCGCTGCTCGCGGCGGGCAGCCCGTTCCCGCCGTGCGAGCTGCCGGGCGGGAAGAAGTACGTGGTGGCGGAGTGCAACAGTGAGTGGGATTGTTCCGTTGGCTGTGCGGGAACAGAAGTGATAACGCCTCGTCCGGAATTGCGAAGATGCTCTGATCTATCCGGGCTTGGGGTTCGGCGCGATCTTGTCGAAGGCGCGGTCGCTGACGGACAGCATGATCGTCGCGGGGGCACAGCGACTCGCGTCCCTCGCGCCCGCGCTGGAAGACCCCGACGACGCGCTCCTACCTGCGTTTGGGGACTCTCCCGAGGTCAACTACGAGGTCACTTGCGCGGTGGTGGAGCGTGCGATCGAGGAGGGCGTTGCGAATGTGGGGTGGAGGAAGGAGGAGGTGAGGGAGAAGGTGCGGGAGAGGCAGTGGAAGCCAGTGTATGGGGTGTATGAGTATGATCCGAACGGAGAACAGTGAAAGCACACCGTCTGCCAGTCGATGATGTCGATGCGCTCATCACTGTAGCTAAATGACTGCTGTTGCATAGCTTGTGTGATAAACCTCACTGCTGCGTTGGACGGCGGACATGAGGACATTCATAGATCCCGTGATCGCGACTGGCTACCCAGAATCCAGATCGGGTTCGCCGCTCGGTCTTCGATCGTCGTCGTCGCTACAACCGTCGTCGAACAACTGCAACCTCCTTCTGACTGCGACATCTGAAATAGACTGTCTTTCACATCCACTCTGTTGCTTCCTCATGCGCCCCGGCTGGTTACAGTTGGTGAAGTGAATTCGAGCCCACCGACTCGGAGGTACTAACGCTGGGAAGTCAGCGAGGGCCCCTTTTGGTGTTGTTGGCAAGTTGCAATTGCATGCAGAACATACTCTGGCATGATATGCATGTTCGTCTGTTCGATTGCATCGCAGCTCCTTGCGGCGGAGTCCGCTGCAAGGAGCTGCAATGTAATCGAACACATCACACAATCTGGGAGAGGTGGTGCGCAGTAGGTCCGGTAACGCTGACGACCGATTGATCTCGAGCCTCCTCTGCCTGGAGCCGATCTAATTATAGGATCGATATGATCGTGAGTGGCTGCGGGAAGTGGGGCCAGGGACGAAGAGACCGTTCATTGTGTTCGAACACAACGAGTGCAGCTGTGGTGCGTGTGCTCGGTCCTACTCTCTTCGCAATGCTGAGCAGGCTGGTGTTTCCTGTGCAGATCAAGTGATATATCCGCACGCCTTCTGCCCGCGAGGGAGCGTGATGCTACTGCATGTGGCCGTCGCACGATGACCAGGCCGCCCGCCCGCAGCACAATGCGATAATGCCGGCAGCTGCATTCGGGCACAATCAGGTCCTTTCGGCGGCTACTCGAGCCAATACCATGCGTCGCACGGCACAATGCCCCGTCCTCACTATATAAAAGCCCACGCACGACCATGTTCGCAACTTCCCCCCTGTTCCCCTTTCCCGCCAGTTGACCTGCTGCCCCTCTTGGTTTCTTCATTGCCAGCATGGCGCTTCGCTCTTTTCTGCTCCTGACCCTCGTCCTCGCGCTGGCCGTCGCCGCGAGCCCCGTCCGCGTCCGCAACAACCGCATCACGCTCCCATGGCCAGGCGCACTGGCCAATTGGGCATCCGTAACGTTCTCAAGGCCGACCGGACTCGTGCCGCGCTCCTCCAGGGAGGGCGCAAGGCTCTTCGCAACGCGAAGAAGCACCATAAAGGTAACGGCAATGCTGCCGGCGCGGGCGCGGCGAATGCCACAGCGACTGCGAATGCCACAGCGACTGCGGCGGCAGCGGCAGCTTCTGGCAGCCAGGCCAGCGACGTTAACGTCGCTGCGACAAACCAGGGAGAGGACTATGTCGTCAGCGTAGGTACCGACACCTTCGATCGGGTGATACATACTCAATCTTGCCCCATAGGTCGGTGTTGGTAACCCTCCGACAACATGTGAGCAAACATTAAATCTGTCAATCTCATCTCTGACAAGATGATCAGACACTCTTTTGGTCGACACCGGTTCCTCCAACACCTGGGTCGGTGCCAGCCAAGCCTATGTGCAAACCTCAACGTCCAAGTCAACGGGCCAACAAGTCGTACGTCAATCTTATACTATATCCAGATGTTCAGCCACTGACATATACACCGCCCGCAGGAAGTTAGCTATGGATCCGGTGCATTCGAGGGCGAAGAGTTCACGGACAATGTCCAGCTCGGCGACCTCGCGATCACCGGGCAGTCCATCGGCGTGGCCCAGCAGGCTGAAGGGTTTGAGGGCATCGACGGTATCATGGGGTATGTTACCATTCACCAGGCATTCGATAGTCGCTAACATTCGGGCGTGTCCAGGATCGGACCTACCGACTTGACCGTCGGCACAGTCGGCGGCCAGAACTCACAGACCCAAGTCCCTACAGGTGATGCCGTTCCTACTGGACACGACTAGGGCGACCGCTGACCCTTTCTCAATACGACAGTGACCGACAACCTCTTCTCGCAGGGTGTCATCGGCCAGAACCTCGTCTCCGTCTTCTTCGCCCCGCCTGCCTCAGCTAACGACACCAACGGCGAGCTCACCTTCGGCAGCGTCGACAGCTCCAAGACCGTCGGCGATGTCGCCTTCGTGTGAGTGCGCTCTCTGACGGATACGGTTTCATGTGTGTGAATTCTGATGGGCTTTGCCAGTCCGCTGACGACGACCTCACCGGCGAGCGAGTTCTGGGGCATCGACCAGTCAATTACGTATGGCTCGTCGAACACCACCATCCTCGACACGACTGCGGGCATCGTCGACACTGGTACCACCTTGATCCTGATGGCGACTGGTGAGCGGAGCTACTGGGGTACCGAGGTCATCGGCTTACGGCGGCGACAGATGCGTTCCAGGCTTACCAGCAGGCCACCGGCGCGACTCAGGACCAGACCACGGGCCTGTTGACGCTCTCCAACGCGGCCTTCAACAGCCTCCAGAGCATGTTCTTCAACATTGGCGGCGTGCGTGGTCGCTTCTTTCCTCGTTTCGTCGGCTCGAGCTGACTTTTCCGTTCATGCCCTGCAGCAATCCTACGAGCTTACAGCTAACGCTCAGATCTGGCCTGTGAGTCCCCATGTCTAGCACAGTCATGAATGTAGGCGGAAACCTGACTGCGCTCCGCCCCCCCACAGCGCTCGCTCAATTCAGTGATCGGCGGCAACGCCGACCAGATCTACATGGTTGTGAGCGACATCGGCACGCAGTCCGGCGCGGGCCTCGACTTCATCAACGGCTTCAGCTTCCTCGAGCGGTACCTCTCCGTGTACGACACTGCGAACAACCAGGTCGGCTTCGCCGCGACGCAGTTCACGAACGCGACGTCAAACTGAGCTGTGCGGTGATGTTGGTTGGGACGAACGGTGTTGGACGGGCTTTGGGTCATGATGCGAACCCTGGGGGTTCTTCTCACTTTTCTTACGGCGCATGCATGATGGGTCGCTCTCTCACTCTCTCTCTATGTGTGCTGTCCTCTTTTGTGCTTAGATCACGCCTTGTGCTAGTCGCTCGATGCTGAAATCAAGTTGGGTTATGGGGTTAACAGGGCTACCGCGACGTTCTCTCAGAGTGATCTTTGAGCCCGCCGATGACACTCATAGGCTTACACGGTACTGCGCACACACATATGTACTGACGCCTACCGGTATCTCGGCCGGGTCAGCGTACTCGGTCAGACCGTCTCAGACGAGTATGCACCCGGAATGAACGAGACAGTACTCTAGTGCAACTCTAGTGTCGTTATGCTCATGGTAAGTACATAGACCAATTCTTACATGGCTATCTGTGCTGACCCGTGTCCACCGTCTCCGGGAAGCCGGGACACATGAGGTTCCCAGAACGGACTAGCCGGAGACTGCGGGCCAGGCAGATGCTGTGACGTCACGCGCTTGCAGCCTTCGCACTCCAGCCCATGCATCATCGCGCGGCGCGCCCAAAAGGCGGCGGGCATCCACCCGTTGGTTTTCAGACCGCCCCCGTCAGCCGCAGCACACCTCTTCCCGCCTGTGTCTGCCCCTTCCTCCTCACCTACGCCCTTCTGCGACGACCGTCACGACCTGCTCATCTACACGCCTCACGATCTACTGCTGCTAAGACTTGCATCTATTGAGACACCATGGTCAACTTTGACAACCACGTGCGGAGGGGACACCCGAGTGCGTTTTGCTGGTCGTCATACAGGACCGACCGTACTAACTTCGAACATCGTAGTCGTGTTTGGCCTGATTGTTTTCTTCGGGATCATCGAGGTGCGTGCTTGCTTCAGTACAGCCGTCTAGCAGTCAGGCTGACGCCACACAGGTCGCAATCTCAGGATGGCTCACGGGCATGTACAACTCGCACCACAATTACTTGAGCCACTCCGTGCGCGACCGCACGCGGTACATCCTCTTCACGTCCTGCTGGACCGTGTTCTTCTCCCTGTTCTACCTCGCGCTCTTCTGGCACTCCGCGTCCACGGGCTCGGTTGCCACGAGTGTAATGAGCCATGGAGTATTGTACGTGCCGCGCGGGCTATAGTATCGTCTCGACAGAGAAGGCTGACTGTCGTGGCTAGCCTGTTCATCACCTGGGTGCTTTGGGTCGCTGCGGCCGCTAGCATCACATCCGCCCTCAATGGCGGGCTGGACTGCAAGTACGTCGTTCGTTGTCGCTTGTGTCATGCCACACTGACAATCATTTCATGGAAGCATCCATTACACATACTGCGGTCAGCTGAACGCCTTGGAAGCCTTTGCGTGGATCGAATGGTACGTACAGGTCACCCCTTTTGATGCGCGTGGTCCATCATACTGAATCACGTACAGGATCATGATCACCTTCGCGCTGGTTGTTGTCTTCTTCCGAGGCTTCACAGCTTCACGCCGCGGAGATGGCCTCAGAGGTCAACTCATTGCCTAGCTTCACGATCTCGAATGTCAGCCCCAACGATTTTTCTTTTCGTTATTTCGTCTCTATTCCGTCACGTATTTGGAATATACCTTGTTAGTATAACTTTTGATGGTACTGTATTATCCTGGATGTTCGGCCTAGGACGGTACACGATGTAATCTTCGTAACGATAATGACACAAGTTGTAGCTGTCTTCCGAGTCGCTGTCCGAGCCGTTTGTTGAGCTTTGTTCTCAGTCCTGGTGGCTAAGCCTGCGTAACATCGCAACGTCTGCGAAGCGCAGCTCAGCAGTAGACGTCATAGAAGGGAAAATTGTGGGCTAGCTTCCTACAGCAGCTCCAAGTGCTCAGTGAGTTCTAAGGTCCAAGTAGTTGGCGGAGGCATAATGGGGGACGCCACCACCGCGTCGGCGTCGCGGTGTGACAAGAAACGCGTGACCTGTACGCGTCAGGACGCGTGCATTGTGACGTTGATCGACCTTGATCTTCACCTCCGTCCCCGTTCCCCTCACTCCCTCCTCCCAGCCCCGATGGCGACCACACTTGAGCAACTCACACAATGCCTCACACATACACTCTCCCCGGATACCACCACGCGCATCAAGGCCGAGCTCACCCTCGGCGACATGCTCGCTGCCCCAGGCGCGTCTTACCATTCTTTGTGTTACTCGCGCCCATCTGACGCGTCCTTATACTATGACTTGAATTTCCACGGTTTATCGACGCGCGTGCAGAGGCGGGCTTGGTGCTTGCACAGCTCGTGGCGAGCCAGGGCGCGGACGTAGGGCTTAGACAGATGAGTATCCTCCTTGCAACTGAGTTTCATGGACCTGGCTTGATGGCGATCGTTCGTGCTAGCACTCGGCCTCAGTCGTTCTGCGTAAGTTTGTGAATGAAAGATGGTCTCCCGCGCTACCGAAATGGAGAAGCATGGGTGCGGTACCGGTCGAGGTAAGTTACATTGCCCTCCGTTTCAGACGCCACTTCCGTGCATGCCACCCCAGCGTGTATATGTCGTGCCCAATCGTTTCTGACGAAACCGCACCCCGCGCAGCTCAAAGGCCAGATTCGCCAAGTCGTCTTCCAGACCCTCTCCGACCTTCAAAATAAAATCCGCTCCCTCAGTGTAGACCGCCACCTTGACCTCCGGCTTACGCATCACACTGAACCGTATTCTTCATCAGGCGCAAATCATCACGACCATCGCAAACGCTGACTGGCCGGATGAGTGGCCAGACCTACTCGACGCGCTGATCGCACTTCTGTCCTCGAATTCACCGTCGTCCGTGCACGGCGCGATGCAGGTGTTGGCTGAGTTCATCAAGGCGGACTTGACGGAAGACCAGATCCTGCCCGTCCTCAGACAGTTGCTCCCGATTCTGCTGAACATCCTCGGCGCGCCTGAGGTACGCGCCGCCCACCTCGCGTTCTGGCTTAAGAGTGCTGATCGCGTCTGCAGCAACATAGCGTGCTCACGCGCGCACGCGCTGTCGGGGTCTTCAGGACGTGTGTGGAGACGCTGTTCATGGTGAAGCAGGAGCACCCGCAGGCGGTCAAGGAGGCCGCTCAGTCCATCCTTCCCGCATGGCTGGACGCATTCAAATTCCTACTGAACATTGACCCGAGGCGCGACGTTGACGGCACACCGAACTGGGACGGTGTCGCACTGCGCATTCAGATCTTCAAGGTACGTTTGGTTCGGCGCTGTTGCTTAATGCCGTGTTCACATCCGATATGTAGGCTCTTGACACGATTCAAGTGCCTTTCCACCGTCTCCTCACACCGGCCCTTCCCGACTTCCTCTCCGCAGCGCTCGCCCACCTGACCACGCTCTATCCTGCCTATCTGCATCACTACATCCTCGCTGAAGCTGCCGTTCCTCCGCCCTCAGAGGCGACCGATGGCGAGAGCATTGAGCTGACGCAGCTGTTCTGCGCGATCTCTGACTTTGTGGCGGGCGCGGCGCGGCATGCGCGCGGAAGGGAGTTTTGGACGGAGGATAATATGGGGAAGACGGTGTTGGCGCTCACACAGTGGGTGCAAATCACGAATGATGATGTACGTCTGAGCTTGAACGTACATTCTCTCAAAGCTGAAGCTGACACGCTGAGTGGATGTTCGACAGGAAGAGGAGTGGATCAACAACGCGAATGCGTTTGTTGCTCAAGAGGCGGAGGAGGCAATGTCTTTCAGCGCCCGGATAGCTGGTATTGACTTGCTTGGCGTGCGTTCCCTCTCTAATATTATTTCTTTGCCTCCGTTGTATTCACATGGGTCACCGTCAGGCTATCATCGATGGATTCCAGTCACCAGCAATGAACACCATGCAATCAGTCATTCACCAGATCACAGCTCAGTCGGACGCGGAGAAGGCCTCTGGAAACCCGAACTGGTAGGTTACCTGGCTCCATCTTGTTGGGTACAGGCTCAGTTTCGATATAGGTGGCGTCCTCTGGAAGCCATGCTCGCGGCGGTCGGCGGTCAATCCGAGTCGGTCCTCGATTGGATCGAGGACGAGGCTACCTCTGGCAGACAGGCCCAAATCCAGATCGTCCCTCTTCTCCAGAATGTCATACCGAACTTGCTCAGCTTGTCAGGTACTCATCATGACGGTTCTCATATGAATGGCAGCGTCTCAATATGGTGTAGATTGCCCCTTCTTACAGGGTCGGGCCTTCGTATTCGCTAGTCAGTACACGAAAGTGCTACCTGTGGAGATGGCAGGCCAGTACTTGCAGGCGACCGTACAAGTGCTCGAGGCCAGTGAGGCCAACATACCCATCAAGATCTCTGCGGTCAAGGCCGTCCTAAAGTTAGTCCAATGATCCTCTTCCCTTGACATCTGCTTGACAGGATGGACTGCAGCTTCTGCAAGGACATCAACGACGACTTGCTGGAACCCGTGGCACCGCGGATAGCGAAGGCCGTCGGCCCATTCCTGACTGTGACCTCGGAGGATACATTGTCTCTTGTGTTGGAAGCGCTCTTGACGATTGTCGAGATCAAGAAGTGTGCATGGATCACGCCGGACCTCGCCAGTTCGCTCGTGACGGCTGTCTTGGATATCTGGATGAAGAACAACAAGGGTACCTTCTAGCAGCTACGTGGGGTCGTGCATAGCTAACGCCTATCCCACAGACCCGATCTTCATCTCCCTCCTGACCGATATCCTCGCCTCATTGGCTGGGTCGAAGGCCCCGGGCGTGTACGAAACAGTGGTCAAGCAAGCCCTGCCCATTCTCACCAACGCCATCATGGCGTCTACCGAGAGGGAGCCATGGATCACTGGGGCTGCCATTGATCTTGCAAGCAGTCTGGCCCAGGGCGCGCCTGAGTCCGGGTTGGGAGATGGCTTCGTGAGCATACTCGCACCCAGCCTGTTCCTTGCCCTGCGGTCGGTCGAGGACAGGGACGTCGTCCAGGTAGACTCCAACCTACTCTGACTAGACACTTTGCTGATGAGCCGACTGCTAGAACGGCATCGCCTGTTTGACCACTATCATCCGGAAAGACTGCACGCAGCTGCAGACTTGGTCCGACCCCACGACGGGTCGATTAGGGCTGGACTGCGTACTGGAGGTGATTGCGAAGCAGCTGAAGAGCCAGGACGAATCGGGCGGGCTTGTGGTGGGCGACCTGATCATCCATCTGCTGCGCCGAGCAGGCGAGAACGTCCTCCCCGTACTTCCTGAATTGCTCAATGCCATGATCGGTGGGATGACCACCGCGAAGACCGCCACGTTCATTCAGGCATGTTCCACGCCCAGACCTGGATTGTATACCTATGGACGCTTACCCCTTGCAACAGAGCCTTGTCATCCCGTTCGCGTTCCTGATCCACAATCAACGAGACACTGTGCTGGATCTTCTCGAGCCCACAAACGTCGATGGGCGGTCAGGCCTCGACATCCTCCTGCAAACCTGGTGCGAGAACGAGGAGACCTTCCAAGGCTTTTGGGCGCAGCGCATCAGCTCCCTCGCCTTGTGCTCGCTATTTGCTTCTGGCCGGCCAAGCCTCCAAAGCGTCGTCGTGAAGGGGGACCTGATAATCAAGCCGGAGACAAGAAATGGTGTGTACTGCGTAATGCTTGTCGCGTTGTAATGACGGCGAGAGAAAGTGGGTGCTGTTGCTGACGATACAGGCGTAGTCATCATGACTAGGTCGAAGACAAAAGCTGGTGCGTGCTTTGTGTGTTCGATGAGTGTAGGCGGAGCCGCGGGCTGACCCGGGTGAATGATACCCAGTGCCCACAGAGTTCACTCGCATACCCTTCCCTGTGAAGGCACTGAAAATCCTGCTGCGCGAGCTGCAGTCCGGCGGAGAGGCAGCTTCACGGAGAATGAATGCGTCGGAAGTCGACTCAGACGACGGGGTGCGTGTCACTGTCGGATATCCTCGTCTTTCTTGATTAGCTAACGGCTTCCACGAATGTTCCAGGAGGACGATTGGCAAGAGGACGACGATGAGGTCGCGCCCTCTCGCTCATCCTCGCGCGCAAACGAGATGGCCTTCCTGTCCGACCTGCTCTCTGCGCCCGGGGGTTTGCCTTTCGACAATGACGACCTACTGGAGGCGGCTGACGACGAGGACTTGAAGAGTGACCCCGTGTCGCAAATGGATATGAAGGTACGTCAAACGGACCCAGTGCTCTGACATACGGAACAAACGGCGTTACTGACCATGTGGTGACAGGCTCATCTTCTGTCATTCTTCAAGGACTGCGCGGCGCAGAACACGAACAACTTCTCTGCCGCGGTCGACCAGCTATCAGCGGATGAAATCCTCGTCGTGCGGCAGGTTGTGAGCTCCCAGTAAACGTTGTGTGTGCGCAGGTGTAGGAGGTAAAAGTATACTTGCAGTGCTACTATATGTGTTGTGTGTTTTCGCAGTAGTTTGGTGTATCAAGTCCCGCAACGGATTGTACTATATATAACACGACCACATCCAGAATGGTACAGTTGGAATATCCTTTGGCACATCTAGTTCCAATCCATCGACTCGATCCAGACAGCATCTCTAGCAAGATCTCTTCTTGTTTTCATGCTTTCAGCCCATTCAGGTCGTACTCGAAGTCCGCATATACCGGTTGCCACATGCCCGAGACGATCCGCTCGTGCACCTCGTTCTTCTTCCACGGGACGTCCGCGAGGCCCTCCTCGATTGCCTGCTCCGCGACTGCGACCGCAACCTGGGTGTTCACCTCGCGCGCGTCCGTGAAGTCCGGCAGGAGCGCGTTGTCAGGGTCGGAGAGGGCGGGCGAGAGCGAGGCGAGCCGCCTTGCGCCGGCGATGATCATGGAGTCGCTGAGCGAGCGGGCCTGGGTGATCATCGCGCCGTATCCGAGGCCGGGGTAGATGAGGGCATCTGTAGCGGGTGTCAATATGCATTCCACGCGTCAGGCCAACTGGGATACGCACTGTTACACTCTGCGACGCTATCGGGCGGGTGTCAGCACGGGCCCGGGACATCTGCTCAGTGTCTGCACTCACATGTAGTCCTTGCCGCCCCGCGGGTTGTGGCAGGGCGGGAACGGGCTGCCACTCGCCATCAATGCCTTACCGTCCGTCCACACATTCGCGTCCGTCGGGTCGACCTCCGCCAGACGACTCGGGTTCGACAGCGGGAAGATGATCGGGCGGTCCGTGCCCTTCGCCATCTCCCTGATGACGTCCTCCGTGAACGCCCCTCCGCGCGTCGAGCACCCGACGATGACCGTCGGCTTCACGTGCCGGACGACGTTGAGGAGCTCGACCTCGCCCTTGTCGTTCGTGGGCACGCCCTCCCACTCCGCGTCGGGGCGCACGTACTCGCGGAGGTCACCGCGGACCTTGGGCCCGAGCGACTCTTTGACGAGGCCGTACCGGTCGAGGAGGAAGAACTGTTTGTTCGCGTCAGCCTCGGAGAGCCCGTCGAGTTGCACCATCGCGTCGCGCAGCTGGCGGGTGATCCCGAGCCCCGCGGTGCCGGCACCGTAGACGAGGATGCGCTGCTCAGAGAGCTTGGACTTGGTCACGCCGATGGCGGCCATCAGGGCGGCGAGCGTGACAGCGCCAGTACCCTGACTGTAGGTGCCCGCGTCAACAGTGAATAACTGTACGAGCCAGACGTTGCATACATGTCATCGTTGAATACGGAATGCTTGTCGCGGTACAAGTCCAGGAGACGCTTCGCGTTGTTCACACCAAAGTCTTCAAAGTGGAGGAGACTGTGTGGATGGTATTTGCGGATGAGCTGCACGAACTTGTCAATAAAGTCGTCGTATGCTTTTCCGCGCACGCGGTTGTTAGGCCAGCCCTGAATTGGTGGTGAGTGAGCGTGCACTGGATGAAATCGGTATATCGGCGTACAACGTAGAGATCGTCTTTCAGCAACCCCTCGTTGTCTGTGCCGACATCAAGTGTGACGCTGAGTGCCTTTGCAGGGTCGATTCCAGCTAGAAGCCTGCAACAGAGTCAACGATCTGGATCTCGGAGACATTGTCGACAGCATACGTGTAGATCGCCGACTTCGCGGTGGTAATCTAGAAGAATGTTAGCATACTCCTGCATCACTGTATACACAACGCGACTCACGCCAATGCCCTGTTCTCAGCCGTTAGCTCGCATGTCGTCTCGAGATGACCAACATGTACGCACTCCAACACCCTGATCACCAATACCCAGGATAGCTTCCGCATCCGAACAAACGAAGAGTTGTAAGTCGCGCCCCTTCGTCTGCTCGAGGAAGTCTTCCTCCATGGTGTCTTGGTTAGGGAACGTCAGAAACATGCCCTCACTTCTCCGGAAAAGGTGCGAGTAGTTTGCGATTGCATCGGCCTATGTAGACGTTGTCCAGCAAGTACCCTTGATTACGGTCCGCATATACTCACCTGCGTCGGGGTGTATATGATCGGAATAAGCTCCTTCAGGTGCCTGCCAATGAGTCCGTAGTACAGAACCCAGTTCTGGTCCTTGAGACTCTGGAGGAACGTGTTCTTGCGGATGGGGGTGTCTCTAGTGCTGAGCTGGTCGTATGCGCGTTGACACTGTTCCTCGAGCGTGTTGATGCGCCAGGGCTCGCGGCCTGTCAGGCCAAACGCCGTGCGCTCACGGGTGGTGAACGCGGTGCCCTTGTTGAAGCGCGGACTTGTGAGGATGCTCTCGCCGCGGAGGGCGACGCGGAGAGCACGGGCTGCCGGCGTCGACATCGTGCAGGACAGCGGCGAGAGGGAAAGAGAGCGGTGATGGGTCGAATGAAGTCATCGTGGTGTTGTGTATATATACGCATGTCGAGGACAGGCATTGCCATTGAATGTGCCAGGAGCCATGATGCGCGCCGGAGCCACCGTCATGTCCACGAACGCCGGGGAGACCGTCGCGGTCTCCGGCCGGTCTCCAGGCGAGCCTGGAACAGCCGCTGCTGTGCAGCGTCAGACTCTCCAGGCTCTACTCCTCACCGCGTTCCCACCTACAAAAGACCTCGCCTGCGGTCTGGGAGCGTCAAAGGTACTTCTATCGCACGTCCATTTCCTTCCTGCCGTACCTCCTCACCGTAATGGGCCGCTGGACGCAGTATGACGAGGTGAGGCGCCAGACCACTCACCTGGTGGGACCGAGTCTGATTCGCCGTAGGACGAGTACCGCTTGCCCGAGGGCATGAAGCGGGTAGGATACGACTCTGACACGAGCAAATATTATTACCGAGACGCAGATGGAACGCTCTGGGAGGGCCCAGCAGGCGCGGACTACGGAGAGCTCACGCAAGGTGTGTATTACCCTCCTGGTATCCGGAAATACTCTCGTCGTGCTTGCCTTGCGGAGTCGCCATGCTAACGACTCCCGAGAATAGTATCCAGTGCGCCTATTGTGCTTGACGATGACGGACATGCCAGTGACGAAGACCTGGAGGCAGCCCCGACTCGGGCAGACGGCTACAAGCCGCTGGCGAGCGATGCGGTAAGCGACCACTCGATCGGCGTTGGAGTGTCCCGTTATTGACACAATCGTTCAGAACCAGTCCCCCCATTTCATGTCCAGCGGTAACAGGCATGCGTATCGCATGCTCTTCCCGTTCTTCCTCCTCGTCGCCGTCGCGTTGCTCCTTGTAATCCGGCTCGCGTTCTACAGCACGAGCTCCGACCCTCCCCCACCCAACTCCGCGCTCTGCCCCAACGAGAGCGAGCCCGTTAACGTCAAGGCGGGCGACACCTGCTGGAAGCTGTCGCAGGCGCGTAACAGCACGCTGGAGGAGTTCCTCAACTTGAATCCCACCGTGGATTGTAACAGTTTAATGCCTGGTCAAAACGTTTGCTTACCCACGCCCCAGAATGCAGACTAGGTTTCTGGTCTGCGTTCTTTCGCCCTTTTGCTTCATGATGATGCTGTCCACTCACTCATACACATTGTACCATAGTGTCCACCCGTAATACCTGTGTACTGTACGGGCCGCAGATCAACTGCGAACCCTACGTCTCCTACTTAGCCTGCGACACCTATGGAATGCCACGTTTGTTTCGGTCTCGTCGTTCCATTCTGAACTGAGTGTAACGGGGGCGGCAGTGTCCACACGGATTAATCCAAACCTATGGCAACCTGCATCCAAGTTGTGTATATACTCAGTGACATGCTGTGGTGAATCCAGGACGCGCAAGACCGTGAGTCGGATGCTACCTACTAGGTTCAGGCTGTTTTGACTCAATCTTCGACGCGATGATCATAGCATGTAGAGCTCAGGCAGGCGTCTTCACAAAGCATAATAGACGGATGGTCATCGTAGACCCTGTTTCAAATGTGGACATCGGTGGGCCCTGGACTGCCACGAACTCATCTTGACAGTTTACTTACGGCCTGGGGACCGGGGTGTAACTGCCATGTAGCACAGCTGTTGCAGATGTCAATGATCACATACAGATGCTGGATGCGTTTATCGAAACCGAGCAATAGCTATCCTTGGCGTGCAGTGCTTAGGGAACATCGTAGTATTATCAGCCAGTCGACTCCTGGTCGGTAAGTTCATCAGGAAAAGTGTATGCCACATTTCGCTCGTTTGGTGCCATGTTTGAGTTCGAGGATCATAGGCGAGACACAGTCTCAGGAATGATCAACGCCGATCCATTGTCTCAGGCGTGAGCAATAGTGATCCGCAATCTCAGACCCAGATGGCTGGAACATCCCATTCTCACGTGCTCAGTGGCTTTGCCTCGACACACACACGCACTCGAGACGAGTCCGAACGACGAAGAGGGCCAATTGGCTGGCGGATAGCTCACAAACATGGTGTGGATTGTCAGAGCAAGCACCGGTGGCCAAGTACTGGCAGCAGGAAAATTTGCGTGAGCAGAGCGAGCGTGCACGGAAAACAATCAAAGAACTCGCGCAGTTTGTCTCATCCTCGCTGGCGCAGGGAGGCAAACGTGCGAAGTGTAGATACAGGCGCCGCCGATGAGTCGAACTGCTTTAGCAGTCCGTATTCGATGGTGAGGTACCATATGGCAGGTACAGCAACATCACGCTGCCGTGTGGTGTGTCGGCATTCGGGCACTCACCCGGAGATTCCAACATTGGCAACAATGAATGTGGACTGTAGCTGAGGAGGCGAATGATTCCCTGGCAGTTTCCCATCAACGTGCACCGCGGGGGCTACACCCTTCGTCGAGGTAGGCTCGCCAAGCTCTATTTGGCACCCAGTATGTTCATAAATGTCTGGCACTTCCAATATGTACCGGGTCTGCGCTGGGTCTGCGAGACTGAAAGCACGGCCCGCGCGCGGGATCTTGATCCGATCATCGGGCTGAGCAACAATCTCATGCCGTGAGACACTGGATCGCGCGCGACGTTTCCTGAGCCACTGGGATCGTAAATGACCGCCGGTGAGATGCAGGTCGAATTTCGAGGGAATCGCTTTCCCTGATGTTGTCGGTAAGTACAGAATCATTGGCCGCGGTGTCGTATTGGTCTCCGGACTGCCGTTTCGGGGCATCATCAGAGACCAGTCCCCGAACGAGTCGGCCGGTTGTCGTAAATTGCCTAATCAGGCTCACGGCGCACGGATAAGGTTCCAGTCTCTTCGGCGTACACCATCCCTCAAGCCACCACTGTTACAACCCAAGCCTGCGACGACAGTCAACCCATCATGGCCGACATCGCAGCACCTCCAGTAGCCCCCGACGCCATGCAGGGCCTCATCGCCGCCCCCGCGCCCGTCCCGGGCACCATTGCCGTCCCGCCTACTGAAGACCCCGCTGCCCCCGCACCCTCAGCAGAGCCGGAGTTCATCTCGGAGACGCTGTACATCCAAAACCTCAACGAGAAGATCAAGGTGCCCGGTACGCTCTCCACCAGTAGTAGCCCACACTGCCAGGGTGCTGACTATATGCGCGACAGTTCTCAAGGCGTCCCTGCGCGGCCTCTTCAAGGCGTACGGAGAGGTTCTGGACGTAGTGGCGCATAGCAACCTGCGCATGCGCGGGCAGGCGTTCGTATCATTCGAGTCGGCGGAGATCGCGCAGAAGGCGTTAAAGGAGGTGCGCGGCTTCCCGTTGTACTCAAAACCGATGGTGAGTGCTTTTTATCGTGCCTGAGGAGGCCTGTGCTGAGCACTCCGTAGCAAATATCATTCGCGAGGACACGATCGGATGCTGTGGTGAAGAGAACAGATGCTGCACGCTTCGAGGAACACAAGAAGCGGAGGCTGGAGCAGAAGAGTGCGTACGAGTCCTCAGGTCGTCGACGTTTGCTGAGACCATTTGATGCAGAGGCCACTCGGTACACCAACCCCTTGAAGCGGAAGTACAAGGCACGCAAACTGGCGATGGAGGGTGTGTATATGCGCGTTTCGCTCGCAGTCTCCCGGTCTGACACCATACAGTCGACGGAACGGGCGCCGTTCCCGTGTCCAAGCGGCCAAACGTCCAGATGCCGGACGAGTACCTTCCTCCAAACAAGATTCTCTTCCTGCAGAACCTGCCCGAGAGCGTCACCAAGGATCAGCTCATGGCCCTCTTCTCACAGTGCGTATCCACGCTACCATGTGAGTAGCTAACACCGACTGACACGCCGGACGCAGATACCCGAACCTGCACGAAGTGCGTCTCATCCCAACGAAGAAGGACATCGCCTTCGTGGAGTACATGGACGAAGGCAGCGCGACGATGGCGAAGGACGCGCTGCACAATTACAAGCTCGACGGCGAAAACAAAATCAAGGTGCGCCGCTCGTCGCTTCCACGCGCTGTTCTATCTCACGACGTGTCTGCAGATTACGTTCGCGAGGAAGTGAACGGCCGATCGCGCGCCCTTCGTGTTTTACCTACCGCTTATTGTATGCGAGGTCATCTTGTTGCCAACCATACGCTGCTATGCGTTGTATCGTATGTGTATCATAGTGTTATAACTGTTTTACATGCCGCCGTCCTCCCAGTCCTTTGGAACACGCTGATTACACACGCGTCTCCACCCAATGCGGCCGAACAATATCGTACAAGTGGTCATCGCTGCGAGACACGTTGAGAAGCTGTGGTAGATCGCCTCAAAAACCTGATGAAGAACACGAGATGTCGAGTACACGCACCCGGCACAGAAAGTGTCCTCCCCCTCGATGCCCTGTTCCTCCTGGTCTTGTCCGGGCCGAGCTTATGGAAGCCCGGCAGCAGCTCGTCGTTGTACACGCCGACCCTGGTCGCGTACAGCCGCGGCGAGCGCGGGAGCTGCGGCGGGTTGTAGAGGTCGCCCATCTCGAGCTCGGGCTCGACGGTGTCGATCTCGACGATGAGCTCGCCGTCGTGCGTGCCGCGCTTCCAGCGGACGCGGCTGAGCTCCGCGCTGCTGAGGAGCGTGAGGGAGTCCATGGAGAGCGCGGCGGCGAGCGAGCGGATGCTGAACATCAGGTGGGAGACGGAGACGGAGGAGACGGCCACGAGGAAGCTGGAAGGGCGTTTCATCAGGCAGTGCTGGTGTGAGTCGATATGTTACTTACTTTGAGAATACGGCAGGAAGGATGATCTGAAGAGAGTCAGCTGGAGACACTAATGCACACGAATCAGGAGAATACGTACAGTAGGGTCATTCGGCCGGAGGGAACCAATAGTCGTGAAGGCTGAGGCGGCTGAACACACAAGAATTGTCAATCCGCAGCTTACGAGCACGGTGCAATCTGACTCACCGAACACGGCAATGTAGAAAATGCCTCCACTGAGTTGGACCCACGATGGTTGGTCAGTCAGGGACATTTCAGGAGGCATACGGTCTGCTCACTCTCTGACAAGGCGAAACATCAAGGGCGAGGTAGAGCCCCATTGTTGAATGACCGGCCATGTCGTCGCGGCGAAGAGAATCGTGTGGAGGATAAGGTTAGGTAGGTAGATTCTCCAGACCTTGCCCACAGGTGGCGCTGTACAGTGGTCAGAGGTGAGCCCTAGGATGTTGGACTCCTGCGGGACGATGCTGGGGAAGAGCACTCCGATTTCTGTTGCGGTGGCAGCGATCGCTGTGACATAGGCGCAGACAACGCAGATACGTGCGATGCGTCTCTCCGAAAACATATACCAGATCCTCAGAACGATGATGCCTGTAGGTGACAAGGTTCGCTGAAATGCAGATGTTGACTGGTAAAGGCACTGACCTTGAATGACACTCAGGGCTACATAGTCCATCACGAACATGGCCCGTATGGCCGCTTCGCAGCTTCAAAGGTCAACTCTCAGCGGTTCTCCGCCGTCGATATGAGATCGTTTGCTTACTACTGAAGCACAAAGGTCAGCAACACCGCAAAGCACGCACTGTTCCACTGGCACTATGCGACACTCACGGAGTACGGCAGATCAACTCCGGAAATGGCTGCGGGTGTAAGTTCACATGAGTGAGGCGCACGGTGAATCGCTCGCCATAACAGACTTACTGACTAGTCCAACCCTGATGGCGAAGTCAGTTTCTCTTCACCACGAGAGAACAGGCCGCAGATACAACTCACATCAATATGGCCGGGCATAGATAACGGTTCTATACGACGCCACCAGTCAGTGTAAGCCCGCTATAACTTTCCGCTTCCACTGTACTGACCAACAAAAACAGTACGCGGGACAGCGACCATGGTCCCGTCCAGTAATACTTGACCTATTAGGTATCTCGTCAGACTCGTATTCGGCGGCGAATTGCGGGCACTCACTTCCTGGCCAAAAGTGATGAAAAAGTCATAAATGAGGAGCGTGAAGCTTGCGACGGCAAGGAATTCGATTCTCTGGGAGGCGACGATGTAGGATAGCAGCTTCTCATACTCAGCGGCCTCGGATGAGGCGTTCACCATTCCGTACGCAGAGGGGTCCGTGGCTTGAACATGGAGAGGGGGAACGAAGTGATGCCCGCGCCGCCGGAACCCTAGCGTGATCCTTTTGACCTTGTAACACCATCAGGCATCCTCGTACATCAGAGCCGCAACAGGGACGATGCTTTAAAATATGGGCGGTCGGTGGAGTGCTGTTGTCAATTGGTTGTCAAGGCCATCACGGTGAACGCGTACCGCGCGGTACGAGTGATCTGAACTAGCGCGTGTTGCTACTTATCGGCCCCGGGTCCCACCCACTTCCTGTGATCGAGTCGCGGCAGGTAGGCTATAGGTTTACTTATACTGAGTGAGACTGCCAGTGCGACATTCGAGTCGACACGGGCAGTGTGCACTTAGACAGACTTGGACAGGACAGAAACGGGAGTAAGCTGTCATCCACCGCTTGTGGCTGAAACTCACGAATGGATGGAACACATCAACGTTCCGGGATGCGTTGGGGATGCGGAGCGGAGTTGGAACGTTGAAGATCAAGCACCCTATTATGGTTAGCTCCGGGGAACAAGATATCCAGGGCCGCAGGACCACAAGTCGTATACGATCTATCGCTCTCCGCAAACTTCGTTTCTGAAATTGAACCCTAGAAACGCACTTCCCCGCGTTACCTGGCTGTACACGATTCTCCACAGCAGTGTTCCACTGGGGGAGTGGGCCCCCTAACCCTTGTGTAGTACGGTTGCGTGCCGCTCGTCATCAGGCAGGATAGGGAGACAAGTTGGATCAAAGTTGGATAGTTGTTTTATGCGGCGCTGCGAGCGTTCTCTGGAGATATGTCGTTTGATGGGGGATACCCTGGGATAGCATTCGCCATGCCCAGATCTTGCTTAGGTCACTGAGGTGAGAGGTGACGCCACAAGAGGTCGGTCGAGTCCGAGAAGGCATGGTCATTTGGTATGAATGGTTCCGGTAAGGTTTGACGCCACGATATCGATCAGAACACGATCACGGACCTGAATTGCAACTGTAAGCCAGCGAGGCACGGGGGTGCCTGCCATCCCGCTTGGATTGCCTGGGGGCACAATCAACGTTGCCACCCCACTAAGCTAACTTGAACACCCTCGCATCAGGCTATAACATATGAGAACTTGAGACTAGTACTGCCGGGTAACACGGCTGCGAACAGTTCAAGGTTCGAATGCGATGAGCAGTACGTACCGGGGCACCGGCGGGCTGAGCCACTACCGATCAGTGCGCCAGAAGCACTTGCTCGACTGTTCCGCCCGGCGGAACAACGAAGTCTTCATCAGTCCCGGTGACAACTCAGCAGGCGTAATGTTACCGTGGAGTGCAGTATGCCAATCTGAAGATGATCCGGCAAGTGTATTGGGTTGAATATCGGGTTCCGCTCGAGCATCGTGTGTTGGGTCCGTGTTGAAGCCATGGATCGGAAGCGATGCGACTTACCGTGCGAGTTGAACGAGCTGCGATGAGTGCGAAGACATGGGAAGCCCGATGTGTAAGAATAGTCTGATCACCAATCATTTGTTTGCGTACCGGTGAGTGATACAGATATCCTGGACTCACCGCGAGTGCATTTCCGCCCGTTGGATTGTGATGTCAAATATTGATGATCTTCAAGGGAACACGCAAGCGTACGTGCGAGATCGTCAGTGATGACTGAAACTTCTAGCTTACCATGCTGATGGACACAATCCTATCATTATCCTCACGGCAAGCAAGCTTTGTTGTCCCCGAACCTGACTACATTCACCATGAAGACAGAACGGTCGTATCGAGTCTCCACCTGCCAAGCACGCGTGTCCCGACGGTGCTTGCATAAGTATACACGTGAGCCACTTGCTCAAGTTCGAAATCCTGTCATCGAGTCTGCCTTTGATCAGAAGCGGTCCTGCGGTTGACGAGAACAGTATGTATTAGCCCCTGCTCAGTGATGACTCGGTAATCCGTGACTCACCGCGGTCCAGAGACTACCTTTTCGCATATTGAGCAGAAGCACCTGCCGTTGATATATCACGACGCAGCTCCAGCGGAAACGCATCCGCATACGCGCCCACCGTGGACATGTGAACGGCAGGCGCGCGCAGATTTTCTGACGACCCCATCAAGCCGTCGAGCTCGACGCCCTCCACGGTGTCGATCTCAACGATGAGCTCCCCGTCATGCATGCCTCTTTTCCAGCGTATGCGGCTCAGCTCTGCTGTGCTGAGCAGCATGGAGAGGTCCATGGAGAGGTGCGAGGCGAGCGAGTGGATGCTCAGCATGAGGCGTGATACGGCGACGCAGGAGACAGCGAGTAGGAGGCTGAAGCGATAAGTCTGTAAGTGTGTTTCCGTCACTTGTCATACAACTTCTCACTCGGAGTAGGCGGCAGCCAACATCACCTGTAGACGCCGGCGGATCGAATATCATATACATAGCACCACAATGAACCTAATAGACTTACCGGAAAGCTCTTCTGCTGAAGTGACCCGATAGCGGTGAATGCCACCGCAGCTGATGTTGATTACGTCGGGAGATCTCCTCCGCGTAGATGAGAGTAGCACATACTGAAAACAACAACATAGAAAAGACCGCCACTAACAAGTTGAACCAACCAGGGTGAATGACTTGAACAAAATAGGAAAGGATCCACTCACTCCCTAACAACACGCGTGAGGAGTTGTGAGTGCTGTCCTCGTCGCCATAGCTCTACCGCAGGCCATAGCGTAGCACCGAAGACGATCGTCTGGAGGACGAGATCCGGGACGTATACTCTCCAGAAATCGCCCACCACATCTGGCGGTGCACATCCTTTCTGGGAATAGACAACAGGGTTGAACTTCGGGTAGATGGAGGCTAGCGCGTGCGCTGTTACGCCAACCATAATAAGGAAGCACAGAACCACGACAGCACGAGCCACACGTCTCGATGAGAGAATATACCAGATCCGGAGCACGACGATTGCTACGATAGAATGGTTAGCGAATCATGCTGTGCCAACGAAGGTGTACATACCCTGAACAATGATGATAACAATGTATGTTACGAGTAACACAGCATGAAGTGCGTATGCGCAGCTGTATGCGCGATTAATATGTATGATAGATATAGAGAAGGTACAACTCACGCCTGTTCATAATATTCGTTCGAGGCGTCTTCAGCCAAGCAGTTCGAGTTGAAGGACTCACTTCTTCAGACATGTTTGCGAACGTGCCTGTCCGTCATGCATTATACAACTCGCAGAAGGGCGATTGGTCACGTCACTCTTACACAACACGTTTAGCCTGATCGAATTGTCAGAGTGCTGTAGAAGGATATTACGCAGACTTACAGCAGGGCAAGTGGTGAAAGGTATCGAGTCTAGGGGGTGCAAGGCTTGGTCGCGAAGTACTGTATGCGAAATATATATTGCCCGCACCAGCAGAAAGAGGATGCGCGACAGGGACCATGAGCCATGCCAAAAGTATTCGATCTATGGGATAATATCACAATTAGTCAACACTCCTGTCCAGCAAGTAGTTGGTGCACGAACCTCCATGTTAAGTGTCAGAAGATGATCGTAAATGACCAAGACCAGCCCGAGGATGGTGAGGCAGTTGGCGTTAAACTCGGCCTCGAATAAGAAAACTAGCAGGTTCGTCATAGTCCACGCCGGAGAGGAGAGAAGAATCCGTGGTGGGTGGTAAGATCGGCGAAGCTATTGACAAAAGCATTTTCTCCCCGCCGGCGTCGCATATATAGGTTCGACGACATCATCCGTAAATGAACCACTAGACCCTATCACGGTAAACATCAGTGGGCCATGATATTCGATGGCTCTGCGGTGCTGCTGCGGTTAGCTCGACGTCGTCCTATTAACGTTACTCACCTGTGGCCCCTGCTGCTTTGCATGCGAGTGTATCGCTGTGAGCAATCGGCCTTGTCGTCAGGTTCAAGCTGCATAGTGCGCCCCTTACAAGTGGATGGAAACTAGTCACAGAATACACGATACAACAGAATCGAACCTAATGTCGACCATCTGTCCAGTTGGACACTGACAGGATTGATTCGAATATCTCCCGGATCCCAACGGTCGTCAGGAGTATGCGCAGTCATCAAGTTGCGATGAGCTCAATTGATTCTCCTCCGCCTTCGAGGAGACGCATAATGCAGCCTTCAGAAATTCGTGTCAATGAATGTGAGCATAACTATGTGCAATGGTTGACGGCACTTACTCGGAGCAAGAACCAGGCATAATCATGCGGAGTCCTCGAGTTGGGTATACGTGCATCTTACGGCGCCCGGTTGTCCCTAGATAGATAGAAGCCCTGTTGTAATGAAAAGACGTCGACGGTATTGGCAGCGTGTGGGATGGGAGCAGTGACCGAACATCGCTTGGGCGCCCAGGCGGGAATTCGCGTGACCGTGATATCGATGGACTGTGACAGTCGCGTCGCACCATTCGACGCGCGCGGACGGCCCTCGCGACTCGCGAGCCAGGACACTTGAGCACGCCTGAAGCAACTTAGTCAGAAAACACGGACGCGACTCTGCATACTCTGCTTACTCTGAAATGTTCAGTACTCGCAAAAAATCTGTGGCGCAACCAACTGTCGCAGGCACAGTGAGTACGCTGGCAATGTGATCACTGCAGTACGCGTTGAGCAACGAGAACAACCCAGACATCTGAGGAGGAGTTCTGGGGGGATGGTTCACCCGGGGATGCGGACTACTGGGCTGGGGTGGGAGGTGAGCTTAAGTCTTGACTGCGCGGCCTGCGGTCGTATTCAGACCCTCGTGCGGTACTACCAGAGTCCCTGAAATCGGGAAACAATTCCACGAGTCAGGTTGAAAGACAGCAACCTTCCAAGCCGGAAGTAGTACCGTTGAGACGTAGTCCGCGCAAGAGGACCATGATTGAGAAGGGAATTGGCTCCAGTGATCTTTGTAAGTCGTTCCAGCCATCCTCAGCCAGCGATATCAATGTCCTGTCCCTATCCCAAAGTGACGGACGAAGGGACACACGACATAATCCCGTCTTCGAAGGGGAAGGGAAAGGCTGTTCAACGCGTCGGGGCAGTGGCTTCTCGTGCTTATGCTACATCCAAAGTCAGTACATGGTGCTGGTTCATTGTGTACGAATTTATTGACTACATGTTCACATCAGGCACCAGAGCCGGAAGTATATGATACGGATGGATACGACACTGACGAGGATGAAGGTATGTGGCCTTCCTATCTTACAGTTCGTCTTACTTATTCAGGATGCTCATTCCATTAGTCGAGCAGAGTACGTTCCACGTCCTCTAGGCAATAGGCCCGACGCTGACGTATCTGTAGTGCTTGAAGGTGATACAGATATTGAGGTCGATGCTGAACTGTTCACTGCGCCGACCTCGCGAAACCCATCGTTCGAGTTCTCTGAGCCCTCGATATCCCGCGACACCTCCTTCACGTCCGTCGGGTCCAGTGTCCCGGTCGTCACCACACCTACGACTGGACGCAAGCGGACGTTTGAGTATCCAAGCAACTTCGACACCCCTCCTTCGCCCGTCAGCCCGGCCAAGGTGCAAAAGCGGGCATCACAGTCGGAAACTGCACTCCACAGACCCGATACAAGGGCTTCCATATCGTTTCCACCACCTAGAACCCACAGTTCGCCGCAAACGCGAACCCGCCCACCGTCTCCGGTCAAACCGTCTCTCCTTAACACCAGTCCGAGCCGCAGTAATCGCTGGCTGAAGGAGATCGAGGCGGCACTGGCATCTCCCGCCAACGAGGTGAAGGAAGCAAACACCACCAATGCAAGTGTCACCCCTCGAGCCCCGATGACCAAAGCGCTCTCTTTCGGCTCGACCTCTCGCGGACCTTTCCGTAGCACGAAGGACACCACCTCGTCGATGCCCAGTTCGTACAGCCACCCGCGGCGAGAGAAACCCCCATCAACTTCGAGTATCAGCATCATTGCTCACGACCGCGAGGTCCAGCACAGTATGGACGCGAAACGTATCTCATGGGGCGTCCAGTATGAACTCGCGCGAGGAGTCTCCGGCGGTCGATGGCAGTGGAGCGACGTGACGGAGGAGAGGCTAAACCGCCTGAAAGGACCGGAAAGCGAGGCGGCGCATCTCGTCGAGCAAGTCATGCATGACGCCAACGTGTCCAGGAGTGTGCGTGCGGCCAGTATACCACTCTGGTATGTGAACTATACTCTTCAATTTACATGTGTGCTGATGGATGCGGCTTGTGCTAGGGCGGAATTGGAACGCGAGCAGGCGGCGATCGAAGAGGGCGCGGGACGAGGACTCGGCTTACGTGGCGAGTGGAAGGGCGACCCTAACTGGTACGGAGGCAAGATACGACAGATCGCTAGTGTCGTGGAGGCCGGCGACGGGTTCGCCCTTCGCCTCAAACCGATGATGAAGCGCAAGTCGAACCGTTTCGCGCGTTACCTCGGCTCGCGCCGAATGCTGCAAGTGAAGCTTCCGGACGACAAGCTCATCCGCAAGAGGGGCGACGATGTCAAACGATTCATGCAGAGTAGGTTCGTTCTGTGCGGGCGGGTCTTCGTAGCGTTCGCCGCGAAGGACGGCAAAGTCTTTCTGATGGAGACAAACGAGGACTACGAGCGCGTCGCCGACGGAGCGGATCGCACGAGGATGACGTTGGAAGACCTCGTTCAATGGCACAACCCGATGGATCTGAACAGCAAACAGGTGAGCCTCCGTCGGGTCTACGCTCTCTTTATATGAATGAAAACGTCTGTTGCGCAGCCCGTTACGAAGTGGGTCACCCGCTTTGACCTCGGGTTATCCGATACAGTTCCAGCACTCGCATTCGAGGGCGAGGGAATCGACATTTTCTATATCGATGACAAGAGTACGCTACATACGACGCTTGTAATCTACTTTGCATGTACTCATAGTCACACCGAATGTAGCTGCTCCCCACGTCGGCGAAAAAGTACCCGCAGAGAAGATCCTGACGGATGGCTGTGGTTTCATGAACTGGGCAGCTCTTGCTGCTATTGCTCGAGCGTTCAGGTACACACGGTTTCCGACTGCTGTCCAAGGACGCTTCGCCGGCACGAAAGGTGTCTGGACTCTTCATCCCGAGGATCGATCACCAGACGTTCCGCCCAAAATATGGATCAGACCGTCACAGCGAAAAATCCAGCATGGACGGCTCGAGCCGTCTCACCGCATCTTCGAGTTAGTCGCACCTCCCCGTGTTTCTATCCCGTCGCGTCTGTCGCGACACACGGTCATGGTCTTGTCGCACAACGGCGTTCCCGACAACATCCTCATCAATTTGATGGCTGCGGGAATAGAGAGCGAAGTACAAGCCCTGAGCTCATTCGATGATCTGCACCTCCTTCGCGCGACGGTAGCTGAGGTTGGTCGCATCTTTCCTGCCCGGCTGCAGCGCCTTGCGTCGGGGTCGGCGCGTCTTTTCGGGCTTGGGCGTGAGTGGGGCCAGGAAGCGGACGAAGACGATGATGTCGACGATTTGGAACAAATCGGGTCGGTTAGTCTAGTAGACCGCAACGAATACAGCGGCGACCCGATTAAGGTTCATGAACGGGCTTGTGAGATGATCGCAGCGGGCTTCCGGCCGCAGGAGAACCCGATTTTGTTCAAGTGTCTGCGAGACATTGTCTCTTACAGGATCGCTGAACTCATCAAAGAATACCATATCACTGTACCAAAATCCGCAGATGCATTCATTATTCCAGGTATGTGTCTGTTTTGCTTCAGTGTTGCTCATGCTTACTCTATCAGATCCTTATGGTGTCCTTGAACCTGGGCAAATTCATTTCAAGTCTTCAGAAAACCTCAAAGATCCCCTTGATGGTTCTGGAGCAAACATGATCACAGGCAATGTTTTGGTATGTGATGCATGTTGATGGGCTGTATAAGTACTGAAGTAGTGAACAGATATATCGCAATCCAGCTCGACTCCCAGCTGATATCCAGAAGGTCAGCATAAGAATCTTTGATGCCTATTTGATTACAGGTTTCATGCTAGGCTTGTAGGTCTCTGCAGTGATCCATCCACAGCTCAGTGACTACACAGATGTCATCATATTCCCTACCAAGGGACCCAGATCTATGGCCAGTCTCCTGGCTGGAGGAGGTAGGTCCTATATGATCTTGCCCCTGCTTGTACTGACCAAGGGATCTCTATTTCAAAGATTATGATGGAGGTAAGCCAGTGTTATAGAATTGTGAGGCAGCATCCATTGAATTACTTGATTAGACACATGTGTCTGCATCTTTGATGAGCTTTTAGTACAGTCTTTTGGGGGCTCTCCTATTACAGATGCCCCAACTGACTTCCTGAAGAACAATTTTGAGTCACAAGACAACATCTTGCAGATAGCTGATGTTCTCTCAGAGATGAGAATAGGGTCTATCAGCACAAGAGTGTCTCCTTTACAGGAGGCACTCTTGGTTGGTATGATCAGTCCCAATGTGGGACAATATTCCATCTTCCATGAGAATACAGGATACCTGTATGGTCTTGCAGACAAGAGAAGTCTGCACAATGCATGGATGTAAGAAATTTCATTTGTCACATAATGTGAGCCAAAGACTGATCCATTTGTCTATGTAGGTTCAATACTGTACTTGACTCGAAGAAAACAGGCCTGACAGTCAAACGAAGTGTCCTTGCTAGGGACACGAAGGACTATGGTCATGCACAGCCACATTGCATGACACCTGCAGTGAGTGAGGATGTGGTTGAGTCGGGTAGCTTTGGGCATGGCCGGCCTTGCCCCAAACGTGACCCAACTCTTCCGACATTCATACTGGATGAAATTTTGAGTGCAGGGAAGACCCTCGAGATTCGCTACCTCAAGGAATTCGAAGCATCGCAGCACCAAAACCAGCATTGCGATCACGATCTTCTCAAACCCTGGGAGGATCAATTGGCATGGGCCACGAGGTTGCGCGAGGAGAAAGGGTACACCGACCCCGAACATGAGCTACAGCGGATCCCCACCCACGTCAGCGAACACCGTCGAAACTGGCTGAGCGCCGTCCGCGCCGGCGATAAATCGAGGACCACGCTGGCGCCAGACGGATCGAAGGGATCATTGCCAGCCGTGAAGCCATCCGAACGGTTCAGAGAGGTGGCAAAGTCATTCGCCGACGGACCCGCCGACATCGTCTTTCACGACGCCAGGACAATGTCGACACTCAAGGCATCATATGCCTATACCATGCACCCGAAGTTCGCATTCTCTGTCGCATTCTACGACCTCTGCAGGATCAAGGCGGAATCGCTCGGCATTGCGCCGCAGACGCGAGAGTTCGCGGACATGATGACGGTGCCCTCATCGGCGAGGCGGATACTCTTGCAGAAGGCATCGGGTCTGTAACTTTGGCGAGAGCTTAGGTATGCCGTGTCACTTCCTTGACGCGCACTAGGTTCACTCTTTATCAAGCATCGGCCCACGGACTTGTTCATTGGACTCTCATTTCATGCAGTCGTTGTAGGGGGCACAGATCTGGACGAATTCGTTGGAAATCATGGAATGGATCGCACCGGGACAATGTATCGAACGAAATTCCTTGCGTACACATTAGACTGAGCGCGGTCGCGCTAGGCTATATTTCATGACGGCATAGTCACAGACTCTAGGCCATATAGGAGTGAACGTCGCCGTGATCCGTCAAGGGAGGGAAGGTAGGCGGGGAGCCTGAAGAGATGTGAACTGACGCGACGACAACAGGCTGACATACCCTACCCAACACCAACGCCTGGCTCTTGCGACCCGTGTCGTGGCGTATATGATCGCCTCGAATTGTCAGGTGTCGAGATTACAGCATCAAGAGGCATATAACGCGTACGCGCGTAGTGAGACCCTCGTGTCTTCCGTGCGTCCAGTCATAGACGAATATGCGCCCGAGTAAAACGACGTACATCCGCGTTCTGAAAACCCACGTTGTTGAAATCGACCGGCCATATTGCATATTTGATGACGGGCATGTATCTGCATACAGCAGGTCTGAGGCCGGTAGGGTTTGGTCGGGCAGGGCACGGAGCAGGTCCGTGGCAAGACATCTGCGCTGGAGAAGACAGGCTGAGGGCGGCGGAGATATCCTGGCTGTTCTACGCCCCAGCATCATGGTATCAGGCATATTCTACAGTCGAATCTACATGGATAGGAACGTCAGTCTGATGCTCCCATATCCCGCATAACGGAGCCAAACCTGAAGGGGGGGTGCTTGCGGGGAGATAACGGCAAGTAGTCCAGATTGCACAGCTGGCAGAATCCGACGGCTCCATACAGTGACAAGCGAGCTGTGCCGTGTTCGAGGCCCTATTGGAGGAACGGGCGTATGTGCGCCTGCGTCAGTGCGCAGAAGGACAGCTGGTCGGATGGCCTTGGCTTACGGCGAGTCTGTCCCAGTGTTTCCCGAAGCACGGCATACGAGTTGAAGTGCGACGCACTAGTAGCGAAGAAACACGAGCAACACACGGAGCGGCATCCGCTGATGGGGAACCACTGTGGTAGAGCTGGATATGGCTGAAGAGTCGATAGCCTGAGGTAATTGAGCTGAGCAGTAAACGTGCATTCTAGCCTCCGGCGAAGGCGTGCACGCATCTTCGGAGGTCGTTCCTCGTCCTATGCCAGCTGCCATGGACGGGAGAGTGCTATGTCTGGCAGAGGGAGACGAACGTCCGCCGATTTGTGCAGTGAACGTCGATCGAACTTCGTCAAGCATAGAGCTTCATCCAAAGACGCGCCGCTTTTCCAGCCCATTGCGAGCCGAACATGAATACATCCGTCAGTCTCATGGCGTCGAGCGGTGCAGACAGCCAAGGCCGCGGATAGGACTACTAGGAAAACGTCTCAATCTCGGGTGATACTGCAGGATGGTCACTCACACGCGGTGTATCATTAGCATCCTGAAGCGAAGAGAAGTAATCGCGCCAGGTGGCGTGTAGTACAAATTCTTCTAAACTTTGTGGACGGTTTGCAGCGGGCCGGCCAGTAGTTCGAAAGGTATGCCCTAGTATTGGTGTCGAAGTTCTTCGATTGAGCATGAAGAATATCTTTGCCACTGCAAGAAATGTGACGACAATACCGCGTGCACCCGCATGCGCCACGAGGATCGTCGGCGGAACGGTGCTACAAGCACTCGGAAGCGCAACGTGAGCTCGTCCCGCTTCACCGTACCCACGGCGGATCGTGAGCGACAGAAGGGTTTGAGATAGAAGGGCCCAAGACATTTACAGGCGCATGCCCGTTCAACGAATTCAAGCGGGCTTACCGAACGACTCGCGTACATGAATTCTCTTCCAGAGGCCGTGGAGGACATGATCCGTTCGAATTGTGCCGATGAACGTTGCCTGCGACGCGAATGTGTCTGTACTTCTCCTGAGAACCGTCTGCCTCCGAATGGTCGAACCGAGAGAGTGGCCCGGGCTAGGAGGGTGGAGCGCGGGCATGAGTAAATCGATCGGAGGCACTCAATTCAGACTTGTGTGTCGAAGTACCTCGAGACATCATCAGATCGGCGATCCTCCAACGGCCCATCATTGCCTCTTGAAGCAAGCTTGAGAGGCCGTACTCCTCACGGGAGAACACACATACCACCTGAGCACGAGGGTTAACTAGTTGAATGGGCAACTTCAACTTGCGAACACTCCCCAAGGCCGCTCATCGCAAGAAGTCCGCTTTTACGGCAAAGATGCCAATGCGATACAGACTGCATATGCAGTGGCCCATAGACGACCGCGTAGGATAGATGTACTATCTGAGCGATGTAGCGTTAGATCAGAAGCTCGTGCCATCAAACCGACGAACGGATGATAGCACAATCCAGAGTTTCGGAAAAGTGAGCGGAAGAGCACATCCAGAGGTCCTATGAATGCTCTCGAAAGGAAGGAGGCTCTTCATGTATAATCGGCTAACCAGATCAACGTACACGCAGGCACAGTGCAGCAACTGCTTCTGGATGTCGGTGGTAAGTAGATTGCGTGGCAACGAATGATGTTCAACTTACATCTGGTAAATTGAACGTGCCTGAGGTTGCCCTGTAAGCAGATCAGCGTTATGCGGCACAACCTAGAGCTTCGAAGAGTCGGAGCTTCCTGCCCTACTTTTCCTATTAAAGCGCAAGCGATGAGCCCTATAGCTACCTATGATGATTTATCGAGCACATACGTATAACCAAGTCGACAGGGTGGACTCGAGGGTGGCAAAGACAGTTGAGATGAGAATGCTCTGTAGAACCACTGAAGTCGAGCATCGCGATGCCATGGTTATGTGCAAGTTGAGCAAACCGACGCGAACAGCAGAACGCGTAAGTGGCTGGCTGTGGCTGGAAGCCCGTGATCATACGTGCATTGCCGATGCTTCAGTCTGCCACTCTCACTTCGACCCCGACCATCATATTGCGCTACTTCGACGAAGCGGGCAATGGGAAGGACTAAGATGTCCTTAATACTTGACTCACTCCAGTCACTGCAATGGGGTCTAGTCCTGATCGCAACGTGCGTGGAATCGGAGAAGTCCCGACCTCTCCGCTCCTATACGGTAAAGGGTAAGGCTCTACTGTTATCAACTGACGCCTTCTGAAGCCAGAGCAATGTACGTACAACATAGAATGCTAGGCCACCTGCGTCTGGGAATTTCCAGCCAGCGCAACAGCGCGTTCCCTCGGTCTGTAATCTCGAAGGCCTCGAAGTCCAGAACCTGCCTACCAGCCATCCGCCTGGTCCAGTGCGCCGACCAGATGCGCGGTGAAAACATGCCTAGGTATGGATTCGTCTCACGAAGCTGTACATGAGCCGCTGAGAGAGTCAGCATCGCTTGTAGTGAGAGGGCGGGTACCGCTTGGATGCCTTAAAAGTCTGTGAGACTTGGTAGATGGCACACCAAGTCCCCATGGAACACCCCTACTTGCTTGCTATTACTTTTGCTATCTGTTTCTACGGCGTCGTCAAGCGACGTGCGGTACGTATGTTCCACCAATTTTGAAGCATCGCTACTCATTCCGCATATAGATTTCGAAGGCAAAGCACCCTCCCATTGTCCATATACCGGTGCGGTTTACGCTCCACCGACATTTCCTAGCCTCTGAAACTCCGTTGCAGTCGGACGATATCTTCGCAAGGCCGAAAGAAGCGTATGCATCCGCACTCCAGGCATACGGCTCTGTCATTGCTGTGCACCGTAAAGGGAACGTGAGTTCGACCCAGTGTCCACCATTCAATATTTGTTAATGTCACTCAGCTTGAATACATCGTCGGGCCTGAGTACGCCAGATATGTTCTGACATGCGACAAGCTCTTCAGCTTCGAGCAAGGCTCAGCTGCAGTGAGTGCCCGAGATACCGCCAACAGCAGAGTCGCGCTCAACAGGGATGGGACTTTGAGATCATGAATCTTCAGCCACTCATGGCCCTCACCCAGGGGGCACTTTTCCAGGATCTCAATGACTTCGTTCGAGAAGGCATCATTGCAAGGATGGATGAATTGTTTATAAGAGTGAGTGCAAGCGCCGTCAATGCAGACCGTCGACTTACTATGATTGTAGTTTTCCCCATTTATGACCGTGACGGTCAGTCTTTTGTGGACGCAGTCCGCCTACCTCATAAGACACAGTCTCTGCCCGACTCCTTCCTGCACTCTCGTGACACTATTTCCGAAGCCACCCTGATCCTTCTTTTGGGCGATGTGAGCGATCTTCGGCTCTTGCGCAGAACCGGTGTCGTCTCTGACTGCATTGTCTTTTCAGGCCTACGTGAGCGATCGGAACATGCGAATAATCGAAGACGTTTCGAACGGGATGGCGGAGCTCACGGGGCAGTATCAGAACTTTCCTTCCTGGGCAAATACATGCCTTGGCTGTGGGTCTTTCTCACTTGGTGCGTTCGATGTGTCCGTTGGTTCACCACCGTCGATCCTTCTGACACAGCATACAGGGTCAACGTGATCCTAATTAAGATACCATTCGGCTTCGTGCGACAATTGGGGCCGCAGCTCTGGGCAGACATGAATAGATATGAAGCCATGATCGCGTCCGGCATTCCCACGCGAGAAGAGGTATGTCTTCTGTCGCGTTGCAGTGTCTACGGTTGGACTATCTGCTGCGACTAGCCTAAGAATGTACTGTACTTCATTGTGAAGACGTACTCGCCCAATGGTCGGCGGATTGGACTCTTACGTCGAATCTACATCTGTGTTTTGCTACTCTGGTGAGTCGCCTTTGAATCGTGCATACAAGATTAGCTTAAGCATTTACGGCAGCTTGATTTTCGCGGCTGTACACACCACGTAATTCATCTCGCACTCTCCGAGGATGGTCCCAGAATTAACATCCAGTCACAGGACGGTCGTCTCGCAATGGGTGCTCTTCCAACTTGCCTCGCATCCGGACTATTTGGCCCCGCTGCGTCAAGAACTCCTTCGGATCCGCGAGGAAGACGACACGGGTGCTATGCGTTTGACTGCAGCATCCTTGCGGGAAGCACACCTGCTTGACTCGTTCATCCGCGAGGTGATGCGGCTCAAGGGCGACACCATCTCCACTATGCGCTGCACCACGTGCGATGCGCCGTTGGGCGAGTACGTCATTCCCAAGGGTGCGCGCTACTCTTTTCGCTTCCGCACTGAAGGCTGGGACAGTGCATTGAGACGGACATGACTGACGTTCTCGACTACTGCAGGGTCCTACGTGACTCCGATGTCGTGCATGGTTCATGAGAACCCAGAGACCTTCGGAGATGAGGCCTCAGACTTTAACGGCTTCCAATGGGCGGAACAAAGCAAAGACGCAGCGATGACCGGCGCCGCACACATTGTCTTCGGACTGGGCCGCTTCGCGTGCCCGGGTAGAGTGCTCGCTATCAATGGTCAGTTCACTCCTTTACTCACACAAGGATTCTTCCGTCCTGACGAAGCATCCCGGAATAGAAATCAAGCTTATAGTGTTGTGCCTGATAGGACGTGCCACACCGAGTCTTCTTGAAGGCCGGTTCGAAGTCACGGATCCCCTCAACACCGTCACGCAGCCTCCCAAAGGTACTCTGCTCTTCACGCCGTTGGAACAACCCCTGTTATGAAGATATGACCTTCTGGACTCTTGCGGCAGTAGTCATGTTTGTGCTGGTACATATGCGTACCACTCGTAGCTAGTCCGTGAGTTTCGCATTCCCTCGCGGTACGTTGGTCCTGCGATCGATGCCCACGCTGGTCCAACATTGATATTAAGGACATGGGTGCCACACGACCATGTAGGGCAATGTAATGCTTCACGATAACATTAGATGAGACTATATCAGTGGCAGATCAACGAGCGTAGAAATATCCTGAGCAGTGTCCCCAAACAACACAACAGAGTTGCCTATACAACCTCGCAACCGTAGACCCACAGATGAAGCAAATACACGAACAAATATACATTATCCACTCAAGAGGTGATAATCACCGACGGCCACGGCGGCCGTAGGACTGCAAAGGAAGACGAAGTTCAGTTATATGCCGGTCTGACTTCTCCGAAACGCTCAGCTCACCCGTCCAACCTTCTGCTTAACGACCCGTTTCTGGAGATACCGGACCATGTTGCGAAGGTCGGGGTATGCGAAAAGGGGCACGACAATGGCCATGACGGGCAGTGCAATGATCCAGAATCTGTCATCAACGCAGTTAGTATTCATTCGCGAAAGATGATAGCAGAGGGATCGAGAAGTACGTCGATATCAGGGTACAGCGGAGAAAGGGATGAGGACGTACATTAGGTCGCTGTGACCGTGCATGATAGACCACATGTTCTCGAAGTTCATACCCTGTGGCACGGGAGCGAAAGAGCCCAGTCAGGCATATACTGCCGGATGCATGGGACGGCACGTACGAAGTATCCAGTCAGGAGGGTCAGCGGCAAGAAGATGATTGTGGCGAGGGTAAGCCGACGCCTGAAAGGTGCGCCAGAGGAAATCAGTACTGCGATATAGGAACACGGTCGACACTGCACGCACATTACTTCGTTCATTTCGTACGAAGCCATCTGAGGGGCATCACTGTCAGCGAGCGTTCGCGGATTCATAACCGAGGCATGAAATCCTGCAGCTGCAGAAGCTCAGGCAAGGTGGATAGGCGGAAATATCATATCACGAAGTGGAAGGCATTCGCCAAATTGAGTCGCTCGCCATTGGCTCACCAAACCACCGGCGTGCGTGTATTGCAAGTGTTTCTGCCGGCATGTGGGCGACAAGGAGCGAGCAGGACCAAACCGGTGCCACGCAGCTGCGGATTATAGCAAGAGGAAACACCACCTACATTGAACGTGTAATTGATCAGGTTCTCACTGACGCCGGCAAACATCTCCAAGCTAGATAGGATATACTCCATATGATCATGGACATCCGCCTAGACCAGAGCGATCCTTAGTCAGTATCATTCGACGTCACTGCCCCAGCGCGCCCTGCGAATCTCTACACGAAGCCTGACTGGCCAGATCTACCCCCGATGCACGGACAGCTGAGACGACCTGGACGGAAGTCCCGACTCTAGCAGAATTCTGCAGGGTGCTTCGGGGATCAAGGAAATAATTGTACGGACGTACCAGGTAAATCTTGGCCTTATGACTCATGTACCCTTGAATCTTCATGCTGGGGTCGACTTTCTCGGTCAACGCCGCCACCCGGTCATCGTCGTACCGTCGCAGGCCATAGATGACTGTCTTAATTGGCTCGAGCGTGCGTTTGTGAAGGATCAAGTCACCCTGGAGGATGTGCACTGGCGTGGCGAGGCGAGATCAGACCAAGCCGGTGAGGTCTGAACAGCGATAGACATACACCGACGAACAGTCTCCATGCTGGGCTTGAGAAGTACTTCTTGCTCAATCTTCAGGATCTTGGTCTGGTATTCTTCTATCACCTCCAGGGCGGAGTCCACAACTGAATTCCGGGCAGTAAGCTCTCACGTGGCATACACCGAGATGCGAGAAACGTACTCAGGTCAAGCAGGCTTTGTACCAAAAGCGATGCGTCTGCCGACGTTCGTAGGCCGGTATGCCGTTGGCGCAGACGATTGGTGATGGGCTCCGTAAACGCCACACTTGGATCTGGAACGTCCTGTTGAGTTCTCCGTATTCCACGGCACAGAGTGAACCCCACCTCTGTTTATAGAAATGACCGTGCCTGTACGTGACAGGTGAATAAATTGACATAGGACACATGGCACAGGCCTACCATCGCGAAACAGGAAAATGCACAAAGGAAGGACCTTGACGGCGACCCGGTCGCCTTTCTTCAGTTCGCGGATGAGCCTCATGTGGCGGGCAGCTTGTTTCTGTTCACCTCGACTAAGTACAACCTGTCCTCAGAGGCAGAGTCACGACGAACTGCTGACCTTGTTGTCGTTGGCAGGAGACTGAAGTCGCTGCTGTTGTTGAATCTGCATGGCGACGTGCTCCACGTCCTTGGCCTCCTTCACCTTTGCGGCACCATTCCTCAGCGACCCGCGCTTTGTAGAGAACTTTGATGCGCTCGCGCTGCCGTACACAGTGCGGTCGTCGTCTGGCTGCGTGACCTCTTCTTCGCCATCGGAGTCGTCTATGCCAATGAGATCGGGTGACTCTGAGCGCGGAAGGTTGGTGACAGACGAGTCAGGTGTCCCGTAGTCATCCGAGGTGAGCGAGTGGCAGAGGACGCGGAGAAAAAGATGTTGTGGGTAGTAGTCGGCCTTAGAGCGAGAGTGCTGGCGCTGGCTGAGGATGTCCTCGATAGCAAGGGGGTGCATGTCTGGGCGATAAATGTGTCAACGTTGAGTTTGACGACGACCGTAGGGTCACACACCGTACTTGAGCGCGAGCGCGCTGATCACGTCCCAGCTTATGCCTCCCACGTTGATCCACCGTACGCGCACCCAGGGATCCCTCCTACTCGCAGAAGGGTCTCTCAGCATCTTGATGAACTCGTTGTTCGTCATCCGGCCAAAGCTGACGCGCAGCGTCGAGTAGTCCACCACCTCGATCACGCACTTCTGCTTGATACCGCTGTACGCCATGTTCGCGGAGGCGCGGCGGGGGTCGACACCTGGCTCAGCACCGATGCCTGGCCGGACGAAGACGGAGGACGCGGTGCGGTTCATCGCCATGACCTTGCGCACCGTCGTACGGAAGCGGTCCCCCGGTGTGGTGAATGCGCGGGGCAGCACATTGTCAAAGTCTGGTCGCGCCGGGGACCTTGCTGTGGACGCTTGCTGCTGGGAACTTGGTAGGTCCGGTGCTGAGACGACGTCCGGGTCCAATTGCCGTGGTTGTCCGCCCTCGGTCGCGACTATCGGTTCTGGTGAGTCTGAGCGGTGCAGCTCGGTCTCTCGCATCATGGCCTCCTCGAGGTCTGGCGTGAGCGAGCGGCCCTCCGAATCGGTGAAGCTGTTTTCGCGAGGCATGGGTAGGAAGCTGTGAAGATGGTCGTAAAGAAAATGAGAGGGTCTATCGCATTCGTGAGTCGGTTCGAATGGAGGTGTGCATCATAATTATCATATGGAGCAGAGTTGCAACACAACGCTCCCGGGCGCTTCACAAACTTAGACACCGGCCCGCCGCCTCCTCCAGCACCAAATAATGCAGGTATATACTGGATTCTCACTGTGCGCATCAAGAATATGCTTGTAACGCCTCCACTAGCAAGTAGCGAGATATAAAGCCGTTGGCATCAAGCCATAGTTGACGCGGACGTTGAGCCATAACGCAGCGGAAGAGCATTCCGTGCCAGCGCTCAAAGCATAACGGTAGTGGATGAATTGGAAGCCAGCAAATTCGATACTTCGTGAGCGTCGTTGATATGTTCAGTGCCAGCCATTTACATTGCCCTACAATAACTTAATGTCCAGGCAAGGAAACTCGGCTTTCATGACTGTCCGAAAACCAACCCAAGCTGGTTCTCGATGAAGTCGCACTGAGCGACTCGGTACGGTTCGATCGTTTCTGTCGCGGTAGCGTTTATGATGACCTCGTTGTCGCCCGTGTACGGCGGCCACTCGACCACCGCGCCTTCATAGTTCGGGTTGCCAGTCCACGCGAGGGACGTCCACCGCTTGATGACTTCCTGCGTCGTTGCAAGCTCGCTCGGCGTCAAGGGCTGGTACAGGTTGTCCGTCTCCGCCGTGGCGAACACCCAGTAGAGCTCGTCCGCGTGGCACACCTGCCCGGGGCATGTCCTCGGATTCGCAGTGATGGTGGACCCGAGGCCGACGGCGAACATCACTTTGTAGTTGTTCCCCGGGTTCGTGGTGTTATCTGCGAGGGATGAGAGGTAGAGCATGGGGCAGTGCAGGTACCAGTCGGTTATGAGCTGTGCGAGCTGCAGGACCGTGCCGTCTAGGTCGCCCCCTGACGGTGCAGTCGCGTACGGGTATAGGTCCGGCGGGGCGTCGAGGATCTTCTGCACCTGTGTGCTATTGAACCATATGTCGAGGTTGTCCGGGAAGGCAGATGGTGAGGCGTTCGTGGGTATCGAGTCAGGGATGAAGAAGCAATATTCGCATTCGTTCGTGGCCCAGATGGTTGGGACGCGCGCGTAGTTTCCATCCTTGATACTACTCGCGATATCCGTGAGGACGAGGTCACCATCGACAATGATCTCCCATGAGAGGTTCAGGTCGTACGAGGTCGCGACGATGTCCATAGTGGGAAGAGCACGGACGCAAACCGCCATGGTCTCGTTGAACTCGGTGGACGAGTTGTCCGCGCACCCGAGAGCTTTGGCAAGCGTTAGAGACAGCTCGAGGGACCTAGCGGGTGAGTAGAACTGGTTGCTAGTGGGCCAGTCAGACTCCAGAATGGCAGCGCCTGTTCGAATAGCGAATCAGAACAACGTTCCATTGTGAGGTTGGCACACTCACTGAACAGACCCTCGGTGTAGGCTGGGTTGGTCCCGAGCAGGTACCTCGTCATTCCTCCTCCCGCTGATTCACCGAAGATCAGCACATGCGTGGGCTACTCGAATGCGCTCAGCTCGCACTCAGACGTCTAAAACAGCAAGACTCACGTCTCCACCGAAAGCCTCGATGTTATCTTGCACCCACTGCAACGCCAAGAGCGTGTCCCTCAGTGCCGCGTTCGAGGCGTTGAACCATCCGAATGCAGTCAAGCGGTAGTTGACCGTGACAAGGACGACGCCTCCATAGGACACCAGGTTGGTACCGTCGAAGATGTTCGAGGTCGACGGGCCGACATAACCACTCGACGTCTCGTTGAAGGGGATCGGACCACTATCACCTGTGTTCAGACCACCGCCATGAACTGCAAAGGAGCTACGCTTGACTGGTGAGCTTCACTACACCACTGAAAGAGACGCACTGAAGAACATGACGGGCAGCTTGGGCGCAGTCTGCACTGAGTTCGTCCCAGAGTTGACAACCGGCGAGAATACATTGACTTGCAGACAATCCTCGGCATCGTACCATTCATGGCCATTGTCGGCATCAGGAGGCTACGTCCATGGCTCAGGCCGATCGACTTTGGATAACAACTTGCATACGCACCTGGGCGCATGTGGGGCCATACTCGAGCGCCGAGCGCACCGTGTACGGGGACGCCTGCACCGGCGTCGGAGGCTGGAACCTCGCTTCCCCAGTCGGTGGCTCTGCGTACTTGATACCCAGGAACCGGAAGCTGAACTTGTCGCGGTAGCCGACTAGGGTACCCGCTGCAGGGGTGGAGAGCTGGATCTGGCGCGACGTGTCCGCGGTGATATTCGAACGCGTGAGGGGTGCGGAGTTCGTGCAGAGCACGGGCAGACGTGCGCTGAGGTCGGCAGTTGAAAGCGTAGAAGAACCCGGGTAGTCATCTGTGGAATCATAGCTCGGGGTGAAGACTGAGCAACTGCTCGGTTCTAGGTGGTCCATGACTTCATCAGCGATACAAAGGCTACCTCATCCGTATCCGTGCTCACCTTCCGCCGCAATCCAGATCTGCTGCGAGGTATCGAGTGCAGCGCCATGCCTTTCCGACGTGAGGGCCACCGACAGGTTCTGCGCGTTGAGACCCGTGCTATTCGGCGAGGGAAGCAAGGTCTCCTGCAATTGCGCGCAAGCTGCATATGCCTCTGCACACGTAAACGAGTTCGTCAGGAAGAGTGCGCTGGCGCGATCTGGGTTAGACGGGTTCAAGTCATTGTTGGATACGATGACGACGTCGGTATCAGGATAGGACGAGACTGAGGTATTCTGTGCCACCACCAGGCTCCCCAGAACCAGGAGCTCGAGAAGGAACCGCGTCTTCGCCATGCCGAACGAGCAGCGAGAACGCTTACCGGCGTCCTCCTTCACTTATATGCGCCAATCCGAGCGAAAGGATACGCGCTGAGTCCATCGCCGTTCACAGTCGCGGAGCACCGAGGTTTCCACTGTCCCCAGCAACACGGGGATGCGTCCGTAAATACCGGACGCCATCGTGACCATCTGTATTCAAGCATCGACATACGCTGACCATTCGGTCCGCGTTGCCTGAGTATTTATGATCGAGCAGACCTTCATGTGTAGGATCGAGGACAGAATATGGATCAGTTGACCTGTGCTTCTCGCGCTCAAGGACCGATACATACGCACCGCGTCGAAGACACCCTCGAGGAGGGTCCGTTTATCCGAGGTTCGCCCTTGTTACAGCCGCAAAGTTAGCCAATTATTCGTGCAGAACGTCAGAGGACCGGCGTGCCCCGCAGTGGACGAGCAAATACTGTGTCACGATGCGGAGACCGCACGTAAACGGCCAGAACATCTACTTGTGAATACTGACGGCAGCGGAGATACAGGCATTAGTTGGATGTATGAAAACCCGCATGTGCTGTGGGCAGGGTGCGTAATGTATGCAAGAAACCCCACAGTACAGAAGTTAGTCGAGGTTCCTGTCGCGGAACTTCTTGTACAGCCCCAAAATGACGTCGTTCGCAGTAAGCGTGATGATCCTGCGAATAGTCTCAGCCCCCGTGCATATCTGAACAGCAGCAACCTTAGGACATACGTATGCGGTGCTATACGGAAGAAGTGTGCCGTAGACCCTGAACAGACAATCAGCTACTATTGCAACAGCACATGCTGAACGTAACAACTACCTTTGTACCACCCTAGCGGACCCTCGGCCTTGAGCGTCTTCCATAGACAATCTATAGGGTTTTTGTACAGCGTGCCGACGAACCTGCCGTTCGGAAGTTGTCGTGTCGGTTGGTTGTATACACGAGTCAACGCCTACGAGAACCAGGTCAGTCACTGTGGTGGTGATTGCGGCAGACGGCAGCTTACGGTGTCAGCTGGTTGCATTGCTGTGAGCTGTTAAAGTGGTTAACTTGAATGACCAAGAGACAAACGATCACAGCGCCTTACCACACACATGCCTGACACTGAACTACTCGCCAGGTACGTCCAAACACTGTCAGCGGGGAGAATGCCGTTCGAGACAAGCTGGTTCTTGGTCCAGTTGTAAGAAGGCAATTGAACCTGGTCTCAATAGCTCAGACAATAGAGGCGGCTAACTGTACTTTGGGACTTACGGACGAGCCCATCGCCGTGCGTAGAATGGCAGCATCGACACCGCGGACGAGGCCTCGCAGACCCTCTCTCCGGAAGATCGTGGTGAACGCATCCCATGCGCTTTTGTAGTAGTGTTGTGTACCGACAGGCAGAGCGGGTGAATATGCCTTTATTGCATGCGTTCAGCGTGTATCTGGCGTGCCGTGCCATGAACTCACCTGCAACCGCGCCTTGATCAAGAACAGAGGATTGCCCATGGATGCTAACGCCCCTTCATCATACCGTCCCCTCATGCAAGCGCACACGAATCACATACCACCAATCGCCCCACTCGCGGCACCAGCAAATATTGAGGTATATGGCCGCTGTTCTGTTGGCGAGAAGCCGAGTAGCTTGTTGACATTTTGTCGAATCGGCTCGTAAAATCCTGCATGTCCGTGAGCTAACAACACTTGCAACGTAGCAAACTCGCGCACCGAGACGAGACCCGTTAAGGAGGATCTGCGGAATATGACAAGGAGTCCATCAAAGCATGGCTTCGCACTCACTTGATACAGATACTCTCGTTGAAGTCAGTCACAAAGAGCGAGGGAGATGGTGACGCGCTCACAGCAGGACCGAGACCTCTCTGGATTCCCCTGATCCCCTCGTGCTTCCACGTCTTTTGCAAGACGTCCAGAGTGTGCTTGTACACCTTCACGCCACCATCCTTCGCTAGCTCGCCCTGCAGCTGTAGCCGCGTCTTTGCCACTTCTGGCGGGTTGGAGAATGTGACCTAGACTCGTCCAGATCACTGGTCAGTCCCACCGGGTCCATCCCTCGTCACATACCGCCACGCATGCCGCCGCGCCGCCACAGAGGAATCCCTCCGCCGTGCTGAGTGGGCGGCCCTTGACTGGGACTGCACTCGAACTCATGGGTCTAGGAGAGCCCCAGGCTGCCGCTGGCTGAATAGGTGAGAGTGTCGTCCGAGCGCCGCGCAAGTCTCAGAGACCCAATGAGTCAGGCTTATGTGGCGGCAATGTGGCGGTCGTGCGCGCGGATGTCGGGACGCGGTGTCGTGATCATCGCGCTGCGTAGCTCGGATGGACATCGCGTAGGTACAGTATGCGGGGACAAGACACGCTCTCACAGAGTAAATTTATACAAGTCGTTTCTTCTCGGCTGAGAGGATCTTCTGATGCAAGAACGGTACAATGTATTGATTGACATGCTGAGCTCAATTGTCTGACTGAGAAGCATATGTGACGTGAGTCCGTGTTGCGCGAAGTTGCACGACGCATCTGCTCAGTCGAATACTGTCAGATCATCAAGACAAGCGACTATCGTGCATGGCAGGATCGGACGCAAAGCCAACGCAAGACAGCAGTGGGACTACAGTAGGATATATAAGCCATGATTATCATTGCATCAGCCGTACTACGCAGGATCACCTCAGTTGGGCCCCGCTTATCTCGCAAGACCTTGAACAATGAGCATAAGATCAACACATTTCTTCGCGACAGCGTAGACGACGGTCTGCAGATGAACAGGCAGCGAATTGGGAAACACGCTCGCACCCACGATGCGCAGTTTGCGAAAGTCATACACGCGCATCTCATCGTCTACAATGTCAGGGTGCTCATCGTCCTCGTTAGGAGATATAATGCTGCTTGGGTAGTGGTACATAGTATCTGAGCACTGAGCACTTATCGATATCCTGTCCCTGAGCGCCGCATCGCTCGAGATGTCCGGAACACGGACGTCCCGCAAAGGATATCCATCCTCACGAAGCTGGCACGCCGGAGTGCAGAACGAAGGGCGATGCGGTCTTCTTCTGCGCTGAGGTACCGTATGTCGCAGAGAGGCTTGGCCTTTGAGTCAAGCGAGCGCGGACGGACTGGTCTCGTACCCATCCGTGTGGACGCACCCCACCCCTGTCGACGGTGGTGGGGGCGTCCACCAGTGCGTACTGCATCGTACCGACGACCACATGTCGGTAGCGAGTAGGGGCGGTGAGTGCACACGGAGGGGTGGATGTAGGGAAGAGGGGGGGGGGGGGGGAGGGGGGCGGATGCAGTCACAAACGAGAAAAAAAAAAAAAAAAAAAAATGGAAGTAACGAAAAAAAAAGACCACGAAAAAAAAGAGAGCAAACATTGTACTGTCACAGGGTATGTTTATAGCGTGACCTCGATTAGGACATGTGTAAACCAACCACAATGTTTGTATGCACAACATTGTGCCGACGTACCATGACCATGAAGCATTGTGTTCTCATGTTCATGCACCGGACATTTTGAAGATTTGGGGAGTTAACATTCCAAGGACATGTGTGATCATTGAAAGAACATGATTAAGAACCAATGTTTTTACAATGTTGTGACCATGTTTGACCTCCAGACATGCACGGTGGTCATACTCGGAACATTGCAAGAACAGTTATCATGTGCTTGCAATGTTCGCTTCATATCACGACGGTGTACACTCGGCATGTACAGACACAGAACATGTGGCTTACAGATGAGGATCATGCATAGTGTTTGGTCTATGCACTCTTATGGAACACACCATGAACACGCCTCATGTTGATCGTCCAGACAATGATAATGCTGTTGCAATGCTTGGGACTTCGAACACGGGGCAGTCACTGTCAATGATCCTCGAGTGTTCGGCGACTGAACACCGTGGGAACATTTATCATAAGTCGTAGAATGTCCGTAACATGTTCGCGCGACGAGCAACGCGTCTTGTCCCCAGCGAGTGGTCGGAGGAGACGCATTCTCCTCATGTGATCGTCGCGTCAGTCACGTGTATTCAACGCGTCGCGTTTCCTGGCGCCTACTTACGGAGCCACGCCTTTCTGAAGACCACCGCCACTCCAGACTTTGGCTTACGGTCTCTGATGTGTTTGTAGCATAAGATTTCTAGGAGGTCAAGACAAGTACAAGAAATATCATGGACGGAACATGTACGTCGTCGCTCTTGTGCTTTCTCTCGTACTGATCAGTGCGTAACAGATTCACGCTCACCCTCGCCTGTCGAGACGCGTCACAGACTTTCATCTCCTACTTACGACGAGCAAGTCAACATGAGCCAAAAAGAGATCGAGGCTTTCGATGAATATGAATCTAGCCAGCGCCCTCTACGCCTCCGATCGCCCGATCCTCCCGAGACCTCAGAGCTCAAGCGGCGCAGAAGCAAAGCGACAGCGGACAACTCGGATGAGTGGGATGGGCAGGGCCGGAAGAAGCGTATATCTCTGGAAAGACAGAGTAGCTTCGATGGTGGGTAGGTTCTCTATCCCGAATGCCCCTTCGGCTCACCTCGTCCAGAAATGTTTGCTCCGCTACCTCCGAACGAACGGCCACAAGCCGACGGCGCAGATACCACTGTTATCCCGACATTCTCTGGCTTTGTATCAGCTGCGCGCGTGGCGGTGGCAAACACCGTTGACCATGCTGATGACGCAGACGTCGTACAAACGACGCATACACCCACGAAATCTCACGGGTTTGGCTTCACTTCCGCTGCAAACCTCGCAAATAGCTCGTTCGAACATCAAGTCGATACTCTGCCGACATCGTCGCCGGATGCACCGGCAGATCAAGACTATTCAGATTGGTTCTCTGCCAAAATCCCAGAGGGTGCAGCGACCGGTTTCCAGTCTGCGAGAGCTGTCAAGTCCGCGCCTCCCGTCAACGATGCAATCGCCCCACTAGACCCGGCGTTGACCGCTCTCCCTGCCTTTACGTCAAGTCGCATTCTCTTTGAGAACGAGCGCGGCCCACCCATGTCCCAAATCAATACTGAATCCCCGACCATCTCGGGATTCAGCTCTGCTATCAACTATGTGCACAGTATAGAGAATGGAACCACAGTACAGGACTGGGCGAAGCCGTCTGCCGACGCACTCGCTCGCGCGGCCGCTAAATTGAAGGCATGGGAGGCAGAAATGGACACGGACTTCACTGTGGACCCGTCGATCCCTGAGCTCCCGGAAGGTGGTGGCGCGCTGGGGAGGATCGACTTCGAAAGACCTGCGTTGCGTGCAATGGAGAATTCATTCGCGCCTGCGGCTAGCGTACCGGATAGTCCAACTCCCTCGAGGGCAGGCTTTAGTCGGGCGGGTGGCTCAATGGGTAAACTTCCTGGGCTAGGCAAGAACAAGGCCTTCAAGTCGCCTTTGCTCGTACGTCCTACAGCTACGCCCAAGACCACCGCAGGAACATCGTATGTAAACTCACCCCTGAACCCAAACGCCGCAGCATCGACTTCAAAGCTACCACCAGCATTCGCGACGCCGACCCGTCCTGGGACGTCGTCCTTGACGTCGTTCACGCCGTTGATGCCAAGGACTACGACGCCCGGCAAGAGCTTAGGGTTGACGCCCCGCAGACTAGGCTTCAAGTCCGCCGCAGGGAAACCGAAGTTTGTCACCCCTTTCAAGCCTGGCATGAAGCCTGGAGAATCTGGTCGTGTCGAGCTCGAGCAGAAGACACTGGATGCGTCCCAGAGAGCTAGCGTTACCGTCATCGGGAGTCCTAGGCCGGCTTATAATAACAATAAAGCCACGGGGAAGACAACCTTCTTTAATTTGGGTCAGTCTCCATGTTACCGCATAATTACAGTACTAACTCCCACGTGTAGCAAAGCCCAGTGGTAGACAAACCCTTCAATCAAGTGGTCTACGACCGCAAACCTACGATGAAGTCGAGTTGTCTGATATGGTTGGAGAGTACGTGCCAACTTCCGTGGCCTGAGCGAATTACCTATTCACTATCAATACAGCAACTACGACAGCCTCAAGCAATAACTCCGGAGAACGCGCTGTTCTACAGGTTCCATTCTCGATCCTCTCACATTCCATCGTACCAAACAGGAGATTCTTCCATGCTCGGCGCCGACGCTGCTCTGGAGGACCTGCATGACGCTGGTTGCGATCTTGCAACACGGGAATGGGTAAACAATCACTGGTCACTGATCCTCTGGAAGCTGGCCGGAATGGTCAGCCTGCAGCCCCAGCTCGAGGCCGACCCCGCTACTCGGCGATGGTGTTGGCAGGAGGTCATCAACCAGTTGCTGTACCGGTACTGTTCAAGCCTTTCGGCGTTCCGCAGAGTCACTTACACACACCCAAAGGTATGAGCGCGAGCTCAACTCGGCCTCGAGACCGCCTTTGCGGCTCATCACAACGCACGACGCGCCGGCAACTTGTCCCATGGTTCTGTGTGTGACGAGCATCACATGGCACGACGGTCCTAGGGATGAAGACGGCAGCACCAGCGATCGCTGGGCCGACGTCGAGATGACGGATGGATGGTATCGCATTCGCGTCGCAGTAGACGACCCGATCGAGCGTGCCATCAACAGGGGCCATATTCGTCCTGGACGGAAGCTTGCCATTCAGAATGCACGGGTACGTGTTCCATCGGCTCGGCGCGCCTGGTTACATGCTGACCTGGTTGGCAGCTGATGCACAAAGAAGGCAGAGAGCCTGCAGAGCCGCTCGAGGCATATACACAGATGAACCTGCAAATATGCGGCAACTCCTGCCACTTGGCTCCATGGCACGCCAAACTCGGTTTTGTGCGCAACCCTATGGTCGCCACGCTGGATAGATTGACTGCTGACGGCGGGCTGGTAACGTTGCTTGATGTTACGGTCGAGAGGGTCAGCAGAGTTCCTTTTAGTTGCGGAGGCCATTGCGCTGATGTAGACTACTCTTCGCAGGTATATCCTATCGCATATATGGAGTTCACTACCGCGCAAGACGGCAAGAAGGAATGTCTCGGTATCCATAATGAGAAAGAAGAGACTCAAGCTCAGGACAGATGGACGGTAATGTATCTCAGTCCCTACATGGCGGGTTCGATCTTACCATATGGTGTCGAAGGCTCAACGAGAAGCAGCGGCACAGAAGATCCGTGACGAGTACGATGTCAAGATTCACCGATGGCAGGTCTGGTTAGAGACGTTCGAGGCGCGTGCTGGCACGCGTTGGCAGCCCACCGATGCGAATGAGCATTGTGCGTTCCTCGTGTATGCAGCTCCATGCTCTCTACTGACCCCCAGTTAGTATCAGCTGATGCTGAGGATCAATGGCTCAACCTCGTGGATGAACCAACCACCTTTGCTCAGGTGAAGAGAGAGATGACGACCGACCGTGCGGGATGGCTTGCGTTCCACGCTCGTCACGAGATCACGAAGACGACGGAGAACCTTTCTGAAGAGATCGGTAAAGAACTAGAGGTACGTTCGGATGTTCGCCGAAGGGCCTCCGGAATGACTGAAAGACGATAGGCCGACTACCCGCCGCGCGAGTCGCGGAGCTTCCGGGTGATCGTGGTCAAGGATGCGCGCTGGGAGAAACGGGAGCCTCTGCGCCAGGGGCAGGTACACATCTGGGACATTCTCAAATGTGTGCAGACTGAGGGCGGCAAGCCCGGCCACTTTGAAGTGGGCGAGAGGTACCTCGTAAGTATATTCACATTGTCTGTGGAAGCATCGACGTTGACGGGAGTCGTAGATTTCGAATTTGATGCCGTCGCACAAGACTGCATGGATGGCGCCCGACATCGACGCCGCGGTCTACTTCAACACCACGCAGAGCACAAGAATCCAGAAGGTCAAACCGTAGCCTACAAGCACACCCCATGAAGGTCCTACCTCGCGTAACTTATGTTTCCTTATTGCCGTGTCATGTTCTCTGCTGTGCATATTGTACGCGTGATATGTGCGGTGTATTAGTTGACTGTTGTACTGATAACATGATACAATGCACGACCCCTCCCTCAAACCGCGCCTCCGACGCCATACTTCCTCAGCGTCGCATCCCTGTCCGGAAGATCCTCCCGACCCATGGTGACAACCGTAGCGCGCTTCGCCTGCTCCGGGCTGAAGATCCTCTGCGCGACCCTGCGCAACGACTTCGCGCTCACCGCGTCGATCTTCGCGCACATCTCGCTGACGGGCACCTTGCGGTTGTGCACGAGCACCTGGCGGCCGAGGTCCTCCACCTCGACGGCACGGCTCTCAAGCGCCATCATGAGGCTGCTCTGCAGCTGGTTCTTCGCGCGCTGGAGCTCCGTCTCGCTGATGGGCGTGTACAGCAGCAGCGAGAGCTGGTGCACGAGGTGCGGGAAGATCTGCGAGGGCGTATTCCCCGCAGAGTGGCGCCCCGCCGCGGGCACGAACGACGCGAACAGCCCGAACAGCGACGAGTCCGTGTAGATGTGGTGGAACGACGCGCAGTGGTCGATCTGCGGGTAGTGGTTCAGGATGTGCGTGTACAGGCGCGAGTACATGCCCTTGCCCGGGCCGCCCGCGGAGAAGCTGCCCCCGCCGCCGAGCAGCACCTGCATCGTCGCCAGCGTATAGACGTCGTCGTCGTGGATGCCCACGCCCTCGAACGCGAGGTACACGTGGTTGAACTCGGACGACGGGTTGTGGATGAAGTGCGAGCCGCCGGTGTACGTCGCAGCGGACGACTCCGGACTTAGTGCGGCATCAACGCCAGACGTGGGGTAGAGATATGAGGATGCTGCGCGGGTGAGCGACTTGAATGGTGTGGGTGTCGAAGAGGAGTGCAGAAGCTGCGAGGGTACTTGTTGTGCAGACGACCGTGAGGAGGATGTAGATGGTGAGGGTGAGGCGGTTAATGACGAAAAGTACTTGTCAGCGAGCTCGACCAGTTCCTCGTGCGGCATGCCCGCGCCTGCAATGACCATACGCTCCGGACGGTACCACTGCTTCATGAACCCGTTCAGGGTCGGCTGGTCAATGAGGTCGATTCGGTGCTCGGGACAGAGCAGCGGGTTCCCCAGTGTCTTGCCGTCGTACGCGACCTCGTGGAGAATCTCCGGGAGTATCATCTCTGGCTTTGCACTCACCTCCCTGATCTCGTAGCGAGCGGCCTCTCGTTGTGCGACAATCTCTTCGGGGAGGAAGGACGACTGCAGCGCCGTGTCCGCAATGAGAGACATTGCAAGAGGCGTCGCCGCGTGGAAGTGCGACGACTGGTACATGATGGACTCGCGCGAAGACGAGCACAGGATCTGACCACCAAGTTTGTCAATGGCTTGCGCCATCTCCTCGTCCGACCGGGAGCTGGTGGTCTGTGTATGTTATTAGGATGTCGGTCTAGGTACTGCAGCGCGTAATTCACCTTGAAGGCCATCCTGTCCAGGAAATGGCTCACGCCCGACGTTGACGGTGTCTCATAGCGAGACCCTGCGTCGACATAGAGGCCTACTGCCGAGAAATGCCCAGGTGTCGACTCTGTTGCGACACGGATTTTGTTTGGGAGGGCAGTGATCTTCACAGGCGGATTGGCATCGGTAGAAACGACGGAATACGCTCGTCGTTGTCGTCGCAAGCTGCTCCGGAGGAGAGAGGATGTTGCTCGTCGCATGGAGGTCGTGGTCGAAGAAGGAGCAGGATGGTGTCGAGACTCGACGGCGAGTAAGCACACCGCTCGGCATATGACCGTGAACAAAAAAAGGCCCCACCGTGATTCGAACACGGGACCACACGATAGTTACCCCACTGCAATCGTATGCTCTAAACCACTGAGCTATAGGGCCGCATTAATTGGCGCTTTCGCTGTTAGCTATCACCCGCTGACACAAAGACGAGCTATAGATATTCGGACATAGCGGCTCGGACGGGAGTTCAAGGACGGGAGTGAGATGGGTGAGCCGGGTATGCCTCCCTCCTCTTCCCCTTCTCTTTCTCACCACCATGAGTGTATCAAGCGTGCTCTCGAACAGCACCTTCGCCCACGTTAATCCGCTGCATTTCTGGGGCCCCGTCACCGCTACCCTCGACTGGTGCGAGGTGAGCGATGTAATACTATCCGACGATCCCCGGCCCGAGCTCATCGCCGACGACCATCCAGGCGAACTACCAGTTCTCCAATTACATCGCGGAAGCTACCAACACTTTCTCAAACCTATGTACGGTCGGCCTAGCCCTCTGGGGCCTGTACCAGGCGTACGCACAGTCTCTGCCGCCGCGGTACTTCATCGGCCAGGCGGTGAGTGCGTCTGACGCGTCTGCGACCGTACGCTGACTGGACGATCCTGTAGGGCTTTGCTCTCGTCGGTGTGGGGAGCATGATCTTCCATGCCACCCTTCTGTTTGAGGCCCAGCTCGCGGACGAGCTTCCCATGATCTACGTCGCGTCCTACTGTTGTGCCGTCCTCTTCGACACCACGCGCGGTTACGATCTTCGTGACTCCCCCATCATCCCACTCCTTATCGGCGTTACCACCTTCAACGTGCTGTTTACCTGGTCCTAGTGTGTCTCCCCGGTCGTGTGCTATGTATAGCCTCAGGCGCGCCCACTGACGTCCGCGCTCCCACAGCTTCATTAACCGGAACCCGGTTTACCACCAAGTCGTGTTCGCAGGGCTGCTCGCCATCACGTCCGTTCGCACCGTCTACCTCCTGCGCAACCCCAACATCGCAAAGCGCGTCCCGCCGCCCGCCAAGGCGACCGTCGCGCGCCTCTTCTGGAGCGGCGCCGCCACCTTCGCGCTCGGCTTCTTCATCTGGAACCTAGACAACATCTTCTGTGACACGATCACCCGCTGGAAGCACGTCTTGGGCTGGCCGGCCGCGTTCGTTTTGGAAGGTGCGCCCGCCCAAGTCTGCTGTGCCCATATTGCCTGCGGTTGACTGATAGCTCCGACGCAACGCGCACAGGCCACTCGTGGTGGCACATCCTGACGGTCAGTAGCGTGTCGCACTAAGCTGATACCCCCGCTGGCCGACGCTAACGCGCTCACCCGCGCATAGGCTACCGGCACGTATCTAATGCTCGTCGGAAACACATGTAAGCCTCTCCGCATTCTATCACGCATATCTGACGGCTCATCGTCGTAACCAGATATGTAGGTCTCTGCGGACAAGGGGGCAGATCATTGATACTGATATGCTTTCCTTGGTGCGTCTCTGATTCTCCACGGACTGACGCACGTTGTTCTACAGGACGCTGTGCATCAAGGAAGACCACCGTAACTTCGGGATCCGATCGAAGTTCGGTGTACCGTGCCTTCAACGTGTTGCGGGCGAGAAAGTGAAGGCTCAGTGAATGCGCGTGTGATACGAACAAGTACCTTCGCTTTCCACTCTGAACGTTAACTGCTGATAGAAGTCCCGAGAACGTCATGTCCGTCACGATTTCACGACCCCTGCATGCTCTCCTACATAGACGTCTATCCATGGTCCCGCATCTTGTTGTCAAATCAGTGCTCTGTAGCGCTACGTTTCACTAATTGCAATGTACAACTATCTCTCCGAACGATACTGTTTCACTATATGCGCGAAGAGGACTGCTGATTGCGGACGCAAACTCTCATTCGTTCTTTCAGACGCTCTGCTTGTCACAACTGTTGGTTGTATTGTGTGGGCGTCGTCCGCATTGAGCGACACCTCGTCGTCTTCGCACCTCCCCAGGCATTCCGAGAGTCGTCTTCGCTTGCTACCCAGTCTCTGCGTGCCGTTTCGCCATCTACAAATGCCTGAGTTACAAAGAGTGTCTCGACTCTCGACGCATGCGCCGCCTGCTTCTCGCCCATCTTCGGAGGCGGACTCAGAGAGGCGGGCCCAGCGTCGGCTTCCGCGCGGGCTTGAACCTGCAGACTTCAACAGGCTTGAACGCATGCGAGCCGTAGACCTCTGGGAAACTGCTCTTGTCAACCACCACCATGCCTGGCGGCATCATGGTGTATCCTCGTCGACCATGCACAAAACCCCTTGGGTGGCCACTTCGGTTTGGAGGTGTCTCCTGACATTCTTCTTGTCTACTAGTTGAAAGAGAAGATCAAGGAGGAGGCGCAGAATCGCCTCGCGCATTTCGACGCGCACGACCTCGAGTTGTGGAAAAGCGGCTGGCAGTTGTCTGGTCACGGAGACTCTGGGTTATCTGAGGATGACCGAGTGGTAGCTCGTATCCGCGATTATGACTTTTCTAGAGGGAAACTATCCCCAGAGAACCAGCTCGAGGCCTCAAACGGCGATGTTGTCATTGCTCGAGTACCGCGAAGGCCTGGTGCGTGATATGGTCTACTTTCTCCTGCAGGTAAGCTGATTCCACTAACTATTCGACTTACGGGTAGCCTCCATGGCCATGCGAGAGGGCACGTTACATCCTCCTCCATTGATCGCACAGCGCCGCAAATGGTTCGAACACAATCCATCAAAGTCACCTTCCGCTGCAGCCAATCCTTCTTCATTCTATGGCACGCAGCAGGACAAGGAACGCAGGCTTAACTGCGGTCGCCCATATGAGCTCTCGACACCACCGTCTTTGTTGGACAAAACGCTCGCGGAACTTCGTTACAACATAGCCACCATCCAACCAACCACTGAAGACATGCGGTGTTTTCAGTCTCTCCGTCAGATAGGTGCCGAGCTATACGAGGATGAACGCGAGCGGGAAGACGCATTCACGTGTGCCCTCACGAGCGGTAAAATCCTCCCGGACGATCTTAGGAGGGCACCATATACAATTACCGCGGCGACAGTACCTTGTGTGTTCGGCTCAGAGGGAACCAAATACCGTGTTACATCCAAGTAATCAAGTGCGAGGTCGGCGGAAATTCAGCAGACCCCTACCTGGAAGCCATCTACTACTGGCTTGAATACATGCGTCCTTGGATAACAGGAAGTCCGGAAGGTCTCTCTGACGACGATGCAATGAGGTCCAACTTTCCCGCAATCCTGGTCCTGCAATTTGGTGAGTGTTTACCAGTTCGCGTTCATTCATCCATTGACTTCCAAGGTAAGGACCGTATCTCGCTGTTGCCGCAGCCGCGTATGGTGCCGAGCCGAACGTCGAGCACCTCGCTTGCATCCCGCTTCATGCGCATTCCACAAACTCAGGACTAGATCAAGTTGGAGCACGCGTGTTAGCGGCCCTCCGTGTCGCCACCCGTTCTCTATGCGATCGATATCTAACGCTCGCTACCGAGCGTGGGCCGTTAGCCCAATACCCCTTCCGCGACTTCTACGAAGGCAACGACGGTGAGCACCGATTCGTATACGACTAATGCATCGAGGAGACACGGGTCTTCCGTGCCCATTTCGACGGGCCACAGCGAACACCGATCATTGTCAAGTTCTGCACACGGTACTCCGAGACTGTCCATCGCGCAGCCTATGCCGCTGGCCTTGCTCCCGCGCTGTACTCGTATGTATGCTCCACTGAACTTCAATTTGATGCCCCATCACTTGGCGCTCTCACTTGTCTGCCATAGAATGGCCGGAAAGCTATGGGTAGGCATGTCGGATATGGCGGCTCGACGAAGGTGACGTGGGGATGTCGATGAGTGTTGAGTACGCTGGAGAGAGGCCCAGGAACCTGTCTCCTCTTTTTCTCTTTGCACAACTCAAGGGTGATCTCGAACAGCACCCTCGCCCCGTCAAGCCGCTGCGGTTTTTTCGGCCGCTCTCGCCTGATCGCACATAGACGTCTACTCAAGGCCCTGCATCTTGTTGTCAAAGAAAGTAGGGCCACGTCCAATCAAATGAAATGTAGAGCCATCCCCACAATCAACCACAGCTTCGCTGTTCATCTCCTCGACTCGGATGTATGCGCGAAGAGGACCACCAACTAGTACTGTCACGGACGCCACACTTCTCGACATTCTATCACCTATCACAAGTGTTGTATGTAGATGTACAAATCCTTAGTTCCTACGATATCGTCCGCACCGAGCGACTTCATCCTCTTCGCACATCCCAAGCCATCACCATCCTTCACTCGCCACCCAGTCTCTGCGCACGCTTCGCCATCTACGAATGCCAGGTCATACCACGGATTCCTAAACAGAAATATAAGCATCACTCACCACAGCAGCCAGATCCAGCTGACCAGCGGGCGCCGACGGCTTCGCGACACCTCCCGCCGACGGCTTCGGCGCCGCCGCAGGCCTCGACGCGGTCGGTACCGGAGGCTTCCCGCCCACCTTGGGGGGCGCACCAGGCTTCGCCGCGAGCGGAGGTGGGCCCGGCTTTGGCTTCGGCGCGGGCGGCGGCGCCTTGGACGCGAGGGAGCTGACGGGGCGCGAACTCGTCGGCGTCGTGTCATTCGAAGAGCCGTTCGTCCCCGTCGATGCGGTCTTCTTCCATGGTGCAGTGGACCCGTTTGCAGGCATCATACCCGGGAAGACTGCCATGGGCTTCGCGGAGGGGTCGGCGACGATTGGCTTCGCGTAAACCTTGGGGGCGGCGGGTGCTGCTGGGGCGGCAGGGGCAGCCGGTGCTGCTGGGGGAAGACGACGGCCAGCGGGTGGAGGCGGAGGTGCGGGCGCAGCCTTGGGCTTTGGTGGGACAAGCTCGAGGTAGTTGCTTGGTGCCCAGCCTTCGGCGCCGTCCTTCTTCACGAGCCACCACCCGTTGTCGTCCTTCTCGGCCAACTCGACGAGGTCGTCCTTCTTCAGCGACATCTCGCCTGGCTGGCCCTCGAACGCGAACTTGGCACGGTACAAGTCCACGTCGGGTTCGGGAGGTGGCGGTGGCGGCGCGGCATGTCGAGCAGGTGGAGGAGGAGGTGCGGCTGGTACGCTGGATACAGCGGACGGGATGCTCGGCTTGACAGCTGCGGCTGGTGTTGACCTGCCCGGTAGCGGCTGTGCTGCAGGCTTCGGTCGTGATGCTGCTGGTTTCTGTGGGTTTCATACATAAGTGACCGTCAGAATTCAGGATGCATGGCTAAACGGTGGCTCACATCTGACGGCCCGCCTTTCCGCAAGAGCTTGCCTTGAGTGATGGGTCGTACGACACCAGCTTTACGTTTCGCGGGAGGACGAGAGAGACTGCCAGGCGGTTCACCAGACGGCACATGCACAGTATGACTCTTGTACACATCATCTCTCTGGACGGTCTCGTCCTTAATGAACTTGACCTGCGCCTTCTTCTCTTTCTTCTTATTGTACTCGAAGCTGGAAAATTTGTCAGAAAGTGCGATAGCAAGGTAGTCGAATACCTACATCGGATTGATTGTTATGCTGATACTGCCCGACGTTAGTTGCAACATGTGCGTGCAGAACTCAGTCTTGAAGACACAGCTGATAAGGGGATCCCCTCCTCGGTAGGGCCAAGATTCAGCGCCTGGATGGGGAATCAGTTGTATGATATGCAGTGTGTACTGAGTACACTTGCCAGCCAGTCATCCCGCAATGTAGACATCGAAACAGCCTTGATGGTCACCAGAGGAACTTTGCGATCCAACGCGTAATTCGTCTGTCCATCTTTGCTTGTGAGGATGACAATATGTACTGCCTTCTGCGTCTGCAAAGCAACAGTTAGCGTCATACTCATCGAACAACTGATATATTTGGCATACCAGGACAAGAAAACGGGGGCTCGGTTTACTAGAGCGACCAGTCTTGGAGACCAAGATTTCACATTTTGAGCTGAACGCCACCTTGTCATCTACGGACTCGTGAGTTTCCCTATGGAAACGACATGAACGACGAAGACATACTCCCGATGCCGCATGCATTGGCCAGTTCCTCGCCAAGCGGAGTCTTGTCATTGACATAGAGGTAGTCACCCATGAACCGCCGGTAGCTCAGGAGACTGAAACGCCTGCGTTCCTTCCTGCCCGCCAAGATCTGGTGACCGTAGTCTCGGGTTTTTGCGTACTCGATGGCCTCCTTATTATTCTTCCAGAAGCGCTGGATGCGCCGCGCGCACTCGTGTCTGTAGCGCATGTAGTTCCGCCATGCACGCTGGATACGGCCAGCCATATTGTGCCAGTAGCGATCGCGCATAGTTTCCAGAGCAAAGAGCTACCGACACTCGTGTAAGTGGTGTCCGTCTGTAATGTCCCGAACGACTCTGCACACACCGTCTCTGGATTCTTGATGAAGGCTTTCGTTACGCCCATCTGCCACTCCTCTTTCGCAATGCCTGTATCAGTGAGAATACGCTCGCAGCCCGATTTCGCATCTCCGTGCCACGTATACTCTCCCGCGTACGAGGTAGCAGGCGAAAGCAAGTAGAACCGCTCCACCATCTTCTCGAAGGTATTCCGGTACGCGAAGCCTGCTCTCCGCACGCGGATGTTCTCCTGCAGACCGAGATATTTCACCTGATGCAAGACCGCCTTCGTGTCGTATTCCGTTGCACTGCGGTTCTGATTCGGCTTGATCGTACGGATGTACGAAGGCTGAGCACGCATGAGGTTCTCGACGAGCGCACCAGCGGATGCCTATCGAGGATGTCAATTACCGCACACTACAGACGACACGACGCTGACCTTGATCCTGTCACCCGCAGTAGGAGGCCTCTTCTTGCTGTTTGGATCTGGCCGATCTGGGAAGAGACCCTGCAAGAATTGGTTGCTACTGCTACCAACGAGGTCCAGCAAGTCCTTCACAAGCAAGTCCTTGTTCTTGTCCGTCATACCGGCCACGTTGTACATGACATCTCCAGCATAGTGCTTCACCAAAAACTGCGCACCACGCGCATCGAAGTGCGGGTTGCTTGCGAGGGAAGCCGTTCGTTGTATGAAACTGTTGTCAGCAGCGGTCGGGTCGGCATGTGCTGTGGCACAGGCGTCGTTCAGCGCAGCGAAAATACCTGGGGGGCGCTTCTCCTCGATGAGGTCGCACACGATCTTGTTGTTGAAGTACTTGATCGGAGTCCACTTGATCTGTTCGCGGACGTACTCCTCTTGTTCCGTCTTGAGCGTCAGCTCGATGAAGATCTGCTGCAGCTTCTCATTGACGTAGTTGATGCAGAGCTGCTCGAACGAGTTGTCCTGCAGCCGGCCGTATCAGATATTAGCCCCCCGCACCCACTACATGACGCGTACCTCGAAGATCTCAAAACCGAAGATATCCTGGCCACGATAGCTCAGCGGACTAGTTGCATAGAGGGGACCGAGCGCATACCAGGATGCCGATGAGCTGAGTGGTCGTGCTCCGTGGCTTCATTGATGCGTTGATTCTTGACACGATCCACTCAAACAAATTGTTGTAGATGGCCTTTGATAGAGCATCCCGGCCAGAAGTGGCTTGCGAGGGATTCAAAGGTACGTCGTAAATGGAGCCCCTCCTGCCACCTCTTTGTGTCTCCATAACCTTGATCGTCATGACCTTCTGTACGAGAGCCGCATCCACCTCCAGGAGGTACGCAACGAAGTCAGTCACGCCAGCGTCAGCGATCGCTGAGTTTCCGTCGTCGTTCTCCTGGAACTGGACGTTGCCGAGCCAGAGGATAGCTGCGAGCATACGCAAGATCTCCGACTGTTCGTAGTCACTCAACCCGATCACCTGCATGGCTTTCTGCGGGAGCGGTCAGCAACGTGCTGGAGGCTATGTGAGAGTCGCTTACGATCGTCTCGCCGAAGTCTTCAACATCGTCGATACCCTGAACTTCCAAGCAGTTGCTTAGGCTCGTGTATGCATATGCCTCCGGACCTTGCAAGCCGTACGCCTCTAGCTGGGGCTCAATACATTGTATTTGCTGAGCCAATTGAAACTGACCTCGCTGCGCAGCGACGCGCCTTTGGTGAACTGATAGAATATATGGAAGTTCCGCTCGTCCCCGACCTGTCCAACCACACGGCCCTTCTCGAGAAGATAGTTCGTGATCTGAGCACCTATTGGTTCTCCATGGTCGTTGAACATGATTTCGAGGTATTTGCCCTGCGAAACATTCAGGGGCTAGAACCTCTAGGCAAGGGCTCACGCACATGACGACTGGAGTTGTTATTCCTCAACGTCTTCGCACATCCGAAGCTCTCCAAAAGAGGATTCGTAGCCAACACCATGTCCTTGATCTCCTGGATACTGCTATCCTGGCCACCAGACACAGCGGCGATGTATTGCATGATACGCTTCGCTGCCTCTGTCTTGCCCGCACCAGACTCGCCTGAAATGATGACACACTGGTTCTCGTGGTATGCGTTCATGTTGTAGTACGCGGATTCGGCGATGCCGAACACATGCGGAGGGACCTCAAGCCTGTTCTTGCCCTTATACCGTTGCAAGACCTCATCCGTGTAGATGCCGAGGTCTATGTGGGCTGCGTCAGCTGCACAGCCAGTAACTATCACTATGCCACGCACCCTTGAACGGATTCACAGAGATCAGAACGGAGCCGATATAGGTGTAAATCTCGCCGTTGGTCCACCGTTTCTGCAGGTTCTCATTGATCGCCTCGTTTGTGATAGTGGTCAACAGGGTCATATCAGACACTCCGACTTGTTTCTTCTTGAAACCCTCTTTCCAGTCCGCCTATGAACATCTGGTTTGGACCGCCTCATGATACACAAGGGTAGTGCGCAGGCATACCTTAGCTACCTTGGCGGGACCACCCTTCTTGGGCGTTGCAGCCACCTTCTTGCCAGCTTTCTTGGATGGTGCCTGTTCGAGAGTAGGATGAAGATAGAGCAACACATAGTTCTCCAGTCTACTGACCATGATGCGATGAGACCAGTCCTCCCTCGTCAAGATGTACTACCTAGCACGATGCAACGCGGACAAGGAGTGGTTGCGGCGAGGTATTGGTGCGTGGGCGATCAGGTGAGCGTGCACGGCGAGGCCCTGCTCGCTACAGATATTGTGTACAGAGTCGGAAGCGTAGAACAGAGGAGGTCGTCGTCGCTAGATGAGGAACGCGACTCGGGCTCGGTGCGCGTTACAACTCACGATCGCGCGGGCGCTGCGGCTTGCCACGGATAGCAGCGGTCCGCTACTCGCGACCTGTCCAAGTTAGACTTCGGCCAAACTGGCTGGCTTCATTCAATTCTACTCCATTCATCCAATGATGGAATATGCGAACCGGCCGTGTTCATTCCGGTATTTTTGCTACATATATGTACGTGTGGGTGGATGGAAGGCATGAGGGCCTGGTGTGCGAACGTCATGGCTGCGGTACACACATGCGGTGCGCCGCCGGTGCAGGGCGCAGTTGCGCGACAAGATGCCTTCGACCCAGTGCCTCGTTCCGCGGGCATTAATTCATGACAAGCAGTTCTTTAGCAAGGGCTTGTTGACAATCGGAATGCATCAAGTTAATATGTCTACCACGCGGCCTACTTCCAGCAGCATAGTAGAGAGGTAAGCAGTGATTGACATGCATGTTCTCTAGTAGCTATAGTACAGCAGCATCTCTCAGCTCTGTCCTAGGAAGCCAACCTCCCGCCAGTGTTGTACCCATTTCTCGACAAGATCCTGCGATATGGCAGGCGAAGTGGCGAGGGTGGGTGCGATGCTGCATGTTGTGTCGACGCGGAATTGCATGGGAATGCTCTCAGTTGGTTTCCCGAATCGAGTGCGATAGTATGGCTGCGAGAGCGTCAATCTTAGTTGCCTGTCAGCATTCGGACGACTCACCAGAAGTTTGATTGCAGGGTTACGCTCGCCGTCGGGATCCGACTTCGCCAAACGATCCAGCCACTCCGAGCGGCTGACCACGTCGAACTCAATGCCCGCCTTCTTGAGCCCTGCGATAATCGTATCCCATCCACTGGTCACAGTCGGATTCACAATGTGGTAGACTGCGGCCTTGGGTGGCTCAAAGCGAGTGGCAATCTCGGCAATGGCACGGCCAGCGATGTTGACGGGAAGCCACTGTGGATTCTACAAGAGACATCAAGTTCCGAGACACGAAGACCTAGTAAGGACTTCTACTAACCTGCTGGAAGGTAGGCAGCGCGCGTGTACTCTCCGTGGCCTTGAACATCAGCGGCCAGGACTCGGTCTCGTTCCAGACACCACTACAGGCATCATGATCAATACATACTCGACTCTCAGTTGGGGTTGATAGCGTACCTTTTGGTATCGCCGACAACCTGCCCGATGCGCAGGATACCTACATGCAGAGGCGTAGCGCGAGCAGCCTTCTCGGACAGCTTCTCGACCACCCATTTGCTTCGACCATAGCCGGTCGGCAGCGCTGTCGCAGCAGACGTCGGGAAATCCTCGTTGCACACAGGATCAGTACTCCCCGTCACAGCGGCAATAGACGAGCTGAAGTAGAACGATGGCGATTGTGTCTTCGGCGACCGAAGACAAAGGTTGATGAGATTCAAAACTCCTCCGATGTGCGCATCGTATGAGTCGAGGTTCATGTTGAAGTTGACAGGCCATGCGTTCTGTGAGCGCGTGCTAGTAAGCGATGCGACCCATCTCTTGGAGTGAAATGACGAACATGGATCACAGCAGTCGCTTGAGACACTATGTGCTCATAAGCTCCCGACGACAGTCCCAAGTGATCTTCATTGACGTCCGCTGCGAACGATTCAACCTTCTTCCACTGCTCGCCCGACAGTTGTAGTCGGCGCGACTTCAACGATTCCTGCAATCGAGTTACAGAGTCTTCGTTGGTCTTGGCGCGAGACAGGCAGACGACACGTTCGACTGAAGGGAAAGAGACAAGCTGATGGAGGATATGTGCGCCGAGCGATCCCGTAGCTCCGGTAAGCACCTAATGTACGCCAGTCAACGTGTAATCGAATACAAGACAATCGGTGTACGCACGACAATTGAGATGCAGAATTCATGCGCTGCGAAGTCTGCTCCGGGGCCTCCCATTGGACGAATTTCGATGCCCACTTGTCGACCATGGTCCACATCGCAGCGTGGTCCTCTGCGACCGACTTATCCCTCCCGGCCCCAGAACGCAGTGCTGTGATGAATGCGGCCAACCTAGGGAACATGAGCACGAGCCTTCTTGTACCCTGTGCAAATGCGTTCGCTTACTTCTCCACTGACGGGTTCTCGTACACCACTGTCAAAATGGCCACTGAGTCGACGCACCCGTGATCAACTTTCTCACATACCATTCTGTCCCAGCGTTTGTTCGTTTAGCTCTAGCTCCTTCTGACAAATGTTCCGTATCCGAGTGGCTTGCAATGAATCGACGCCAAAGGCGAAAAGGTCGATGTCTTGGTGAGCTTCGCTGCCTTGGTTGCTCCCAACGTCTGAGTGGTCGCGTTGAAGATGAAGTCCTCTAGCTCTGATTGTGACAAGTCTATCTTGTTTGCGCTGGAACCATTCTCGAAGCGATCATACACGCCATCTACAGTAGGTCAACGAAGACACGGAGAGGGATTTCGAGGGAGATCCATACCTATGATCTCTTGAATTTCGCGTAACACGCGGGTCTAAGGATAGACAGTTTGGTAGCCTGGGGAATCGGCGTGCCGTACCTGCAGTAGAGTAGAATCAATAGCGGGTAGGACACAGAAGGGTCGGGCCCCACGTACTCGAGGATATACACCATCTCTGGCAGAATTCGTGAATGCGTCGGGGCTTGTGCGTTGGCGTCCTCAATGACTGGCCAAACCTTCTCCATGTAGGCATCACGATCCTTGTAGAGGCCCTTGGCGAAGTCCGACGGTAGTAGAAGGCAACCAATCTGTGGCCTTCCTGCACCGAAGACAATACATTGTTCTACATATGGACTGTTCCCTTGGATGGCGAGCTCGATAGGGACTGTAGGCGAGTGTCAGCGATCAATCATCACGCACTAGTCGGAGACGAGCACTGACCTGGATTCGTTTTCTCTCCGAGCACCTGCACAAGGGTGTCGTCCAGTCTGCCGATGTATTTGTACCAGTTGGGGTGTTCGGCGTGCTTCACAAAGAGGTCCTTCGTGGCGTATGACCCATCGGGGCGGTTAGACTGGTTCTTAGCAGGCCAGCCATCCAACACAACCGACTCGTATGTGTCGGAGCCCCTATCCTCCATCAGGAGGTAGTCTGCGATTCGACCCTCTACTCGCAACCAATTCCATGCTTTGTCGTCGGCGAAATTGCGATCAGACGAGAGGAAAGACCCGGTCTGTGTTTCGTGTGAGCATAAAAGGCCCTCTATCCTGTAAGAGATACTGACTTCTGTGGACCCAAATATCGCCTTCAAATTCACGCCTGCAGCCGTGAGACGGTCGCCAAGGTCGTCCTAATGCGGAATGAGACTATGCGGCTGCTTAGGATCGAGGATGAGGAACACACAGGAACGGCAGCTCCAGCGTATGTGACGCTTTCAAACTTCGCCATAGCTCTGGTACCTTCTTCAGTCTCTCCTAGCAGCTAGTGATCATGCTAAATACACCGTTTGTGATACTCTCGACGAACAACTCGCCTTGATGACATATGGCACGGCGAAGCCCAGTGGACAAGGGATAGGGATAGCATTGATAACCTTGCAAAGATTCGCCGAAGTCAAGGGCAGATGCGCAGGATACAGCACAAACGGAACCCCTGGGTAATAGCAGCGGAACCTAGAGGTGTTCGCCATTAGCGTCAGTCATACCCGCACATTTAGATACTTACACGCTGTAATGCCCGAATCCATGATACACAGGTAGGGCACTGAAGCCAGGCTTGCTGACGAAACCGGCAACATTGGCGATCATTGAGGAGTGCGATATGTATACCGGCTTCGGGAAACCGGTCTGTGGGTAGAGTTTCGTCAGTCGACTGTTGATGGTGGCCATACACTCCGAACTCACTGATCCAGACGAATGCAGTATCACGCATGTCCTCTTCTTCTCGTCCTGCGGTTTGAGCACAGCAGGGAATGGTTCAATCTTCACATCATCAACGCCTCCCGGCCCCAGATGGGATAGCGCATGTCTGGAATTATTTGTATCTCGATGCCTTGCTCATCCAGTATCTTCTGTGCTTCGTGCGCTTCAGAGACGAACTTCGAACCATATATGAGATGCGTCGACTGAGTAATCTTGCACAGATGGGCGATCGCTGGGACCGAGTTGTTGACGGAAAGCAGAAGAGACGCAAGCCCCAGCTTGGCCAATGCGATCTCCAGAAGTGATTCATCAACAGCCGAAGACGTTAGAACGGCTATGACACGCTCAGGCGGAATCCCGTCCTTCTCAGGTGGGGTAATAATCCAAGGCCCGAATAATGTGCGCACAATCTGTCGACTGCACGCTGGACCTGTGAATAACTGACAAAGGCGGAAAGGGATTAGGTCGCGGCTGTACACCTCAAGGAGATACGTACGTGAGTGCTCTGAGTAGAGGCCCCGGTTCGTCAATGCCTGTATAGATGGCAACATCGTTCGGTTGGACCCCTACAACAATGTTATGTTTACTATTTTTGTGAAGAGAGGAAGTCGTACTCACTAGCTCGGATGGCAACAAGCTCGGTCAATGAGGATGCTATGTATGTCGGAGCGGGCATGGTGAACACGGAGTGAACTCAACGAGCGGACCCGCGACGGGTTGGTAATATATACACGGAGAGCGTAGGAATCGACCTATGCTTAGGTCGCGATAACCACACACGGCCTGGAGTGTATCAAGGAAGGAAGCCTGTCAATAGGTCATAAGAACAATCATGAGATGCCGCAGGTTCGGCCGCAGAGCGGAACGCAGACTGCAGCGGCATCCATGTCCTCCGCAAGTCCTCCGTATCGAAGTTCAAGCGACATGTAGCGCTGAATGGTGGTGGTCAATGCTGCCGTTCCACCAACACCTTTGTCACAGGGAACCGATGGTCTCATCTGAGCTCCAGCTGACAGGGTCCGTCGGCCCGGGCAGCGATGTGTCCTATAGGCAACCTATAGGTCAGACCTTTTGTCAGTCACGAGTGCAGAATGGTCTGGGCTGGACAGTTGAACTGTGTCACAGCACAAGTGCACCAAACGGTGCATGGTTTCGCAGGGTCTACGGCAGGAACGAAACTCTCTTGCACAGTTAGGTATCTTCGTTATATTGGACGGCGTCCGACATCCTATCTGAAGGTGTCCCTGATCTAGGCCCCATAAACCCACAACGTCTGTCTCACGTCCGTGTGTCATGCACGCACAGGTGCATTGAGCAATTGTGTCCGCGTGAGGCGGATAGAGTTCGCTCTCTACCATGAAAACGCATTTCCGCGACACATCTCTAGGCATCTGGACACAGCCACCTGCGGGACCGTGCCTGCGGATGGCATGGGAAGCTAAGAGGCGGTCAGTGTGTATTCCTGGCATTGACGAAACGTTAGCAGTGCAAACACAGTAGATTCGACAAGGCTTCCGTACTGCTTGTGTCCGGTGCCGTGCCGCTCGTCCGCCTGTCCAATACGATAACGGCTCCGAGTGTCTGCAAGCCATCCCGTCACACCGTTATCTGGATACCGCTCTCCAACAGCCACTTCAATGTCTCCGCAGTCGGTCGAAGGGCAGGCGCGTCGAGATTCGCCGAAGAGGCTTGCACCACACCGACCAAAGCCCGTACTATCCCAACGCGTTCCGCCTCCGTTGCCAACTCGGTACGCCCGCCAGGGTCCTGAACTGACAGAAAGAGGTTCCTGATGCAAACGACGCCGCGATGCACCAGACCAGGATGAGGTGCAACCGACTTCTCTTCGTCGTCATCGTCGCCGTTGACCTCCGCCTCCATGGTAGAGATTGAAGGATCAACGAGGTTCCCGAGGACTGGCAATACGCGCTTGCGCTCGCGCTGGAGCTCCAAGAGACTCTGGCAGGCATCCGGGGAAGTCGTCAACGTGGCTACTGCCCCAGAAGCCGCGAGCCGCGTCTGCAGATCATCGACATCGCAGAGCGCGACGAGCACCTGCAGCTTCGACTTGGACGCCGCCGCTTTCTCGCCACCGAACTTGTTGTACACCTCTTCGCATCCGCCGACGAGGTTGCACACGAGCTCCGTCGCGGCGCGCCGGACGAGCGTGTGGTCTTCGAGCATGAGCAGCTCGACTTTGTTGAGCAGCCCGTCGGCGCGTGCGACCCTCTCGGCGACCTCGCCGTTGTGAGACGCCAGATTGGTCAGAGCCATGAGTGCTTCGAAGCGCTGCAGCAGGTTCGACGTCGGATGTACCAGCATGAGGGTCAGCGGTCGAATGGCGTCGAAGAGTGCGCCCTGGTTGGGTCCAAACACCTGCACGGGCGCAGATGTGATGGCCAACTTGGCCAGGGCTTGGATAGGCTCTATTTCGGCGGGCTCGAGATGAGGTGCTGCTGACGACCGTACAGTGGATTTCTGGGTGGGGATGATACTTTGAATGATGCGCATGAGAGCTTTAGACCCTCCGGCTTGAAGGATCTTTCCCCGGTTCTCTTTGTCTTCGGTAAGGTGCAAAAGAGCCTGGCCAACAGTGAGCCTGACAGCAGGACTGTCCGCGGCTCGTGCCGCTGCTACTAGGGCCTCGAGCGCGCCATGCTTCACGAGCTTTCGGGCTCGTGCCTTGACATGTTCGTCGTCGTCTAGAGGGCTGGTCTCCTCTGAAGCTGCCCCATTCTTCGGAGCATTGGCCATCCGGCGCAACTTCGCGATCTGGGCCTGTTCATCGGTCAAGCGCGGTCGATAAGAACAGAGATTGAATATTATGACGACTACCCCATAGAGAGGCGACTTGGCGATGTCTTCGGGAGACTGGTTACCTGTAGTTCCAGGCTTGCGACGAGGAACGAGGGAGAACAAGCGCGATAGAAACGCCCCGTCGTTTGATAATAGCTCTTTGATATTAGGGTCTGTGGTCATGTAGGCGAGCCCTTCGACAGCATCGGCAGAAGACGAGGACTGGCCATCCACAACGAGGCCCTTCATCAACCTAGCCAGTTCGTCGTCACCAGCAGAGGCGTCACGCCTTCCGCTACTCTCGACTTGGGGCGCATCTGTCCCAACACCACGCGATAGCTTGACCAACGCGACAGCAGCTGAAGCTTTCAGGACGTCATCTGTGGGCTGCCGTGATTTCGCAACGAGCCATTCGACATGCTGTTCTGAGATGAGGGCACGACAAGCTTTGTGACCGCTCGCATTCGCGAACAGGGCCGCAACGGCCCTCGAGATGGTTGTAGAGTCAGGGAACAGATCGAGAGCATCCGTCACTGATTCCAGAACCCCATCCTCCCGGAGGATAGCAGATGCAGACTGCCAGTCGACTTCAAATAGAGCGGTGAGGAAGGACATGCCTGCGAGTAGGCTCGTCTCGGTGGTGTCCGACATTCGGGAAACGACAGGCGGACCAAACGTCCTGCGAATCGCCTCAGTTCCAGGGTCGCCGTCTTCCTTGCCAGCAGGAGGTTGCGAGCCCTTCCTGAGTTTCGTGCATATGGCGATAGGGCGATATAAGCCTTGGGTCGGAGGGTGCTGGTTGAGAGGGAAGGAAGGAGTCAATCAAGCATGATAGCTCGTCAGGTAGCAGCGCAGTCCAAGGCTTTCCTTCTCGCTTCGCGAGCAGTTGGTCCAATTCAGTCTCAAGTTCCTCTGCCATTGTATGGGGCAGCCTATCCAACAGAAGGAGGTGCGGCAAGAGAAGCCCGAGGGTGGGCGGGCGGGACACGAGTTGCCTGCCAGTGAGGTCGATCGCAGTCTTCACTTCACCGCTCACGTGCCTTGTCGAGGCAACTTGAAGATCGCTCGACCGACCACCCTGCTTTCGCTCATTCTCCAGTTTTCTCAGCGTACTCGGTAACATGGACATGGGTGAAGGATCCTCTAAGCACCCTTCAAACACACGACAAGACACCATACAAGTGGGAAACACTCTATTGCTCAAGTTACCGAGCGGGGACATCAAGACTTGGAAGCTAGAGAAAGACTCGTGCGACCCTCGTTCATTCCACATAAGAAGTTGACGCTGAGCCCTAGCCCAGCACCGCCAACCTTGGGAAGTTTGGATCATTCTACGCCAATGAACTAGTAGGACGACCGTTTGGCTTGACGTATGAGATCGTCGAGAAGAAACTCAGGGTCGTGTCGCCTCGCACACTGCAAGAAGTAGGTATGGATCCTATTGCCTGCCATGTTGAGTTCTCTGACCGGGCGTATGCAGAGGATACCGAGGCGACTAATGAGCTGATCAACGACGGTCAATTTGTTCAACCGCTGACCTCCGAGGAGATTGAGGCACTCAAAAAGTCTGGTCTTCATGCATCTGTGCGTGTCCGTAGTGCCGAAATCATGGTCAAGGACGTGCTAACATACCTCTCAGGAAATAATCAAGAAGCAAATAGAACAACACGCCAACTATTCATTGAAGACGGAGTACAGTAAAGAGAAATACAAAAAGCGCAAGGAGGCAAAGTACGTATGAAGTGTCTCCGTGCATGCATCCATCAAACATCCGTTTCTAGATACTCGAAGTCCTTCACCGTCATTGACCCCACTGCGTTCAATGTCTGTGATTATTGGTTCAACAAGGATCAAAACAGACTCCGAGATGTCCGGCCGGATGCGCTAGGACAAATGCTCAATCTGGCCAATATACGGCCCGGTGGAAAATATCTCGCAGTAGACGACGCCTCTGGTATAGTTGTGGCAGGGATTGTGGAAAGGCTCGGTGGTATGTAGGCAGCCTATCAAGCATGGCTGAATAGCTCACGAGAGGTTGTGTCTATAGGACAGGGTCGACTGATCACAATATGCGACGTCGACTCACCGCCAGCATATCCTGCCATGGTGCACATGAACTTCTCGAAGGAAGTTAACCAGGTACTAGCATCTCTGAACTGGGCAACTGCGGACGAGGAGTACACGCCTAGTAAGTCTCACGGCCACGCTATATGGGCAGTTGTTCACGTCTTGAAGTCATCCCGCCGTCCGAGCCGCCAGGCAACGTGAAGTCGGATGCCCAGAAAGCGAGGCTCAACAAACGGAAGGTTGTCAACGAGGCGCTTGCCCAGACAAGAGAGGAGCTCTTTGCAGGTGAATTCGACGGGTATGTACATGCCTTTGCATCAGGTCTGTATCAGGCGACTGATGCTGTGTGGTTCCGTCTTCAGGCTAGTCGTGGCTAGTGAATACGACCCATTCTCCATTCTACAGCAACTATCTCCGTACCTCGCAGGGTCTGCGAACATAATCGTCCACAGTCCGTACATACAGGCGAGTCTCACCATTTAGTTTGCAACAAGTTCACTGACCGCTGGCACCAGGTCGTTACCGATCTGCAAAATCAGCTGCGAGACCTTCCTCAGTTCCTAGGAGCCGCAGTCACAGAGATGTGGCTGCGGAGGTACCAAGTTCTCCCTGGACGGACGCATCCCTTGATGAACATGTCCGGCTCGGGAGGCTTTATCCTGCACACGATCAAAATGTACATCTACCCTCCCATCATTATTGCATTGCTTCACTCATACCGGCTTAGCTATGACGATCCAACGGCGCAGTCCGTCGTAGTACATCGTCAGAAGGCGAAGAAAGCAAATTGGAAGCTGACGCTGCGAGTAGTTCGAGGCAGGACTCCGTCATGAGCGAAGAGTCAACTCATGTTGAGCCTGAGGCTCCGCGGTGCCCAGTTCTCTAACAGCACCGCCCGATTTGCCTGGCGCAAGCGACATTGCGCGGACATGAGCGGAAGCCTTAGTGTAATTAGTCGTAGCCATAATATACGATCCTAGTGGTTTCATCGTGACAATTCGTGGCAGCAGGGTCCAAACGCAGTGTCGTTGCAGGGTTATCATGTTGGGGCGTCCGTGAAAAGTGCGCCGAATACCTGACAGGCATTCATGAGTCTTCGAATGGGCTAACTCGAGTCGAGTACACACCTCATCGACGATGGTATAGAGCAAGTGTTGGTTTAGGCGACGATTTTGTAGTACAGCGAATATCCGTCGAGCCCCGCGACGTGCGTTGGATCGACCAATCATATTGGCCACCAATCTGAAAGATACGTCAAGTACGGCCCCCGACACATCTGCAGCGTACTCACCTGGCATCAACGCGGATAGCTTGCGATTGGCCTCGTCTCTCGTTCGTACCTTCTCTTCTGCAGTGCGTGGCGCTGAAGGAGGCTTCAATTGGCCACTAGGCCAGAGTGTTTCTTTGAATTTGCCGATATAGTCGACCAAATGTGGCTCGTCCAGGTACGTTTTGAGCGTTTCCCGGATTTTGCTGGCACAGCGTCATCAATCATTTAGACAGTTACCGTCGAGATTGCGTACCGTTCAATCGTATCCCCAAAGACCTGCTGCAGAATGATGACAATAGCTTGTCTCCGCAACCAGTTGTTCTTCTTGTCAAGCTCAAAGACGGCGAGTAACAAATCGCATATAGGCGATGAGAACGTCGAGTTGCTCGTCTCGCCTTGCATAGGCTTCAGATCGCCCGAGAGCTGCAACAGCGCGTCGTCCGAACCAGCCTTGCCCGAAGCCTTCAGCGCCTGCGCGACGAGGTCCTCGTCATGTACGCCGCTGCCTACGATACCAGCGAACTCGGCGGCTTGTGTGGTTAGCCGCTGGATGATAACGTCTAGCATGGAGGGGCCAAAGAACATGTCGTCAATACTGTCGGCAACGGACTTGTAGACTGAGTGGACGAGGCCTTTGCTGGTGGAGGGTGCTGCCGCCTTGGTATTTGATTCCGTCGGTGCGCTTGCGATGAAGGGTGAGTCGCGCGACAGGAAGTTCCGGAGTTCGTCGCTCTCGCAGACAGCAGGGATAGTTATCAAGCTCTGCATTCACCTAAGTATAGCCTCACGTCACAGTAGATATATGCTGGCGCGTACCTGCAAGTATTTCTCAAGAGCCACACGTCGATGGTCGACGAAGCTCGTGGCCAAGGATGTCACTAGTCGTTTGCCCGGGAAGTCTAGATTCCGGACAAGCGCATACCGCTCCCTAAGCTTATTATGCATGTTGAAGAACTCGTTGTAGCGCCGCGCAACGACCCAGCCAGACGTGTAGCTTCCGTCCGGGGCTAGCTGCTGAACTTCGATCAGGTACCGCACGACCGACTTGCCGTCCTCGTCGCCCACTGTTGAGTTCACAATGGCGACCTTCGTACGATCCGAGAGTATACGATTGGCCGACTCCTGCTGTTCGTACTGAGCCTTCTGGAAGCCCAGTTCCCGAAGCTCCCTCGTAAGAGACGACTTCGACTTGCGCAACAACCGAAGCTCCTGCGCATCGCCCGTCAACTCCGCCTTCTTTATGAGGGTATCAAGCATAGCGTCCTGCGACTGCAGCGTCTCGATCTTGCTCGCCAGCCTCGCGATCTCATGCGAGAGCTGCAGGTCGCCGGGGCCAGCAAGCTGGAAGGAGCCATGCCCCTCATCAGCATCATCCTCCGCTCGCTCCTCTTCGTACACCTCGTCGTCGAACAGGACACGCTTCTTCTCGCGAATGATGCCGTCACTCAGCGCGCCCGGCAGGCCTTCCAGGGATTTCGACTCCGGAGGGTTGTCCCGCTTGTCCAGCGCGATGATATCGGTCAGGGCAGCCTGGATCGCTTCCATGCGGCGGGACTGTTCCGTGAGTTGTTGCACCTCTGGATCGTTAGGATCATCGAAGAGGGGCGCTCGGTTTGTAGAGGTAGAGTGCGAGTCCGCGGCCGGGGACATGAGCAGCTCCAGGTTCGACGCAGATGCTACAGCACGTGGCAGAGCGGTTGGGGGAGGCGCTCCGAGTGGAGTGGCAGGCGACGACACTACTACGCCCATGGGCTTCTGGCCCAAAGGGATCTTCAGCAGCGGAGTCGAGTTTGAGCGTGGCACCGGAGTCCTCAAGCTACGCTCGGACGACACGGACGATCCCCGCGACATCCCAGAAGACGCCCGAGACACGACAGACGAATCTGCACTCGTGTTGTGTGAGGAGGCTGCGGCGTCCCTCCGACCGTGCAGCTCCGCGTCACCCACAACGCGGAACCACAGCTCCGAACGCTGGAACTCCTCAAAGTCCTGCTCCATCTCGCGTTCAACCTGTCTCTGTACCAACATGACGCTCTTCCGCACTCGACTTTCCTCCGCGGGAGTGGGTGGTTCCTCTGAGAGCCCGAACGAGCGGATAGCCTGGACGTGCTTCTGCGAGATGGTTCCCAAGACGGGATCAGGTGTTGAGTTGGAGAAGTAGAGCTCGTTCATCATGGAGATATCCTCCTTGAGCGTAGCAGAGCGGGCGGGGTCCAGTACCGCTTCGTCGTCGTCATCGTCGCTGCCTGAGTCTACCGACTCCAGAGGGTTCTTGAAGCTCTCGACTGTCAGCCAGAATTGCACCAATAAGGAGCGATGTCGCCGATCCATAAACTCCATGAAGTATGATAGAGAACTCGGGTTGGTGAGGACGTCGCGAAGGCCCAGGCTTGAGGCGGTATGCGTTTCTGTCACATTTGCGGAACGCTGGAGAGGTTCGATCAATCAGTGTAGACAGGGGAGACGACGATCGCTTACCGGCTCTGGCTCGCCACCCAACACAGCGATCCGTTTCTCCACAGTACGTTTCGCGGTATACAGTCTGTCTAGGAAGGCAACAATGTCTTCCGTCTTCTCCCCATTGATCCAGTCATCCTTCTCGTGGCTCGCTACACGAAAGCCCGAACATTAGACGAAGCTGTATACGCAGGCATTCAGTAACATACCGAGCAGCGTTCTGTTACGTCTGATTTCGCTCATGATATCATTCTTGAGCCTCCTCGCGTCAAGAAGGGACGAGCAACGATTGATGCTACGCAGGAAAGACTCGAACTGACGTGGGTCGGTACGAATCGTGATGGTCTCCGTGGTGGGTGCTTTCAACTCGGGCACACGAGCATTGGGACGGGGCAGCTGAGCCTCCAGGATGTTGCGCACTTTCGACACGAGCCTCCTGTAGCGCGACGGGACAATGAACAGCGATTCTATTCACTTGAGTACAGCGACATACTGTTGACGTATCGCTGCTCCCGCCTAGGATAGTGAGAACACATCGAAGTCGTGCATGCAATCTTGCTCACCACGGTGTCAATTGAGCGGTTCCAGAAGTCGGGCTCGGCGACCATGTCCATGATGGGGTAGAAAACAGAGCAGGCCACAATTTCTCTGACCACCAACCTCACAGCCTGGCTGTTGGCCTCCTTCTCCGGCAAGATGGTGGGGAGAGCCTTGTCGATGAGCTCTCGCAAGTGGTTCTCCTCTGTCTGCCTCGTGAAGGTGGAAGAGAGGTTGTCCACGGCACGATGTAGCTTCCCTCCGCCCCGGCCTGCATAGCGACTCGCCAGCAACAAGTCGAGCTCCTCCGACTGCGTCAACCTGCGCTCCAGCTCGGCGCCCCGCAGCGCGACTTCGGACTGGCGAAACTGCTCGATGTGCGCGGTGACCTTGGGCACTATCCGCTTGACGATGAGAGCGGAGAGGTCCACAGTCTCCACTCGCGCTAGCAACTGTTCGATGCAACTGTGAAGGATCGAGGACACCGCGGTCGGGAAGGACGGGGAAGATGAAATGTTGCGGTACCATACGAGCACGAAGTCTCTTACAATCATGATGAGTATGTCGTTAAGCGCAGACGAGATCACCGGGGAGTCGGGGCACAGCGGCGGTAAGGATTGCGGGGCCTTGTGCGACCACTGCGAACGCGTAAGGACGGCCTGCCATGCTGCCGGGGTGGAGAAGGCGAGTGGCCTTGCGGCATGCGGCAATGCATTGGGTGCTGGCGGCCTCGAGCTGTCCAGAAGGTATCCGAGGGCAACATTGAGCACGAGGAAGCCCAGGACAGTGAACACCAGGAAGAATGGGAGGCACAGGACAAGCGCGAGCGGTGAAGACGCGATGCGTGCGATTGTGGGCAGCACCACCCCTGCAAGAACAGCGACAACGGCAGCCTGTCTCCCAGTGGGTAGCATCGGTACCGGAAGTGATGAAGCTCGTCGTCAATGTCCGAGTCGGCGGTGTGCTTGCGACTGCATGGTGGCTGTCGGAGAGTGAGTGAGGCAGCACGATCGCGTGTCGGCACTCTGCCGGCAACACACACGGACCTGCCAGAGTCTCTCATGCGCGGTAGGTACACACTCGTTCTTCAGAGATTGCAGAGCGACGCCATACTACAGTGAGAGAACAGTAACATATAGTGTATTTCTTCCAATCAATGACAAGCAAATGCGCATGTAGACCGACGTCTAACGGTAGTAATACACTCGATACCCGGTAGGCACTTCTGTTCGTTCCATCATGACCTCTACGCGTCCGGCCATTGCAGCAGCTCCTTTATGAACGCCGTCGTGTCCGCCGCGCGCATCAAGCTCTCTCCAACCAAAACCGCATTCACGCCCTGCTCCTTGTACACCACCACGTCCTCAGGGCCCTTAATCCCGCTCAGCGCGCACAGCAGCACGTCCTTCTCGCGCACCATGTCCACAAGCCCGCTCGTCGTGCCCATATCCACGCTGAAGTCGTGCAGGTTCCGGTTATTCACCCCACGACCTTCGCCCCGATCTCCAGCGCACGCGCCATCTCCCGCGCGTTGTTCACCTCCACGAGCGGCTCCATGCCGAGCGAGACCGCGTACGCGTAGAGCCGCTGCAGCTGCTCCTGCGCGAGCATCGCGACGATGAGCAGCACCGTGTCCGCGCCCCATAGGCGTGCCTCCGCGATCTGGTACTCGGAGAACACGAACTCCTTGCGGAGGATCGCTGGACGGTCACGCAACCCGTCCACTGCCTGGCGCGCGAGCCGCATGTCAAGCAGGCTGCCTTTGAACCACGTCGGCTCGGTCAGGACTGAGATGACGGACGCGCCTGCCTGCGCGTAGAGCAATGCCTGCTGGGCGGGGTTGACGAAGGGCGCGATGTCGCCTTTGGACGGCGACGCACGCTTGATCTCGGCCATGAGGCTGAGCGAGGGCCGCGCGGTCGATGTAGATGGATTCTTCTTCAGACGAGGGACGAGCGGGATGAGGGGCGGGGCAAGGCCCATCTTCAGGTACGCATCGAGCTCCTCTGGACGTGTTCCCGGCGTCGCTTTCGCTGCGTCGACGTCCTTCTGGCGTTGGGCGTAGATCTTTTCGAGGATGGTAGGCGGTTTGCCTGCGCCGTCGCCGTTGGACATGACAGTGCTGATGATGTGGGTACTACCGCTGCAGTATGCAGAGTGCAAGAGTTCGTCCTGGATAATGCTTCAGTTCCAGCTGGTCAACTTCAGTCGCACGGCATCTCAGGGTGATTCGGTTATATATACCGCGACATAACTCAATTTGAGGTACAATTTCACAGGTGAATCCCGCCCTCGGCCATCGCCCAACCCAGCTGCTCGTACGTCCATCCGAAGCACGATCCTCCTAGTTCGGCAGAGTGGAAGCCGCACACGCTGCGATGTGACCCGGGCCTTCGATAAAACCGATCCAGTGTCTCCATCTCGGCGGCGCTTAGGTGCACGAGCTATCCGGGGTTCTCGTCAGCAACTTGTGTCACATCTGGTCCACTACGAAACGCAGACCGTTACCTGAAGATTCTCCTTCAGACGCTCCGTATGCACCGTCTTCGGGATTACAGCAGTCCCGCGCTGGACGCCCCAGCTCAGCAATATTCGTGCGCCCGTCACCCCTGGTCCGTGCGCTGCCGCGATGGCTGTAATGGCCGGGTCGTCCGCGAACTTGGCCTTCCCGATGGGAGAATACGCCGTGAGAAGAATACCCCGCTCGTTGCAGAAATTGAGCAGCTCATGCTGAGGAAGACACGGATGAAGTTCCACCTGATTCACAGCGGGAACGACGGACGCATGTGCAAGGAGCTTCGTCAGGGTCTTGACGTTGAAGTTCGACACGCCGATGGCTTTGGCTCTGCCTAACTCGCTAGGATCAAAATGTGGTCTCGGGCAGCGGGAGAAGCGTCGCGATTCACCGTCCGCAAGGAGTTGCTCCATCTCCAGCCATGTCTCGACAAACGTCGGGCTTTCCTCCGGTTGCAGGGTATCACCTTCAGAATCCGCACGGCCTTCATCAGTGACAGATGACTTCTCGCTGCGAGCCGCAATCCGAACCTGACTCGCCGTATGCCATGGGCCAGTGCATCAGGTACAAGTCCACATGATCAACGCCGAGCTTCGTCAGACTGGTTTCGAAAGCCTGTTCGACACGGCCATGGTCACTCTGGCTAGTAACACGATTCGCGTCGGTGTAGAAGCGCCCTGTTCGAGCAGTCGTGAGGCTTACTCGAGCTTTGTGGTCAAGAATACGTCGTGGCGAGGCACACCGGACTCTCTGAGAGCCTTCCCTACGGATTGTTCATTACCTGTGACAGGCGAGTCAGTGGACCAGGATCTGTAGTCATTCTGAACTCACCGTAGTTCTCAGCCTGAGTGCGCGGCGATCCTGTTTAGAGTTCAGGCGACCTGGCACGCGAGACAGGGCACTCAACCGTGTCGATGTGACGATAGCCGAGGTCGAGCGCGAGCTTGACCATATTCGTTACATGCTCGCCCTCGCCGCACGCGCCCATCCAACATCTGTGAACCCGGTCAGACGAAGATCTCACATGTTGGCCCCCCAAATACGTACCCAACACCAACCGCGGGGATGGACGTGCCGTTGTTGAGGGTAAGACGCTTGTCGCTGACAGCAGGCATCCTTAGCCTCCTGGACTTGGTGGATGATCGTGGTCAGTGCCAGCTTGCGCAACGACCGAACTTCAAGGCCACTGTCTTCGTGGCGCTGCATCGGCTTGGCATCAGCACCTAAAAAGTGGCTGGATGCTCTCACGAGGAGGACCTGCCCGGCTGGCAGCGCGGCGTGGCGTACAAGGTTTGAGGTCCTCTGTGCCCATCGAACCTACCGTTGCCTGGCACGAAGTCATCGCCGTTCCGGCTTTGTCTTTTGACTGCAGGACACCGCGGCGTCGGCGATAGTAGCATGCACGCCATGGGCAAGCAGCGTACGATGGACGTTCAAACGTTCACTTGTTGACGTTGATCGCCCGCGCCTCTACAGTGTGGCGCCGCGTACACCCTCAATCCAGGAATTTCATGACCCCCCTGTTACAAATGTTGGATTTCGAGCTTAACACTATCTCCTCGCTTTATGCAGGATTGCGAGAAGCTTAACCAGACCTTGTGGCTTGCAATAAAGCAGGCCACCCGCGACGAGACTCAGCAGGGTCAGCCGCCCGCGTCCGGTCTCATCTCGCGGGGCCGTCACTGGCAACATTTCACCGACACCTCGTAGCAAGACTGTACAATATGCCCTTCCCTGCAGATGAGGTGCGTAGTCTGTTGTCGTCTGTACTATGCACTAACTGGCGTTGTCGTCGCAGGCGAAGATCGTGTCAATATTCATACAGACATTACTTTACGGTATGCCCATGCCATGCTGTATCTCCATGCACTATACTCACGACGGGGCTGCGTCCACCAGGAGCTTACACTGTCTTGTTCATTCTCACGATATGGGCACTACTCACCCGACGGCGCAAGAGCAACCCATGGACGGACCCCATGCTGTGGATATCCATCGTAATGTTCGTCGTGGCCACAATGGCGAGTGCCCACCGTGTTGCGGCCGCCACGGTTGCGCCCTGACCCTGTGTCCCATAGCACATTGGCGTTAACTACACCCGCATCATCAAGGCCTTTGTCATCTACCGTAACGAACCTGGGGGCCCGGCGGCCTTCTTCAACCAGCTGTCCGAGTTCACCAAATATTCGGGAGTACTCTCTACGTCGCCCAGACGCTCGTCGGCGATAGTGTTCTCGTGCGTGTCGACAATCCACGCCATTCGTGCGCATACGGCGGGGGACTAATCACGGCATGAATGACACTCGTACTTAGTTGTACAGGTGCTACTTAGTCTGGGGCACCCTGTGGGTCATAGCGGTTCCGTTCGTCTTGCTGCTGGGAAGCACAGGTGCGTGCCAATCAATATTGCGGAATGTGTCATACACGCGTCTCATGACCGCTACCTAGCTTCCGGCATTGGCATCCTCTACTCCTTCGCCAAGGTCGTGCCCCAAGCTGACATATTCGTCGACGAGCTGCAGAACTGGATCACCTCGTTTTTCTCGCTCACGCTCGCGACAAACATCATCTGCACGAGTGGGCTGTTTTCCTCCACAGCCTCTGCGGTGCCTTGCTCACTCATTTACTCCCCCCCGCAGGCCTCATCGCGCTCCGGATATGGTGGATCAACCGCTCGATCATGACGTTCATGGACCACAACTACTACCCCATCATCTTCCTCGTGCTCGAATCCGGCGTGGTCTACTCCGCCACGCTCACCGCGCTGCTCATCCTCTACAAGACCGGCTCATGGTTCCAGTACGTCCTGCTCGATGCCGTACGTCGCCCTCCCGATCTGTGCTCCGTCGGCGGCGACTTACGCGCGGCCCGCAGATCTCGCCCATCGTCGGCCTCGTCTTCTCGATGATCATCATCCGTATCGGGCTCGGGATCACGACCGCGCACGGGTCGTCGTCAGGCTCGAGCGCCAGGGACAGCCAGGCGGCGTTCGACCGGCGCATCCCCATTTCGTTCGCGCGCCCGACGCGGAACACGTCGACGCTGGACGACGTAGAATACAACCCGGACGAGCTGCAGCTGCGAGATATGTCGACACGCAGTCAGGACCTCGGCGTGAAGGACGAGCAGGTAGGTTGGTTGGGTTATTCAGTCCAAGACTCTTGGCTCCGATGAGTGACGATCTGACGTTTTGAGCGTGTCCGTGCAGAAACCAGCTCCCCCCGTGGTGAGGATGTTGGATACATGACACGCACATGCACGATATGACAGGTCGGTTCGCGATGACTATAAATTGGACCTTTTGAGATGGACAGGTTGGTTGCTTTTGTATTATACCCGCCCGATGTTATCGCTTTAGTGGCTCTACAGGTACACCCATTGCTGCATCAAGCCATTTCTGAGGCAATCGTGTCTTTTCGTTCGCTGCGTGACGATACCCTCGAGAGCTGGACGCCGCTGGCGACACCCGTAGGTTCGAGGAGCGCAGTCTCGCCCTCTGCGTTCGACTCGCCCGTCGCGATGCGCAACATGATGACAGAGAACACGATGCCCTAGGGGGCGGAGCCGCTGTGAGTCGCCGCTGCACATGCGCTCTGCCAGATGGGCACTTACGACGATGGAGGACACCGCGTCGAGGACGACGTACTGGAACCACGAGTCGACGTTGTACAGGATGAGCAGCGCGAGAAGCGTCGCGGAGTACAGCGCGCCCGACTCGACGATGAGGATCATGACTGGCGCAGGTCCCGGTACCTGAAGAAAAGATGGGTCCGGTTGACGACCCAGATCCGGTACGCCACCAACGCTATATTTGCAGAGGATCCGGACACGCGTTCCTCGGCATGAGATGATATCCGGGACGAACGATGGAAACGCACCGGTACAGACGACATTTGTCGCGAAGGTCATGGAGAAGAACGCGGTGATCCAATGCCCTAGCTGGACCACGAAGATCGAGGCCTCAGGGTCAACCTTGTCGAAGGAGTACAGGATGCCGACGCCAGTCGCTGCAAACGCGGAACGTTGAACCGACGGACAGCATCCTATGAAACGCAGGACGCACCGGTACTCCCGAGAAGAAGGACAAACGGGAACGCGATGACCCACAGCTTTCGTCCCCAGACAAGATAGCTACGGTACAGCTGTGATAGTGACCGTGGTCGGTCTACGTCCAGCATACACAATGATGAAGTCGTGCACGTACCACCATCGCGTCACCGAGCAGCGTCTGCGCGACGTACAGCGTGCTTCCGAACATCTGCGTAAAGTTGGACATCTCATTGAAGAACGCGGCGGGGCCCCCCGGTGCGTCTACGTTGTTGATGAACGCGAGAATGATGCGCGAGAAGTTCGTCGCTACGTGCTGGGACGTGTCCAAGTCAGCCCGCGGGCGTGCGGTGCGTGCGGCGACGCGAAGGCAGGCTCCTCACTGTGGTCGCAATCCCAAACATCAGGAAAGACACGAAGAGCATGTTCCTCCGAAGTGGGTTCCCGGAAGGTCGCTTCCATAGCAGTGCTTTCGTCGTGGTGAAGAACAGTGTCATATAATTCCCTGCGGAAGAGATGTACGTTCAAACATGAATATATCACGATGGGTTGATTAGGTCTTCGAGGCGCACCATAGAGGACAGATTGGACGAATATGGACACTAGCTTCGACTGCGCCGATCGCCATTCCTCAGTACAAGTGGTCAGATCATTACGCTCGCGGAGACATACCTCTGCAGCGGAGAAAGGCATGATTGCTGCCTATGGATCGGACTTCCCAGAGCTGTCCACGGGGCGGATGGCACAGTCTATATAGTGGGCGAGCGATTGTCGCTCATGCAAACCCCCGAAGGATACGTTCTCCATCAGAGAGTGCGGTTCTCCCGATATAATCAACACATGTTCGTAGCGGAGAGACAGGAACTCCGGAGGGTAATTGGATGGCGGAACTCTACCAGGACGCTCCATATCCTACCTGACAGTCGAACGCATGCAATAAGTCATGCTATCGGCGATATTGGTCGCGGATGGCACGTTCTGAATTGGTTCTGAAGTGCAGGAGCATTTCCCTGGCAGCCGAATAGGAATTTGAATGACCAGCTGCGAGGCGCGAAGCCACACAAATCTACATGTATAGCTCGTGGCGCCATTTGTAGCGGCGTGACCGGAGACTCTTGAGACGTGCTTCTGATACGACGTTGCCTGGTTGGTGAATAAGTTCAGCTTCTGAATGTTCTCACTGGTAGGCTGAACTCTGTTTCTACCTTTGGTTTGAAAATTCGACACCAAGTATCGATTTTGGTTCACATGGCATATTTCCTCCAGGCCTGGATTCAGAGGAGCCTGTGTTCGAGCGTTTCCAGATGGTGCTGTATGGCCCGGGCGCCGCGCACAAGTCACGGGTACCTCTGGTAAGGGCTCTACCACTTGCTGAGACAGTACCATCCTTCTGGGAAGGTATACCTCCCTCGACCTGTGCATGCACCCAGTTCCCAGGATAACATGGTGAACGCTTCAAGAAAAAGTTGCGTCTGTACTTTCTACGATCGCGACCGTTCGTTTGGCAGTCTGGTTTCAGCAAGCGCTGGCTGTCCATTCCGCACTGCACTCGCCACAACTTGACTGGAATGCCACACTTGCCAGTGGTCTCTGCTTTACGCCACTCCTTGCGGCGAACATTTCTCCTTTTGTTGATTCACATTTCCAGCTGTACTCTGTCTGCCTGTATGTATCAAGCTGTATGAATCAGAAATGCTGGGCCGAGTTGGCAGTTGCACCGGTATCTGCGGAGATAGCTACACACGTCAAATAACAATGTCATGCCATCCACCGTGGTATTCCCACTGCCACCTGCGAGCGCCCTCTCATTCAACGTTTCAACGTTCAACATTGACGCTTCAAAATGTGGCCATTCACAGCCAGCTACCCATCCCGGCCTTTAGGGGTGTTGAAGTCGCAGTACGACTACATCGTCGTGGGCGGTGCGTAGCATCTCCTGAGCTCATGGCGAATGTGCTGAGTTTATGTTCCAGGGGGGACAGCTGGCTGTGTCCTCGCACGCAGGCTAAGTGAGGACCAGCCTCAGTGTACAGTCCTACTGGTCGAAAGAGGTGATGCATCCAACATGTATGTACCTCCTTTCCACGGCTCGGAGTACGCCAATGACGCCGCCAATCGTGCCTTAGCTTCCTTGACACGAACCCTCTGTTGTCCATGCACCAATTGTCAGGAGGACGACGGAGCACGGTCATTCTAAGTGCACCCCACGCGCAGCTGGGACGGTCCTTTCCCCTCGTGTGCGGAGTAGGCTTGGGCGGAACATCGCGCGTCAATGGCGACCAGTACACTTGCGGGGTTCCCGCTCAGTACAACGCATGGAGCGACCAAGGCCGGGTCGGGTGGTCGTATGACGAGATCAAGCCGTACTTCCTCAAATCCGAGCGGTGGTCGGGGCCGGTACCTGAGGAATACCACGGCTTGAACGGTGAAGCACAACATGCGTTCTCATGTCTGCGATATTCATATCCTATCAGGCCCGGTGGAAGTGCGATCCTTTGAGCACTACCACTATGAAAGTTCGAGAAGGTGCGCGCCTGCGCCTGGTCGATCTCCGTCGAGGCCTTGATGTGCGATCATATCAGAGCGGCAGACGCGGTCAGGAAGATTGGATTCCGGGACATCCTCGATATGCATTCGCCATTCGAGCCGCCCATCGGCTTCAACAAAATGCAATTCACAGTCGACTCGACCGGTCGACGCCATTCAGCATTTCGTGCATACCTACCCGCAGACTTCGTCGCTGAGCAACCTAACCTGCACGTATGCATCAACGTACTGGCTACGAGGCTAGAGTTCTCGGAAGCAAGCGACGGGACGGTCAGCGCTGAGGGCGTAGAACTGGAAAGTCTCGATGGTAATGTGAAGCGAGTGATCACTGCTCGTCGTGAGGTTGTCTTGTCTTGTGGAACGTTGCGTACACCGCAGCTGCTACTCTTGAGGTATCACGCTTATTCCTATCAGAGTAAGAGGACGACTGACGTCGCTTAGTGGGATAGGCTCTGCCTCCCATTTGCGTGAGATGGGTATACGGACCATCAGGACACTCCCGGAGTTGGACAAAACTTTGTGAGTGTCACTCTCCTTCCGTGAGTGAGTACTCCCATCCTGATCTTTTGCAGCAAGACCACGTCATCATCGGCACGACCTACAACTGCCCCATATCAGACTCACTCTACGCGATGGTCAGGCAGCCAATCACATTTCTACGAGAGGCTTATAACTATCTCCGGCATGGCACGGGGTGGTTCCTCTGCACCCTGGCCGAGTTCGAGATCTTCGGCCTCTCGAGCGTGGTGGGGCCAAACGGGAAAGCCGCGCCATTATCTGAAGAGCAGCTAAACCCTTATAACCCTGACAACCTGCCTGACTTTTGCGTTTTCCTCGTGAGTGCTTTGCTCGCATGAATACATCCACGCGCTTATTATGCGCAAGAGCCCCATCGGCGACCCCAGCACTCCAGGAGTGGACACCACGCAAGGTATCATAACTCTGTGCGCTGGGCTTTTACTCTCCAAATCCTTCGGCCACATCCGCCTGCGGTCGACGGACCCGCGCGTGGAGCCCCTCTGCGACATGCAATACCTCGCCGCGCCAGAGGACCGCGTCGCCCTCCGCGCCGCTCTTCGCGTCACCAGCGCGATCGCCCAGCAGCTGCGCGGCGAAGGCTACCCGATCGAGCCCGTGCGCGTGCCGGACGTGTCGAGCGACGCCACGGTGGACGAGTACATCGACGAGCACGTCGGGACGATGTACCATTACACGAGCACCTGCCGGATGGCGCCCGAGGACGATGTGCGGCCGGGCGTCGTGGACGACGAGCTGCGCGTGCATGGGGTGCGGAAGCTGCGCGTTGCGGATGCGAGTGTGCTACCTGATGTGCCGGCGGCGCACCCGCTGGCCCTTGTGTATGCACTGGCGGAGAAGTGCGCTGATCTCATGCGCCAGAGTGCTGAGTCGGTGGACCTTTAGGGGTGTGCCGTCACGCACACGTTGATTCTTACGTGCTTTGGCTTCGCATCTAAGTTCGCGGTGTTGGCATCTTACTCTCAGTCCAGAATTGATTAGCTGGAAATTGTCACATATATTTCATTCCTCTTGGCTCACACCAGTGCGAAAGTTGTCGCCGCTTCGAAAAGCAGCCTTGCGTTGCCTCCCGCTGGTGGTACGAGTGTAGGGTTCGACAACGGGTAAGTTACAAGATCCTGCCAATGAGGTGCTATGTTACGTAATACGACACAGAGCTCTAGCGGAGTGATGCAATGCCTGACTGCAGCGGTCGACCTTGCCATATAACAGAATCATGCATTGCACAGACTGTCTCTGAGCTTCGCAACCCTGTCAGCCATGTCCGACCAACAGAAAAACCATCCATCTGTCCAGAGCAAGTCTGTAGGGCAGCGGACCCTGGGCGAGTCGTGGGTAGGTAAGTCGCGTTGCACCGTCACGTCCGTCGTCGCGGGATTGAGGATGGACCACACACATCACAGCTCTACCACCCAAGACACGCATAGGCATCTCACTAGCTGTCACGGGCGTCGCACTGGCGGGCATCTACATTTCCGACCAGCTCGAACGAGTGCTATCGCCCCCAGCGGACAAGAACCCCGTAGCAGAAGGCGCAGTGAAGGACGTGCCGCCACCGTGACATCTACGTCGCATTTCCCAGTATGGAGGAAAACAAAAGGAGAGAACATGGTACAACGAGGGTAGGCTAGGATGGCTAGGGATACACATGTGGGAGGGCTGTGGTAGTGGTGGTACACGCATAATGCAGGAGGTCTGTTGACTCTACTTCTCGTCGATCCCGCCGTAGATGTCCATCCGAGGAGATGCGTGGATATCATGGAAAGGGTTCTTGCTGTCGCCTTGTCCGTTGAAGAGTCCAGTAGTTGGAGACGCGTTCTTGTCCGCGAAGGGGTCGGCGCTGCCGGGGCTTGGTCTGGGGTCAGGACTAACGTAGGCACTCGGAGGGAGGGCCGGGTACTGCGCGAGTCTCTCCGCCGGGGACATCTCCGCCCTCAGAGACGAGGTGCTCGACGTGAACTCGTCCTTCTGCCACTCTTGCACTCGGAGCGACCGCTGGCGTTGGAGGGGGTCCCCACGGAGGATGGGCGACGTCGGGAGCGACCCAAAGGACGGGTACCGCTGGCGGTCCCCGCAGCGCATCTCCCAGCTCGCCTTCTGCCAGTCGGGCACCATCTCCTCCAGGCCGTCCGCCTTGCTTCGCTTCCAGAAGAGATCGCGGACGAAGTGCCACCAGGTGTCGAAGAAGACCGCGGCGACGAGGATGACGACGACGGCGGTGAAGGAGATGACGGCGACGCCGATGATCTTCCAGGACGAGTCCGAGGCCATGGCGCTGCTGCTTGAGAAGTGGTTCTGGTTGGTGTCCTTAGCCTGGGATGTCGCCGTCACCAACGAGCCGCTCAAAGTAGCGGCGGGCTCAGCCTGAGTGGTCGTCGCGAGATGAGACTCCGGGGTAGCAGTCGCAGAGGCAGAGCTAGACGCAGTTGAGGCCGTGTCCTTGGTCTTCGAGGTCTCTGAGCCGGTGGGAAGCAGTCCAGGGAAGAGATTGAGTGAGCTGAACGAGGCACCGTCCCCGTGAGCGGTCGTCCCAGAGGGCCGAAGGTCCGTAGCTCCTTGTTCCGTCTTCTCATCCGTAGGGGCATCCGCCCCTTCTCCATTGAGTCCTCCCAGTAGTCCAGAAAAGTCCTGCCGATCTTCTAGAGTGTACGCGCGCGCAAGACGTCCATGGTTCCGCACCGCCAGGGCATGGGCCCCAAGGACGTGGGCACAGCAGGCGAGCACGCCGAGAGTGGTTAGCTTCATGATTCCTGAAGCACAAGCCTCGCTGAGAGGGAGACGCGGAAGATAGAACGCGGGCGACGATAGCGAGGGCTTGAGGTGGTCAGCGGAGGAGCAAGGCCAGCTTGCCTCGATAGGCTGTCGCGGTTCGAAATGCGCTCGACGTCCCGCGCACTGTGATATAGGCACGCCCACGTGACACAGGTCAACACGGTCGCCCCCCGCACGCGCGTCCTGCTTGTGGCACTATGTATTCCAGTACTTATTTTGCATACTGCGATGATACGTGGGTATAATCGTATAATTCGTAAAAATCATCCCTGAGTCGTGCAGAAACTAATACAATTGTAGGCTGACTACTCAAATCGTACTGAAGTATCGACTAAGTGAAGTGAGTAATGAAAGGTAACATGATACATGTGAAGAACGAATCAGTTCGTTGGTTCGTGCAAAATCGTGCAGGAGGTAGCCAATAGTCCATGAGATAGCTTCACCTCACCCGCAGATGTTGGGGTAGAGGAGGTTGGTCGGGTTCTGCGGGATCCATCCGTTCGCCAGTCCGGCTTGGTAGGACCACTCGTCGGCGCTCTCCGTCTTCCATGCCCACTGGATCCAGCCCTGCGCGCCCTTCTCGAACGCGATCGTCTGTGCCTCCCAGTACTGGCGGAGGAACGTCTGGTACGAGTCGCTGAACGACGACGCCGGGCCGGTAAGGCCCTGGCAGCTACCGACGTACGATGACCCGGGGTACGACCCGTCGTATCGCGAGCCGATGCCGCGGCCATTGAGGTACTTCGCACAGTCAGTGGCGGCGGGCGCCCACTCACCGACGATGAGCCAGAGATCGAAGCCGGAGAGGGACGAGGCGTAGTCACAGGCAGCGGAGATGTGTTGGGAGTCGGAGTAAGCGAGTTCCGAATCCGAGAACACCTGGTAGATGTGCGTGTCCAGTGCGACGCCTTGCCAGCCGGGGGGTGTTTGGAAACCTGACCAGTAGCTGTGAAGAGCAGTCAGCCGACCGAGCTTCCAACACTAGCAGTGAGAACGCGTACCTGAGAGTTTGGAAGGCGTCATGCATTAGTAGGACCGTGTTGCTCTCCTCCGAGCTGCCGAAGGGATATCTTTCCGCGAGGTCCGAGTCAGAGTTTTGCAGCCATGCGGATCACAGGGTAGTGCATACCTGACGTTTCCGTACGAATCGTAGTAGTACTGCGTGAGCACATCCAGCATCTGATCACCATCATAACCCGCCGGCCTAGCGAGTATGGATAAGCCAAACGTCCGACGTGCGTCATACCTCGAGGCTTACTCGTTGATCGGCGTGATGATAGACACAACCTGGGGGTTGTTGGCGAACATTGACGCGATCGTTTTCACGATGGCATCGCTCCGCTGAACGTTCGTAGAGTTCGACTGCCACTCCGGATAAGATATCCTATGCCCCGAGTTGTCGAATCTGTCAGGCGAGGTGAGCACGCGTATTGTGATAAACCGACACGCCCATCCGAAACTGCTTACCCGTTCTGGCTCCCTGGAACACCGTGAAGGTCTACGATAACCTTGAGGCCGTGGTTCCCGGCCCAGCCAATGGCATTCTGGAGGTATGGGAGTTGCCCCTGGATGTACGGTTCCCCGGGCCCGACTTCGAATGCCCAGTATCCAATGGGAAGGCGAACATGGTTCAAGCTGAGGAAGAAACGATTGAAGGTCAGCCCCGCCTTAGGCAATGACGCGACCACGTGACGCACCCCGCTGCCGCAATGTCTGCCAGGTCTTGTTCCGTGATCCAAGTGTTCCAGTGATTTTGGAGGGCCGACGTCGCTGTTGCAGTGTCTTGGAGCTCACCGAATGTCCACTCGTCAACAATGTTGTCGTTGCCGGTGTTGTCGAAGAGACTGGGCGTGATCCATGGCTAGCAGCTGATGTGAGCGCGACGTACGTGCGGCTGACAGTGACCAAGCGGGCTCCTCACCTCGAGGACGAGCCATCCTCCCAGGTTGACGCCGCGGACCGTCTCCGTACCATAGGAGAAGGACGGGTTGATGGCGTTGTCACCCACGACACGGCGCGCGAAGAAGGTGAACAGCGAGAAGACCGCAGCACGACGCCAGGTGGAAGACATGGTGGATCGGGTCGAGGGAGGATGGAGGAGGCGGACGATGGGCGCGGCACGATATTTATACACGCCAGCACCAACGCTCCGGACGGTACGCCAATGACCTGAGGTCGCTACCAGCCGCCGATGGCGGCTGGCCAACGCGATACTTCTATTCCTCACGTGTGGTGTGCACGATCGAGCACCCCAAACGTCGGGTCTCGGCTACCCGACACGTTTGTACGGAGAATCACCCGTCCTGTGGCGCCCCACCTCAGGATGACGGAGGCCAGGGCTGCGCGCAGCGCCCGTGAACGGTAGTGCCGCCCAAGTCTTCTCTCCGTGCCTGGTCGCCCACATTTCTGAATGCACTTCCGGTCGTCCCTACGCATTTTATAAGCCAAAACACCCAGGACCGCTGACAGACACCATTCCTACGCCTGAAAGCCGTCTAGACATATAGGGCGTCACAGGTGACCGCAAGCGATCGAGCGGTAGACGTTCAACACGATAGAACCCCAGAAGAGAGGCTTGACGCGGCCGAGTAGACTGCCATTCGTACCGAGCAATCACCGGAGCATCTGAGAGGCATCATTTCCGAATTCTTCACGGGGTTTAGGGGGATTGGGGCGGACCGCCAGCCGCAAGAAATGGCCTCGAGGGAATGGCAACTGTTGTCCTGGCCTCGTATTGGCTGCCGCAAAAAGCAATGATATCATTTCTTACGACGATCTTTAGGCGAGGTCGTGCAGTATCTCGAGCCTCGTCTAAAGCGGCGATGGGTCTAGGCCGATCAGGTTTTCTCTCTGATTAACCACGACCGAGTTGCGATAAGTACACGATTAGCGGGTTGATGCACCTTGAGGCAGTCGATACTCACCGTCAGCAGGCCGTGGTCGGTAAGCATTTGCCAGACTGAGACGAACGACGCGCATGCACGCATGTCCACAATAGAAATTTCCGGGCATCCAGCCTCTAATCGGGACGCGCAATGCCGTGTTCTTCGGTCCGAGACAAGGATAGGCAGGCGGAAGTATATCCGTGTCCCGGCGGAGGTCCCTAGTCCGAGGTCGTACGTCTGGATATACATGAGGCAGTAGGAGATAGAAAGGGCAGTCGTCCAGGGACTGCAAACACATGACAGGAACGAAGACTTCCAGGTCTTGCGTACAGCTGCAAGCATCCGGATCCCTACGTCCGCAGGATCCGCCCCGTGCGTCCTAGGGTGGCCCGCCGGCCGTCAAGTAGACCTGGTGAGTGTTGAGAAGGTTAGAATGTCAGACAGGTTGCGGGGTGGTCCGGTCATGAGGGCCAAAGTGGTCGTGGCAATAGCGCGCAGAACGAGGCAAGTATCGCAACCTGACAGTGACAGAGGTGCCGAGTTGTGCTCATCCATTGAAGTCGCCAGCGCTCCGATGCAGTGCCAGAATCCGTGGTCACGGTAGTGCGCGCCCAGCGGAGTCGGGGTGTGAGCCCGCCATGAGACCTGAGCAGCGTCGACGCGGTGCAGGAGGGTGATGGTGGCGGGAGGAGACAGGCGGCGACTTGCGACTTGCGAGCAGCGCAAAGCTGTACGCAGCTGTACGGGCGGCAGTTCCCGAGGCGTATTTCTGTCGCGTAGATCGCGTCGAACGTGCATACAACGCCTCCACCACGACCTCGCCCGCTATTACGTTCCCTCATCTCTCCCAGCTCCCCACCGCCCCCTAATCTCCCCCAGCATCCACCCCCACCATGTCCTACGAATCCACTCGCAAGCGTTACGAGGCCGCCGGACAGGGCCACCTGCTCCAGTTCTGGCCGAAGCTGTCCGAGCCGGAGCGCGCATCCCTGCTCGCACAGCTCGACGCGCTCGACATCGATCGCGTGAACAAGATATACAAGAGGGCCGTCGGCTCTGAGAAGGAGGCGGCGGGGAACGCGGGCAAGGACGCCATCGAGCCCCTGCCCGAGGACGCTACTGACAGCGTGATTGGTGACCCCGAGAAGGAGAAGGAATGGCGGAGCATAGGCTTGAAGGCCATCGCGCATGGCCAGGTCGGCGTGCTGCTCATGGCTGGCGGGCAGGGAACGCGACTGGGCAGCAGTGCGCCGAAGGGCTGCTACGACATCGGCCTGCCGTCACACAAGTCTCTGTTCCAGTACCAGGCCGAGCGGATCGCCCGCCTGCAGACGGTAGCCGCGCAGGAGAACGGCAAGGCCCCCGGATCAGTCGTCATTCCCTGGTACGTTATGACCAGTGGACCCACTCGGCGGGAGACGGAGGCATTCTTCAAGAAGAACAATTACTTTGGCCTTTCCTCGAAGAACGTCGTCCTCTTTGAGCAAGGTGCGTTCGTATCCGGATTATTCGTCGTACAGTGCACTTTCCTATTGGACAACAATGCATGTTGGGATCGCATGAATATGTTGTGAAGCGCTGTACCATGTATCAGCACAGATCCCGAGTAGAATGTGCCTGTGCATGCGGTCGATGTTCAGATTAGGCAGCCTCGTTCTTGAACTCCCATTCACGTGTACTTCATACACGTCCTACTTTCTCGTAAGGAACCTCATGTACCATTCGAGACTGACACAGACTTCCGTCAGGTACGCTGCCATGTCTCACGATGGACGGCAAGGTCATCCTGGAGAACCCTTCGCAAGTCGCCGTCGCCCCGGACGGCAATGGCGGTCTTTATGCCGCCCTCCGCAAGCCGCTCGATCCCTCCGAGTCGCGCACAGTCCTCTCCGATTTCGGCGAACGCAAAGTGCAGTACATCCACAGCTACTGCGTGGACAACTGCCTCGTCAAGGTCGCGGACCCCGTCTTCCTCGGGTACTGCATCCAGAAGCAGGCGGACTGCGCCGCGAAGGTCGTGCCCAAGGCGTACCCAGCCGAGTCCGTCGGCGTCGTCGCGCGGTGGGGCGACAAGTACAGCGTGATCGAGTACTCGGAGATCTCCAAGGAGCAGGCGGAGCGGCGCGACCCCAAGACGGGCGGGCTCGCGTTCCGCGCGGCGAACATCGTGAACCACTTCTACACGACCGCGTTCCTGCACGACACCGAGACGTTCGAGGAGGAGCTCGCGTTCCACATCGCGCGCAAGAAGATCCCGTTCGTGGACGCGCAGGGCCAGACCGTCAAGCCGGCCAAGCCGAACGGCATGAAGCTCGAGATGTTCGTGTTCGACGTGTTCCCGTTCACGAAGCACTTCGCCGTCCTCGAGGTCGCGCGGAACGAGGAGTTCAGCCCGCTCAAGAACGCGCCCGGCACGGGCTCGGACGACCCGGAGACGAGCCGCCGTGACCTGCTCTCGCAGCACAAGCGTTTCCTCGAGCACGCTGGTGCCACTGTCGCGGAGGGCATCGAGATCGAGGTTTCCCCACTGGTCTCATACGCCGGTGAGGGATTGGAGGGAGTGAAAGGAAAGAAGTTCACCCGTTCCGGCATGGTTGAATCAGTGGAGGAGTTGGACGCACTCGTCTAAAGCAGAAGAAACCAAAGGTGATCCTCAACGCTCCCCCGGACGGACCTGTACAACATAGCTAGCCTAAACTCTTCGCATCTGGACACGGACATCGCATAGGGACTTTGTTTAGTTTGGATGTTGTACATAGTGTTCCGGACTAATCGTCTTCAACAACATTGATTGCACAACAAACTCATGTCTGCTGCTGGAGTTTGAGCCGTTCTCTGGTAGATCATTGCACCCGGGATGCGGACGTGAGCAGTTCTCCGAACGAGCCAATTTCTGCACCTAGGAAAGCGGGTGTACAGGAGACGCAAGGGCCGAGTAGGCACATACAGGGAACAAGTGTCCTCTCTAACCCATCTACTACGCCCGCCGCCCCTGGTGTTAGATGGCTTCGCCATCTGGTGGGCGATCTGCCGTGCCATTCAATGCCGGCTTCCACCCTGTAGAGCGAACTTCAATGCTTAGTCCGGGATCGAGCATAACATAGAATTGAGACTTACGTGTTTCCAGCTCTTCTCGGAGGGAACCAAAGAGCTGTTGTATCCGCGCATCATTTGACTTCGGAAGGATATTGGTCAGAGCGGCCAGGAAGAACAGACAAGAGATCGGACCTCATGACAGCAAGCCAAGAGTTTGTTGACGAGCATCGTCTGCTGCTCTGTGACGTCCTCGACCTCCTTGCGCAGCTGTTTGACCTACCCCCAGGTCAGCAAGAACGAGTCAATCGAACGCATTGACACGCCGAACCTGTTCTTCAAGCTTATCCGCTCTGGAACTTTGGCCCTCCGCGAGCTGCTTTTGTTCCGCGGCGCGTGCTCGAGAGAGCAGGACCTCGAGCTCCTTCGAGCGGATCACGCATTCGAAGTGTCGCTCCCGCAGCTCGTATTGTCGGAGAACCTCCTTCAGACGTTCGCGGACGCTGAATCGAGGACGAATACGTCAGCGGAGCACGTAGCATAGATACGGAGAGAACCTACACGTTGTCGAAGATATCTTCCACGGTCTTCTTCGCTCTACACGATGACATGAACTATGAACCCGCGCCGGAGGTATCGCACTTACTCTGTTGGGTTCTCCACCCATTCTTTCTTCAGCTTCTGGCGCCGAGGTTCCGGCTCGTCCTGGCACGAAGTCGTGTTCACTCCTCGTTCCCGTCCCTGAACTGACAACCACTCACCAGCTCCTCGGTCCCTGGACCCTCTGTCAGATCCATGATCTCGACAGCCAAGATCATGTCACCGTCCTCGATACCCGCCTCCTCCGGTGTCTGGTCCGCCTCAAGACTCCGGCCCGCATGCGTAAAGATGAACTGCATCGAACTCCTCGACGCCGCCGACCCACTGGAGCTTATCGAGCTTGTCGTGAGTGCCGTGCCATTTGGTGGCTGGGGTTGCGTGCCGGAGACGGTCTTGCTGCCCTTCACGATGCCGGACTCCATGCGCTCCGTCCACGCGTTGAAGAGTCGGGAGAGCTTCGTCTTGCGCGAGATCTTGAAGTAGAGCTCTGCGCGGTACTTGCAGTGTACGCGCACGACGATGTCGGGGGTCTCGCGGTACTTGGTCTCTTGGATCTTCGCCCGCTCCGCGCGCTTCGCCATGTCGGTCTTCATTTGCATGATCTCGTCGCCCGCTCAGGACGCGTTGAGGGAAACAGCTGCGGGCGACTCACCTCTTCTTGAGCTTCCTCCACACATGTTGCTAACCGTTTGCTGTCCTCCTGCGGCGATCTATGAGAACCTGGGGTATTCGCCGAAGACGCGTATCTGAGCTGAGCAGACCCACCCGTAGCCTTTTGTTATCCTACAGAAAGCATTAAGAGGGAACGGACACTCCAGCCATGCAGAATTACCTTCTGCAACTCGCGTGCTAGATTCTCCATCTTCGTCTTCGTTGTGTTCGCCTTCGTCAACTGGTTCTTGGCTTGGTAGACATACAGCGTAAGAGTTCACTGCATGGACAATACGTAGTAGTACACATACCCGCATCCTTGTCTTTCGCCAACTTCTGCTTCTCCTTCGCGTGATCTCGTTCCAGTCGCTTGAGTTCCGCGAACTGTCCTCGGCGCGTCAAGACGTGTGGCAGCATAGTAATAGAATAGACTGATATGCACCAGCTCAATGTACTTTGCATGGATCGCATTCTCGCCCATGCCCGACACAGAGTTCTGCGCCTCCTCAGCTGTAACCGGTGAATACGGACTGTGCCACTGCAAATGACAAATCGACGACTCACCGAACCTCCGCTCCTCCTCTTCCTCGTGCACCTCCTCCTCCTCCAGCGCTGCGATGCGGTTCTTCAGGGTTTCATACATTTGTGAGGGATCGACTGGCTGCTCAGCGGCCTTCTTCTTGGCCCTCTGCGCGGGTGGGTGTGCGCCATTGGCTGTGGCACCGTTCGCCTGGCGGTTGTTCGCGGGCGTATGCGTATGATTCGGAGGTGCCGGCGGTGCTGCAGCGGGGGCAGGCGGGGTGGCACCCGCCTGGGCTGGTCTGCCGTGGCGGGCGGTGTGGGTGCCGTTCATGGCAAAATTGCGGGTGATGCGAGCGTTAGACGCGGCGGTGGGGAGGCAGCAAGAGAGGAGGCTGAGGAGATGAATGGCGAGCGATGTATTTGTCCGGATTGGATGGCCACAGGTTTATTGACGGACGCAGACACAGGGCGCTCAGCCACCTGCCCGCTCTCCGTCGTCCATCTCCGCCACTCGCGCCCTCTCGCGGTCACGCACTCCGCGACGACACAGACGCAGCGCTCGTGTGGCCTCCTACCGCTCCCTCACCTTCAGCGCTCTGAACGGCCGCAAGCTCGCGTTGCCACTTCTCGCATCCGCTCTTTATACTGTGTTGCTCAGATGTCGATCACTACCGACTACACAACGATCAGTGCCAACGTAGTCTTGAGTGAGGCGAAGTTCCGTCTCAATGACTTGGAGTTGCCGATTACTTTCGAGCAGTTGTCAACCCAGATCGTTGCCCGAGGTTCGACCATAGTAGCCTGTCCATACCTTTTACTGACGTCTAGGCCGTAATGATGTCGTGCAGGATATCCCGCACCCCGGACACTCATCTGCAAGCCAAGTGAACTGGAGCTCGAGGCCACAGACGGACCTTCTCAATTCACACCGGGCGAAGGAGGGAGAATAAATATGCAAGTCGTGTATCAATGTTGCTGCACAGTCTTCTGATACCGTCGTCTTCAGTGACCAGCCGTTCGTACACTACTACAATAAGGTGTACCTCCCTGCTATCCGTGGCGACGTTGGCGAGCGACCGGCCGGGAATCCCTTTGCTTGTGTCAGTGAATCTTGTGTCAAACGGGACCAGACGATGATTGAAGTCGGCGGAGTCAACATACAACTGCAGAGGTATGATGCAATGAGTAGTCGGATGCATTCAACACTAATGTTCGACATAGGACGATCCGTGTTCCAGGTAAGAATAGATGATGCTGGTCGTGTACCTCTTCATCTCAGGGATCCGCAGATAACGACAAGCTACAAGCATTGCCTCCCAATATGGGGGCGTTCAAGGTTTAGTCAGTGTATGTTCAACACTACTACGACTATCACACTGATGACGGGCACGTCGCAGCAATGTTGCGGACTTCGCAGACAAACTCCCCCAGTCTGTAGTCAACAAAGGCGGTGTCTTCATTGTATGTCGTCGTCGCTTGCAGTGGCCGGTCTAGTCACACTGATAATGATTGGTAGGCTATGTATCAGAGGGAGGCCATGTGGATCTCTTTCTCTCATCCTACGAACAGCAGGGTGCATCCCGCTGTGAAAGTATCTGTTGGCGGAGTGAATGCCCTCACTGGGACAGCACAGGGTATGCATAACGAAGGTGACCAGGATTATCTGCCAATCCACAGCGGTGGTGGTCAACTGTATGTTGATTTGACACTTACCAAGTGAGACACTCTGACTTAAACTAACACAGATGGCTGGTAAGGGTCTTGCAATGTCATTCATTGACAATTTCCTTACCACTTTCACAGGATGGAATCTGTACTGCACCTGGTATTGTCCGCCGTGAGTACACTTATGATTCTGCTCATAACCACGAATACAATTCTGATATGTCTTTGTTTCATTAGAGTTTGTTGCTATGCAACTTGGCCATGGTTACACAATTGAGGGTCAGATAACTGGTGAAGAGGTAGGTCCTCTATCATTCTTAGCTTTTGCATGGTCATTGTCTTATGTCTTTCAGGAAATTGGGGGAATGCAGATTGATGTCTTCAAGCCATACATCACCACAGCTCTGTTCAGATGCAATGGGAAGGTTATGAACCTCTTCAACTCACCAGCTCAAGAGGGCCTACAGCCAAGGGCTTCATTGTGGATGCAAGATAAAGCTATGTGAGTTCCTGATAATGGACAACCTTGGTCCTCACCTAGTATCTCTGCTTGACATTATGCCTTGAGTAGCATGTCTGAAGAATTGAACTCAGGAGACACAATGACACAAGCAATTCTCACTACCTCTCCAATGATACAGGTCAAGGCTATGACAGTAGGAGACCCATTGCTCATTATAACATTCACTGGAAACCCAATAACCATTCCATATGAGAGTCACCTATTGATTGATGATCTGAAGAAAAAGATCCATAGGAAAGAGGGTACTGCACCAGATGATCAAAGACTGATATTTGAAGGACATTTGTTGGTAGATGGGAGGCTGTTGTTTGGTAATCTTTTGTCATTGCACCTGAGATCTTGGATTTTTGACTATGTGCCATAGATTATGGTATCAAACCTGGATCAACTATTTATCTGCTCCTTAGCCAGAGAGGGGGTGCAGACCCAGATGCAATAGCTGGATTTGCTGCAGGCGGGCGGATTTCCCAGAAGATCAATCGAGACACATTGCCCCCACTGGCGTACGATGACGCCGCGCCGACGAGGCTACATATCACGGTCATCAATGCAGCGCATTTCTCTGCCATGACAGGCCTTCCTGCGCCCTCTACTCCCATCAGCACCTCCACTTACCTCGAGAACAAGCTGCCGTGGTTCACCCTTTACGACGAACGTGTCCCGGGTGCGAAGATGAACTTCAAGGCGAATCCACTCCCCAAAGTCAAGTCTGTCGCGGCGCTGGATGCCGTACGCGGCGTGCGGAGAAAGACCACATCGCAGAGGGGATGCGCCTTTTGCGTCCACGGCAAGGCTGCCTTCCTCCTCCACCCCTGCTCTCACGTCGTCTGCGAGGACTGCGCGTCCGGGCTCGGCTCCGACGTCTGCCCTGCATGCCCGACGACCGTTCATCGCCGCAAGAGGCTCGCTGACGAAGAAGACGACCCACAGTTCGGACTGGAGGCCGGATCATACGAGGGCCGCGTCGTTCATTTGAAGCGATATGCGAAGGGCGACAAGGTGGCGAGCTTCATACTGCGCGAGCATGCGGTCTCGAAGTTGTCGGGAGATGGAAGGGCATGAGTTCTGCCTTCAATTTGTTGCGCGTTATGTCGTCCGTTCGTCTGTGTCATGTACAATCTAGCGAGTTCGAGAGTCTGGAATTAGTAGCTGAACACAGTGCTTCATCTCAGTCCGGCGCGCTGTGCATGTCGCGCGCGAGCGCTTGTGAGCGATCGGCGCTTCGCCATTCGACCTTCGTCTCAGCATCATCTTGCCGTCTCTCACAAGTCGTCGTCACCTTCGATTGCAGCATGTTCACAGGTCTGGTATGCTAGCGCGACAGAACTCGCGTTTCTTACTGAACCCACATTTTCGCTGCCTCACAGATCGAGCATCTCGGGACCGTATCCTCAATTGAGCGCGACGCCGGCGGGTGCACCTTGACCATCGCGCAATCTGCACCCATCCTCACAGACTGCCACGTCGGGGACTCTATTGCGGTGAACGGAGCATGCTTGACTGCGACGGAATTCGACAAAGATGCGCAGGGAGGGTGGTTCAAAGTCTGGCTTGCGAACGAGACCCTTGACAGGACTGACCTTGGTAGGTCGTTACTCGACGCACTGGACGCATGTGGACATTAGATACTGAAACTTCCTGCACAAGGGGAACGAAAGGTGGGAGACCAAGTGAATTTAGAGCGTGCAATGGGCGCGCAGGTCCGGTTCGGAGGACATTTCGTGCAGGTGAGTAGCCGAACCGTTGTGCAGAAGCGACTCAACCTATTCCGTACTTGGTCAGGCGCATGTCGACACTACGGCGACCATTGTCGACCGGAAACCGGATGGCGAATCCCTGCGCTTGCTCTTCCAACTCCCGGAGCCAACTCCCGAACGACCGTCGCTTCTGCCCTACATCATCCCGAAGGGCTACATCGCGATAGACGGTACATCCCTCACCATCACACAGGTCGACGACAGGCAGCGTACCTTTGGCGTTATGCTGATCACGCATACGCAAGAGAAGATCACGCTGAGCAAGAAGGCGGTCGGGTCGAAGGTCAACATCGAGGTTGACATGGTCGGTAAGTTTGTAGAGAAAAGTGTCCATGCTGCTCTTTCTGGAGGCGGAAGTGAGGGTATGAGGGCTATGATAGAGAGAGTAGTAGAAGATGTATTGACGAAGAAGGGTCTTGTGCAGTAAACCATATTCCTCAGCCTCCTCGGTTCAGGCATGACTGGTAATGTCGCTCGCACTGCTGCCTGAAATGCACGTCCCGAGCACTGCACTGAGTATTAGGCTATGGTCCACTTCAGCACTACTCTGTCTAGCTACTGTTCCGTACATAGTGCCCAGGCAGTAGTCCACGGCTTCACCGCAGCGGAATTCATATGGAACGCTGCCCTTGGGCACTTGCCGTTTCGGGTAGTCGGCTGTTCTCCGTACCGGACGTTGCCGCCACAAGCTTGGCCCAGCTGAACGGTTCACTGAACGTTGGCTCTGCCTCTCCTGTTCCCATCTCTCTACATCGCTGCGCAAGCTAACTTATACCCTTTGTATGTCGGTTCTGTAGCATGGAGGCCCAGACGAAAGCCAAGGTTCGCAGTCGCCAGTGACCTGCTTGCTGTGCGCGCTGAGACGGCTTTGCAGGTCACCGCGAGAGTGGACTACGATAGAGCACGACCTCCCTCGCCCTTCAAGCCCCATGCCCCGACACTTTCGCCCCACCCAATGGTCAAGCCCAAGGCCAAGGTCAACAGCAGTGCGACCGTCGCACACCGCAAGATCCAAGCACCCCGCGTCGCGTCTCCCGTCCCGCCCGTGCGGAGCCCACCCTCAGCGCGCGCGCCCTCCCCCTTCAAGCCGACACACTCCGGTCTCCCTCATTCCACGTCGGCTACGAGCGTCTCGAGCGTCAAGGCTCGGCTTACTGCGCGTCCAGCCTCACAGCACTCGCCGACGGCCCCGGAGTCCCGACAGCGGTCGCTCACCACTGTCCCTTCGGACTCGGCTCTCTCCTCCCGTGCCTTCGGTGTGCGCCCACGTAGAGGCAGCGTATCCTCCCATGCCTCCTTGACAGTCTCGCCCACCCATGCCGAGCTCCGGGCTCAGTCGACGAAGGCTCTAGCATCGCCTTCAGAGGAGAACGGGTCGCCGCTTCCATCTGCAACGAAAGGCATCACACGCGTGAAGTCCAAAGTGTCAAGTGTCGCTAGCGGCAGTCCGCATACATCACCTCCGGTCTCGTCAAGTCCGACCGCTCACAGCCGAGGGCCATCCATTCCGTCGATCTCTCTGGCTGCCCCACTGCTACCAGCTGATATCAACTCATCACCAGTCCTGACATCGGCGCATCCGCCTTTCACGCCAGGAGGAGAGAGTCCAATACATAGGCACGTGTACCAACCACTCGCTTCTTTCGACGATGTTGTTGCGAAGTACAGCAACTACGCAGTAACCGCGAAGGTTGACCCCGCGGCGATACCGCTCCCACCACAGTCACCTCCGATGTCGGCCATCTCTTTCTCCTCACGGTCTTCTGCGTCTCGTTCATCGGTCTCATACGATACTCACGGGACGGAAGCGACTCGTAGCACGGCTCCCACTGTGCACTCTCGGCTCAATGGACATAGCAAGTACGGAAGGGCAAGCATGGATGGGTTGGACGTGCACTCGGATGCCCTAACGCTGAGTGAGGACGAGAGCTGGGATGAGGAGGACGAAAGCGGCGAGGTGCGTGCCCCACGCCGCGACGATCCAGAGAGGAAGAAGAAGGATGAGGCCAAGTCTATTCGTAAGGTGAGCATTCGTTGCATAACGGGCTTGGCGTATGCTACAAGTGATGCGTCTACATATAGATAGCCGATTTGGAGATCACCAACAAGTCCCTGCTCACAATCAACGCGTCGCTGGAAGCAGCGAAGCATAAGCAAGCTAAGGAGATCCGAGAGTTGAAGCGGAAGCTGCGAGAATCGCGACTCATACTGCCGCCTCCCGCTTATCGCGCGGTGAAGTCGTCATTGCCGCATGACGATACCGCGGAGGAAGAAGAGGAAGAGGCGGAAGACGAGGACGAGGAAGAAGAGCAGAAGATAATCGAGGGCAAGGACGACGAGCCGTATCGTCGAGTCAAGGTCATGCTAGAGACCATGCTTGAGACCTGCCAGCGAGCATTGCAGACGAAACCAGAGGACTTCGTCGAGAAGTCGTGGGGAGTCGCGAAAGTTCTCACAGCGGAGGAGGTCCGCTCGTGGCGTGGTGACGAGACGCTGGATGATATTGACCCGGACACGTCTCTCACGGAGGACCGGGATGACGAGGAGTCTACTCAGATGGAGATGAGCGGGGACGGTGCTTTCGCGCTACTCAACGCCATGCGGTACGGCGCCGAGACAAGGCAGGACGGCGAAGACGAGGTGGAGGCGTCACTGCTCATCTCCGAAGACGGCGACTCCTCGACAGTGCCTCCCATCACCGTGACGCCTTCCCAATGATCCGTGCCCATTCGCGACTCGCGCTGCTATCGCTGGCGTTGAACGCCATCACGAACCCATATCGTATGCCTTTATTGTACTTATGGAGCTATACCCATGAACATGCACACTGCACCTGCCATGATTTCGTACGTCGCACGCATTCTATCATTGTTTTACTGATACTGCATCCCCCTCATTTCGTCGCATCCTAGTTCATAGTCGCATTAGTTACGCCCATACCTCCTGTACGGTATATAACGCTAAAGAATAGAAGTCTCGGCCAACGGACGGACTCTGCGCTGCCTCTGGCGGACGTTTGATAATGCTCAATATACAGGTGGTGGTATTCTGTTGCGGCTATTGCTTTTGTACGCGTCGCGTCTATGTGAGTGCGCCTTTTATCGACTTCAAGGTAAACACGAACTGACTCCCTACACTCCTTACCCCGTCAGGCCTACAGTTGTCCGCGGGGCATCAGTTCCGTTCGGAATCAAGACTGCACCAGTCTGTCAGCCAGCGTGCTATTCAGTTTCCTCCCCGTCCGCCAAGGGGTAGGGCTTCTTGTCGATGGCTCCTACAGTGCTGAAACACGGCCACCGTGGTCAGCACGGTTGCCAGATGGGCCACTGGTAGTGTAAGTACCCCTGTCTGGAAGCGGATCGAGAAGTTTGCACCGAAAATTTTGAACATTCTTACTGCCTCTCATTGCTTCATCGACATCCCAAGCACATCGTATCGCAGAGGTGCTATCGGGCCAGCAAGGACCTCCTCAGAGCAAACACTGCCTCTCAATGTGCAGGTTACAGTTGTGCGCTTCGCCAATCATTGAGAATCGCGCTCACGTGCACATGACGCGACTGTCATATGAAGGCTGCTCGCCGGCGCTTGTTGCATTGTGATTCGGTGCCACAGCGAGCGGCGAGGTGTCTGCCTTAAATTATTTCACGGCGAGCACATCGGGCTCTTCCTGCTTCACATCAACCCCCTTCCTTCTCCAACGCACCCGCCTCCGCCCATCATGGCCTCCGCTCACGACCCCAAGGCTGGTAGCCAGCACGTCTTCGACAGACAATTCCACCTTTGCGAGTCCCTCAGTGACTATTACAGCACGGAGGAGTTGATCATGACCTGCCCCGATTGCTCTCGCTTCGTCGCTCTCTGCTGTCAACACCGTAACCACGGGAGACCCCGGGCCTGCCACCACTACCAGCTGGTGTTCACGGACGGCGCATGCCTCTCCAACGGGCAGACCGCCGCGACCTCCGGCCTCGGCGTCGCCATCGGACAGGATGCTGAGCTGCAGTGGACCGTACCCGTCGATGACATCGTCGATCCGAACGCAAAGAGGTCCAGTCAGCGCGCGGAGCTCCTGGCTGCCATCGAAGGACTGCGCCTGCTCAACGCCGTCGACGGTCCCGAAGACGCCCACAGCCGTCTCTACAATCGCCACGGAAAGCCGGGCGACAAGCCCACCGTCTCGTACAGGAACTGGGTCATTACGACGGATTCCAAGTATGTGGTCGATGGCATGACGGACTGGCTGCCGAACAAATGGAAGGTGCGGGTTTCCTCGCTGACCCCTTGTGCTGTACCATACTCACGTTGTATGCGTGTCCACCGCAGCTTAACGGGATGCGCACGTACGACGGGCGCGTCCCCGCCAACCTCGACCTCTTCCTGCGGCTTGACCAAGAGATCGCCGCTTTGGAATGCCAGCGCGACGTCCGCATCGGCTTCTGGCACGTTCCCCGCCAGTACAACGCCATCGCCGACCGTCTAGCCAAGGACGCTGCTAAGCGGGCCCCCGTCGCTTCGCCCCTTCGCAGCCCGAACCATGCCTTCTAAACGGCCGCCCTTCTACGGGGGCGCACATGAACTCCGAAGCTCTCGATGTGTAGTATGCATCCAAAAGGCCCGTTGTCCTCAGCTATGGTAAATGCTTCGTTATGCGATGTTAATTCGAGACTGTTCTTTATGCAGCTATGATGACTGGAATGTCCATCAATATTGTGCATGTGAGAATGCATAGCATATGAATCGGAGCAAACCTGTGGGACTCAGATGAGTCTGCGCTCGTGGCCGACGTCGCGATTGGGACTGAGCCTCTCCTTCATGCTGAAGTCGAACGCGATTCGATGGATGGTCACTGGTCACCGATAGTCAATATATTATTCGCGACCCAAGCTCTCAGATGCAGTACAAGTTAAATGTCGCGTCCGTCGACTTATGTTCAGGATACTAGTAGCACCCTACAGACGCGGCGCATTTCGGCCATTCTCTACCAATGAATCACACAATGAAACGCGCTGCTCAGGACGTCTATGAACACCCAAAGAAATACTTCCAGCAGGGTTCATTCATCATAGCACGGAAGACCAGCGGAAGACAGCGCCGAGGCCTCCTCGACGGTTTCGGCGGCCGGTCCGGATTGGTTCGAGTTTCGATTGAAGTCCGTCCAAGCCGCGGCGCTATGTAGCTTGCAAGCTTGCCACATTCTTCCGCGCGCACTGGTTCCCTCCACATTAATTGCCTCCCATCGGACGTCGAGGTCGAGATTGTGACGGGAGAACTGCTGCACGACGCTCTATTCGGAGACGACAACGTTCATGAAGAAGTACTAGGACTCATCATGCACGACGCCGAGGTCGAACGTGTGGTACAGATCTGACAGCGCGCCCATCATAAACCAGGCGGAGGTTGGGCGGAGGGGCTGGGAAAAGAAGGTTGTAAACTCTAACTACATAGCGCAGAGCCTATTCAGGACATCGGCGGCGTCGTGCTGCCACCCGCTAGCTGTGCTAGCGACACGCAAGTATCTCTTTTTGGTCAGCTACCATCGGCGAAAAGGCAGAATCAATATCGGGCCTGAGAGGCGTAGGCGGTGCAATTCGTGACTTACCCTATTAGGTATCGCCAGCCATAGCCAGCCATAGCCAGACATAGGCTGGCCGTTCTGGAGAATATTCGACATTCTGTTTATTCCAGGTCAGGTCATTTAATTATAGTGAGCCTCAGATATATAGTCATCTTACAATGCAGTGCTGGAAATATATACAACATCGACACGCCCCGCGAACGAATGCGTCGCCAAAGCTAGTAGCCTATCTACCGGCGAGTCAACAATGTCGATGTGAACAGTGAATGTGCCTTGAGCTGTGCCCGCATAACATGTCTACAGATAAGCTACTCATTACTATTTATGAGCTGCAGTAATAAATGCAGTGCACTGAACAATACGTGCACCCTGGTCACGGCTGCGCGTTGCGCCCGTCTGGCTCACAGCGCTTACGGATTCGGAATACGAACTTACCATAACAGTAGCTCACCTCGCCCGATCGGGCGATGACGTAGTTAGATGCATCCGCGTACGGGCAATGACATACTTAGGTAGATGCGTCCACGACCATATAAAGCTTCTGTGCTCCTTCAAGGACTGGGATCTCTTCTTGACCTCGAACCCCCATCTTCTGCTCTCTTGTTTCTCACCGTTTCCTCCCTCTTCCGCGTCATCAGCGCTCGACTGCACGCGGTCACGTGTGCGCATACAGTCCGATTGGTGCAGAGCACGGGTCACCTTTTGTGACCCGCTACCTGCACCATACCCGCCACTCTCCGCCACTCACCAGCACCAGTCGTAAGTAGGTGCATTGCAGGATTAGGGCCCAACCCACGCGGGTAGGTATCCATTTCCGTACTAATGCGCGTACCCGCCCTGCAGTCTGCGGCCTACGATGGTATTGCCAAAAGAGGCAACCCCGCGAGCGCCCAAACGCGTCGCTCGCGGAGGTTCCCCCTTGTCACTGGCCTCACCTCCCTCTCTCCCTCTCGCCGCTCGTCCTGCTAACACCCTCCCAGTCTTAAGATTCGTCTATGACGTCTCCCGGGCTCGGGCTTGGGCATGCACAAGTATGACCACGAGTGCCCAACACACAAACACGCGCGATGGACGGATAACATGCATATGAGCGAGGGACAGGCGAGGGCAACAGCGGTGAGCAGGGCCCCGGCGTGCACAACAAACACTGACTACGAGCACGCAGGGTAAATGCCCTGCGTGCAGACGCAGCCGACGAGCAGATTGCAGGTGCGTTAATGAAGGAGAGGTGAGTGCAGATGTGCACCAATGAGCAAGCTGATCACCAGCACAGGGCTCACCGACGCACACTTCAATCTCGAGTGCGCTGGACGAATGCTCAGCACGCAGGCATGGCCAGCGAATTTGCAGGTGAGCATGCGGGCGACAGGCCCACTCGCTCGCGTCTCGAACACGAGCAAAACAGCACCCACCAAGCACCCACCATGTCCGGCCAGCCGAGGATACCGCCAGTGACGACGCAAGGGCATCATGGAGTCTTTTGACCAGTAGACCATTGCGATGTCACCGCGCGCTCGGTAGTTGCCTCGCAGTTGCCACTCCAAGCACCGACGTCGAGCAACCGCAAACCGGCGTTCGCGCGACGACGGGTTCGACGTGTCAACGCGCACATCCAGGCTGCGACAGGAGGTCCCACCAATGCGCAGCGCGTGTGCAAACCCGACAGACAGGTCTCCCGACACGTGCAAAGGCAAGCACAGACCAAGATGTGCAGATGGACAGCACATCTCGTGCCCGCCAAGTCACCCTGCCAGACGCATCGACGCACACGTCGTCGCTCGATGCGCCCTGATCCGCGCTCGACAAACCTACGTTCGCGCCACGCCCCCACTCGTCCACGCCTCTCAGGCTGTCGCCGCGCCTCCGTTCCCCGATCGCTCTCGGAACCATGTGCGCAGAACCTCTCGTCCGCCCGCGCTGTCTCACCTCGTATGTGCTCATCCACCCGTCCACCCGCTCACTGACCCGCGGACCCGCAGTACTTCCTCGAGACCCATCGCAGCGGGTAGAGGTGCGGGTAAACCCCTGGACACCCGGCGGGGTTACCTGTGCAGTTCACTGCGACACATATGGCGACCGTCGCCACGGGAAACGGGCTGGCGTGCGAGCAGGCAGGCTGACGAACGGGAAAGCTGGCAGGCGGATAAGCGGGAAAGCTGGCAAGCGGGAGCCGCATACGTCAAATGCAGGTGCTCCAATTTCGTATGGTCTCACTGTGCCCATTGTACATCGCACGCGCAAGCGTCATCTCGAAAAATGACATGGCATTTTTTCATGATTTGGCTGAGGACGAGACGGATATCCGAGCCTCCGGGCAGCAGCTATAGGGCTCGTAGCAGCCAACCTGGCCGCCTGCACACATGGCCCGCCGTCCAATGACTCAGACTCGCCCCGCACGATGGTGTATGTGCCGGGCCTGGCACTTGCGCGAGGCAGACGTCATCAGAGCTGCTGGGTGATGACCCATGCCAGTGCCTTCCGAACCACATGCAATGACTAAACGGCGTCGGGGCATCTTATAGGTAACGCTGGATCGGCTCAGATGTCGTCAGATAAATGACTGGAGAAGCCCATGTCATAAATCCATGGCATGAGCGTCGAAACCCAGCACGGTAAGGGCCTACCAAGGTAGGTGCCCTATCTATAGCTAGATATAGCTCGCGACTTTTCGCCGATGACGGAGACAAGCACTAGCGACACACTGGACAGCGGCCTTGTTCACTTTGACTTACCTAGGATGCAGGCTTCACCATACGTCCTCCGCTACTTGTGGCCTCTGATAGCTGCAGCGGTCGCGCAAGCAGTGATATCACCTAAGGTCCTCATCGTCGCCTTCGTAAGTCGTGCACGCCACTTCCAGTTCGGCTACTTGCTCACTTCAACGCCTTCGGCATAGTATGGCGACGAAGGAAATGCATGGCTTGATAATCCCGAGTTCAACCTCCTTGAACAAAACATCACAGTCCCAGGCGTGTCCATGAAGTTCCCCGACGTCCACTGCACGAAGGACGGTTCGATATGTCAGCTAGTTGCAGGCGAAGGGGAAATCAATGCTGCCATAAGCACATTCTCCCTTGTCGTATCGCCGCTGTTCAATCTGACCCAGACGTACTTCCTGCTCGCCGGAGACGGAGGCATCAACCCCAAGGTCACAACCATCGGATCTGTTGCCTTTGCTCAGTTCGCCGTTCAGGTGGCGCTGCAATACGAGATCGACGCCCGCGAGAAACCCGACGACTTCTCGAGCGGGTACATCCCTCAGGGCAGCACGACCATCGACTCGTACCCGCGATATCTTTACGGCACCGAGGTGTTCCAGCTCAACGACGCCCTGCGCCAGCGCGCCATGACCTTCGCACGAGCCGCGACATTTACAGACTCGCCTGTCGCGCAGGCCTACCGGCAGCAGTACGCCAATGTGCCCGAGTTCGCACCTGCCCTGGCGCCGCCGGCCGTCGTGGGCTGCGACACCGCGACGTCGGATAACTGGTGGAGTGGTGCGCTGCTCGGCGACGCGTTCGCGCACTTCACGACGCTGGCCACGAACGGCTCGGCAACGTACTGCACGACGCAGCAGGAGGACAGCGGGGTGCTCGAGGCGCTGCTGCGCGGGCACGTTCTGCGTCGCGTCGACTTCGGCCGCGTGCTGCACATGCGCACGGGCTCCGACTTCGACCGCCCGGGCCTGGTATCAGCGTTGCGGACAACCTGTTCTACGCTCAGGGCGGCTACGAGCCCGCCTTGCGCAACCTGTACCTTGCGGGTGTTAGGGTCGTACAGGGCATCGTCGCCGAGTGGGATGCGACCTTCGCGGCGGGCGTGCGGCCGCAAAATTACATCGGCGATGTGTGGGGCTCGCTCGGCGGGGACCCGCCTTTCGGGCCTGGGAGCATATTCAAGGGTAAAGGAGCCCTCGCACCGCCAGGCGCCGCAGTGGATCCTGCACTATCATCAGATGCATGTACACATGCTAGGTATGCTTCTCTGTAACCTGATGCAGGTATGATACTGAATGCGGCTGTAGCAGATCCTTGAGCTATCTTGCGCTTGGGATCGTTCTGGGCCTAGGTATTTCGGTAGTTTGTGTCTTCGTGTGGTCGACACGACGGACAAGATCGAAAGCGTTGTACGAGCCAGTGCCCCAGGGAAGCTCACTAGGCGCTCTCTAGCTTCCACTTCGTGAACGGATTCACGACATATTGACTCCAAGTCAATTGTGGGTGTATGAATACGATATTCCATAACAGGTCAAGAATCCTCGTCCTTGGTTGACACATGCTCATCGACATCGCCGACCCACCCGCTTTATATGGTAGCAGATGGTAGCAGTTCTGCGCACGCCGCACAGCAAATCCTATCTGGTTTGAATGCCAGCGCAAGTGATTGTTGACGTCGTAACTGGTGAGGCGCACCGATTGCTCCCTGTCTCCCTGTCGTCTGTGGTACGTGTGGGCGGTCTAACACGACGATGAAGCAGATGGACCCAGAAACTTTTGACGGTGGTCCAACAGCTGAGCGCTGAGCGCTGTTGCATTGCATCGCGGCGTCATGGGAGACATTTTGATTGTTCATCCTCCATCTAAACTCTGCTCCATAGCAAATGCGTAGATACTGTATAAATGGCGATACGTCGCGGACGAAACGCAGGCACCCCACCCCATTGTCCTCATGACATCCCTTTCAGAAGCTGACGTAGAGACCCTCCAGCAAATCGGCCATGACACAGTGCAGAGTATCGTGGCTCTCGTCGTCGAGGCCATTATGTGGAGTGAGTCGTAACACGTTATGATCATAAATTGAATTAACGTGATTTAATCTGAGTGCGCAGCTATTTACCTTGTTCTCACTTTCAAAGCTGGGATCATTCTTTTGTGGGTCGCCATCCAGACATCTGAGCTGCGTGAAGAAACTTACTTTCTGTGTGCAGGAGCCCGAAGCGACGGTCCAGGGCGTCCATCTGGATATTTATTATAATTGTGTCAATGTTCTTGATGGACACCGCAATATCCATGATCGACGTGAATAATGCCATTCGCGAGATCACGCTCACCCTGACATCGACGTCGTCGGAGTCACTGGCGGACAGATACGAGCTGACTGACAACCTGCCTTGGCCCGTTCAAGGAGCGCTCTATGCATATATGGTGCGTGTCATCCAACTCCGAGTGCATGGCATTGATTTCAGTAAGGAAATGAAGTCGAACCTGGGGGATGTCATCATCATATGGCGCACGTGGGTATTTTGGCGATATACTCGAGAGCGATGGGTGCTCGTCGTGCCCATCTTGTTCTTGATTGGCTCTTTGGGTACTTCATTCTTCTCCTCATCGCCCGGGGCATACTTGACCTATTGATATAGTGACGTCGGGACTGATCTCGTTCTGCGTGGCACGAGTGGTCCAAGACCCCGGCGCGTCCGCGGGCGACTTCACGAACCCGCCGTTCTGTAACCATGTGCAGCTGTCATCCTACGTAACTACACTGGCGACAACTGCCGTGTCCACTTTGATGATTGGCTACAAGACATGGTGTGGTGTTCGATACATCGCTTATTGATGTTTACTCAATGCTGCCTACGCAGGGAGTACCGTCTTACCATTGGCGCACAGGTCCACCGGATGTCGAGCAAGAAGACTCGCGCCGAGCGGATAACGATCATTCTCGTCGAATCCGGGCTCCTCTATTTCCTATTCTTGGTGCGTAGTCTATAGGTCTCAATTTGACGTGAACTTCACGCAGCCATTTAAACAGCTGGAAGCTGTTGTGACAGATAGTGGTGATGTCGCTCAACTGGAGGCTTCCACGCCCCAACTGGCATTTGCGAGTGAGATATGGACTTACATGACGAGCCACATCCTGGTCCGTGACGCGCTCCACGAACCTTGGTCGCTTACATTTATCCTTTCTTCCCAGGGCATATACCCAGTGGTCATCGTTATCCTTGTGCACTCGCATAAGTCCTACATCGATGACACAACAACCACTCTCGCGACCGCACCCTCGGGCGCGACCAATGACAGCAGCCCGACGAGCTCATGGCCATTCTGGGGCAGCCTGCCTAAGACCCTCCGTCATCAGACTCATGCTGTCGAACTCGACGCACTGAACTCCCCTCCCGAGCATGCGATCCGAACGATATCGGAACGCACAGCCAGTCCTGCCGATCTGAGACTGTTCAAAGGGAATCCTGAGAAGTTTGTTTCAAGTGCCGTAGTCTGAATCATGGCCGTCTGGCTTATTATTCCCAGTGCTATCCACAACATACTTACCGTCATGTGTAATTCTGTCGGAAACCGACGGGCGAGTATACTTTCTTGACATGCGCGCATGCTATATGTGAATGACAATTGCTCAATACAGTATTCATGTCCAGCCCATCCACTTTCCGCGCCAACCATTCTGCGCAACAGCAAGTCCCATTTGGTTCTAGTGTCAGCGTGCATGATAGCGCACGCCGTTAGTACGATAGGGCGCACGGACAGTATCCTATCACCTTGTCTTGGCCTTGTCCTGCGGTGGTACGCGCGGGCGGCACGCCGGTCTCTAACATGATGTGGTAGAAAGAACCCGATACACGACCAGAAGCTTCGGTGTATGTAGCCAAAGGTCCAGCTTGGGTCCAGCAGCGCCGTTGCATCGCATAGTGGCGTCATGGCGCACACGTTCATCTCTTACCTAAACCCTTCTCACTCGCACCGGAAAGAGACGCGTAGGCGATGTATAAACTGCGATGGTCCGATGAAGGTCAGGCGCCGCTCCCTCTCGCCCTCATGTCGTCTCTTTCACAATCTGACATAGAGACCTTCCAGCAAATTGGCCATGATACTGTGCAGAGTATCGTGGCCCTCGTCGTCGAAGCTATTCTGTGGAGTGAGTCCTATCATGATCCGATACATATTTACTCAATTTATATGGTTGGATTGGAGTGCACAGCGATCTACTTCGTCCTCACTTTCAAAGCTGGAATGATCCTCCTGTAAGTCACCATCCGTCCATCTTAGCTGTTTGAGGGCATTTACGTCGTATGTTCAGGAGACCGGCGCGACGGACCAGGGCGTCCATATCAACCTTTGTCATAATCGTGCTCATGTTCTTACTGGACACCGCGACATCCATTATCGATGTGAACAACGCCATTCGCGAGATCACGCTCACTCTGACATCGACGTCTTCGGAGTCACTCGCGGACAGATATGAGCTGACTCAAAACCTGCCTTGGCCTGTTCAGGACGCGTTGTACGCGTATATGGTGCGCACTCAACAACACCAAGCATGCACATAGCGCTTGACTCGGTATACGCAGTCGAACCTGGGGGACATCATCATCATATGGCGTACGTACGTATTTTGGCGATACACCCGGGAGCGATGGGTGCTCGTCGTGCCCATGTTGTTCTTGGTTGGCTCCTTGGGTGCTTAATCAATCTCTCCATTCCCTGGCGCATATATTGACCCGTTTGCGTAGTCACTTCGGGGCTGATCTCGTTCTGCGCGGCACGGGTCGTCCAAGACCCCGGCGCGGGCGACTTCACGAACCCGCCTTTCTGCAAAAATGTTCAACTGTCGTCCTACGTGACTACACTGGCGACAACTGGTGTAGCCACTTTGATGATTTGCTACAAGACATGGTGAGGTGCTCGATACGTTACCTGTACATGCTCACTCATTACAGCCTCCACAGGGAGTACCGCTTTACCGTCGGCGCCCAAGTCCACAGGATGACGAGCAAGAAAACCCGCGCCGAGCGGATAATGACCATTCTCGTCGAATCCGGGTTCTTATATTTCCTATTCTTCGTAGGTGTATCATGTCAATCTCGTCTTGACGCGATCGTCACGCCATCAAATAGCTGGAAGCTGTCGTGACAGACAGTGGTAACGTCGGCGAACTGGAGACCTCGACGCCACAGCTGGCGTTTGCGAGCACGGTGTGGACCTACATGACGAGCCACATCCTGGTGCGTACTGTGCTCCTCAACCCCTGGGTCGCACGTATTGATCTCATTCTTTACTAGGGAATATACCCAGTAGTCATCGTGATCCTCGTGCACTCACACAAGTCTTACATCGACGACACAACGACCACTGTCGCGACCGCATCCTCCGGCACGATAAGCTACGGCAGCCCGACGAGCTCAGGGACGTACTGGGGCAGCCGGCGCACCCTGCCCAAGGTCCAACGACATCAGACGGTTGCTGTCGAGCTCGACGCGCTGGACTCTACTCCAAAGCACGGAATGCGAACAGTATCGGAAGGCACAGCCAGCGCTGCCGATCTGAGACTTCCACCGGAGTCTAAGGATAATCTTGAGAAGCTTATTCCGAATGCTGCCGTCTGACGGAGGCTTGTTGTCTGGGTACAGTATGTAATTTATGGGCCATCTATGTATTAATACGTGCAGCTCTGTCGCCGCATGACGGTATACTAAACGAATTGTATTAACGTAATGGATCCCTCTGTGGTCTGCCCAGTGCTAGTCTAATATTCTCGAGGTCCATCGCAACTTGCCTGCCAAGTCGCTCACCGCATGCTTACGTAATGAAATGTAGCGCACTGTATCGCGATCGTACTAAGTTACTTACTAGTACTCTACTCTGGCTTTCATCAACATTTCAACTTCACCAGTGCTCGAGTCTCCCTCGTACCTGCTCTGCTCACCTACGCCTGTCGAGCGCGAGCGTATCTGCTACGACCGCTTCAGCCGTTCCCGCTCGTTGCGCGTACCGGCGGAACTCCCGCCGCATCTTGACGAATCAACGGGCAAATCCACATGCACACATGCTGTGGCATGCGAACACATTGAACTGCCTCCCGGAACAGCACAAGGGACGACACTCTGTGAACACATTCGCCATCATGCATCATGATTCAACAATTCTCAGGCTATTCGTGGCAGCGAAGTTAGCAGATGATGCCAGTGCTTATCTAGTACCGCCGTTTGCCCCGACTCCCCCGTAATGCGGTCGTCGAGCCAGGTGTTTCTGACCATACTAGCCGTATGCGCTGTAGCGGCCGCCGAGGCTGTAATCTCGCCCAAGGTGTTCATCGTCGACTACGTGCGTAACCCTGAGCAGTTCATTTCAGTGTCTATTACTCACGGATCTACCACAGTACAACGATGAACAGGACGCCTGGCTGGACATTCCGGAGTTCAACCTTCTCGAGCAAAACATCACCCTGCCAGGGTTGTCCATGGTCTATCCTGACATCCACTGCACGAAGGATGGTTCCGTATGTCAGCTGGTCACGGGCGAGGGAGAAATCAACGCTGGTCTGAGCACGCTCGCCCTTACGCTCTCGCCAGAGTTCAACCTCACTCAGACCTACTTCCTCATGGCTGGGGATGCCGGAATCAACCCCATGGTTGCTACAGTGGGATCTGTCACCTTTGCCCAGTTCGCCGTGCAGGTGGCGTTGCAGTACGAGATCGACGCTCGCGAGAAGCCTGAGAACTTCACCACTGGCTACATCCCACAAGGTTCCACCAGCGTCACCCAATACCCCGAGTACATCTACGGCACCGAGGTCTTCCAACTCAATGACGAGCTGCGCCAGCTCGCCATTGCTTTCGCCAGAACCGCGGTGCTGAACGATACCGCTTCGGCCCAGGCGTATAGAGCGCAGTACGCGAACGTCTCTGCCTTCGCGCCCGCGCTCGCCCGACCAACCGTCATCGGCTGCGACACCGCGACGTCGGACAACTGGTGGAGCGGCGCGCTGCTCGCGGGCGCATTCGAGAACTTCACAACGCTGGTTACAAACGGCTCGGCGACGTACTGCACGACGCAGCAAGAAGACAACGCCGTGCTCGAGGCGCTTCTCCGCGGGCAGCTCGCGCGACGGACCGACTTCTCGCGCGTCATCCACATGCGCACCGGCTCCGACTTCGACAGACCTCCGCCCGGCGTGTCCGTCGCGCAGAACCTGTTCTTCGCCGACGGCGGGTACGATGCCGCCATTCGCAACCTGTATGTGGCGGGCATCAAGGTCGTGCAGGGCATTCTCGATGGGTGGAACGATACGTTTGCGGCGGGGATTCCCCCGCAGAATTTCGTTGGAGATATATTTGGGTCGCTTGGAGGATCGCCCGCGTTCGGACCCGGGAGCATCTTCAACGACACAGGCGCGTTGCCGGTGCCAGTCACGTACCGCTGCGATTAAAGCTTGTATCGTCGGGGCAATATCCGTTAGCTTAGCATGGTGTATCATAATCGCGTTACGGATGTATATGTGTATGCCGACAGTCGTCGGCGGCAGGTCATAACGTGTCGTAATTGTTACACACATAATGGAATACCTTGCTACTTACCTTCCGTAAAAGGCTAGTAGGAGGTGTGCTGCCAGCATGAACGTTTCCCGATCTCATCTGAGTCCTAGTCATCTCGCGATCATATTCGTCGACTCCATTTTCTCTCTCACACAAGTTCTTTCACCAAGTACCTGCCATGGCCTCAACACACGACCCCGACGCTGGCTCTCAGCATATCTTCAATCGAAAGTACCACCTTTGCGAGCTCCTCAGCAGCTACAGCACCGAGGACCTGATCAAGTCTTGCCGTGACTGTTCCCGATTCATCGCCCTCTGCTGCAGGGACCGCTCCTCCGACAGAGCCCTCGACTGCCATCACTACCGACTGGTATTCACAGATGGCTCATGCCTCTCCAACGGCAGACCAGTCGCGACTGCGGGTTTGGGCATCGCTGTCGGACTCGAGGACGACCAGCAGTGGTCCATTTCCGTGGACGACAGTCTCGATGCATTTGCGAAGCGGTCTAGCCAACGCGCGGAGCTGCTGGCTGCCTTGGTGGGACTCATCAAGATCGACGACGTGGAACCACCCGATGACCCTCACGAACGCTTGTACAACCGACACAACAGGTCTGGAGACAATCCCGAGGAGCCTCCCAGCGAATGGATCGTTACCACGGACTCGATTTACGTGGTGAATGGTATGGCGGAATGGCTGCCGAATATATGGAAGGTGCAGTTCTCAGTACATCGAGCACCTCCACATGGTCAATGCATCTCACTTCCAGCGTAACGGGATGCGCACAAGCGACGGCCGCACACCCGCCAATCTTGACCTTTTCCTCAAGCTCGACGAATGGATCACTGCTCTAGAACTTAGGCGCAACGTCCGTATCGGTTTCTGGCACATACCGCGCGAATTCAATGCTATCGCCGACCGTCTGGCCAAAAATGCCGCTGCACGCGGCACTGTCGCCTCACCTCTTTCGCAGTCCTGACCAGCACGTCGGGACTTATCTAGTATTGTGAAAATCATGGCCTTCATATAATTGCTTGAGATATATCAGAAGGTATGTCGTCACTTCGCATTATCATAACAAGCAATGCTGAAGACAACATCATGATAGTCCGCTCACAGGTATCACCACGTCCATACACGATCACCCTCCTCCGCTCAACCGAGGCCCTGGTTAGGTCTGCCTGTGGGAGACTAGTTATAATGCGATCCCACGATCTGCCGGGCTTGCAAGCCTGTATTTGTACCTTTGATTCACTTCACGACGATTCTAGTCTTCGGGTGTTCCCCGCGGATCCGATGGCGCCTCGTGCGAGTCGAGTCTGCGCCAGTCATAGGATCTTGGACTACTATTACAGAAGCATATCTACCTCGACTGACTTGCCGGTGAACTGGGAGACGGAAAATAACCCCTAGTTGTATCGAATGACACGGTACGATCTCGACTTGATGCTTCGTAGACGCGGCTGATTGCTAATGTACCGACCCGTAGTGGTTGAGGCCGTGGGGAGAACCCTGCCTAATTCAAGAGACATGCTGCCTTCGGACTTGAGCCAGCCTCACGCTTCGGTGTCGCGGAATATCCACTTTGTTCATATACCACTGCTCCAGCGCCTGGCTGTGCTGCGTATGTTGTAGAGCGGGGCGAGAAACTCTACGATGGAACTGACATCGGATCGGTTTCTAGCTATCTTCATCCGCGGGCGATGGTTACATAGTTGGAGTGCCAACCCTCCAACCTCTGCATGTTCGCTGGCCTGCGACCGCCACAGTTGCTTTTGTGGCACTTGTCCCCAAGTGAACCGACGATCGCGCCGGGGTGTCTGGCTCTTATATCGTGCAAATAGCTGCTATTGGTTCTCCATCAAGGCTACGCACGCGCCGTGTCTACAGACCGTTTTCTCCTGTATACAACGAAGGAGTCGGTGCTCGGCGGTCCGATCGCTGCCAGTGGCGCATCCTGCCGCTAACGCCACCCCTCCGCCACTATATTACTGGCCACCGACGTCCCTATTCTCTGTCCGTATCATCGGACTTCTACGCGCGGTATGGCCACAGAACGGCTCGCAGCTCTTGAGCATCTACTGACATCTGTGACAGCACAGTGACACAGAGACCGAGATTGGTCCGCGGACTCATCCGTCTCTACCCCGAGCAGGACTTCCGTCCGACACTCAATGCGACAAAGACGCCTTCGACAAGTGGGGCGGCTTCGTGTGCTTCCTCGCGCTACTCATACATCTAAAGCTTCCTACCCGCGATGTGCGGTTTCGTATCTGCCGTACCGTTTCCCCCGCGCCGACATCCCCATGGCAGATTCTGGCCTCGATCTCCATCTGAACGACACCGTGGGGTGCATATTCATCGGGATACTGTTTGAGACTATGTACGTCAATGTCTAGCTATATGCGGCCGGTGCTGTCACGAATACTGATGCGATAATCGGAATCACATAGCTTGTATGGGCTCTCCTTGGCACAGACTCAGTACTACTTCCATGAATATCCTTCTGACCGTCTCCACATACAAATCCTGGTGTGTTCAAGTAGTTCTCGCTCTCGTATACTAACGTTTCTCATTGATATTACCGATGCAGGTGGCCTTCGTGTGGTATGACCGCAACTCTGTATGAGGTCTTTCTGTGGCATTGATCGCCGAATATCGGTCAGGCTTCTCGATACAGCGAGAACGTGTTGTGATCTGCAAGTAGGTCGCTCGATCGTCTGTCCGTACTCCGGGACCTAGTCTCAGGCTGCTGACGCGCATCTTTAAGTTTATTTGGGATATCCTAGTTACGAATCATGCAAACCTCAATGCGTTCACGCAATTCACGAAGTAAGGCAGCACACTCTATGAGATGGGGACGTTCACTTACTCTATGATAGCCCGTTCATCGTGAGCTATGACGACTGCTTCGTTACGTTGAGTCGCGGCTGATGTGTACTATGATTCAAGACGGAATTCTTCCTCGCGGTAGGTGTCGAGTTCATAGGATATCTCTGCGCTGTATCTGATCTCGGATCCACCTCCAGTCTCTCATTGTCTTGATCGTTCAATTGTGAGCCTTCCTCGAGCCTGCGGATCCCCAGGATGTCGAACTCACGATTTGATGTGCAAAGGTACTATGTCTACTCCGTCTGGCGCTGTACGTCTGTCTCTTCGTTACGCAAAGTACGGAGTGTTCAATCACTAGCACAGTTATGATCCACAAATGGCACCGTTTCCCATTGGCTGTGACGATGGTAGGCACATTGGTAGGGGCGCCGTATCATGCTCACGCTGCTTGTTCAGGGGACACTCGCCCTACTCTCCTTCAGTAAGTTCCATTGATCTATTCATGCGCCTCCTTCGTGTTCTGAGCGCCTGTTGTGCTGACCCTCTACAGGCGGTGGTGTGGGTCAGTGGCCATCTTCAGCTCCGATGATTATCTCACTGACCAAGTTTCTTCAGCTTCCGTATATGATTTGTAGGTTCCTTCTTCGCCTCCACACCATTCGTTTTACCAAAGTTTCGGTCCCTTCACCTCAGCACGGTCAATCCCGACCTGGCCGCGAGCCTTGATCGCGCCGAGGTCGCGGCATCGATTCAGACCGTCACTGCCTTTGTCACAGATGTATACATTGCTGCGGCTCTGTCCATCATCTTGCACGGCAAGCGGACAGGGTTTTCTGGGTGCGTCAGAGTTTGACCACTGCTCCCTCCGAGTCCTTCCATTGCTGACTCGATGTGGTACCTTGGTTCTTTACAGGACGGACTCGCTCATCACTAAACTCGTTGCGGCTGCAATACACAGGGGCATCATTACTGCGTGCGTATTGTTTTTGGCTGGAACACGATAGCTTGAGGCCGTGCTGAAGATGCCAACAACTGGACGCAGCCTCATGCAGCTTCTGCACTTCGCGACGGTATGCCTCCCTTTTTCTTGCGCTATTTTAGGTTACCCTGTATGCGCTGACTTCCCATCGGCAGTACATCGGAACTCTCAACGACGGCCCTAACAAACTCATTTGGGCGCTGTTCCACTTTCCGGGAAGCAAGAGTACGTGTCCGCCGTGCATCAATCAACATGCGTCCTACTGACAGATTCTGTTACTCCCAGTCTACACCAACTCGCTTCTCGCTGTGTGAGTGCATCATCCTTGCACACATCTGAATGGTGGGCGATGATTGAACAATGGTCGCGCGGACCGCTGCAGGTTGAACATCCGCCATTGGCTTCGGGACGGCCCTACAGAGGTAGTAGTTGAAGAGATAGAGCTCCGAAGTTCTGGGAGTAGCGGCTCGCGAAGGTGCGCCGCGCAAGGAAATTCTCGCTTGCCCGTACCTGACGCAGGTTCACCTTCTTCCCCTGCCCTCGCTGGGCCGTCATACCCAATGATTGCTTCACTTGTACCCCCTTCATATGTGGAGCAGCGCGGGTCCACCTCAGGTTCGGGCAGCGCAAATCTTCGTGTCGACGGAGGTGTTCTCAGACACGGACTTGCGTAACGGGCGAGGACGGAGTAAGAGTAGTGCAAGGGTGTAGCACTGAGACCCTCTCGACATGACACAGTGCCTTACACTTGTTGGCACTACATAGACGTGCCCTGTCTTCGTCGTCGTGCTGGAAGAGATGGTTCATGCCATGGCGGTGGAATCAGTCGGATGACGTGATGAAGTCCGAAACCAGGTATGGTATCAAAATGTGCCAGATTGAACTCTATGATTTCTCGTGCAGAACTCATTGCAATTACTTTCAACATCCGCGGGCGATTGCCGCTGACACAGTTTATAGGCATATCTATCGCAGAACTGGGCGAGCCATGCGAAAGTAGACATCGACCTTGGTCAACGTATGGATTGACGAAAACTCAGTCGCAGCGGCACCCAGCGTCGGTGACTGATGGACATGCGCGCGCATCAGGTTGTATAACGGTGCGCATGCATAGCTATTATGATGGGATCAACCTTTGCCCTGACTCACCCTGGTTTTGTAATATGCTTGTTCGTCGAGTATACGTCGAACATGGGGCTCTATGATCCATTGGCAAGTGGTCCTGCTACTATCAATGCCGTGCAGTGCGAATGGAGTCTCCGTACGGTGCTCTAAAGTTGTGGCTGGTGCGGCCTCATATTCGGCATTTGGGACGCGACTGTGCATTCTTTGAAGGCCGGGCGCTGTTCACAGCCAATGCCGGAGCTCTATAGCGACGTTGCTCTACGACATCATTGTCCGACATGCACGGCCGCCTCTTGTTACGCACTGTCATGATAGGCTGTGAAAGCCTTTTCTGGCAATGCGGGGGCCTTTCTCTCAGTCTGTGAGCTCATCATGATCCGAGACCACTGCTGAGCTACCCATATAAGTCTACATTGGTAGGCTCCTTCTGTGGCGTGCACTCGCATATTGCTCACCTTCTCTCGGTATTCACATGGTCACTGATTCAGGTCTCGAACATTCTCTGGACCATACCGCGGGGTATATATTCATCGGGATATCATTTGAAGTACTGTGCGTCGATATTTCATTCAGATCTGAGTAGAATCATTGACGCTACAGTGGTTTCTGCATGTACCCAGTTTGTATGGCATTTCCTTGGCGCAGACACAGTATTACTTTCATGAATATACGCATGACCATCTGTACACACGAACTCTGGTAAGGCTCAGTAGCTTCTACTTCTGACGCACTGATTGGCTTCATTTGAATATCGCGATAGGTGACGTTTCTATGGTATGACTGTCCTACAATCTCAGGATGGTACTCTGCTCAGCTGACATTGCCAGGATCCTTGATACCGCGAGAACATGCTGTAGCTTACAGGTAAGCCTTTTCGTGGCGTCTTGTGTGGTTGATTCCGCTCTTATTCGACACTCCGAAGTTTCTTTGGGTCTGCCTAATCGACCATCACGCGAATCTCCATGACACGATACAATTCACAAAGTGTGGCAAATCACTCCTACACTTGAACATTTACTCATGTCTTTTCGGCAGCACGTTTATCGTAAGTGATCGCAAGCTCCAATTACTACACTGCACTTAAGCCATAACCGGCGTACACATTCCAGGCTGGCGCATTCTTTGGAGTTGGTACCTCCGGAGTCTCAGCTGTCACGCCTCTCACTCGTTCTCTTCTGATGTAGACTCTGACGATCCTAGTCGCTCAATTGTGAGTACATGTCAGACCCCGGACAGCAAAAGATGATGACCCTCAGGCTCAAGGTATTACATATACATTGTTTGGTGCCGTATGTCTGTTCTTGCCATACATCGTATCATGGGCACCAAACTAGTAGCGCAGTCATGGGTCACATGCGGCACAGGCTCCCCTTGACCATAACGATGGTGCGTACATTATGGGCGGTCTTACGGGCGACACTAACCTCCTGAAATGCAAGGTGGTACTTTCGTTATTGTCCTTTTGTACGTATTGCGTACCACTTGCAGGATTGCAAATGGTTAATGAGACGTACCATTCGTGGCTTCATCGATGTCATCCACTACTAGGCAGCGGCATAGGTTAGTCGTGACGATACCCTTCAGTCCGCTTCAGCCTCATTGACACGATTCCTCTAGCATCAATTCATACTCTGTGAGTCTCTTCATACGTCAGTTTGGCGCACATTTCCCATATCCATCGATGTATCCGAACGGTAGGACCTTCAACATCGCCGAAAGTGTATCGCAAGTGCAGGTGACCTCGTCGATTCAGACCGTCGCTGCGACGGTCACAGACGTATACATCGCTGTGGCTCTGTCGATCATCTTTGATAGCAAGCGGACAGGTTACACTGGGTGCGTCTGCTTGGTTCGGATGACCGAGACTTTGCCTGGGTTGACCAGCTCTTTATATCATTGTGGTAACGGTTCAACGCATTATACCCGCTCAAAGAACGGACTCACTCGTGACAAAGCTCGTGGCATATGCGCTGCAACGCGGGATCATGACAGCGTATGTTTGCACAGCTTCTTTAGCCTGAATCTAGCGTTTGACGGACTGAACCACTGGTAGCTTGCTTCAGTTCTTGCAGTTTATCACTGTATGTCTCATGGAAAATATCTGCGTGACACACGTTCACGTGTATGCGATCAATGTTCATTTACAGCTCCACTTCAGCGGCACCCAGCTCACCTGGACCATTGTATACTTTCCAGTTGGCAAGAGTGAGTGTCTGCTACGATCACAGACATCTTTATCACTCATAAAGGGACATGTGGACGTCAGTTTACACCAATTCCTTGGTTTCGATGTGAGCATCTCATCGCAGACCTCTCCGCACGTGTGCCCGCATGACACGCTGATCGTCGATCATACATCCGTGCTAGGCTGAACATGCGTCATTGGCTTCGAGAGACGATGGGAGACGAGATCGAGCTTGGTGTGTCAGGGAGTAGCGACTCGTCAACATGGTGCGTTCTCTCGGCTGTCTCCCACCTTTGCGAAGTTGACATAGAAGCGTGCTAACTAGTACGCCTACCCACGAATAGCTCGGATCCGCCGTGCATGCCACGGACAGCGCAAATCCCCGGCGTAAAGAAGGTGCTCTCGGGCGGGGACTTGCATTCAGGGAGAGTGCCGAGAAAGATCAGAGTTGAGGTATGAGACAATAATGCCGAAGCGTGCTTCCTGCTGGACACAAATGCCGATTGTCTTCTATGAACCGCAGACCGAACCTTGCGGACCGCATCATCTGTGTTGACCACAGACACAGCGGCTACCACGCCTTTCACTGCGCATGCCTTGCACTCACGCCCATCTCGGTAACCAATGGGTCTCCTAAATTTCAATACCTCAGGAGATACCTGACGGGCTGAGAGTTCCGCGCACATACAAGCACATCCACGCCACCCAGACATTAATAATGTACCAGCAACGCATTCAAGTAAGGATCTTCCGCTGATCTTCCGCCCACTAGCCTAATGTAGTGCGCTTTACGTTCCCGATTCGTGCTTCGACCGTGACCGTACTATAGCTCCTTCTCGTCCTATTTGACCTTCATCTCTGCTGTCACGTCTTCCCAGCTTCTGCCTATGATTCGTAGTTTCCTTCTCTCCGACCATGGCTATTTCGCCTCACCTTGTGTCTGCTGACCCCCTTCGGCAGGACATCGGAACTCTTGACGACCGTCGACGGCCCTAACAAACTCATTTGGGCGCTCTTCCACTGCCCGCGAAGCAAGAGTACGTGTCTGCTTTGAGCCGTTGACGTGCATCCTCCTGATAGGTTCTGTTGTTCCAGGCTATACGAACTCTCGTATTGCTGCGTGAGTGCATCGTCCTTGCACATCTTAATGGTGGGCGATGATTTAGCACTGATCACGCGGACTACTGAAGGTCGAACACCGTCACTGGCTTCACGTCGGCCCTTAGGACGCTGAGGCAAGTCGAAGAGATTGAGCTCTGAACGTCCAGGAGTAGCCGCTCGCGGAGGTACGTCTTCTCCAAAGGCTTTGTTCGCTTTCTCTGCCTGAACTTGAAGCTGACGCAGGCTCACGTCCCACTCGGCGACGCTGATATCTACTAAAGGTCCTCGTTGGCGATATACTCGTCATAAGGTAGCGGCGTAGGCAAGTTCTGGCCGCATTCTCTACAGGCTTGTATCTGATTTCACTCGTTCCTATAGCATCTATCTATGGTTTGTGAGTCTTTCCGCACTGCTTCCCTCGCCATCTCACCGACCACTGGTACTACTTTTGACGATTACACGTCTGTCTGCCCCGGCAGCTCGCTACACCCCAATATCGCGACGACTATCTCGGATGCGCAAGTCACTTCGTCAATACAGAGCAGTACTGCACTTGTCGCAGACATGGTTATCGCTGTGGCACTGTCAATCATCCTTCACGGCAAACGAACTGGTTGTGCAGGGTGCGTCTGTTCGATTTTTACCACCACAGAGCTCGTCTTATGGGCGTTCTCTGGAAACTGTGATACTGATCCAATGTATTATTACCACTGGATATAGGTCGGACTCGCTTATAACAAGATTTATCATTGTTACCTTGCACCAGGGGATAGTGACGGCGTAAGTGCTCTACAGTATGAATGGCACGTCAACTCACAATAGATGCTTACTGAACTGATTTGTTTTACCACCGCACGTAGCATACTGCAGTTCCTGCAATTTGCCACCGTATGTCTCCTATCTGTGATCTCTTCCTGCTTCACCCACTCACGATATATGCGATCACTTTCCGCTGGTAGTACGTCGGTACCTTCCATTCTGGCAGTAGCAAGCTCATCTGGGCTCTGTTTTACTTCCCTGCGAGCAAGAGTACGTGTTCGTTCAAATTACCGATACCGGGCGACTCGTCACTGACATGTATCCATAAACACTAGTCATTACGAACTCGTTGCTCACGACGTGAGTATCCCAACCAACCGGACCGACGTGACCCCTACAAGTCGCTGCTACTTGCACATACGCGGACTGACTATTCCGATGTATATCTATGTTGGGTTAAATATCCGCCATTGGCTTCGAAAAGCGATGGGCGACGAGATTAACTTGAGGATTGGGGCATCACTGGCAGGAAGCAGTGACACAGAAAGGTACGTCCTTTCGGCGGCTTCTCTTTGCGAGCTGACGAAGGGTCGCGCTTGCCTACATGCTCGTACTAGTAGCTTGGATCCGCCACACATGCGGACAGGGCAGATGGCGGCCGCCGGCCGCAACAGATGCGCCCTCGGACGGGGACTCGCGTGTGGGGAGGGTGCCGAGTAAGATCAGTGTGGAGGTGTGAGATAGCGCCGACCACGAACAGCACAAAAACACCTCGCGGACCGCATCACCTACGTCGAGCCGAGACGCAACGGTTACCACACATTTCAGACTTGTAATTTCGATAGCGAACGAATGTCTCGCGTAAAACAACTCACCATAGGGATACCTCCCAGGCTCTGGAGTCCATGTACACAACACTACAGCATATGTACCAGTCTCATGGCGCGGACCGCCTTGGCCAAGTAAAGACTCTACCCGCTATGCAACGCGGTTCGTGTCCCGGTTCGCTCTGCAGCCGTACCTGCGAGGCGGCGGGGCGTGGTGTTCCTCCTCGTCCTGCTTGACCTGTGTCTCTGTCGTGACGAGCACACCCGGGTCCGTGCGGAGCATCGAAGCCCAGAGCTCACCCGTGCGTTGTACCCTGCCACGAAACGTCAGACGTGGCCGCAAGGACGTGGTGCACGGAGACGGTGGGAACGCACCTGATGCCGCCTCGCAGGGTGTGCAGGTGTACCGATTCTGCGTAGTGCGCCTCGCGAAGCCAGTGGCGCACGTTCAGCCTGTCCCGTTTATGCAACACTGAGCATGCGGGATCAGGGATTAGTAGGAAAGGCACATACAGAGCTAAGAGGGAGTTGACGTAGACTGCGTTGAAGGCGAGTGAGCGGTTGGTCGTGCGTGAGATAAGCGGCAGATGGAAGGTAAGATCTCACCCTTGCTCGCCGGGAAGTGGAAGAGCGACCAGATGAGCTCTCTAGAGCCAAGGTTGAGCGTGCCAATGTACTTCAGCATAGTCATATATCAGTCCCTTGTCTAGTCTGGGCACTTGGATGGCTTTCTTTTGACATACCGTAGCGAAGTGAAGCAATTGCAGGAGCCTGTAGTAGGAACGGAGGCCCGATTGAGCAAGGCATCGTCCGGTAGCGCGAGGAAGAAAAATACACACGCGGTGAAGAGCCCTCTGTGGATCGCGTACGTGACCAGCCTGCTGACCAACGTGTCCGTGCTACGCAGCACCAGTAAACGTCAGCTCCTCGCCCTTTACAGAGATAGGGAATCAACGGGTTGCAGGCTCACTTGGAGAACCCAGTCTTCTTCCCGTATAGGATGACCGACAGCGCAACCGCGATGTACACATCTGCGACGAACGCGGTCACGGTCTGGATCGATGCAGTCACCCGAGAGCCGGCCAGGACGGCCTCGTAATGCAAGTTGCCCATGCTGTGGAAATTGAGTGAAAATATCACCGATGTTTGGGAGGAATCGGAGGGAGGGGAATACTTACAATTCGCCGACAGAGGCTAGTGTGCGTGTGCGATGGAGTCAGTGGATTAAGAGCGGTACGGGGAAGAAGCGGGCGTACCACAACCACCGGCTGCACAGACACGAGCTATCAGTTTCAAGTAGCATGGATACAGCTTGTGGAACACACCGAAAGAGAGCAGGACAATAACAGCCTGCGGCGGTAATCAGTCAAAGAATCCACACAGATATTTCGCCTCAAGACGTACGAGGGATCCTATGAGCGGGATGCGGTACCAGTTTCCGGGGAGGACTACGATTGTGGGCGGTTTAGTGAATGAGGAATGCGTTTGGGCTGAAATATGTAACTTACAGCGCCAGATAGCTCGCATGAAGTAGCTGCGAAATGAGATTAGGACGGAGGATAGGTCAACAAGGGGGGAATCCAGTCATACAGCTGCACAACCAGAACTGTTACGGACTGTATGTCAGAGTCAGTTGACTGTGCCCTGTGGATGCTCATGCGCACTCACGGAAAGCAAAAATTGGATCTGACCAGGCACAACCTTAGCGACCGGGCACACTATACCAGCATACTGAGCAACATACTGCAAACGTGCTTCACAGTCATGAATCAGTGACGTACATCGAGGGGGACTATTGATTATTGTTACTCACATTGGTATGAATTCCATAGCTGCGGGATTTGCGTGATTCGTAACAATATAAAGCCACATGTACTTATGGACGGAGCCGTCAGTGTCAATTATACGCCTGCAGACGTGTTCGATTACCTCTATATCTAGTGCTGTGCGTGCAGTGTCGAGCAACCTATTTGGCAAGGACAGTCAGCAAATGGCGCGCCGGACACTGCTGTCCGGGCGCGACCTACCACAGAAAGGCTACCTGAACATGAATCTGAGCAGCGCGTGGGCACGCAAATGCCTGGGGAACGTACCAGAGCTCGGAGCCATAAGTTGTCTGACCAGTACTCGTGGAAGTAGTACAGCGTCTGCGCACACGAGAAGCCTTGCAGCCTGAGTAGAGTTGGGTCAGAAGCAAAATGACAGCTCCTTGCTTGTCCTTACAGAATCTCGAAGAGGATCCCAATGAACGTGCAGCCAAGAGTGGCATTGAAATTCAGGCCGGTGCTGGACATGGCATTGGCAACGCGCAGGTCCCGGGAGCCTGAGGAGAGCGGCAGTCGACAAAAAGCGGGGCTAGAGGCTAGGAAGACTCATGGGCATGGTGCGGTGTGTGTAAGCAGCCGCAGCAATCATTTGTACAACAGAAGGAACCAGGAAAGGTCCCGAATGGGAGACGAGTGGATCAACAGTCGGCCCCGGTTCTCGTCAATACTGTCAGGTTTCAGCTAAGTACTTACTGAACGCTATAGAGAAGATCTGTCGATGATCGAGATCTGGGTGGCACACACCGGGGGCGGGCGCGGCCAGAACTCGGCCGACGATTCCCTGGGCCATTCCGCATTCTCGGTGCATCTTGTCGGAAAGGTGTATTCCCGCCCGACGCGACGGTTACCGACGAAAAGTGTGCCATCTAAATTCGGAGAAGCCCTCGAGAGGCTCGAGCATCGAAGCCTGTGACTGCGGCTCGCCTACCAGTAAGTTCAAATGTACCACCGACTACTACCAGGTCGAAGCATTAGCATCGCTGTGTGTCGAAGTCCAAGAAGTGTAGTACTTACCACACCCAAGTACTGCGGTTACAGTGATGAAGGTGGGGCTCGAGGGTGCCTGGTCTTCCGCACCGCACTGATGCTTCACCGACGGCCTTCCATGGACAGGCACTGCAGGCCCTGCCAGGAAAATGACATGGCAACTGTTACAGCTAGCAGCCCTTCGCGGCAGCGCACCCGTGTTCATCGGTCCGTGTTCGTCGGTCGCCTATACTGTCCAGCCGCACCTCCTCCACCCAATGCGCCTCCCGCGCGTATCGCATGGTCAATACGCGACAACGCACTCGGCGTGGCTTAGTATCGGTAAATGAAATGACGTATATTGCGAGCGCGAGATTGACATAGACCACAGGCGAATTAGCGCAGTCGACGATAAGGGCGCATTGTCGTATGTATCCGCTCACCGGAGCCAGATAAACGGCCAGCGCTGCTGAACGTGTTCTTGACATGTTCGCCAAGGTGTTCGCACCTTCCTTCAGCCCATTCAATGAGGCCGCTGCCGCTGATGATGCCGCACCTGCGGCGGAACGGTCAAAAGTGCCATCGCACGAATTCAAGCCGGTGGATACTCGTCGCCGGTTGGTGTATGGTGTACGGCACTAGCTTCGCCATGAGAGTATATATAGTACGGGCGTGAACGAAGAGTTCAGGTTGTAGTCAATAATGTCACCCGGAGTAAGCGGCACACATACGTTGCTATGATGAGATTCCCCCTCTTCCCGCGATGCAAGACCCACGATATCGTAAGGCGTATCGCACCCGACCTTGTGCGGTGCTTATCTCACTCATGATACCTTCGTGGTACCCAGGCTGGCGTACGATGTGCATTTGTGCGGCGAATACCTTTACCTTAGCGGTTTTCTCTCTGGTTTCCTTGAGGGGAGATTTTTTACTCTCTATTTCTCGGTCCGATCGCACGCCTTTTGGGCTGGAGGATTGTGTAGTGGGATACGCTGTAACTGGCCGCGCACATTGGCAGCCACGTTTCGTACGGACTGACGTAAAATGCGACGACCCGGAGATCCTGGCCTTGCCATACGGTGCGCAACGAGAGGGATAGGGCAGAGTGCGCGCGGGGTGCGCGTAAGACCGTGTTAAGACAGCAGGTAGAATAGAGCAAGGGCCAGTACCGTTGCTGGATCCAGATATCCTACACTGCCCAACATCTAAAAATCTGGTGAATAGTCCGCCAGCCTTTCGGTCTGACTCACCAATCACAGCACGGACCATGGTTTCCTTTCGTAATCATATTGCATGAGTTACGACCGATACAATACGTCGGTGCGGGTGTATTACTATTATGAGGGATAATGAGGATGGATGGGCCATGCATCTCACCTCAAGGGAAAATTCCGGAACGGGCCATGTATTCATCACGCAGCAATGCAGGTCGCCTCTTTCTTCAACGGTCGGCGTTCGTTGGAGGCTATCACCATTGTACATGCATCGCTGTATTTACTGTGGTGAGCTCGAGGTTAGCAACGGCTTAGCCGTAAAATAACGACGCACCGAGACACCATCAGAAGCTTGCTATTGATTGGTTCAGTGACTATCTAGCGTTGGTCCCGCAATGTCAGTCGCCGCCGAGTCAAGCATCCAGAGCGGAATCTACGCAATACCCATGAAACAGTGAAACGGTCCCATAGCACGCAAAGCGAGTAAAAGCAGAATGTGTATGCGCATGATGCTTGTCAGATTACGCCCAGTCAGGAAGAGCTGATATTACTAGGACTAGCTTGTCAGGAGACGCAGGTAATGATACTTGTAGGACTCACCAATAGGTTATGTGAGTGGGGATGTTACGATGTCATTAGATGTATGTTAAATCTAGATACTTTCGGCGACCGTCCACTTAGCGAAGTCCAAGACCTTCACCCCACCGTCTTGCTCGCCCGACTCTACCAAGCCACGCTGGGCTGCCCAACTCCGGAGGAACGTCTGCACCGGTTGGTTGTTCCCTTCGCCCATGAACATAGCGAATGGCTGATTGTACAGCGCCCCTTCTTCCTGCACACCAGAAGACGAGCGTATACTGGTCGTCGGGAAGCCGATGATTTGGTTCCCGAGGGATAGGCAGAGTCTACTGAGGTCATTCTGGAACTCTTCCGACTCGAGGACGGTCGCCAGCCGGGGCGACTTCAACGCAAGCAGAGCGAGATTGCCAATGCGCCCTTGCCGGGGGTTGCTGACCGACTGGTGTACGCGGGACGCGATGCGCAGCGCAATGTCCCGCTGGGACGGCGGGAACGGGTCGCGGACGACAGTGAGGGCTCGGCGCAATGAGATCTTCTCACCTACCCGACCGGTGAGGTCGCGCATCGCGTCCGCCACGGTGTTCTTTCCGTTCTTCTCGGGGTTCGTTTTTGAGAGGAGGGGCGCGCCCTGGAGGACGTCGACGGAGAAGGGGTGGAAGAACTTGTCCGAATCGACTGGCTCGGACATGAACGCGGCGGTGTGCGCGATGTCATCGAGCAGTTGGGAGAAGAGGTCGTTTCGTGCGACGAAGTCCGTCTCGCAGTTTAGCTCGACCATGGCGGCGCGCACTCCGCTGGGCTTTGCGCTGGTCGCCCCGGGGGATAGCACGGCTGTCCCGATCATGCCCTCGTTTGCCTCCCGCCCCTCGACCTTCGCTGCCTTCTTCACCGCAGACTCGGAGCGAGCTTGTTCAAGCCAGACGAGAGCTTTTGACACGTCCATGTCCGAGGCCCTGAGTGCTTGTCCGGCCAGGATGGGTGATACGTCGACATGCTTCCGGAGTTCCGCTACGAGCTCCTTGAGCGGCTTTTTAGTGTCTCTGTCGAGTAGAAACGTGTAGTAAAAGTGCGTTGAGCTGCTCGTCTGGCTGCAAACATTTTGAGGTAGTGGGCGAAGGTGGGTGGCACTGCGACTTGCAAAGCTGGACGCAAGCGCGTCTGAGCGCGTCGAGAGAACGTGACCCTTTCACTCTCGATCTTGCCTCAGCCACAGCGTCGGCGCTACCGTCAATTTCTCCACCTTCCTTGCTCAAATCCTTCTGCAGTTTCCAGTCGCCCCTCAGCCGTAGCGTCGCCCACAACCATAAAGCTGACGGAACAGATTAACAGCGGAATGGACGTCGGAATTGCATTCAAGGTCCCTTCGATCATACCTCAGGACCTACAACTTATTCAGGACATCGTCGGGGATGTCCCCGTTCCTTCCACGAGCAAAGCTCCAGCACTTCCCTCGGAGGTCCAAATGCATGAGGCTCTCGATGACTCAGATAGCGATGCGGACAGCGAGCAAGAGGTCGAGGCGGGCATCCTTGCCGGTGTAGACGAGGATGAAGCAGAGGAGCCATCCGGGTATGTGTAATCCATCCCATACCTACTCTGCTAATTTACATATCATCATAGGCCGACCTCCTCAGAATCTATGTCTGATTCGGACTCATCTTCTGACTCTGACTCGGACGAAAGCAGCTCTGGCAAACGACGCACGGCTGCAAAAACTCCAGCGGACGAAGGCGATCTGGACGATACAGACGAGACTGGGCCCTCTGTGACGTCCGCAGCGCAAGTGCGAACCAAAAATGAGATTGAAGAGGCGGATATCGCCATCCCCGCGATCGAGGAGGTCGGTCCGCACGAAGTCCTTGAGAAGGTGGGAGAGGTCATGAGCATAGTGGACAAGGTGGTGATCATCAAGGGCTTCGCGTCAGAGGTTGCTGCTAGGGCTTCCGAGAGGGCACTTGATTCTGACACTCTGCTTGTCTTCGAAGACAGGAAGGTGCTCGGCTATGTACGCCCACTGTTCTGGACGTCGTGAACGTGTGCTGACATCGCTAATGACCCTTTGTCAGGTCTACGAGACCTTCGGCCCTACCACACAACCCCTATACCAAGTCAAGTTCAACGACAAGTACCCGATTGATGAAGAGAAAGTCAAGGTTTCAAGACCAGTCTTTCATGTCCCGGAACGGAGTAACTTCGTCTTCGTGAGGGCACTCCGACACCTCAAGGGCAGCGATGCGAGCAACATCAACGACGAAGAGCCCGCGGAGGAAGAAATGGAGTACTCTGACGATGAGGCGGAAGCCGCGGCGAAACGCGCTAGGACGCAGAGGTAAGCATGCCAGCAGCGTCATAGAAGACTGACTTACCGCACTATAGGCACCGGTCCCGCTCTGCTGCTTCGTCGAGGCATACAACTCCCATACCCTCGATGAGGCGGGACTCGGACATGTCCGAGGACGATGCATATGGCGTCAATCATCACGGCCAACGGGATCCGTACAACGACCTCGATTATGGTGCAGGACCGTCTCGCCCTGCTCCTATGCCCTACGACGATCCGTACGCGGACAACTATGGTGTACCTGACTCGGTCCCTTCAGCGCCCCAGGGCTCGCCAAGCACTTCTCAAGACCAAGGCGACAACAGGTCTGAGAGTGGAGACCACAATGTTAGTCGTGGGCGTGGAAGAGGTCACTTCAATGCATCCGGAAGGGGAAGACGCGATGACCACGGCCGGGGCCGAGGCCGTGGACGGGGTCGAGGGAGGGAGCGCGGAAGAGGCCGTGGACGAGGTCGCGACGACCGACAATCATGGGGTGGCGGCGACAGGGGATCCAAGGTGCATTCGTCTCCTCATGCCGACTATGATCCCCAGCCACGTCGTTCGATGTCTCCCACGTCGCTGGCCATCGCACGAGCGACTGGTCAGTACTCTGACGGGTCCGTAGCGACCCAGGCAGCGCAGCCTTATTCAGATGTCTACCAACATATGAACGACGGCGGGTGGGGCGACCAGTACGCCCAGCAGCAGCAGCAGCAGTTCAATTTCCCCGGATACGGGTACCAAAATCAGTATGTGCAACCGCACATCAACCCCGTTTGCCTCCACCTTCGCGATGAACTTTGGATTCGCGCAGGCGAACCAGTATACTCCCTATGGGAATGCGGGGTACAGCGCTGCAGGCGACGAGTCTGGAGCTTGGAACCAGAGCTGGGGCTCCTCTGCAGATGGTGACGCTGAGTCATCCAACAGGGATAGTAGTTGATGATCAATATGATACGATATTCCGAAGTCGGTGTGATATTTGTGCGAACTTTGTTTTGTCTGAATGCTTCTGTCATGGATTTGGTTCATCCTCGGAATTACCTCGATCCGACCGATTGGCGGGGGCGGCCTCCGGGCCGGCGTGCACATGTAGTAAATCCCGACGACCAGAAAAGGGATAGATCGCCGCCTGAACGCTCGTAAGTATGCAGCGACATTGACCCCCGCGGCCACTCCTTGTCCTCAAATCTCAGATTGCTGCTTGTAGCACTTGACTTTGGCCTCTCCTCGCTTCGTCATTCCAACACTCAAAGAACCCTGTCGTTTCGAACGCCCCCGACGACCTAGTATACTGTAGGCCACAACGGTTGGAATGGCTAGCATCGCACCGACGACACCACGAGACTCCAACGCGGACGAACACGCGTCGCAACCCCTGCATCCCTAATGGCTCTCCGAAGAAAGGCGGGCGCAGCCTCCGAAACGCGTCTTACCGTCGCGTTCGCGCAGAGGAGGGCCGGGCGTCGGGAGCTGCGAGACGGACGTCATGATACTAGACACTATGAGGCGAAGACGTGCGTCGTATCCATTCTCGTATATCGTTCCGAGCTCACTCGGCTCAGTCGAGAATGAACCCCTTATCCCCGCAACCACGCAATTCCTGCTCACGACAAACCCCTCTCTCGTCCCCTCCACCTCCGACGCGGCCTCGTTGAGATCGAGATCAACGCGTACGCGTATGGCCGCTATTTCGAGCAGCCAGAGGTGCAGAAGGCGTACCGAGAGCAGCAGCTCATCCAGACCCCCGAGTACACCAGCTGGACGAGGACGCCAGCGTCGGGGGCCGGTTCAGCCACGAGTGGCAGAAGACGTTCGTGTACATGTTCCTTCTACGGGTACCGTGTACTTACTCTCCCTATCCCAATGTATTGTACGTCTACCCTAACAGGAGCCCGCGGACACGTCCGACGCGGCGTATGAGAAGCGACACCGCAAGTACGAGACGTTCGAGAAGCGGCAGCGGCTGCGCGAGAAGGAGAAGCTGAAGCACGAGCAGTACAAGCTCAAGGAGCGCATCGAGCAGCTGCGCGGGATGGACACGCCCGCGTTCCTCGCCCTCCCCGCGTCCGACTTCCCTCCGCCGCCGACGGCTTCCCCGACGAGGCGGCAGAACAGACGGGGACGCGCCGGACGTCGGTGGCTTGTACTTGCACAGTAGTGGCGCGCAGATGGAGGGCGAGCGGCGGAGGAAGGAGATGCTGGCTATCGCCTCCAGTCTGGAGGGACGCTATCGTACGCTGCTCAACCCTGACAAGAAGCCCGTCGAGAAGAAGTACGGGCGACCAGAGAGCTCTATTACCTCTGCTGCCCCAGAGGCCGTCAATGGGTCTATCTCTGACGAGGAACCCGAAGAGGAGGCACAAGAGGATGAGGAGGAAGGCGAAGAAGAGGTGGCGCAAGGCGATGAGGAAGGAGAAGAGGTGGACCAGCTGGAGGAATCCGAAATCGATGTGGACACAGAGTCACCACAGCGACCATCATACCACGACGAGTCAGGAGAATCCGAGGTCGACTTCGAGGAGCGGGACCGGCAGCGCTCGAAGGGCTTAAAGCTCAAGATCAAGTTCACGCCTCGGACACCGTCGCAACTAAAGGGCACGCTGTCCAAGTCGACCACCAAGAAAAGGAAGCAGACGACGCTGTCTCCGTTCATGACCCAGAAAGCCCTTGCAGCGAGCCGGAAGGCAGACGAGCAGAGTCCTACCAGGATGCTTGCGACGACATCCATCCTCACCACCGCCTCCACACCATCGCGCGCTCGCGGACCCGGCGGCAAGTTCCTGCCAAAAGGCCAGGAGCTCGAGAGCGCCAGTGCTACGAAGGCACATCCTCGAAAACGTCCCCGCACAGACAGCCTGGGTTCCTTCACGCATCCAGCAAAAGCAACAACGACGCATGGAGAGTCAATCTCGTCGGGTGCGGTGCGTCCCATGCGTCTCGACTCGCCGGGCTCGAGGCACTACGCGACGTATGCGGGGGCCGCGGGGAAGCAGGAGCAGACGACGTGCATGCTTATGGTCGCCGCACTGCGCAACTCTGCCGCGCCGAACGCACGCAAGACGCAGCGCAATGTGCTGGCGTTCGGTGCGCGGGTGCCGCAGGAGATCGAAGTGCGGGACTTTGAAATTCCAGAGTGGGTGCTCAACCAAGACGCACAAGACGACCCACCCGCTGAAGAAGAACCGTCCGACTCGGAATACACAATCTTGCCTCGGAGCAGCAATCTCAAGCAGGAGTCGATTGCCTCGGAGCGCACTGGCCTATTGTCAAAGGAAAACGACGAGGACGTCGTGCAGATAGCGTACCTGACTTCGCCATAATTATTCGTAGTGTAGTCCCGTGTAGCGATGAGTTTGGTGGTCGGGAGCTGTCACATACCCGTATGTATTGACTAAACTTATGTATGATACCCCGTCTACGTTCAAGCACTCGGAGGCTGGTTCTCAACAACCCTGTTCACCACAAAGCTCTGCACAGTACCCAGCGCGTTCTCCCGCGTCTTCAGCCCCGCCCCCCTCCTGCGTCCAACGTGCAGTCTTGCGAGACCGAGCGCCCCGAGCTGCTCCGGGAACGACGTGCCCAGGTCCTGGGGCAGATACCGCGAGTAGTCGCCTCCCCGCCTCTCCAGGGTCTGCTGCACTCGGCGCGCAACACCGGCGTTCTGCAGATTCTGTGCGCCCGGCTTCACGGCGGCGATCGCAGTGGGGTCAAACGTGACGGTGTTCGCGAAGAGTCGTCTAGCTCTGACGGCGTGACCGCGATTCTCGCGGTCTCCTGTTGGATTTGAACGGGTGGGAGAGGTAGAGGACGACGAGGGGTCGGACGTCTTCGTCCCTCGTCTTGGAACGCCTATCTGAGGATCGGTTGGCCGAGTATTGTTTTTCGGGTCTCAATCGCTGGTTCTGAGAGTCGCCTCTCTGGGGTCGAGTCGTTCGGTCACCTCTCTCCTGAGGTCGCGCCGTTCGGTCACCTCTCTCCTGAGGTCGAGCTGCTCGGTCGCCTCTCTCCTGGGGTCGAGCTGCTCGGTCACCTCCTTGTGATCGTGTATTGTTGCCACGATTCGCGCCGCCCTGCCTCTTCTCTCCCCGCGCAGAAGACTGCCTGTCTCCGTTCGAGCGCTGTGTTCGTGCCGGAATGGAGAGCTCGGGGGCTTGTGGTGTGCCGTCGGCATTGAGAACCACTTCGAGGCCAGCGTCGTTGGAGGTGCTACCGCCAACGTTCTGCCTCTTGCGCCGTGCTAGTTTATCGGCCAGACCGCCGCCACCACCGGACCCGAGCCCTAGGTCTCCTACCCAGTTCGGTCCGACTTTACTTTGCGAGCATTCCCTGAGTCGGACTGAGCATGCGGTTTCTGCAAGACAATGAAGAACCTCACGGATTTTGATATCTCCGAACTCCTGGAGGATTGGGACGGTGCGCCTCGGGGCAGTCTTTTCGCCTGCGTCTGCGCTGGCGGCGGGAGCGACTGTAGAGTTGCAGCGAGCTGTAGCCCGCAAGCGGATCAACGCTCGTACTGGCCTAGCAAACATAGGTTTTCACGGGGCTCAGCACATATGAGGAGGTCTACCTGCGGGTAGCGTGATGGAGGAGGAGGAAGAGGAGGAAGGCGGCGGGAAGAGAGGTCACGACGGGCGCCTACGCGACCTCCTCCTACGCGACTGTGCCGTGCCACTGCCAGTACGCGTCCTTCATCCTCTTCTCCTTCCTCTGGCTCTGGGCGCAATTTTGTTCTTGGTCTGCTTGCATGGGTCGATTAACGGGTCGCTTGTTTGTTGGCTTCACCACTGCGCTCATCTGTTTCATCGCATATTCCTCGCAAATCTTCGTCATTTGGCCATGGTACGGTCGGGTACTCTCCGTTGAGCTGCTTACGCTCCTCGTGCCTTTCAAGTGAGTTGCATGAGGTCGAGTCATACAAAAGTCTCAAACGTATGCTTCCAGTGTCTTGGTGGGCATGCTCTTTTGGAACTACTACCTGTGCACCGTGACGGATCCAGGAAGAGTGCCACACGGATGGGTGCGTAGTTGCGCCCGTAATCTAGCTGTTAGGCTCTGAAGGTGCTTCTGCAGCAACCAGACGTCCAAGGTAACGATGGCTATGAAATCAAGAAGCTCACTCATGGCCCAAGATTTTGTCGAACGTGCGAGACGTATAAGCCGCCTCGCGCACATCATTGTAGGCAGTGCAAACGGTACGTTGCCGTTCGCTGAGGCTACTTAAAGTGCCTGACCCTCTTTTTGCGATAGCTGCGTGCTGCGCATGGGTAGGCACTACTGTATGTTGCCTTTATCCTTCTGTTCACGCTTGGGAATGCAGATCACCATTGTCCTTGGGTGAACAACTGTGTCGGGCATTTCAACTACGGACACTTCATCCGGTTCCTCTTCTACGTGGACTGCGCATGCACGTACCATCTAGCGATGATTTCTAGGCGCATATATCTTGCTACGCAAGTCTGGGTACGTCTGTATGCACGCTGTAGAGCATGGTCCACGCCTAACCAGTTCACAGGAGAACTTCGAGAGCGCAGAGCTCATATTCATCATCTTGAACATGGTTACCTGCATACCCGTCTGGCTCGCTGTCGGTGGCTTCACGTGAGATATATTTACAGGTCTCCACGGCATTGTGCTGACTGGCTGGGTAGTCTGTATCATTTCTGGATGTTATCGGGAAACAGCACTACGATTGAAGGCTGGGAAAAAGACAAGGTTGCGACCCTAGTACGACGTGGCAAGATTCATGAGGTATGCCTGGGTGCTGCCATCACGACGTAGAGCATGGCTAACCAGCTCACCAGATTAAATTTCCTTATGTACGCCGCCACCATCCGTTTTACGAGCACGCGCTCATGTGTTCCGACTCCTAGAATCTGGGTGTATGGCGCAACATCTGCTCTGTACTGGGCGACTCGCCACTGTGGTGGTGCTGGCCGACCGTCCCAGCAGGTACAGGCCTGAAGTACCAGCTCGCTGAAGGCGATGGTAAGTGGATCGAGCTCAACTCGCGTGCATACCCGAATGTCTACATGAATGGCGGAGAACGTTGCCCGAACCATGAATGCGCTGGTCGCATCTAGGTGTGCAATCCTCGGATACCCCTGCTATGTAAGCACTCATGCGCACCCCTCATCTCTGCTCTCCCCCTTTAGGTACCCGTAGACTTCAGCACACGCCTCTGTTTTCTGGTTACGCCATGATCAATTACAGTGCTGATTCACCTTATGCGTAGACGGTAATGCTGAAAACTGGCCTCCTGAGGATCCTTCTCGGATCTCCATGCCCGAAGCCGATCCCAACTACAAGTTCACCCTCCCACCAAGCCCATGGACATATGAGAACGGCTCAGTCAACCCCTACCTCCAGCCCTCCAACGCCAGACGCCGACAAACCGCCCGAAACGGTCCCTACGCCGCTTTACCACCCTACCACCCCGACTATCGTGAGCCCGAAGCTGTCGTCCCGTACGATCCTGCGTCTTCTAGCGAGGATGAATATGGCGGCAACCCTGCGAGGGGCGTCCGCGTGCGGCGGGGCTCAGAGGGTTATGAAGTCAAAACGATAGACAGGGAGGCGATGTTGCGTGGATCCATCGAGGGCCGGACGCATGAACCTGGGAGGTACAACTACTATAATCCCGAAGTCAGCAGCGAGAGTGAGGCAGAGGATGACCAGGATGACTCGACGCCTCTCGCTGCGAAGCTGGGAGGCCGATAGGTCAGCAGGGACGGCTGCCGCTAGTGACCTGCTCGTGAATCGATCTGGGTGTAATGCTGGGATTTGTACACGGACTAACATAATTGGGATGCTATCATTATTCGACTGGTACAACATCCACTATGGGACTCAGGGGGAATGATAAATAGAGAGCGGTATAGCAAGAAATTCGACAGCACGAGACAATGGGTACAAACAGGACACTAGTTGTCCGGGTATCAGACAGGCACTCTGTCGAGGTACACCCTCCACGGTGTTCCACCCTTCTCTCCAATCTCGACAACATTTGGTCCAATCGGGAGGTCAAGGTCCCACTCGCTCTGACCGTCATCGAGGGCATTGGCGACGACTCCATTGAGCTTCACTTGCGTTTCCCCGGGAGGTGGCCTCGCGCGTGCCTTGCCTTTCTTCTTCGCCGTCTCCTCCGCCTTCACCTCTTCGACGACCGGCTGCTTCTTCTTTTTCGGCCTGCCCCGTTTCCTCTTCTCCGGCTTCGTCTCCCCTTCTTTCTCTTTCCCCTTTTCCTTCTCTACCTCCTCATCCTCGTCCTCGAGCTTCTTCCCTTTCTCTTCATCGTCGCTACTCTCCTCATCCTCGGTGTCCATCTTCAGGAAACGCACCCCAGAGACGCGGACACTCGTCTCTCCGCACAAACGAACCGCCCATGTCCGTACGCCATCAGTATGATCGAGCAGGAGCAGTCGGCCCAGTGGTTTGGTCAGCAACGTGACTGTCTTCAGCGAGCGATGCTTCTGCGGATCCGAAGGTGACTGCGGCTCGGTCGTCGTGACCGCGACGGCTTGGACCGGTGATACGGACGGGGCTGGGACCGGTGTAGCAGGTGTAGCGGCAGACGTGGCGAGCTGCTGGTACGCTGGGTGCGTATACTGCGCATAAGGAGAGTATCCCGCCTGTGGATACGCATTGGGCAGCACGTTGCTCCCACTTGCGGACGCTTTCAATTGCGCAACGGCGGGAACGGGCGCCGGCACAATTGGGTGCGAGGACGTCTGCCCCGCCGGTGGCAACGGCGGCGACGCCGCAGCTGGAACGGGTTGCGCGGGTACCGCTGGAGACTTTGACGACTCGCCTGGAGGAGACCCCCGTGAGATGGCACCGTTCGCTGTCGAATAGTGCGCGCGGATCTTCAGCGTTCCGGGGGTAGGTGAGGGTTGTGCGGGTGTCGATGTGGCAGACGGATGGTGAGCGGCGGGTACCTTGAGCCTGATCCTGGGGTGCACCTCGTAGGCGGGTACTGAGTGTGGGGAGGTAGGTCAGACATGAGGTGCCGGAAGTGATCCTGCATATAGGTTAGGGTACAAACGCAGACGTCCACAGCACAGCGAAACGCACCCTGAGCACTATAGCATCTTCCCAGATCTCGGTGTGATCCTGATTGAACTCGAGCGCGTTTGAGAACACTAATTCCACGTCGTTTGCGAACTCCTGCGAAGTATGGTACTCCTTCCGTTTGAGACGTTTCTGTAGCACATAGGTGAGACGGGGCAAGTACTTCAAGACGTCTCAAGCACTTACAAAGATGATTTCAAGACATTGTGGACGCTTGATTGTCTTGTAGTAGATTGGCCACTGTTTTCGATTCGGCAGTTCCATGAACTCGGTCGAAAGTACGCGTCCGCTGTGAGTTAGCTTGTAAACATAGACGACCTTCACTAGACTGTCGGGACGTACGAGTCGTCCGTCTTCTCCACCAGCTTCTGCAGACGTGTTTTGAGCAAGCGATTCATGTTTGGCGGTTTCTTCTTCTTTCCCCCCTCCTCTTCGGAGCCACCTTCGTGTGCTACACCATCCCCTGCATGCTCGTCCCCCTCGTCCTCGGCAGCCTCTTCTGTTGTCCCCGTCATTTTGGCATACTCTTTCTTTACAAGTTTCTGGATTACGAATGTCAGCACAATGCCACTCTTAGAGAGTGAGATGAGAAGCTAGCTAGGTAGCTGCCCACTCACATGCAAGGTCTTCGCGTCCTGGAAGATCTGACTCTCCTTGATGTTGTACCTCTTCGCGTTCCGGAAGCAGGCTTCAAGGTCGTGTTTCACATCGGTAAATGAAGCATATGCGAGCGCATCTAGCTGAGCCTTGATATCATCGAGAGCTATTGGCCGCTTGATCTGGACATAGTAGTCGGGATACTGCCGTTTGGATGGCAGACGCATGAAGTCGACAGAGAGCGACCTCCCTCTGGATAATTGCCAGCGTTCGGAGTCGTAGACATGGTGAGTAGATGGTGGTGGGTGATAGGGAATAGGAATGAGTGAAAGTAAGTGGTAAACGCGTTCGGAGTCAGAATACAGTGAACGGTAGGCGAGCGAGCAGTCACGCACTCCTTGTCCACTGCATCCTTCGCCGTCGTCCACAGCTTCAAGCCCTTATCCTTGATCACCTCTGGACTGTCCCGCTTCGGCTCTCCTTCTTCGCCCTCCTTTTTGACTGCGTCCATGCTGCTTGTCCCGGCGACTGGTTTCGAGTCTGGAAGTGCCTCCTTGCGTCGTTTGGCGCGCGGTGCATCGACATCTACTCCAGCTGCCGCGGCGATTTGGGTGGCCTCTCTCTTCGACATCGTCTTCCCCCTCCCTTTATGCGGCTCTAGCGTCAACAATAAACAAGCTCAGTGATCAGGAAGACAGCAGCAGTCTCTGTTGGCTAAGGACCCATTCCCTATCGGCCGTGTCAGCGCGCGGGCCACTAACGACCCAAATCCAGTAAACGTGACCACGTGATTAATGCGACCTTAAGTTACACCGTACGGCGTCTGCCACGGCGCCGCATGCCAGTGCGCTCGCTGAGTGCTCGCTGCGAAGTTGGACGGCCTCATCGACAACATAGACGGTGACTATCGGCCGCAGGTGTCATCGGCCTTGTCATCCCACTGTGCTCATACGACGTATTGCCAAAGCAGCATGGTAGACAACGCGTAAGATGTCGATCGTTTGCATCTGAGTACAGGTGCTGATGTTTATCAACTTGTAGTGCCAGTGCACCGACTACCGTAATCCAGCAATCCAATTCTCAGCTCTCCACCAAGAGACATGAGTCATTTTACATCAGAGACGACTCTGTAATCATTCGTGTATGTCGTCAAGTCTCCTCTCAGAAGCACACCGCATCGATTCACCATGCTTTTGCTACTAGGTGGAGGATACCCTTTACAGATTTCATCGCCACTTTCTGAAACACCGATCAAAGGTGTTTGCGGACATGTTCGACGTCCCACCGGAAGTAGGCAAGCCTGTGGAAGGTCTGGACGACGACCATCCAATTGTCCTAGAGGGAGTCACCTGCGAGGATTTCGAGAGGTTGCTATGCCTCTTCTATCCAGAGTGAGTTATATGGCGGTCGCTGAAATTGGTAGGTACTCTCGTATCTGCCGTTCTATGGTAACGGCGAATACCTAGGGGACTCTTCAGGCCTGCGGTCCCGTCTCCTTCGGCGCAAAGACCACGCTTCTGTTCTGGTGGCCCTTGCGATGAATAGAGCGGGACCAACCTGTTCAGTGCCTCCTGTAGAACGACTGGTCCGAGGATACGGTCTTGGGTGGCGAAGCTCTCCCTACGCCCGCGTGACAGCACTTGATGATCAACTGGTGCTGTAGGAATGTCAATGACGGCGATCTGTCTACCACCGAGGAATGGACATCGGTCCTCGCGCTTGCCACGAAGTGGGAGTTCACGGACTATCGCTTGCTCGCTATCTCGCGGCTCGCTCAACTCGCCTCCCCGGTCGACCGCATTCTCCTCGGGCGCAGCTACGACATAGCGGAGTGGATCACTACGGCGTATCTGGAACTCTGTAAGCGTGATGATGCGCTCACGTACGAGGAAGGACAACGTCTGGGGATGCACGACGTTATCCTGCTGTCCGACATCAGGCAGGGCATCCGGGGAAACCGGGTGACAATGCCGGACAAGAATGTCTCCATCCTAATCGACAAGAGACTGGTGTAGGCTGGACCTGTGACTACAAGGGTGGGAGGCCACTCTTGATGCGCGACGTACGGTGGGACAATCGTCGTGTTACAATGACAAGTTTCTGTTCTCTGCTCTCTCTGCTATCCTTGTCTGGTGTCTGCTGTGATATCTGCTATCTACTGCTGTCGTGTGTACTACCATCTATCGTCTCCATATCTTGATTCTTCCGTGACATCTTGCATGCCGTCTACCAGCCTGGCTACCCTCAACTGCCTCATGCGCCTCCGCGCAGCCCGCGAATGGATGTTCATGCCGCCGTGGAACGCCCAGTCAGCTTGCTTCCAGACGTCCTGATGAGTCTCTTGCGATCGAACGGAGTACTTGCGAAGCAAAACAGCTCCTCCGGGCTAGAATACCGTCAGCGTCATCCAACCGGAGCCTCGAGCAAGCCGGCAATAGAGGATCAGCGACGTACGTGTTCGCCCAAGTAGCCTGTGACGTCCACCACGAACCCATCAAGTACGACAACGCAGCGGCCGCCGTCGACATGCCTGTTCACATCCGCCAAGGTCCATGTCTCCATATCAGAAGCGCGTGGAAGGTCAGTATCGTCCCCAGAAGAACTGTCAGTCGAGTCGTCACTTCCGCTGATTTCGCCGGCGTGCTTGTGAAGCATGTAGAAGCGCGCCTCGCTGACGTCTTCTGGACGCGCGCGTTTGAGGCTCCAGCAAGACCAAGCCGCTTCAACAGGAGAATCATCCACTTGGACGGGTCCCAGTCGTACGGTGCGGGACCAGAGCGGTAGTCATGAGGGAATGCGTGCTGTTCGACAGGTCAGAAGCTTGTTCGTTCAGCGACTTGACCGCTCACATGCTATGGGTTTTTATCAGTATGGTACCGCAACTGAATGGCATGTATACCCACAAAGTTATGGTTTCCTTCACCACAGGTAAGGAGGGCGAGAAACTAGCGATACGTGGAAAGTGAGTGGATCTGAACGTATGTCTCAATGGCGGAGGGGACGGACCAAGTTCGACTTGGACGTGTTCTCATCCGAGTACGGCTGCAGGCCGTCCCAATGAGCGAGGCTTGGACGCGACGTCAGAGATTATGGGCACACTGGGTAGATGGCTGACTCACGAATTCACGAAGAACGTGCAGTGCCAAACTAGATTGAGTTCAGAACCACGGTTCAATCGTAAGCGAGAGGCGATTTGAGAAGATACACACTGAGCAGTCTCGCCACAAGGGCGCTCCAGACGAACGCTTCTCCTGGCTCACCCCACAGTGCGCCTATGCACGGCGGCAGTACGAGCCCCAGGCTCACGGCCAATGGTACTGAGAATGCCAGTATGGCCTGTATCGGTAAGCGGTATTATTATATGGCACTCTAGGCTCACGATAATATTTATGCTGCAAACGCACGACTGATGCAAGGTTAACAACTTTAACATGTCTATGTTGGCGTGACATACCTGGATCGTTGACGAGGTCGGCTTGGTCGATTAACTCGAGGCGCTCATACCGGGGCTTGAAGAAGATCCAGCCCATGTGTGCCCACCAGAAGCCACGCGTAGCCGCGTACCTTGTCAGGAGGTTGGTGAGTACAAGCCGCAGTACCACAATGCCAGCGTCCTTACGGATCATGCACAGGATCGTCCGTGTAACGCTATGTCTAGGGATTCAGCGACTGCCATCCGTGAGAGTATCCTGGTCGGACTCACATGGTGCAGTCGATGCCTTAAGCACCTGTCGAATCGGCGAACGTGAGCTGTCGTATTGTCACCACCATTGTGCGCCTTACTTACCACCACTGAGTCGCGTCTATCAGCCGCTGTCGCTGTCATAGGAGGCGATACTCACCTTGATAGAGCCCTGCATCGCGCTGGCTCCAAGTAGCGCCACGACTATCCTCACAGGGAGGCTCGCGCGAAACGCCCTGTGTGAGTATAGACGATGGTAACCGACAGTAATGCTGACGTGGCTCATAGTAAGCATGGGTATCCCACCGCTCGATGCCAAAGTGCGACTCACGACAACTCTGCCATTTGGAAAAGCAGGAAAGATAGCAATAGTGTGTAGCGCGACACGGCATAGTAAGGGTATGAATAGCAGCCGAGTGCGGTTGCTAGGTGGATGGCAACGAAGACCGACCCGTTCGCCCACCATATCCTCGGCCGCTGGAGCTTCTGCTTAGGATGTGCGGCAAGCTGCTGTGCCATGTTGTGAGCGCGCAGGTCCTTAGCTGTAGCGAACATACTTATATACCCAGGTTCGGAGTCCACACATGCGTTCAGCATGGCGTCCAGGGCGAGACGCCTCTCCGATGGCCCCTGCCCGAGTGCGATCTTCACACCCAATCACTGTCCACTGACAGCTATCGGACGTACAGTCGGCGTGGCCATGGCAAGATATCATATTGGAAGCCGAGTAGTTCACCTGGCATCACCGTCGCTCGGATTCCTGCCCAATGTAGCAATACGAGGCGTCATTCACTGAAAAATTCGTGGCGGCACCCATTGTCCGTGACGGGTAGATGACGACAGAATCCTCTGCTAACCAATGGATGCGATCCGGGGTTGGCAGGAACAATAAATCTACGTCCCGTAGCGACTGGAAGAGGATCTTCGGCAGAACTTACCGGATCCATGCTCGCTGGCGCCCCGCGTATACACAACGTCATGTGATCGCGACACTGATGCAGTTTCTAACTCCGCAATTCAACCCCATACAGTGCTATGTAATGATCCGATCAGGGTTCTTACCGCCGTAAGTACCTCCGATAGCGATTGTACGTGGAGGCACGTAGCCACGACCAGGCCGCCTACGTAGGTACGTGAGTTCCAATGGTTTGCGGCCGTAGCGATGCTGATGTTCTACATTCTAGATTATTCTGTCGGGGTAGTGACTGAAATTCAGTACCAACAGGGGTCTTTACGGCCCGCAACGACTAGCAGTGTCCGCGTATACTGGCAGTCAATACTACATCATAGTGGTATGTGAATACTCAGGATCATGCCCCTCTATTGGACGGAAACTTAAACTCCGTCGATATGCAAACCACACACTGTGCTACCTCTGACAGCAAGGGAGCCTGCGTATGCGATACCCTGCCACTGGCACTGGCACTGGCGTACCTGCACTCCGAGATCATCTGGCAGCCCCTTGTCAAACGCCCACCTGCGGCGGTATTTGCCAGCTTCCGTCAGAGGTAACGTTGCTCATTGTATCCCACACTACGTCAAGAGTGAGCTCAGAATCAGTCACCTACTTTGTGGCGAATACATACTGGACCTCGTGGTACACTTCAGAGCTTCGAAGTCATGTCTAGTTCATTTGCACTCGCTCATCTGTGAGACGGCGCTGACTCATTGGCAGTCGCGGACTTTATCTTCGACCGCGTTGGCCCCCCCGAGCCGGCTGTCGTGTACATTCGGCTGTAGCAGGCTTCCAGGTTCTCCATGGTTCACACGTAGGACGCATTTCCATCAGTGGTTGAGACTGTCTGACGAGGCATTTTTCATCAGCAGTACTGATGTCAGGTTGCTGCTGGAGGTGTGCATAGATTCGGTGGATTCAGCCGTCGCGTTCGTCTTCTTTTACCTCTCGCTTTCTCAGACTCTGACCGCGTTCTGTCGTCTGTAGGGCCGTCGCAGGCGGCGCCGACCGCCTCGAGCTCTGCGGTACTCTCGCGGCAGGAGGGGGTGTCAGTCCCAGCTTGGGCCTATTCAGAGCGGTCAAAAAAGCCGTTCCTCAGATATCGATCATGGTCGGTCTCTATTCCCCTGTGATGTGGTTGTAATGGTCATTGATAACTAGAACGAAGGTGATGATCCGTCCACGGACGGGAGATTTTGTATACTCTTCAGATGAGCTAGAAGTCATGACGGAAGACATTCGTGTCTTCAAGGGGGCCGGTGCGGCCGGGGTCGTCTTTGGCATTCTAACCCGCGAGGGAGATATTGACGTTCGCCGCAGCACACTGTGAGTCATATTCTTTCTTCGCAGCCTGCACCGGTTGCGCTGATTCATGTATTTCTGCCTGTAGACTGGCAAACGAAGCCCAGCCATTGGAGAGTAAGCACTCGACATGTCATGCGCGAACCGGAGATTGATGCTTTCCGTACAGTATGTTTTCATAGGGCATTTGATATGACTAGAGACATTCAGAAAGGTAAGCCTTCAGTCTCAAGACCCGGCAAGGGTGCTTATTCTGACACCGCCTAGCATTCGAAGACGCGCGCAAGATCCCACACATCAGTCGTGTACTCACAAGGTCTGTCACTCGCCTTGCCCCGGATAGCTGGCGGGGATTATTGAATCACAATATCCAGCGGCCACGAACCGAAATGCACTTCGCCCGCAGCGCTTGCCAACCTTTCCTCCCTCTTCCGCGCCATGCACGAGGACGAGCCGCAGCATCAACCCCACACGCTGTACCGATTCAACATCCTTCCCGGGTCGGGCGTGTCGCCGCATACAGTTCGGAGCGTTCTTCTAGAATTGCTCCCTCTGGGGCTGAATCAAATACACATGAGCGGAGGCCGATGGGTACCGGGTGAGGCGCAGTATCGCAAAGATGGAATGGGGATGGGTGTCGGCGAAGGCGAGTGGGCGGTGTGGCGTACGAATGAGGAGTATGTGAGGGAGGTTGTGGAGATCATCTCGGCGACTTGTAGAGAATTCGTGCAGCAGCGGACACAAGGTTGAAGTATTGCTGTGACGGCCGCGGATCCAAAGCGTTGTCGAGACCGACTGTTTTCAACCAGAATTTGCGACATGTGCAGTATATCCTGAAGTCAGTCCGGGCTCTCAGTGTTCAAGTTCAGCAAGTTCTCTTCGATCTAACCGACGGGGACTTGAAATTTCACTCAACGGTATCGGAGTAGTATAGGGAAACCAGCCAACGGAGTGATATTAATCCGGCTACAGGCTAATACAAGTGTGTTATCGGTGCGGCGGCGGGGTGCGACCTTGCGCGAATGGGTACGAGACAAAATACCTTGAAGCCTGGGCCTGAGCGATTCAACGCAAGTTCAACTTGAGTTCAACGTTCCAATCCTTGATGACGTAAACATCCACTATTAGCGCCCGATGAACCGGAGCGAAATCCGAGTCGGACCTCCTCCTCGATCATCTCTTCTCTACTCCCTCAACTCTGCTTTCTTGCTCGAAACCTACTGACACTCTGGGCGCGCGACATGGGTTTTATTGAAGGCTGGCTGGCCCCTGCGATATGCGCCTTGCCTTGGGGCAGGTGTATGTCGGCTGATGCGATATTCAGCGCCCGCGCCGATGCATCTCTTTGTCTTTGTGCGTAATATAGACCTAGGGACATGTCTGCCAGCAAATGCAACCTACGCCTGCATATTTCTGACCATCGCGACGGTGAAACCCGCTGCCATGTCTCGGTCGAACCTCAACAGCGCTGGCCACGACACGAAGGGAGTCCCGCTTGTGGACATAGAGGGTGGACCGCCTCGCGGTCCCAGTCCGTACGCGTCCTTCCGTCGTTACAGAACGTGGATATCCGTTACGGACTTGGTGCAACCTACTTGGTGAGTCTATAGACCAATGTAATTCGAGATTCACAGGCTCATGGCAATGCGAGGTGCGAACTGCTCTATGACTACTCTCTGAGGTCCAAAGCCTATCTGCCGCCTAGCCAGAGGCCGCATGGCTTCAGGAGTGCGGATGACAAATGGATCAGGATAGACAAGACGAATGCGGAGCAGAGCTATCGTGTAACAATGCGTGGAAGGGTACGTGGTGAAGGTCTCCTCCATGTCGTGTTTTCTCATACCCGCGCCCACGCGTGTACAGTCTGAGCACAAGAAGTTGGAACGTCAGGCCAGTCTGCGAAAAGCGGACGTTCAAGCGCCGGAAGCGAAGGGCAAACTCGAGCAGTGGGCACTTCGGTACAGAGCCAGCTTTCTTATGCGCGAATTGACCTGGCCTGACTCGGAGTTACGGACAGCCTGGTACAAATGCTGGAGGCGTTGCATACGCTCAAAGAAAGCGGTCTATGCGTGTGTATCGTGGGTGTTGCGATGCGCGATTGGGAATTGACCGAAGCCTTTCATACTCAGCGCGAGATGCCAGTGTTCGGCATCATCCACGACAACCTCGTCTTTGGACAAATTGTATGTTATAATCGTGAACCGTGGGCTCATCGCTGACTTCCCGTCAGGATAATTTGGTCCTCAAACCTTCGCTGACCGTCACGGCTGCGGCCGAGGTTCCTATCCAAGTTCCTCCGGGTCCACCTAGCCAAAGAAAGCGCAAAGCAGCAGCAGCCATGCTGGCGGAGAAAGCCAAGAAAGCCCGGGTACCTTCTTCCGAAGCAGACTACTCGGCCCCGTCAGTGCCTGCCGGAGTCGATGCCATAGCAGAAACGGCGGCACCAGTACCCACAGACGCGCAAGGACGTCCAACGTCGATGCGATACACAATACATCTGTCGGACACGAAGACGCGGACCACTCCTGACCTTCCTCCCGACGAGGACAGTCGAGCTCACCACCTCCAAGTGATGCTCTATCACCGCTTGTTGAGCGGCGCTCTTGCAAAACACTCGAACAGCACTGCGGGAGAACCAGCAACCTCTACGGCGCAGCCTCTGGATTTCGATGCGGTGTGGCGCAAGTTATCTCTCAATCCTCAGCAGCCCTTCTCTGACGCGTTCATTCGTGATGCGAGGCGTCTTCTTGATCGTGGGACTCGTTCACCTACCAAAGGGGCCCCCGCGCATGGAGCCGTCCCTGCTGACAACAGCAGCCCGGGGCGAAGCCGCATCGCGTTCGAGTGTTTGAATGACCTCGTCGCATTGTGGCGACATGCCGTTGAAGACTTCAACGTGGATGGTGTAGACAAGACACTGACGTTGGAGTACAGGCTGCAGCCGTCTGAGCAGACTGACGCAGGCGTCTCCTGCGGTTCGCACTCCCAGGATACACCGCCTTCTACCCAGGGAGAGACAGTAGAAGGTGGTTCTCAGGTATCCGAAGATACACTGGTTGGAACATCACAAGATACCGAAGCCACTGTGGCTACGGACGAGGGGCAGTCCACCCAGGTACTGTCCTCGTCGAACACCGTCAATGACGTGCGATCAGGCACTGGTCTTCTAGGCGTGAAACAGTTCACGATGGATGATCAGCTGCTGGGCGACCATCTGCGGAGTATCTTACGATGGTGGCATGGACAGCGTCGAGCCAAGGGCGTACCACCGGAGTTGACCCGTCGGTGCGAGTGAGTGGCGTCTTATCAGTCTGTCGGGTGGACTGATCGGCCTTCTATGTACTACAGGCATTGTGACTACCATGAAGATTGCGAATGGAGGGCAAGGGATAAGTTGTAGGAGAAGGTATTCAGTGAGAGTGGCTCCGCCGTACTCGTCGGAACAGAGGCTTCGAGATGAACTTCACGGCATGTATCATAATGTGATTCATGCGCATTGCTAGGGTCTTCGATGTAAGGAGGCAATGCTGTGATGTGACTATCTCGTAGGTTGACTGATGTACAACAACGCAAGGATACGGTCCAACGCATAGGCGTGAAGTCACTCTTTCGAAGTTGGCAATTACGAATATCAGGGTGCTGTGCGGATGAAGAACCTAGGCACTGGTTCGGATGGTAAGTGACGTGATGTAACTATCGAATCTGGATCTGACGAGCTGTGATAGGGAGAGTACCGGTTCATCGGCGTCAGGCGTGGTAACTCCAGGACCCGTATGTATACAAGACAACGTCGTGCGACTGAATAACACGACCTTCAATTGCACTGCCCCTCTTCTATTCCTATCTCTACGCTGAATTGCACTGGTTTACGACCACCCAACCAGCCTAGTATAATCAGATCTTGATAGAGCCGAGGTAATACCCTCACTGTGACTCATCTTGACAGTTGCGTGCGATTGTATCAGACCCTCTGTTTTAAGCCCTGAACTCCTGTGAGCTAATTTGATTTCTATCTACTCATATATATTGACGTCCGACGTCTGTCCGTCCATCTTGTTCCCCCACAGAGTCACACCCAGCCCTCACGCCTACCTCGAGCATTTCAAGATTCATTGAAGGCGAGTTCTGTATGCCTTGATTCAACGTGTCAGAGACTGACACAGCTCTTGTTTTCAGTCGCACAACATTGTACTCTTTGACCAATCGCATAATCCGTGAGCGGCGACTGTCCAATGCTCTATTCAAGTGTATTGAGCCTTACTAGTCTACAGCACTGCATCACTATTCCCGAGATGTCTGCGGAGGCAAATCACGTAGACAACGGTGGACTGTACCCCTTCTTTTCTCGCTATGGCCGAATTAGGTTGCCTCAGGACGAAAAGGATCCCCAAGATGGCCATCATGACCTTCCTGGATTTCAGACGAGAACGGCGAGCAGGGGTCGAGGACGCTTGCAACGTGCTGGCGCGCTTCTCATTTATGTTGCGCTTTGCTTGTCACCGTTCTTCGTGATCAGCTACTACAAGGCAACGCACCGCAATGCCAGAGGACGCGTTGCCGGCACCGCTCACGGCGTCTTTAAACACGATGATAACCACATATACGGCGAGCCCCTCATGTTCTTTGGTGGCAGCCAGGAACACTGTTCCTCCCCGGACCAATGGCTGTTCTCTGACGCTGACGCTGGCCTCTCCTTTGATCGCGGCCAGCAACGTTTCTCGCACAGTGCTAGCAAGAAGTTCACTTTTCCTATCGATGACGCCTCCCTTCGATTATCTTGCAGTGGCAATGCCCGTATACCAGGAATTGCACGCTTGGTCCTTGCTAACACCAGTGATCTCAGTGACACGCCCTCAGATAGCGCCAGAGCGCGACAGGTGCAAGTCGGGCTCACCGCATACATGCATGACCCGGAAACATTCAACAAAGTTACGAAGGTCTGCAGAAAGACAGACCCCCTGATGTGCGCGGGCGGAGAGCAATTGGAATTCTTTGTTGTATGCACCTGTAATGCTGCCTTCACTGATTACCCATTGCTTACGGATCGTGGTATGCCTTGTTGGTCAGAACTTTCCACGTTGGACTGTCAAGGAGCGCTCCCATGCGATGTTCATGGAGATGACAATCCGATTCCCTACTGGTACCGCAACATCTCCTGTGCAGATGAAGAAGCTCCTAACGTTCCTGGCCAACTTCGAATATGTCGTGGACGACCTCAGCGACGGTCTCACTTTCGAGTCTGTTTCTCTGATGTCTCAAAACGCAGAGATGCGCATCGGTGTAAGCAGTACTTACTGTGATCCGAATAGCAACTCGCTCACGATGACACCGTTTTGACCTGATTGTAGTCTTTAACTGCGCGAGAGATCATGGTTCATACTACGCTCGCGCCAATCCACGGCTCATTCACATCTCTTTCCGACATGGTCATATCGACCACTGACGCCCCCATCAACATCAATGTTAGGCTCGTCGCATCTCCTTTACGCCCAGATCCAGTGTCGGCTTTCCCGTGGCATTCAATTCGTCAGGACAAGGAAGCGACGAACTCGCTGTCAATCAGCACCACCAATGGGTGAGCAATGCTAGCATGATCCACTTAGGGCGTCTCGTACTGACTCGGACGGCTGTGGTATGCTCACATAGCTCGATCAATGCTCAAGTGGCTCTGTCTGCCGCTCAACACAAGACGAACTCGTCTCACCTGGAGGGACACTACAGCACGAGCTTCCAGACGACCTATGCCCCTGTCTCCGTCGCCTTCTCTTCTGCCCCCGAGGAGAGCCAATTGAAGGCGGCCGTCATCACGCAATTCTCCGATGCGACATTAAAGCTGCCTCAGACATTCATCGGCCCTGTATGCGTGCGAGGTGGCCCAGCTTCTTGGTGGGAGCCGACTATCCATGGTACCAATGGGACCCGTCTGGGTGCGAAGAGAGGTGTGCAAGTCATCACGGAGCGCGAAGATCAGGACATCCAGTCCAAATGCAACGATCTAGAACAGGTACCAAGCCATGCAAGAGTGATTGCCCTGCATGGCGGCGTAGATATTTATCTCTAGGTAGGTCAGGACAGCCGCTTGACGTTACACACAGTTCGTTAACATGATGTTTTCCGCCAGTAAGTGGTGTAGAATGTGTTTTATAGCCGTGTACCGTGCTGCATGTGCTATGAGGGAAAATAAGGTACAATCGGCTTGCTCACGGTCAGAGAAGATGAGATGGACACCATATATAACATGGCGTGGTCTTTCTTCGTGGTTGCTATTGTCCCGGTGAACAAGCAGGACGGCATAGCCAGTCGCGGAGGCATCCTCGTCGCAGACGATCATGTTCACGCCCCGAGCGTCATCATGGACAAGCCCTGCCTGTCCTGTATCGTCGGAGTCAAACGATGCTCGTCGGCAGAGTTCTAGCAGCACACTGAGTTGATGTCTGCTCATATGCGTCAATGGGACTCGTCGTTTTGTCACTGATCCATAGAGACGAGCTTGTACTAGTAAATGTACGTTGGCGGATCAGACCAGTGCCACCTCCGCCTTGATCGGCTCGATATCCAGCAAACCAAGCTCTAACGTCTACGGTCACCCGCTCAATCCTCCCGTTTCACCTAGCTCCTCATCCTCGGAATTGAACGGTATGTGTCCTACTCAGAAGACGAAGCACTGATCGCTCACACCGCTCAAGTGCTCGCGCGCGACATGCACAACGCGCTTGGATTACGCATTCTCTGGTTCAGCAATTTCTGGAGTCCGGGCTTTGTAACTCGCTACATTGTACATGGCACAGACGGACGAACAACGTAACACAGAACAAATTCGAGGCAGAGCTCACTCCGTTCCATCTCCCGACAATTTCGAGACTGCATGCTCACGCAGGATGAAGCTGGCCACCTTGTCGCCCTTCGTGTACCGCTTCAAATGAACGACGCAGTCCTCGTACAATCCAGCCTCCAGTCCAAACTGTGGGTCGTCTTCTTTGTCAACGAGCCTCTCGCGGCGGCGAACAGTTGCAGGACATGCGGGGCAGACGTCGGAGCTGAGCCCGGACGCGCAGTCCTCGCAGACGACGTGGCGGCAAGGATGAAGTAGGAGGGCAGCCTCGCCATAGACGCAGAAGACGCATTCGAGCTGCGGTTTGGCTTCTCCCCGTGCATCACGTTCGGCATCCAATGTCGCGACAGACTTGATTTTGGATAGTGGATTTGTCTGGAAATTTGCCTTCGCAGCAGGAATCCGTTCGTCATAGAGAGTGAACCATGGCAGCTTGTTTTGGATGTATGTAGCTGTGCTGACAGGTGAAGGCGGAGCAGGAAGGCCGGTCATTGCTGGGAAGTATGCTGCATTGATAACAGTGATATGCAGTCTTGTTGGCATGGTGTCAACATATGCCAAGGCTGGCAATATGTCACGGTTGATCTTCTGGGAGATCCGGCCTCCTGCAGAGAAGCCAGCCATAGCATATGGTGTCCAACCACCCCTCAACCTGAGAACCAAGTGAAGGGTGGAATCTGTTTGTATACCATAATCTATATCCCATGATTCACATTTTGGAGATGTTCAGAATAAGAGAAAACCCACCAGAGAGTGTCAAGAAATCCTCAAGTTGATCCCCAGCAAATACTAATCTCTGCTGATCTGGGGGTATTCCTTCACGATCTTGTATCATAGCCTTGAGATTTGCAATCAAGAGATCTCCATAGGTTGGAATTGAGATGATTTTGCCAGTCAGAGTCTTGACCAAAACTGCCAATGACATCAGATGTTCAGTCCTCAAAATCAATATGAGGATATCACCTCCATTCACAGAGAGCTTGAGCTTTGCTCCTAGAAACCAGCTAGCAATTCATGATAGGTCAAGCAATATGTTCAAGAGAACCTACCTAGTGGCTTAGTACTGCTCTCAGCCCTTAGTATATGGACATTGATAGTCTGGCATGAAGTGAAAGCTGTTGACTGTATGATATCCCCTGCCCTGAGTATTTGTGCATGTCTAACAAAGCATAACAAGTATGAGATAATCTCAATCATGTATTCACCATGTCTAGTTACTCACACATCAGAGTCTAGCATGCTAATGAATGCATTCTTCTTGAGACCCTGTTGACTTGCTGACCTGTAGAGGTTCATCTCCTTTCCTTTGTGGCTGAACACTACTGTGGCTGGGTATGGCTGAAAGACATCAATTTGCATCCCACCAATATCCTGGAAATTGTTTCAAATGTGACTTTGGGCACAATGAATGATCAAAATCACACCTCTTTACCAGTTATCTGACCTTCAACAGTATACCCATGCCCTAGTGGGGTTGCAACAAACTCTGCAATGAGAGATCAGAATCCATTTCTTAATCTCAACAAGGATTATGCAGCTCACGTTGAACAATGCCTGGAGCAGTGCATATCCCATCCTATATGCAGAATGATGCTTTATAGATCAGATGTCACAAGACACAGAATCCTCACCAGCCAGCTAATAGGAGTGTTAGAAAGTAGTCTTCTGACTACATCAATGTTTAACATACAGTTGGCCACTGGTGCTATTGATAGGGAGATAGTCTTGGGTATCTGCTGCAGCCTTGGCATTCTGTGGATTCCCTGTGAGTGCATTTATACCACCAACAGACACCTTGAGTGCATTGATCCCATTTGGAGTACAAGGTGAAAAAGAAATCCACATTGCTTCACGCTGATACATGGCCTACAGATTGTTGATGTCATCAGACTTTTGACTTTGAGAGTAAGTTTCACATACAATGAACATTCCTCCTTTGCTGACCACAGATTTTGGAAGCCTGTTGGCAAAGTCTGCAACATTACTGCAAATCCGGAGTGTTCAGCTAGTATGTGCATACAGGAGCCTGCAAAAGACTGACTAGATTTGGAATGTTCCCAGATTAGGTGGAAGAGGTTGTGTCTTGTCATTATCTACAAACTGTCAGATACAATGATGTCCAGTAAGTATCTTCTCACCTGGAACCCGGATTGTCCTGCAGTCACAATGTGAGTACGAAGTAGTTGACGAGTACATCATTTCCTACCTATGAAATTGCATAGCCACACCCCCAGCCTCAATTGCTGTCTGGTTCCGTGTGACACAAGCTTCACTGATGTGGGAGGGGAGCTGTTCGTTTGGCTGTGGTTTGTTACCATCCTGGATGGCACGAAGGTACACCATATTGTAGTAGTGTACTAGGGGCTGATCACTGAGGATAATTGCGTCAGAAGCAGAAAGAAGTGCCATCACCAATGAATCACCGACATGTTGAGCTTGCCTCCCTTTCTCGGGGTGAACACAGATGGACCATCCGTAATTTGAAGTGTATACTCCCCAGGGGTGCACTTCATGACCGTGGGCGCGGGGCATCCTGCCAACGCAGACGAGACGTGAGAGGTAGGATAGGAGGACATGCGATCGATCATACCTCGCTCAATCACACGGCGTGATATGTGTTCAAAGCTTACTGGTAACTCGAGACCATCGAGACGGAACTGGCTATCTCCACTGGAAACCCCTCGAGTCGCAGTCGCTGTCTTCATGACTACGTTGGCACTGATTGTCTCTTGGGGAGGACCTCGACGGCGATTGCGCGCGTTGGCCGCCAAGGCTTTCGGGAAAGGCGGGGTGGGTGGGACTTGCATCGATATGATCTGGGCTGTACAGGGTCAGACGCGAGCGGACGGTCGTGGGGCAGCTGTACTTAAGAGCGCGAGGACCAGGGCGTCCGGCAGTTCCCCTGCGAGTCCGCGAAGAAGATCAGATTGGCCAGCACTGATATGTGCATTAAGGTTCATAGATCCTTGGGATCCACAGCAGGCGGGTCTCATGGCCATCTGCTGCGGCATCTGGCGCTCTGAGCCGTCGGCCCACCGATAAGTATGCTGTCGCGCCGTGCTGCATTTCCGCGACGGAACATAAAAGGACTCACCGTGGCAGGACTGATAATACGCGGCGAGACAGTCCTGGGCATAGAAATGCGCGCTGCCTACAACGCTAGACAGTCCGCTGTCCACTCAAGTGGTGACCGGTCTGGATTCTTGTCAGCATCAACGTTGAACCGATGCCGGTACATCGTGGCAAGATGAACGGGACGGTAGCGCTTCCACCGATGTAAGTTCGGGCAATCCTAACCACATAATCTTGAATGGGCATGCCCAGAATGGCGGCTAGTGCCTAAGGCCTGTAAGAAACGAGGGAACATGAGAGAATGTGAACGTGGCCGTCTGCAGCGCCCAGCGTGAGGGAGTGGAGGGAGTCCGGATGAGCGCTGTGTCTGTGTTGGTCGTGCGCGCGGGATGCGTGACCGCGAGAGGGCGCGAGAGGCGGAGATGGACGACGGGCGGGCAGGTGGCTGAGCGCCCTGTGTCTGTCCGTCTTGAATACACCTGGGGCCATCCAACCCGGACAAATACATCGCTCGCCATTCATCTCCTCAGTCTCTTCTCTTGCTGTCTCCCCACCGCCGCGTCTAACGCTCACATCGCCCGCAATTTTGCCATTCCACACCGCCCGCCACGGCAAACCAGCCCAGGCGGGTGCCACCCCGCCTGCCTCCGCTGCAAAGAACGACATGCGAAGCACGCGAAGATCCAAAAGACCAGGTACCGCGAGACCCCCGACATCGTGGTGCGCGTACACTGCAAGCACCGCGCAGAGCTCTACTTCAACATCTCGCGCAAGACGAAGCTCTCCCGGCTCTTTAACGCGTGGACGCAGCGCATGGAGTCCGGCATCGTGAAGGGCAGCAAGACCGTCTCCGGCACGCAACCCCAGCCACCAAATGGCACGACAAGCTCCATGAGCTCCATGCTCGCCTGATACTCGGATGCCGTATGCGACGACTGCGTAGGGAGACTCTGTAGGACGCGGCACATGGTCGCATTCCCTCATGCATTTCAAGGAGAGGCAGACCAGCGGCGTACTTGACGTACCCCTTCTACGAGCCACCGCCCATCCGTCCGAGTCCTGCATCCGCCGTCCGTCGCCGCCTTGCAGTTCCTCACGTCCGCTGTGACTCTCGCGGCGCTCGTCGCGCACGCGTCCGCCGTGACCTCGCACTACCTCGACTTCACGACGTCCACGGGGTCGTACATCATCTCGTTCAGCGGCACGATCGTCACGCCGGGCCTGCCGCAGGCGGGGACGTACTACCTCTGGCCGGGCCTGCAGCCGAGCGACAGCGCGGGCGTGCTCCAGCAGGTGCTCGACGGGCGCAGCGGCGAGTGGTGGATCGGCTCCGGGTGGTGCTGCTCCGGCCCTGCCTTGGGGGGAGCGGGTTCAACGGGGAGTGCGCCCTTGTCCCGCTTCGAGGTACTTGGATGGGTATGTTGTGAGTTGGGTTTGGCAGTGGCGAACGGCGTGGCGGTCTAGTTCTCGAATACGGTGGATAGCATCGCGACCGGGACGTGGAGGGCGTCGCTCGCGTCTGGGAGCCACTCGGCGACGGGCTCCTTCGCGCTCCCGACAAATCCCATGAATCAGGCGATCATCGCCATCGAGCTGCGTGGGATGTTGGGAGGCATACGTTCGAAAACGTCAGGGTCGTGCGTGTCTAACTGTATCTGAGGATGCACAACGGTCAGCTAATGTGTCACATGCAAAAGCTGCTAACACTACCTCGACGTCTTGATGCACAGGCGGCCTGGCTCCGCAACTACATGCTCCATCGCGAGCATCGTGTTTGAGTCTCCAGCCTGAGGCCTGAGGCCTGAATGACGATCTTGCAATGCGGAGCGAGCCTTGTCAGCTATAGTGTTGATAAGTACAGCCTTTAGTACTACTAGTCTTAACGTCAGTCACAATTGTTGGACTCACTACTTGATCACAATAACTTAACATGTCCGCGAAGTGCAACGTTGGTGTACGCCAGGACCCATTCGCACCCATTCGCAGAAACAGACTCCGAAAGCGTTCGAAGCGAGTGCAGTCGTATGGGCGTCTATCATCTCAGCACCGCGTCCTTTCCAGGGCGCCAATTTACCGTATTTTGGCCAGTCATCTTCATTGCTTTGTTCTCTCATTGTCTCAACGCGAAAGCTCGCCGTATCACAGAGCCCTCGAAGCCGCGTCTTTACATCTATATAGTCAAGGGGTGGACGTGACGATGAGCAGCTTTTCCCGCAAACTCGGTGCCGTCGTCTTACCAGCACATCACTCGCAGGTCGGCTTGGCTGTCAGCTGCTAGTGCCGTTTCGTTCTGCTCGGTATGTGTTGCTTCCTCCGATGTGAGATGGGATGGGTCACAACATGGTCCCTCCAAGCATCAGACAACGCACATGTGATGAACGCACCCCATGTGGTTGAGATTCCTGAGTCTCCCTCTGCGATGTTTTGTTGCCCGTTTTTCCGCCCGGCCCGTCATGCATATGGATGAAGATCTGTTCATGTCGTCACGCCTATATATCCTTGATACTCGCTACAGCTGGCGGCGCGCGACGGTGCTATACACGCAGCTGATGCTCAACATGTTCTGGCCGACGCTTCTTGGGCTCTCATGTCTACCACTTGCCATGGGCACGACGTACTCAACTTGGGCTGCTGACTCTACTATTGCCCGTGGACAAGGAAACGGTCTCAACGCTAGCGGTGATCCTGTTGTGACATACGAGCATGGCGAGTTGCAATGGGCTCTTAGGCTCTTGTACGACAAGACGGGCAACAAGAGCTACTACGATTATATTGTCGAAGGTATCGACAACATTTTGTATGAAAACGGATCTGTCATCCCGGCTTACATGTAAGGCCCATTCTGAGTGCGTATGCGGTAGATCGTGCTGAAAGTCTTCGGTTAGCGCCAGCGAGTATTCACTCGACTACATACCCCCTGGGCGCTCGTTTTTGTACCTGTACGTCTCGGTGCTCTCCTGCAAGCTTCCCATCACTGAGCTCCGCAACAGGTACAACCAAATAGGCGACGAGCGGTACAAAGTAGGGGCTGATGATTTCCGTGCTCAACTTGAGACCCAACCTCGCACGCCAGAGGGACAATTCTGGCACAAAGGAGCGTACCCAGAACAAGGTCAGATCATTGACTAAAGATCCTGGCGGCCATTCATTATCTGTGATAGGGTGGCTTGACGGGATCTACATGGGCGACGTTTTCTATGCAACCTACACTGCCGCATTTCAACCCACAAACCGGTCGGCTTGGGGTCAGTACCTGCACTCCCTATCCATCTCAGTACCCTCAGCTGACACTCCTATGGGACGCCAGACGATATTGCCAATCAGTTCATCGAACAATACAGTCACTGCATCCAATTGCGTCAAGCACCAACGTCACGAACGACGAAACCTACCTTGGGCTGCTCTACCACGGTTACGACGACTCGCGCGCAGAGGATGGGCACCCCTAACCGCGGGCACTCCCCCGAGGTGTGGGACCGCGCGGTCGGGTGGTACGTCATGGGATCGTGGACATCCTCGAGCTCGCCCCGCAGACGGATGAGACATTCTTCCTGCGCACGACGATCCAGTCCCAGCTGCAGATCCTCGCGCGCCACCTCGTAACGGCGGCGGATAGCGAGAGTGGCGTGTGGTGCTCGTGTTGACCCAGCCCGGCCGTGCAGGGAACTACTTCGAGAGCTCCGGTGCGAGTATGTACATATACGCGCTCCTGAAGGGCGTGCGCTTGAGCTACCTCGACGATGCGGATGGCTTGCTTGTTGCCGCCGCGACGAAGGCGTACGAGTATGCGACGGCCAACTGGGTGATACCACAGCCAGACGGGACGATGGACTGGAACAATACGGTGGTTGTCGGCAGTCTTGAACCAGGGAACGACTACGAGGTGCGTTCAGACATGCTATTCGCGGAGTTATGCTAAGTCGTGATTCTCATTTGCGGTGCAGTATTACATTAGCGAGCCCATCGACACGAACGATCTGAAAGGGCTTGCAGCGTTTATTCTCGCTAGCTTGGAGTACGAGACGCTGGCTTAGCCCCGGAAAGGTACTTGTTCAGCTGTTGCCTAAGGGTTGTCTTGTCGTGTGTCATCCATCACACTTACATATAGGAAGAGCCCGGACTACGTCGGGACTAACAACAGAGTATGCGTACCATCGCAAAGACATTGCTTACTTGAACGTGAAGACAACGTGATGTTTCGAGTCCGTGTGCAAAATATGGATCGTTCAACGTCGGGAAGATTTTGCGGGACTCCTCATTTTCACTCCGTCAATCATGAGACTCATCGGCGAGAGTCGTGGTCATCAAGTGGCGCCCTGATATACCCTTCCTGTGCATCACCCTCTAGACTGACATGCCCTTCGAACATGTTGGCACTTGCCCAGGGGCAGTCTTGTGTCGAACGCTGGGCTACCGACTTGCACGATGTCATTCTGTCAAGGAGGCAAGGATCAGTTCTCTATTGGATGACCATCGAGGCTAGACGTGAGTGGAATCAGTCTTATCTTACATCGGCGACACTTACATACAATGTCGCGGAAGGGCATAATAACTCGCCGGCGTCTCGTAGACCTTGCCGGCGCACCATACATGGTGTCATGACCTTAAAAAATGGCAGACATGAACCACATATTTCACACACCTGCCATCCAGACCTCCCTGCTGAGCGACATGCAGGGGGGCTGCGACGCGTAGCCGATCTTAGGTATGATGTGAGATCGCCAACATGTCCCTCGACCAACGTTAACCCGGCCACAAAGCAGCAGACCGGCTTACTTGTTCGAGCGACTCGAGCTTGGCCTCGCTCGGGACGCCATGCTTCGTGCTGTTGGATGCCATCAAAACAAGGGGCAGATCCACGACCTTCCAATTCCAGTAAGCATTTCAGTGTTGGGTGCATTGCTTTCAGGCGAAGATCACTAATGCGCTTACGAGACTTGGATGACTTCGTGCACGGTCCAGGCTGCATGCACGGTACGTGTCATTTTTTGGCTGGCATGCCTGGGTTCAATGCAATCCAGCTGTCGCCGAGAGGAGACGCTCAGCCAAGATGCACAGCGGTCTCATGCGTATTTGTTCCCATCATGTGTAGATCGACTCGCAGTATATAGTACCGTCCTCTTCGGACACGCCCTTAGGCTATATGTACTCGTTGAGCTCATGAATCGCTGCCCCAGAAGCTATGGATTGTACACTTTTCGTACTACGAGCAGCACTGCTATGCGGTTGCGCATGCGGCTTTTGGCTGTATGAGCTTTCTCGTCGTCGGCGACATCCACTGAGCAACATACCTGGACCTCGATCGCCATCAATCATCAGAGGTACGCTTGCAAGTTATAAGATTTTTTTTCAATACTGATTCATGTGCGTCCGTAGGTAACATGGGCCAATTTTTCGGCTTTGAATCTATAGCATTCCAGCTCGATATCATAAACTCCTTTACTGCGTCGAGTGTCGTCAGACTACATGGCATGTTTGGGGTATGCACCCCTAATGAACTATTCGACTACTTACTAGGTGATTCAGAGACCGGTGTTGTACGTATACGACCCGAAGGCGCTCCACACAGTGCTCATCAAGGAAGAGGACAACTTCGAGCAATCTGCAAGGTTAATCAAGTAAGTACCGTGTGGTGTTATCGCAGTATCACTATGTAACAATCTCAGCATGAACACGGCCTTAGTTGGCCCTGCATGGTTTCCACGCTAGGTACGTGCAACAGTCTTTCGAGTAGGACGACTCTCCCTGAGCGCCGATGGTAGACAGCCACCACCGTAGACAGCGGAAGTTGCTGAATCCCGTGTTCACCACGAACCGCATGCGCTCACTGCTTCCCATATGTTATAAATCGGATTCACGGTACGCCAGTTACTCGCCCACGACCGCACCACTAACGCCTCGATAAGGCGTCTGATACTATAGCGTCTATGGTTGCATCTGGGCCCCAAGAGTTAGATGTGCTCTCTTGGACCACGAGGATCGCACTAGAATCCATAGGCCAGGGTGCGTTCGGACATTCCTTCGATACTCTTGCGGATGCGAGAAGAAGCGAGTTCGGTCAAACTGTCATGAAGCTTTTGTCAGTGGTGAGGTCTCTTCCCAGTGAGCGTCTGCTCACAACACATCGCTTTATAGCCCAGCTATTGCTTGTCTTTATCTATGGGCGGATACATTCCCTATCCTCGATCGTATTCCAACGCCGATACGAAAGTTTCTGGCTTATTTCTCTCCTGTCCAAGCGGGCCACGAGCTGAGGAGGCTCATGAACGATATTTTGTGGCATGGGACGAAAATGTTTGAAGAAAAGAAGCGTGCACTCGGGGATGGTAACTCGGGCGTAGTAGAGCAAATGGCTCGCGGGAATGACTTCATGAGCCTGCTGAGTGAGTAGCCGACAATCATGTAAATGTCCTTCTGACCAACGTGCCGACAGTGAAGGCAAACATGGCCGCATCTGAAGCAGACAGCCTACCGGAAGCGGAGGTGATCGCTCAAACGGCGTGCGCATTCATTCACGAGGTATGAAAGCAAACCGTTGATGACCTGGCTTCTAGAGTCCTCATCGTAACTGCTACCGATACTACGTCGAATACGCTGGGTCGCATCCTGCAACTCCTTGCCGAAAATCCAGACGTGCAACACAGACTGCGCGAAGAGGCCATCGAAGCATGGCAAGACGGCCATGTCGCATACGGTCGTTTGATGCAGTTGCCGTACATCGACGCCGTCTTCCGAGAAACCATGCGTCTGTAAGTGCACGTACATTCGGAGTCTTGCGCTCATAGCTAATTGGATATATTCCCCCAGACACTCACCGGCGACGTGGGTGATCCGCGAGTAAGTGGACATAGAAAGTGTCTCTGTTCGGTCTGCTGATTCTGAGTAGTGTCAGAAGGGACACTGTTTTGCCCTTGTCGACACCTATCGTTGGCATTGACGGCACGGTAATGGATGAAATCCCTGTCCCGAAGGGTTGCGAAGTCATCATTGGCCTTTTGGGTGCCAACACCAACAAGGCTATCTGGGGCGAGGATGCCCTGCAGTGGAAGCCCGAGCGATGGCTGAACCCGCTGCCTCCTACTGTTGCTCGAAATACGTTTCCCGGCGTCTCTCCAAATCTGTAAGTGCAGTGGGTGTTCTTTTAATGATCCTCGCTGACCGCGTCTACATCTGACTAGCATGTCCTTCAGTGGCGGTCGACGTGCTTGCATGTGAGTGACTGGTGAATACTGTGTCTGTGTAGCTGTGCTCATGGGTCGAGAATATGCAGAGGATGGAAATTCGCGGAGATGGAAATCAGTACGTCTCAGATTGCGCTATCCGTAGTGCGCACTCACATCTCTGATTTCCATGCAGAGGCTATGCTGTCTATCCTCTTGCCGAGGTTTGTGTTCTCCCCGGGCAGCAGGGAGATCGTCTGGAGAGCTGCACACGCAGTCTTCCCGACAGTTGGGGATGACGCGATGACACCGCAACTGCCGCTCACGGTTTCATTATACCATGCTGCACCTCCCAACTGAATGGATCGGCCACTCGAAGCGCACGACGCACATTGCGCCGGGGTCCCACAGCTACAGATGCTCCGGTGTAGCTGCTAGTGTGGAGACAGGCCGCGCGTCAGCGTGGCATAAAGGTGTCAACAAATGCCCGCGGAGCACTTGAGTAGTGCATTTCTCTGCATGATCGTATTCTGCCTCAACATCACGACTCGTTCATGTATTCTGTCAGCCCATTTACGTCGTCGTGCACCTTTGCGGCAAGATTACACTCGGGTCTCTTCGCATTACATGGGTCATTTTCATCCATGTAATTGTTGACAGACAGCACAAATGTGAACATCTCCTGTACGTAAAGTATCCTCGTTATCGTGGGTGAAGTTCGATCTAAAAACAGGCTAAGTACGACGTCACCAGCTCAAGCGTAGGACGTCTTGCGCTTCCTGAACATCATCTTCGCCCACGGGTTGGGGATGATGCTAGGCCCGACATACAGGTTCGCCGGGCGGCCTCCACCCTCGAATAGCTTGACATCGTAGTTCAGCAAAATGTAGGCCAACACCGCCTTCACCTCCCCCGCAGCGAACCACCGGCCCGAGCTGCAAAACACATTCAATACTAAATCCCTTGAAAGTACGACGTGGACGTACCAAGCGTGCTTGCCGTGCCCGAAGGGGATGTAGTCCGGCGACGACGTGTGGAACTGCTGGCGGAGCGCGTCGTCCCCGCCCTTCGCGCGTGCCTCCGAGAAGCGGAAGGGCTTGAACTCCGTCGCGTCCTCGTACAGCTCCTCGTTTAGGTGCGTGCCCGTGGTGGTCGCGACGACCATCGTGCCGACGGGGATAACGGTCCCGTTCGAGAACACGATCGGCTTCATGGCCTTCCGGAAGAGCGTCACTGCGCCGATGATCAGAGATAGAGCGAGGGCACAGATCGCAGGGTGTCTCGGGAGGACGTACGGTGGCTGGCAGAGTTGAGGCGCAGCGCCTCCTTGAAGAAGCTGTCCGCCTTCCACATCCCGTCGACCGCCGCCTTCGTCCAGCCGTGCTGCCTGATCATCTCCTCCGCCTCCCTCCGCAGCGGCTCGACGTACTCCGGGAACGCGCACAAGTAGTACAGCGCGTGCGTCATGCTCTAAGCCCGCCGTAAGACCTCTGCGTCAGATCTCCGACCTCAGGCACTGTGCCAGACAAGCTCACCATGCTCGACGTGTGGATGGCCGCGAAGTTCGACGCGGAGATGACTTCCATGACGCCGTCGATCGAGTCGCCCTTCCCGCGGAACTTGATGTCTTCCTCGATGCACCACGTCAGATAGTCGTCCTGGCGCGGGGTCGGCGCGGGGTTAGCGCTGAGATGCCGCGCCAGGAATGGAGGGATACGCACGGGTTTGCCTTCGTAGTCAGTGCCGTACTCGATCAGCTGCCTGCGACGTTCGACGACGGTGGCGCCGAGGATCGCGGCCATGCGGCGTCGCGCGGCGGATGTCCATGGAAGTCGAGGACCGACGATGCTAAATGAGTTCTTGAGTATGAGTGCGCATGTATGCGCGCAGCGTCGCACTCACGGCTTAGGAAGTTGGGTATCATGTTGATTATCGTCTTCGTCTTCATCACATCCTTCGCGAAGCCCGTAAATGTCTTCATCAGAACCTGATCCCGACCTGAATGATGCACGGTCATCTCCGAATGCGCATAATGAGTGACTATGGAGTCGTACAGAAAGGCAGCCCGACGAAAGCTCTGTTCGTGACGCGCGCGATGATGTCGGTCATGGTCTCCAGGCCGGCACAGTGACCCATTCTGCAGCTCGTTGAGAGTCTCGTCCACAACACATGTGGAGGAAGTACGGTCTCACCGTTGTCCGCCTTCGGGATGATGTCCTCGAACGAGGCGATGATCTCGTCCACCAACTCCGGCATGATCTGGGGGAGCTTGCGGGTGAGCGGGCCCGCGATGATTTTCTTCGCCGTCGCGTCGGGGTTGGTAGTGCCGAGGGTGTACTCGGTCTGCAATACCTATTACGACGCGATCATAGTCAGCACACCCGCAGTAGACGCGAACGGCGCCTGTGTACTGCTCACGTATTTGTGCGCCTCGAACGCGGACATGGATTCGTCTGGGTACTTGCGGAGCTCATCGTTCATCTTGGGGCCATTGACGACGACGAGCCATTGGTCGGACAGGGGCAGCTTGAAGATCTCGTGCTACCGATGACATATTAGAACCCTGCGCATGCGTCGTGATGAACGCGGAGCCCGACCTTGGAGCAGCCCTCGAGGAGCATGTCCTTGGCGTTACGGAAGTACTGCCATGCACCGAGGTAGGAAATGATTGGCAGAGACGGTCCTACCGTCGGGATGGCATGTATCTGGCAGTGGCGTAAGCCGGGAACCGGGAACCAACAAAAAAGGTACATACGGGGTTGGACCGCCGACGCAGGTACAACACACCAGGAAAGCGAAGGCTAGACCGCATATCTCGAGGGGAGACAGCTGCGGGAGCTCGAGGCCAGCGGGAGGGAGGGCATGGTAAGGATGGGGGGAGGGGGGACGGAGGTCTTGCTGCGTAACGGGAAACTCGTGCAGGTGGCTGCTGACCTTTATGATTGAACGCTGAGCGCGACGTCAAGATCTCCGAGGATGCATCATGAGATATATGTAGTTGTATTCTTCGCAGGCGATGCATGCAGGAAGCCGAGCAATGCTTCGATGCCCAGTTGGGCATGATGTACCTGCGAGCGGGGCGGCATGCACGGTGGTGCAGTTATTCGCGGTACGAAGAAGACGGACCGTTATCGCGGTAGATCGCTCCAGAATGATGGAGGGGCACGGCTTCCTGAACATACAACTCATGCAGCGCCCTCTGAACCGAGCAGTGTCCGGTTTTGTCAATAGGAAATTCGGGCCTGCGCATGCATACGTTGAGCATCGCGGGGTCAGGACACTACTCACACACCATTCCAGCAGCTATGCCATGGACTTCCGGGGATCCTCGACCATATCAACGTTGTCGTCCTCGCATCACAGGCAACTGCAACAGCACTGACGTTCGCTTGCAGAGTCGCCAAAAATCCGATTATTGGGACGTTTCGGGGGTGTCTATTCCCAGTTGGCGTGTGCACGATGAGTCCGCCCGATTCTCCAATCATGGATGACATAGATGGTAGCGGCACCGCAACGATCGTTCGACGGACGAGGAATGGGGACGCAACGGCTGCGCAGCGGCACGGTAAGTGGTGCCATTATGTGAGGGAGAGCCCAGGCCTCGCGCCTTAGAGTTACGCTGCTGGACGCTTCTCGGGATCCTCGTGGTGTTCCTATCTGCAAGGTACGATGCGACCAGCTACAAGATTCTCGGATGAGCATACTTTCAAGGTGTGGTAAGTAAAAGGGACGCTACGTGCAACCACTTCACGCCATGGCTTGTGCGAGCACTTAGGACAGTTATACTGCGTCTGTGACTCAGTATTATCCACTCGCGACAAAGTTTGTTCAGACCACCATCCAAACTGAGCGCTGCCAATCGCTATGACATCCAAGAAGGACATCATGATTCTGATCCGGAGGCACGTCGGTATTGAGCAGAATCCGTGCCGCGAGGCCCAGCATAAATGACAGGCGTCAGTGGCGAACTGTGTTATACGCGCCTCACGCACCTATATCCGCAAGACACTTTCTAGTTGCGGCACAGCTGCATGTTGTACGATTCGCTGTCAAAATAAGTCTATCAGCATATAGTAACTTATGCTGGTGTTGCGTCAGTGACAAGACTTCATGCACGCGACACGAGAAAGGACATGAAGTCTCCGTGGCGGCAACAGTATTCTTGCCTGTACACCCGGGCCCGTGGATCCCGGAGCGGTGGATGCACAGGGAATCTGAATAGACCATATCGTCGGGCGTCGTTCTAATGACCATGACCCGCGTCAGAGGGCCGTCTGACGTGGGCTGGCCGGCCGCTGCTGACGTGGAGGACGCTCTCCGAGATTGGGAGCGAAGTTTTGTCGCGCCAATCTAATGACGACGAAAGCAGGATAACACATCGGTCGAAGTTCGGTACCGGGCAAGTATAATTTTCCATGTCCCGCCATGTCATATCCCACTACGCACATACTGTCAGCACTGAGCAGTACCGGCATTCAAGGGTATATCCACGACGAAAACGGAGTTGTAAAACTCACTTCACTTCCACGAGTGTCACTCCGGGATGACACAGGTATTGTCTGTTCTGACTTCGTTCCTTCGGACCCTTCAACCACACGGGTTCAATACAGGGGCCCGTCCGAACATCCACGACACTGATGACAGAACATAGAGCTCAGAAACGGACTGTACATGATCCTTGGGGTCGCGGTCGGCGACAGCTGTCGACCATTCAACGTCAACGAGAATGTGCTTTAGACGGTATGCAACAGTGAACAGCCGCTGAACAGGTACCCCAAGACACCAGAAAGTCAAACGCCACTTGCGATTACGTTGACGAGCGTGCTTCGTTTCTTCTGCTCGGGTCGACAACCACAGTCAACTGGAAACCATTGCATTGACATTGGTGGTACCTAGTACCAATGACGACGAAAAATTCGGAAGACCCACATATACGAGGAGGGCTTTGCTGCTGAGCCCACACAGTGCCCGTACATGTACGTAAGGGCGTCGAATGCGTCGTGAGTTCACCGTTGGTTCACCGTCTCGGTTGAAGATCATTCGACCACGGTTCCCATGGTGAGCGCGAACGCTCGTCGCCCGTGAAGCGACGGGTAGACATGTGGGTAGAGAATCGATGTGGTCCCTCAGCTCGACTAGACAGTCGAGATTGTGCCGGAAAGCCCGTGGAAGGTGAGGATAATGGTGGCTCTGAGCAGAAAGCGCGATGAGCGGGAGCGACAAGAGGGGAGGATGATATTGTCCGGCGTTGCCAAATGAGGCCATCCGGCGGGTGCGCGCGGGCGGCTATTCCGAGTCCGTCGCCCATTGCTGTGATCGAGGCCTCAGCGACTTGATCCTCCCCCGCCACCGCCTCCTCCCTCCTTTCTCCTCCTCGTCTCTTCCTCTCTATTCTGTCCTCCAACCATTTCCCCTAAAACCCCCCACCAACGGCGATGAAAATGGACGGATGGCAAGACCACCTCCACTTCGCCTTTATCGGGGAGCACGTCCTCCTCCCTAACCTCCACCTCGACTCGCTCTGGAAGTTTGCCGTCGCATCCGTTCTTTCCGTCGCCATCTGCGGCTCCGAAAGGTCTGTTTATGCCCCTGCTCGCACGCGTAGAGCAGACGCTGATCAGGACACGCCGCTGTTCGGCTTCGGCCACAGGTTGCTCACGTATGCCATCTCGAAGCACTGGGGCCCCGCGTCGACGCGTCGGTCACGCGTCCGCAATGCGGCCTGGAGGGCGTTCCTGTACTGGCTCGTCACCTTCGACAGACTGTACGTCGCGCGCCGTGTCACCCTTGACGTTTCCTGACACTCATCGTCCAATCCAGGATGTACATGCTCATAGCCATGACCTTCAACGTCGGGTATGTCGCCTCGCTCGCACCGGACTCGGCTCCGAACTGACCAGATGCCCCGTAGCCTGATCGTCATCACCGTCTCCACCCTCTCTTTCGGCCAGTTCTTCATCGAGCTCCTCGAGACCCCGTCCTCGCCGACCCACAGCCAGGGCCACCCCGACAGCCCCGAATACAAAGAGCCACTGCTCCCCTCGCACTCCCAGTCGCTCTCGCACTACCACGATGGCGACTCCGATGACCCGCACGGCTACGCGGACTCGTACCCGCCGCCCGTCCCGCTCACCCTCCCCACGCGCCGGCCCGTGCCCACGCGCACGTCCTCCGATAATACGCACGTGACGCGCACGACGCGCTCGGGCTCGTTCCGCTCGAAGCCAGATGGGCTGAACATCTACATCCACCCGAGCGAGAGCAACATCGCTCGGGCAGACGCGGTTGCGCGCGAGCTTGGGCTCTCGAGCGAGGAGGACGAGGAGACGGGCATCTACCACGGGGACGCGGGCACAACGGAGACAGAACCTCTGTGGGAGCCTGGCAAGGGCAGAGATGTCGCGCGGAGTCTGCTGCGACGGTAGCACCTCCGAGTGAGCGTTTTCATTCTTTTCCATTCTACACACTGTTCTATGCATAGTTCTCTTTGATAGCACCGGAGCTGGCCTCTCGTTCAGATTATCCCATGTTTTAATAGTCTTGTTCTGCCAGTCCCATTGCATCGGCTTTTTCTCATCCGTATAGGTAGATCCAACCCCACGTATGCTATAGCAAAATAAGATGTACAATACGTGCGAAAGCATTCATCACGATGACCATTCCTGATACCCTCGTCCACCGTCACTGTCTGTCACTCCGTATACATGCAAGAACATCTACTGCTAAGATCCGACCAGCCCGAGTCGACACCATCAAATAACACCATCCGCCACCCCCAGCACGGCCTCTCTGAAGTACCCATGATATCTGAATCCACGCACGTACGCCTACCTCGCCACCCCCACCTTCTTCACCGGCACCCCTTCCGCGCCCCAGGCTCCGAAGTGTCCACCGCCTTCTGCCACCGGTCGATCAGCTTCGACACCCCTGGTACGGCCGCTCCGGCGACGGCGAGCGCACGGGCTCCCGCTCCCCCTCTCCGCGCCGACGCTCGACTGCAGCGTCGGCTTGCGGCCCCCGAACGGCGACGGCGGCGGCTGCTCCAGCGACTCGCGCGCCATCTGGAGGGGCGACCGTCTGCCCGGCAGGCCGTTCACGACGCCATTGGCTTCGGACGAGCGGGGACAGGCGACATACGGCTCGGGAGGCCAGACAGCCCCGGCGACCGCCTTCCGTTCTCCCTCTCTGCCCTGCCCTGCCCTGCGTCATCCGGCACCGCGAGATTTGTCTTGGATAGGACGGGCGAGGTCGTTGGGGAGAGCTTCGGGAAGCGCGTGGCCGCCGCAGACGGGCTCGCAAGCGAGTCGGCCCCGGCCCCGGCTCCAGCGGAGGATCTGCTCCTAACGTTGAGCGGTGCAGATTTCGTAGGTGACGTAGGGGCCGGCGTAGGCGTGGTCGTGGGCTTGGCGGAGGTGATCGCCTCGTAGTGTTGCACCATGTCTGAGATGGAGGACCGCCGGCCAGCGCGCGGGCGTGGATCGGGCGGCGGCGCGAGCGCGAGCGTGGTGGGCGCTGGGGAGGGCGCGGGCGCAGATTGTTGGAGGGAGTATGCGGACTTGGAGGGCGAGGTGATGAACATCGACTGGGGGCGGGAGCGCCCGGACATCGGCGGGGGCATCGAGGACGCGGAGGCCATCGGCGTCGCCTGCATTCGTGGCCGGATGGCGGCGCGGCGGAGGGTTGCCTCTTGTGTGGACTTGGAGGGGGGCCCATGTTCGATGATCTGCCTGGAAGGGAGGTGTCGACGAGGGGGTGAGGGGACTCTGAGCGCGTCGGTTTGCTGGTGAGCGGCGGGGGGCGTGCAATGGGCGCGGGCATGATGACCGAGCGGCGCTTTGAGGTGTCAACTATCCTCGAGCTCGCTGTGCTCCTGGTAGGCTCCTTCTCCTTCTTCTCTGCGAGGCTACCTCCCCAGAGATCGACCAGGTCATGCACTGACTCTGTCTGCCTTTGCTCCTCGCCTGCCTTCTTCTGTCCTCCGTAGTCCGCTCGTCGTCGCCCTTCGTTCTTGCCTTGACCTTGCGCGCCGCCCCGAACCCTGAAACATCCTCCGGTCCCTCTTCACTAGAGCCGCTAGATGAGCTCTTTGCCGTGAGAGGCACAGGCTCAGCCGTCGATGCGATAGGGCTCCAGTTCTCCGTGAGGCCGTTCGGTGAGGGCGTCGTACCCGTCCTCGACGGGATCCGCGTGTCGACCGGCGGGATCTGCAGCACACGAGTATTCGCGCTCCCCGCCCCACTGGCGCTAGCACTACTCGTCGTACGCGCTGCAAAAGCCTTCGGCGCACCGGCGAACGTTGCCTCTCCTCGCGCGACTTCTCCCTCTCCCTCTCTGGCTCCTTCCTGTCCCAGTTTGGCCGGGCGTTGGACGTCGGCTTCCGCGCAGCAGTGGACTTCTGTGGGTCCCCGCCCCGTTCAGGCTTCTCATAGCTCGCTAGCACCTCCTCTGCCTCCAGCGGCTTCACCAGTTGGATCGGGCTGCGCTCGATGAAGCTCGCGCGCTTGCTCGGGCTCTCGCGCATGACAGGTTGCGGCTCAGGTCTGGGCGGAGCCTCGTCCTCGTCTGCCCCGGTCAGCCAGTCCCTCGGCCCAGCGCGCGGGCTCGGCTCGGGGGGCGGACGTGGCGGTAGCACAGGCATCGTTTCGCGTACGGGCGACACGAGGTTGGCCGAGTTGTTGCGCGAGGGCGTCTTCGAGCCTGTGGTGCGATGGCGGCGGGCGGCGGAGGGCCTGCTCCGGAGGACGGCGACGACGTCCTGCGGCTTCTCCTTGTCCTCATCCTGCTTCTGCTTCTGCGGAGAACGCGGTCTCTCCCGCTCCCTGCTCCTCGGTGGCTCCGCCGAGACCTGCGGAGGGCGGAGAGTGTGCGAGGGTGCTTGTGCGACGCTGAAGCGCGACTCGCGCATTGCGGTGCCAGTGACGTTCTGCGAGCGCGCACCGAGACCTTCGTACATGGTCCTCTTCACACCGGTGAACGTGGACACATTCGGTGCAGAGCTGCCTGCACCGGTCGCTCCATTTGTAGCAGTTGACCGGGCGTTGGCCATGTATGCCGTCCGAGATGGAGGCCGTGAGCCGGTGGCAAGCTTCTCCGTCGACGGTGGCTGAGTCGGTGCGTGCGCCATCGCAAACCTCTCTGCAGCTGTACCAGGCGATGGTGATCCGAACTCGCGATCGAGCTCCTCCAGCGACGGGAACCGCTCCTCCGCCGTCAGCGTCTCTCCCTTCGACGGACTCGGGCGCCATGAGGGTGTCGCTTGGGTCGCCGGGACTTGCGGCATGGGACGTGGCGAGGAAGACGGCATGGGCGAATGAGAGCTCGGTGGCCGGAAGGACGTGTTGTTCGTTCCGAGCCCGGGGGCCTGTGAGCTATGTGCGTTGAAGTACGACGCCGCCGCACCGCCTGATGTCATTCCTATGCTTGCAAGGCCAGTGCGGCTCATGCGAGCCTCCCCAAGAGTCGGTGGCGGAGCCTGCGCCGAGAGCCCGAGCCCAAGGCCGTCGAACGCGTCCTTGGCCTTACGCATAGAAGCGTGGCGGTTCAGCCCAGTAGGCATCGATGGCGGGCGCGGTGACGGCGACGGCTGAGGCTGGGGCTGGGGCGACGGCAGCGGCGACCTCGCAGGCTGAAACGAGTCACCAAACGACTTTCCAAAGCTGAAGTCGTCTCCGAAGCCTTTCTCAAACGACGGCCGCGACTCCTTCTGCGGCTCTTTCCGCCCCATACCCCACGCGTCCGCATTGTCCCGCTGCGCATAATTCGACCCGGCATTCACAGCTGCGAGACCGGACTTGTGGCCCTTGACCCCACGCCATACCCGGTCGTCGTCCGCGCCGAACTTCATGTCCATCTCGAACGCGCGCTCCTTCGTCGGGCTCGAGGGAGCTGCGCCGGGGGGACGTCCACGCCGCATCGGCGCGATCGCTTCGAGCACCTTCTCCCGCGCCTCGATGCCAGCGTTCCTCGCCGGCGACGCAGAAAAGGCCTGCTGAGACTTGCGGGACACAAAATCATCGAGTGGGTTCAATGGTGGAGACGCGACATTGGGCGACAGTGTCTGGAGCGGAGACGCGGAGGCACGAGTGGGAGATAATGGCGGCGCCTTTGGCGGGATGTTGTACGTGAAGCGCGACTTTGTGCCGCGCAACCTGTGCACGTGGTCAAGCAGCTCGAACACTGACGGACGCTGTGCGCCGTGTTCACGTAGCATCGATGCTGCGAGTTAGGTTTCCATCAGTATGCTTGCTTGCCAACAAACGCGAGACCCACCGATCAACGTGTTCATTTGTTGTGAGTAGACGGGATAGGGTGGAATCTTGTACTGCACGTTCAGGATCGCCAGCGGGCCGTGCTCCTCGAACGGCGTGGTGTAGTAGCATAGCTTGTAGAGAAGCACGCCGAGCGCCCATACATCGCTCTTCTCATCGACGGGCCGCCGAAGGTACACATCTACCATCTCGGGTGCACGGTACTGCAGCGTCGTGTGCCGGTTCAGATCCGCCTCCAGCATCCGAATCTCCTGCACGTTGCTCGGCACCTTCTGCACAGACGTAGCGCTCCCGAAGTCGCATAGCTTGTATGATGTCGATGACGCCTGCAGGATGTTCTCTACCTTGAGGTCCCGGTGCAGCAATGGCGGCTTCAGTGAATGCATTGCCGCGAGACCCTCACAGACATCGCAGAAGATGGTCAGGATTTCTGGCTCCGTGAGTCGTTCGCGCAATCGGCGGTTCATCATGTCGATGATACCTCCGCCAGCGCAGAATTCCATGAGGATGAAGACCTCATAGGTCCCGTTCGGGAGGCGGTGCCACGCGGCGTCGATTAGGTATACTATGTTTGCATGCCCTTTCAGGATTCTCTGCATGAGCGAGGTCGTTAGCCACTTTCACGAGTACGGTGAGCAACGGATGAGACGCCCTGGCGCGCGGAGGGACAGTGCAGGGAAGGGCTTGGTCCCAGGCAGCAATTTCTGGAGAAGCGTAGAAACGTGATGCGGCTTTCTCGCAACATGGTTTCCATAATCCATTCCGCGTCCGAGTACACTTCAATTCCCAAGCTAGTACAAGGGGTAGTGCAACACCTGGTTTTATCACGTCCAAGGTGATTGGACTCGGTGATTTTGGTGAAAAGAAAAGCGAGAGCACGGATATAGTCATGGGCCGCATCTTTGTCGCTAATACCTGGACATGATGCCCACGGTCGCCCGAGGGCAAATAACAATCCGGACGTGGGATGCACAAGAGTGCTGGCGTCGCGTGCAAACATAAGCGGTCACACAGTACGTCCTGAGCTAACCAACGAGGCAATATCCGTCGGCGGAGCCCTGAGAAACATTCCCCATGTACTGGACAATGTGGTGCTCAACATCAAGATCTGGATGTGGAGGACCTCAGATCAGGACTGGCGGGTTGCCCTGGGCATGGTCGTGGCTCTCTCGTTCCAGCTGAGGATCGAGCACCCTGGGTGCTTTATTCCACCGGGGTGCATACCACAAGCTACGAGAGTAGATCCAGGGAAACATGTGGTGGATGACCACAGGCCGCATCCCATCGGTGGACGTGGTCGTCCGGACGATCTGTCCTGGGGATATGGGCCACCTCACCATACCCGGATACGCATTGTGCAGGGTTGTCCATCGATGCTCGTTTACTGGGACACAGCAACTTCAGATACGCACCATGATGTCGACCTCCTTCTTAACCTCCGTGAGCATGCCCTCATTCGGCACCGCGATCCGCTTCAAGACATGGTGCGTCGTGTTCATCACGGGCGTCGCTGTGCGCACCAGATAGACGTGCGCGAAGCCGCCTGCGGAGGATGGTCATCCAGGCCTCGTTGCGCCGACGCCTACACAACGCACCTTGGCTCAGGTAGCGCTCGACCTGGACGGTGTATTTGTTGACGGCGATCGTCTGGCCAGCGACGAGCGTGCCTTTGTTTGGCTGCATGTAGGCCTGAGCCATGGCGGCCATGGTGATGGTTGCGGGAGATGTGAGTGCGCTGTGCAGCAAGCCGCTGCCGCTGTTGGTGTGCTCAACGTTGCTAGTTGGCAGACTTGCCTAATTCGGCAGGTTGCATGAATGCCCACGTGAAGGTCAGGTGACCATGACGCTGCCTTAATCGAGCGATCGTTCCAGTCGGCCCCCGCTCGCTGTGCAGCTCCCATACCTTCGTTCGGCCCTTTTCCCTCGATCCATATAAAAAGAGAGCGTGGTTGTTGTTGTGTCATCTCTTCTTCACTCTTCACTCTCACGAACGTCGACTATGGCTCACTTGCACACCCCTGCTCAACACGCGGTACCCTTCTCGCGACCGGCGACGCCAGGCCATGTTGCGCACCGGCTCGGCTTCTACGGACTGGGGGCTATGGGCTATTTTATGGCGCGCAACCTCGCAAAGACCCGCTCAGCGCACGCTACCACAAGCCCGCTCCTGGTTTACAACCGATCGGTAGCCAAGTGCGAGCAGCTGCAGAAGGAGCTCGGCGCGGACAAGGTCCAGATCGCAAAGTCGCCCGAGGAGCTTGTCCAGGAGTGCGATATCGTCTTTACCAGTCTTGCGAGCGACGCGGTTGTGAAGAGCGTGTACGAGCAGTTCGCGGCAGCACTGAAGGTGCGTGCGATCTTCCCACTACCAAGTCCGTCCCGCCCCGCCCCAAAGACGCGTGTGCAGTTCTGCTAGTACCGAGTTGCGGCAGGGACTCCGATGCTCAGCTCTCACCACTGATGTGCCATCGCAGTGGTGATGAGATCACTCAGATTTTCTTACCCGAACCTCTCCGCTGCGGCGTGCTGTCTGTACTGTGCAGCTTGCAGATGCAACCTCAGTATGAGTGAGCAAGCTTAGCTGCTCACTGATGTGCAGTGCTGTCGCTCAGGCCTGGAATGGGTGTGACTGAGCGCCTGAGGCAGGGCTGACAACTCTGTTATTGTGGAAAGCCGCGGTACGATTTGGGTTTTGTTTGGGTTTGTGCCATTTTGGATTACATCATGCTGTCGAAGTTAGCCCAAGCCCGCTTCGATGTTCTGTGGCTCACGGCCAACTATATGAACTAATTGACACGCGTCCACTCGAACTTTACTCATCGATGTCGCGCATGACTAGGCAAAGCCGCCCACAATGAACAAGATTCTCGTAGAGATGAGCACTATCTATCCTTCCCTAGCTGGTATGTACATCTCCCGAGAGATGAGCGTCTGCGTACTCACCACGCAACAGGCGAGCTGGATACTCTCTTGAGTGAGATTCCCCATACTCACCTAGTCACCGGGCCCGTCTTCGGTCCCCCGGCCGCCGCTGATGCTGGCACTCTCATTTGCATCCTTGCCGGGGAATACCGGGCGAAGAAGGAGGTTGCGCATATTCTGGTCCCGGGAGTGGGCAAGAAGGCGATGGACTTGGGCGGCAACCTCGAGAAAGGTGTGTTATCACAACCGCAACCTTAGTGTCAGTGTGAGAACTCCGTTGTGCGCCTAGCCCCGATTTTCAAGCTCATTGGCAACTCGATGATCCTTGGGTCGCTCGAGATCCTCGCTGAAGCGTTGACACTTTCGGAAAAGACGGGCGTCGGCTCCGCGACGACGTACGAGCTAATTAAGGATCTATTCCCGGCGCCACCGTACGTTCTGTCTTGTGGTTTGCGTGTCGTTATTGACTAGTTCCACAGCTTCATCAACTACGGCAATAAGATGGTGACCGATTCGTTTGATGGACTGAAGGGTTTTGCAATCGACGGTGGCCTGAAGGATGCGAACCACGTGCGCAGACTTGTGACGGAGTATAACTCGCCGATGCCTGTTGTCGTAAGTCCTGACCTCGAGACATGAGGCGTCTACTCGGCCTCACATGTCGCGCTGTAGGATGCGGCCCACGGACACCTCCTTTCGGCCCGGGCCATTCATCAGGAGCAGACGAAGCGTGGGGAACAAGCGTTTGACGTCCTGGACTGGAGTGGACTGGTCGCTGGAGCTAGGGTTGCGGCAGGCATGGACGCTTTTAGCAGCGCTCAGGTACGTTCTATCTAGAATGCACCGATGCGAGCCTCACAATCGATCGTATACAGCCCGCGAAAGTTGTCAAGGACTAATAGAAGACGTCAACTATCTGACGTTGTTGTACCATAGTTGTCGACCTGTATGTGTGGAACGTTCTGGAGAGATGTATTTCTACTCCTGCCATAGCGCTGTTGTACCTGTCTCTGATTGTACCAATATGGTGTTGTATACATGATGGAATATTGTCTCTCAGTCGGCGTTGTACGAGGAGCGTAATTAACGATCAGTATAGCCGCGAAGACTCGTGAACATCGAGACGCGACGTGGACGGCGAACACTACACCTTCCAAATGCGTGCGAAAGTGTCGTTGGCGGGCGCTCCGCCACCGACCACTGTGTACAGTGGCACATCGCGACTTGGCCGCCGACGACCAATGCTTGCCCGACCCCTGCGGCTGTCCTGCCCACCCCCTGCCCTTCGCCATGCGCGTACATATGTCGTAAACCTAGATCCACCGCGGGTCTATCCAAACAAGCCCGGGCCGCGCAAGTACGGCGCGCGCAAAAACCACCTCTTCAACAAGTACACCCACTTGATCGAGTCCAGCTCACAAAAACCCGTCCTCCTTTTCCTGCACTCAGGATTCACGGTGCCACGTCTCCTTCAGCTGCGACTCGACATCGCCAAAGCTGCGGCACGTCATGCCAGCACACCGTCGTTAGCTGGGCCGTCGCCGACACCAGCACCCGAGCCACCAGCCTTCACGGTCATCCGGTCGTCCATCTTCGGCGTCGTGTTGCGGGACTTCGCAACTCTGGACAGACAGTCGGTTGTCGACGTCGCGAGCAACATAGAGGGCGGTCTCGCGGCGCTCAGCTTCCCGAACCTCAACCCACCGCAACTGAACGCCATCCTCAAGACGCTCGAAAAAGCGCTACCACCGCCTCCCAAGAAAACCGAGGCCGACCTCGAGCGGGAACGTAATGCGGCGGCGGCGGCGTTCGTGCCAGGCCGGCGACCCAAACGCCAGCGCCCAACGCCTGTCCCGCAGCTCAAGCTCGTGGGCGCGCTCATCGAGGGCCGGCTCTTCCAGGCGCCAGGCGTATTGGAGGTGGCGAAGCTGCCGACATTGGATACGCTGCGCGCGCAGTTGGTGGGAATGCTGAGCGCTCCGGCGATGCAGCTGGCGATGGTCCTGGGCGAGGCGAGTGGCGCAAAGTTGCACCGGACGCTGGAGGGGCTGAGGAGGGGGCTGGAGGAGCGCGACGGCGGGGCGAAGGAGGAGGAGGCTTCAGCAGGGTCCTCGCCATAGTCTGTGTGTCGTTGCGAGCTGCATGTTTGCCTATCGTATAATGCTAATTGCTCAGTGCCGGGAGGCAAACAGCTTTCGTAATGTCTCCGATGTCTCCGTGGAACCCGGCGGTGACTGTTAATACGGCATTTGTTCTCGAGGTATGCTAATGGTGTCAAGCACAGACAGCCACTGGCTGCGCTCATGTGTAAACCCGACCTTGGTCCGGAACCGCTCACCGAGTCATACCCAGGCTACCGTTTGGCAGCCGAACACACTCATTTTTGCTGGCCCGTCAGAGCAGGGGGGCTGACCGTGCCTGCTGCTGTGCTTTGTGTACGCCTCTCAGGGGATCTCACCGCTGTTTGAAGGTATGTCTTCGCCCTTCCATTCTCACCCTCTGACGAACGGTTCTCCCTTTATGTTGACCAGAGCCACTGTTGCTCGGAGTTTGAAGCTTACATCCCGCAGCGTCTAGCCTCGTGAATGAACACTGCCTTTCGCTGTCATATCCCATATCTCGGCGACGGCTTACAGGCCAAGACATATAAGTGCACAGAGCTGTTCATGAGGCAATGCTCAACTCCGACTCAGGCTCAGTGTCCGCCGTGTCCGCCGGTGTTGACTCGACATACCGAGCGGACTCGGAACATCGGTTTCATCGCAGCTCGGTCGACGGACTGATTATACATATATACGCCCACTCGTTCTAGAAACGTTACATGAGGCGTTAGGCTCCTATTTACGCTGGAGAAGACGGATCTCAAGGCTTCGAGGATATTTGGGTTCCACGGTGAGCTGCTCTCTCTGTTGACACGGGCCGCTCATGCGCGATACAGCAAACGAAATTACCCCTTCATAAGACGTGAGTAGAGGCATGACCGCTGGTGGTACGTCCATCTTCATGCGACGTCGGCCTCCCTGCATATGGTATACATCACAGTCCGCGCGTATCCGCACGAGCGGTCATTCGTGCGGCCTGACACTCCTCGTGCCATATTATCAGTATCATGAGTTCCGTCTTGGAACATCAGCCTGACATACAATCACATCTTACAGATTCTTATCTGCGTGGTTAAAGCACGAAAGAGCCCCCACCCCTCTCCGGCCCACCCACCAGTCGGATCGACCATGGAAACAGGTATGTAGCAGCTCACGCTTCTGTCAGGCAGAGTTCGTTCAGAGCGGAAATGTCCAGACGGCAATCGACTGCGGCTGAATAACCTCCTGCAAAGCCGGAAGACCATGCAACTCACCTGGCAGACTACCCAGACTGGGCCGGCTCATCAGCCTTTATGGCAGGCTATCGCGTGCAGTGAGTCGGAGTGGCGTTCGGAAGAGTGCTGCGGACGTAATGCTGATGGACCACACAAGTCAACGGCGCGAAATTCGGGAAGGGAACAGGCCAGACGCAAGGACAGGCGAAGGAAGTGGCCGCAAGAGAAGCCTATAATAAGATTGTGAGCCAATCTGGGTAGCTCCAAGCGGGTCCGTAAGTGAGGTCGTGGTTTCCTATGATTGCCCCCTTTGACACTTGGCCCGTTCTCTCATCAAGGAGTAATAGGGTGTCGTAAAGTAGGCTACCTACGAGAGTCGTTGCATCTTGGTCATGCTACTCTGCTAACAGCTCCAGCTGTGCGATGCTCCTGTGGCATTAGCCGGGTGCACCGTCACTCATAAGAATAAAGGAAAGAATCATGTAGTTCACCGGTGTAAGGGCAGGTTGGATATGGAAGCAGCCGCTTCAAAGATGGTATCATGACCCTGATTCAATACCACTGCTAGAAATAGTGACAGGCCCTGGGTCTGATACACGGCCGTCATTTATGTAACAGTGACCAGACAAATCTGCTCCTTCAGCAACCTTCTGTCGATGATCAGGTTTGCCAGGTTGGACTTGCTGATACACGAAGCTTCACAAAGTGACCATCTGCATCAGCGCCGGAGGTGAGCTTGGGGCGAACACTCTCAGCTGGGTACTGCGTAGTATCAACACAGCTCCCGTCGGTGATCATGAGGTGAGCAACATTTTTGGGTGGCACTGCACACCTCGACTGATCATGCCCATTTGCTGCAAGGGTGAATTAAATAGCGTCTGGACTCCCGTACAGCTACCCCTTCCTTATTGGGATGCGAGTGCAACGTCGGACTAGCCGAGCGATCAGGACGATTGCCTCTCGACGTTCACTTGGATACCTACTGGCTCTGCGGGTGGTTGATATCGATACAGGCGAACCTCTGAAGCCCAGATATAGTTATTCCGTCCCGTCATGGCGACTTGCGGAAGTTTCTCACTGCACGGCCCCGACTTGCGTTTCAACAAGATCGGATGCTACTGGCTCGTTGGGCAACAACGCAGCATCGTGACACTTGGGGAGAGCTGCTAGCGTTGTCTTCGAAGGTCGTTACCCACAAGAAGACGTCCTCACAACGATGTGTACCGCTGCTACGTTACTGTAAGTTGGTTCGGCGACTATCTGACTTGAGCTTACTCGGGGCAGCTTCCGAGGCGCCTCGTCCAATTCGATTTGCAAACCTTGTTTCACGAGGACCTCGTGGGAGGCCCTTCATGTCCGCTCGGCCTATCTAATGCCAGAAGCTCTCTTCTCTTTCCTGCCTTCGCCAGTCTGCTATATGGTCGCCAGTCTGAGCGTGGCGCCCAGCGCAACCACACTCTAAACCGCCATGGGGATCAACACCGACAGCGTGCGGCAGAGACTCGAGTCAACGATGTTCGTGAAGCTGAACTCGTCCGGCCATCCGTATGAGGAGCACTATGTCGCCCATATCAAAATATGGGAGGCAGCGCAGGATGGCAGAGGCAAGAAATCAAGATACGTCGTTTTGTCTCGTACGTCCTGATTGCTATCCCTGTCAAACCTTCACTGATCAGGATCACAGAGGCGAGCGATGGATCTGGCTTTATTCACAAGGCGAAATTCAACTGTAACGGTGCGTTCTCCGTCGGAAAGACGTGGAGGATGGAGGAACTGCGTGAAGTTGAAGTAGTGAACGTAAGTCCGCCCACCTCCCTTCCGTCCGAGCGTCTCAACAATCCATGGATGAAACAGTCGTTGGTGTTTGAGATCACACCTAGCGCCACAACATACCGTTGGCAAGCGGACAATGCCCGAGACCAGACGAAATTCATCACCTCCCTCATCAGACTGTTTCAATTCGTTACAGGAGGCACAGTACCATTGCGGCTGATCGGGGTGAAGGATCCGGATGACCCTGCGTTGTGTATGTAGCATCGTTTGCCATTGAGTTCGTCGAACACAGCCATATTAATGGCGCGTGGTGAAGCTCCCAAAGCTCCGCCCTCTAGTTACAGATCGCGGCAGGGAATCCCAGGGCAGAACAAAATCGTGCCCGCACAAGGCGGAAACAATGCCCAGCATTACCCCACACTCGCCCTTCCCTCGAAACCACCGGTGGTGATATGGAAGCGACCGGTCGCTATGTCGCCGTTGCCGCCCATACCTGCGTCCCCGGTACCGCCTGTGGGCATGCGGCACTGAACATACCACTCGGGGAAGTCGGACTTCCTTCTTTACACACAGGTCGGCGTTCGGCATGTGCTTTACCGTAGTTTATTTTCTATTATTCCGGACGGACGACGGAGATGAAGTAATCTGTACCACCTTGTATGATCAATGCACTTATACTAAAAGAGGTCACTGCGTTAAGATAGCCCACCTCGGAGAGTCGCGCCGGATTCAGACCATGGTACAGCCAAAGATAGTCGCTATTGAGGAGGGAGATGATACAAAGAGAACATTGCGCACAAGAGAGGACAAGAGTGGAATGAGGCTATCGCCGTTTGGATTCCCTACGATCGTCCAGTCCAGGGGAACTTCTCCGCTTCCTGCACACGAATATCCATAAGCACCGAGCAGAAGTTCGCCGCAAATCCTATCTGCACGCACCTGCTGCTGCTTCTCTCATCATCTGGGGTTCCCCGGCTCCTCTCCCCTCTATCTTCCCTACTGCTGCCGCCCCCGCCGCCGCCATAATCCAGGCCGTCCACGGCTGGGCGCTCCCGTCGATGTCCCTGTACTTCGTCTTGTTGCGTGGACCGGTGGGGACATTCGGAGGTAACGGCGATGCAGGCCGTGCAGGAACTGTTCGTGATGAAGCACAGTGAGATATGGCAGGAGGGTACGAAGGGTGAAACGCACCGCGGCCGCGAGGTGCGTAGGCTGCTCGTCCGCGTGCGGACATCGTAGGCGGCATTCCACGCCCGCGGAATTGACCTGGCATGGGGCCGCCACCGCGTGTGGGGGTTGGAGTGCTGGTGGGAGCGGGGGTGTGGGTGCCTTCCGCCCCACCGAACATCTGCTGGCCGGGTTGTTGACCCATTTGCTGGCCCATGCTGCTCGGGTCCTGCTAGATAGAAGAGGACCGACATACCAGGACGAAGTGAAGACCAAGGAACGCAAGCGAGCCTCGTCGTCAGAAACCCGTCGCGCGGTCGTAATGCATTGAGCGCACCTGCATGCTGAAGTCACCGCCGCCCATACCCATCATGCCTTGACCTTGACCTTGGCCAGGACCACTGGCACCAGGTCCGAAGCCTTCGCCCATCCCCATCCCGCCCTCTGGGTTCGGTTGCCCGCCAGATCCAGACTGCGCTCCAGGACCTGTGCCGCCGCCCATCCCACCAGCACCCGCGCCCTCTCCCTGCATCATGCCCATCTGCATGCCAGGTCCACCGCCACCACCACCCATGCCCATCTGCATACCAGGCCCGCCACCCATACCCATGCCCATCTCTCCCATGCCCATGCCCATGTCCTGCATCATGGGATTCATCATGGGCATGTTCATCATCTGGCCCATCATGGGGTTCCCGTTCATGTTCATACCTCCGGAAGGCATCATACCACCGGGGCCGCCGCCTCCCCGCCATTCATCATTGCGGTCGACCCTGCGATGACCATGGTGCGGATCTCGGGCGGAAGGTTGCTGAGTTGATCCTCGGGCATGCCGGCGAAGTTCTGTAACGCACAATCGGTACACGTATTGACGGGTAACCAGTGGATGACCTACCAGGACATTATTCTTGAGCACGCTCGCAACCTCTCCCAGCTCCCGCCTTCTGAAGCAATAAGCCTCCCACGAGATTTCATCGAAGCCATAGTTGAACCAGTCGCTGAGATCAGAACCCGGCCTTCGCCATGGTTTGTCTGCAAGCGCGGCAAGGTCAACCTCCAGTATGGATCGTCCGTCAAGTGTACCCGGGATAGCGGGGTTGATGGAAGGGTGCGAGGGAGGTGCTGTAGCAACGGGGAGTGTCGAGGGGTCCGGGCCAGAGCCGTCAGCTTGTTGCTGTCCATCTGCGGTGTTTTGGGAACCGGCGGGGCCAGCCTGGCCTTGACTCGGTCGTGGTGACTGCGCAGATGATGGTTGAGGAGTGGGGAGTTTGGTTAGGGACCCTCGTTCCCGTGGAGTGTACTCCGTTGTGAGTGACGGCGGTGGCGCATCTGTGACTGGCATTAGTGGGTTGGGGCAAGAGGCTTTGGTCAGTGTACGTACGTCGGACAGGTGTACTTGTACTTGCTGTTCTATTTGGTGGTGGCCTTCCATTTTGCTGCCTTCATGAGTGGACAATGGAGTCCGTTTGAACATACGCTATTTCAGTCTCATGATCGACTCACCTGAGATCCAGAGACCGTGAAGGTTGGTCCATAATGATCTCAATGTCCTGGGGAACATCATAAGAACGGTAAAGCCACGAGTAGAGGATGTAACGCACGTCATCGCTCTCTTCCTCTTCCTCCTCCTCTTCTCCACCTCCGCCAGTCTCGGGCTCCTCTTCCTCCTTAGGTTCCGGAGCCTCAGGCGTACCATCTGCATTTTCTGACCCCGCAGCTTCAGCTTCAAGGGTGGCCACTAGGCCTTGCGAAACGGACTGTGTCTGCTCAAGAGATATTCTGGCGCGTACGTGGTTAAGGTCGTTCCACTCTCAGGCAATCATAGACTCACGGCTGTGGCTCTGCGCGCGTTACGCGTTGTTGCAAAAGACATTCGATTGCAACGGAAAGATATACAAGATGTGTTACTCGGCCATATTCGTCCAATGATACCGCAACCCTTACCAGATGTTTCCACGGGCGGTTGTGCTGTTTCCGCGACTTCCTTGGACTCGCCGTAAAGAAAGGCGTCGTCGTCTGAATCCATGTTGAAAGTGAACTATCTTCGAGAGATCCGAGCAGCTCTTTCCTATACGCGCGTAGTTGACAGAAATATGAGTCTTAGGTCGGATGCTTGCCGCCTCACTTGAGTTGCCTTCGCGCTGGCGCAGATGCGACGACTGCAGCGTCGACGTCGGCAAGCGCCCGACGTACACCCGCAACTGAACTCGGGCGCCAAACACGGACACGGAAGGGTGCGGTCACGTGGCGATGTCTGCTCAAAATTCCCCGATCGCGAGTGTCGCACCTCGATCGCCCGGAGTCCTCGCGGAGTGTGCGAGGCGACCTGCTCTCTACATACTGAGTGCTGCTCTGCCTACGACCGCGACAGCACCGTCCGTACAGAACGTACCAAATCCGCCGGACGAATCTAGTGCAACCAAACTCTGCCGCGGTTACATCTACACCCATACGGCTCCGCTACTGGACATCGCACAGAGACATGGGGAAATCTCAGAAAAAGCGTCAGATGAGGCGGCATAATCCCGTGCGCGTACCTGACTCGCATCTACCAAAGGGGTTGGAGGCGGCATCGTCGTCTTCGTCCAGGAAAGAGGCTATTCTTCCAATCTTGCAGAAGGTCAGTCACTTCGCGGTTTCTCTTGGGATAGAACTCACGAATTTATAGATGGAAAGCGTAGATCCTGCAGAACGCAAATGGGCATGCGTTGCAGTGTCTAACCTCATACAAAACGATCCGTCTACTCGACGACTGCTCCAAGGAAAGAACGCCGTAGGGGCGCTGATCAACCGACTTTCAGACAGTGAAGAGGAAGTGGTGGTGGAAGCTGCTGGGTCATTACGGTACGCATCCTCCCCACCTAACAAGATATCCATATCAATGTCTGTTGATGTCGCAATGCAGGAACCTATGCATCGACGGCGGGTTTGACATATGTGCGGAAATGTACAACAAGAACATTCTTACACCCCTCAAATCCTTCATCCCTAAGGTCATATCAGTTCTCCTTCTGACTAGTCTTATTCTTATCTCAAGTTAGATCTCAACGACACTATCTGAATACCTGGAGAACCCTAAGACTGCGCCGGAGAATGCGCAGAAGCTCGTGTACGAATTCGCGGACAACGTCATCACCATTTTATGGTGTCTGTCGTAAGTTGACATTTATAGGAATCTGCGTACGGCAACTAAGAAAGATTAGAGAGACTTCGAACAAGGCCATGAACGCTATCAACCAAATATCCTTGGTTCCGTTCCTCATGTCGTTCTTGGCGTCAAGGGAAAGGCTACCCATCTCAACTGTCACATCCGCAGGTTAGTGGCTGTGCTATTTGTCTGACGAACTACGTCTCACCTCAGTTCGCAAGCTCAATGCCTGTATGTCCTCACTGACGAAAACCCACCGGCCATCGAAGAGGTCCGGTCAAATGCCCCTTACTCTGCCTGTGTTCTCTCCATAGTCCAGTCCAGAGAGGGACTTCCTCAAGCAAATGGAAAGAACAAGGAGGTTGCCGATAACCGAGGTCTCGCGCTCCAAGTCTTGTGCTGTGGTAAGCACTGAGCGCTGCTGGTGATCGTATATGGTCTGAACATTTTGATAGGAATTCTGAGGAATGTTTCCCCGATCCCGCCTCCTTCGGTTGCCGCAACAGTGGATGTTGACCGTGACATTGTTATGCCAACCCTGGAACCCGTCTTATCCTTAATCTCACTGGTCGAGGCGTCACAGCACGCGCAGGAGCATATTGCTAAAGAAGTCCGTTTTTACTACCAGCTTGCTAACCCGTTGACGTCCTGGTCTGACACGCGTGTTACATCTAGGACGCTATCCCCGCACTGGAGAAACTATCGCTAAAACACACACCCAAGTCTGACCACAAGACGCCCTCGGGACTCGAGCTCGAGCGTTTAGAACATAAACTGCGTACGGTGCAGCTGGCGCTCGAGATCCTCACAGGTGTCTGTGCGACGCTGCCAGAGCCTGACTTTGACGTACAAGATGCGGATGGTGAAGCAACCGACGCAGACGGCGACGAGGCGCACGAAGGTCAGTCGTCTATCGATCCTTCTAGGCACTGAAGGCATCGATTTGCCGGCGTTTCACCGCTCGTCGTTCCCTGCTAACCTATTGTGTCTGCCTGTAGATGAAGACATGGACGACGAGCCCGAAGTCGACATGGCGCCCGACAACGAAGCAGCTGTGAAACAACAGAGCGGCTCTAATGCGACAATCTTCCAAACGCTAGTTGCCCCCCTCCTCACACTAATTCAGCCGACACCACTCTCTTTCCCCCCACTCAACGGCCCTTCACCCCATCCGCCGACAACGTCAGCGCTCAGTGCGATCCATGTCAGCGCCCTTGAGTGTCTCAACAACATATTCTTGTCCTTCCGCGGTGCCAAGATCGATGCACCACGTGCCGATCCAGATAGTGGGCGGAGGATCTGGGACTCGGTGTGGCAAGCACTCGGTGCGGTAGGGACCGACATCGACAACCCCGGCCAGGAGCGGCGGCGTGCGACGTGGGAAATCGGCGTCGGCGTGCTCTGGGGCGTGGCAGAAGTTTGGAAAGGCTGCTTGTGCCAGACGAGGCGCACGTCAAGGTGCTGATGCAGCTGTGTGACGCTGCGACCGACGAGGGCGTCAAGGTGAAGTGCATTGGCACACTAGAGTGTCTCGCGCAACATCCAGGGTCTGTCGACGCGAACAGGGTGTGTACCTATTTCTCGCAGCGTGTGCCGTTAGTTAATTTGATATGTTTCTGCGCGCCTCGCAGGTAATAGCGACGTACTTGCTCTCGCTACTCCCACCTTCGCCGTACGCCGACCCCGAGGGAGCCGTTACTCCAGGCTGTCTCGGCGCTCATCGACATCTACTCGGACGAGACGCTGCCGTATGACACAAACTTCAGGCAGGGGCGGTTCCTTGACGCGCTCGTCGGGAGTGTGGAGGGTGTGCGCAAGGCGGTACGCGGCATCGATAGGAAGAAGGAGCGGGAGCTTAGGGTACGGGGTGAGGAAGTCCGCGACAACCTCGTCGCCTTCATCGAATACCGCAGGAGTTTGGGCGTTTGATGCGTGTGCCAGAACCACCGTAACGCGTACTTACGGGGCAGTGTCGTGGTAGGGTCCCGCAGCCAGGTCGTTCCGTGCTAGTACAAATGGATTGAGTTATGTCTTTCCCGACAGTGGGCGGAGCTTTCTCAGCGTCATCTAGCCTACCACGCGAGTTGCGCAAGGAGTCATTCGGCCCCTCGTGAGATCTGTGTCATCTTCCCGTACGTATGTCTGCATGTACAAAGCCCGCCACGTCGTCCGCTAATTATACATGCTTGGTCATGTCCGACTCGAGAGCGACGGAATGTTCGGCCTTGCGAGCGCGTCAAGTCCGCACGGTCGCTGCTCAGTGGTCGGTCGTCTGACAACATGACAAATGCAGCACAGAAGTCACTGTCACTATTCTCCACTCGGGAACGAGAGTCGGACATTTAGTGGGGGAGATTTTGATGGAGCCTAGAAGCTGCATCTTGATGCCGGCTTTCCAGATCGGTGGGCCGTCCTGAGCGGCTGGGACTAGCTGAGACTCCAGTGCCGCGGGCCGTCCAGGAGGAACCAAGGGTTGGGCCGCACGAGGGAGCGGGAGAGATCCCTAGAGGTCGCCCGCACGATCGTTCGGCAAGGGTACGTAAAGAAGCAGTGGGCCGATGATGTCGGAAGTTCGTGTGCCTCCCAAAGGGCCTACCAATGGTCGGCTTGGTACTCTGCGGACGTAGAGCACGCGTGACGCTGACGAGGCCGGCCGAACGCAAGAGACGTGGCATTTAGGAGTAGCCAAGGGTGCACAGGCCTAGGTGAATGAGGACTGTGGCACAGGTCACAGCTGGGTTTGTATTAGTGGAGCCATACTAACCATATGAGTGTAGAGCGTTAAAGGACGAGATGTAAGACTGCATACCTCCGAGGACGTGACAGCGGGCGAGTCGGGATGGCAGACCGTGTACACAGCGGGATAGTGGATAATCCGCAAGACGCATACCTTCCTAACAGAGGTTGTAGCGCTGCGTAGTCGCCCAACTGGAGCAGAAGACTCGGGCGTATAGGGATCGTGGACGGTTGTACGGCAGGGGTTGTAGATAGGGGGATCCTGTCATAGCTAGTCGTAAGTAATGAGATTTGGCAGAGATCCCGCACCACAAACTTTATTCGTGCCTGTCTGTCACGCAGGGAGGTTCCTTAATAGTGGCAGATGTTAGGCAGATGGCAAGTTGCGACCAATAGATTGGCTGTCTAGGTTGAACATTCGTGCGGGCGAGTCGAAAGACGGGCGCTCCAACTTTGAACTCACGAATTGAATTGACTTTTAGAGCGGTAGATCGGGGCATGCGTAGCGAATGTGTGCGGGGTAACACGGTCGCGTATTCCTTGGCATTCTCATGTTCACTGGTCCCCGGCGTGTCTCGTGAAGTGGAGGTGTCCCACCGCACTGGGGCCCCGGTTTGCATATGAGATGCTGTTATCACTGGTACGTAGGTGAATACCATTTCATATGACACTTGTGTTACGCACCAAAGAATGGCTCAGAACTTAGTTGGCCAGCGACTCGTTATTGACCGCCACGAACACGGTCGTCGTCAGTCGACGCGTCGGTGGCGGAGGGCAAGACTCGGTCACGTGCGTAATGACGGACGCGGCACGCGTCGCGGTTCCCACGGTTCAAGCAGCCACTGTCCCGAGTCCGACTCTGTGCTACACCCACTCGCGATCCTCTGTAATAACGTTCATATCGACTGCACTGCAACACCGCTGAAAATGGTAGCGGAAGTCAGTATGCGGCACTTTCCTGATATCTCAGACACTTCGCTCGACCAAGACTTCTCCGAATCCTCCTTCCAAATCCCAATCGTTGGGGGCTCAAATGATCTCCTCATGGACGAGGACAGCATGGACTTCCTGCATAACGCAAACGAGACTCTCAGCACGCCGTTGGCCCCTCGCCATACTCAATCACGCACACGCGCGCCCTTGACTCTGCAAGACCTAACACCAAGATCGACCCGTACGCGGCCAACGCCAGTACGGTCGTCGCTCCGCCCTCGCCCTCGCCCAGCTATTGCGACACCTTTCCGAGCCGCCCTGGCGAAGAATATCTCCGACGCCCTTTGCGAGGATATATCCTCCGCCCCGAGGCAGGATCTATCCTTCCAGATACCTACAGCCGCCGCCCAGGGAACGATTCCCTCCTGGACACACACAATAACTTCAGCCTTTCTGATTGCGCCGACATTACGCTCAGCACCGACCAACAACAACTGTGTTCCGCTTCGCCGGGTCCGCTGACGCTCAGTCAGCTTAGTCCACAGCTCAATGAATCGTTATCCGAACACCCATCGCCTTCGAATTCTCAGCCACGCCAGAACACGCTGCAGCCGAGCTGCCCCAGACTCGTGCTGGGAGCGTATCCACATCCACGGATGAGGTTCAAGGGGCAGAAGCACTTACCATGCAAGGTGCGTGCAGGGTTTATTTCGCGCTAGAAGCCCATTGAGTGCCAATGAATGGATCGCTCAATACTTGGTCTGTTCATCAGCGATACCATCGGAGCCGAAAGTAGGAGAGCAGCATCCCATGCCACATGCAGAACCAGATCAAGCCGCTGCCAAAACGTCGGAGGAAAGTGCGAACTCAATGGCCTCCACGGCCAAGCAAGGCACTAAGAGTGAGAGTGACAGGGTCAAGCGACGGAAGCCGGTGAGTAGTGTACCCATGCTGTTCTGTTGTTCACAGGCGTTCTCATGCTTTTGTGCATCTCCGTTAAGACTGTGCTGCATGGCGGAATCACGAAGACGAAGGCGAAGGTGCCGAAGTCTACAATCGGCGTATCACGGGCGGTCAGCGCAAGGACTGTATCAGTAACGACGACGAAGGCACCGGCGATCACACGTGCGCGATCGCGTGTAAACCCATCGAATGCGCAGAGCAAGCAATTGGCTGCAGCAAACGCCATTAAGCCTGGCGACGCGCACAAGAGTAAAGTGCTTAGCAATGACGGCGGTAGCAGTGCAGTTGGGGGATTGGCTAGCACGCTGATGTCATACGGTCTCCGGCTTGCTGATAGCCATGATCTCGCGAGGTAAGTAGGCTAGTCTGCTTGTGGCGAAGACGATCCTCACAGATGAGCAGCTCAACTTCCCAACAAGCTACCGAGCCCGCACCGGGGACGAAATTGACTGTCACCCCCGCCGTCACCGCGTCAACATCAAAACCTACGGGCCCGACACGCCCGGTACAGATGCGGATGCGGATGCGGGAGTAGGTACGGATGCATCGGAGGGACAGGGCCAGGTCGAGCGGCCTGTATCCCGATCCGCGTCCCCGGAGGCATATCGCGATACCGATCGACGCACTGATTTGCCGCTCACGCTCTCCCAACTGTCGCCTACCAAAGATGCCCCGGCGCCTGCGCGTCCCCGCCAGGGTCGGGCACCCGCGCGGCCGCCCTCTCCTACACGTCCGCCGACGAAGCGCCCGCAATCAGCTACCTCCTCGGGGGCAGCTTCATCTTCGCAGAATAAGCGCAGCAAGACTGAACGCGATCCGGAGCAAGAGACGCGTGCGAGGGCCTGGAGCTCGTCATCGCAGAGGTCACAGGAAGGACGGGGAAGGGCTCCAGGCGCGCGGGGTGCCAGTCGAAGCCGGGCTCCTCCACCCTCGAACGTACACGTACGGCACCCGTCTGCAGATCAAGCTGCGAAGGCGAAGACCGGCGCGTGTGCGAGTCTAAACGCGAGGGAGAGGGCAGCGTCCGGACCTTCGACTTCTCGATCGTCAGCGAACGCCGAAGAGGACGGGAAGAGCGCCGTGCCCAGACAGCTGACGGACACGCGTAGTGGGGCGGACGCGATCGCGGGCGGGAGCAGATCAGGGGGCCCAACCACCTCACGCGACTCGCACAAGCAGAACCGAACCACGGATGGGAAAGCGCGGCCGCCAGCGTCGGCGGAGGGGGACACGCGCACGGGCCCACGCCGACCTTCGAGCGACCGGTGAGTCCCGCTGTTCATCGCATCGCATCTAGCATCTCTGCACGTCTGCAGCAGCAGGCCTCCGGTGCTTGCGCGCTCCAGGCCTGCAGAGCTGACAGACGTTTCCGCGCGATCGCATCTTGCGTGCGAACGACAAGGTCCGAATGAATGCTCATACACCGTTCTCCCTCCTCCTCCCTTCCCTGCCCGCTTCGCGCCCCCTTCTCGCAATTTAGGCATCGGCGCTTCCGCCCGCGAAACCGACGAAGCCGATCGAGTTCCACTTCCACTCTGACGCGCGGATAGAAGCGCGCAAGGCCGACTTCGAGAAGTCGGCTGGCGGTGGTACTGGCAGCATGGGCCACAGCAAGTCGCGGTCACATGCGCAGCTGCCCATCCCCGACTTCAAGGCGATGCACGCCGCGCAGGAGGCCGCGCACGCCGCGCGGCGCGAGCACATCGTGCCCGTGGTGCCGCAGGAGGTCGGGTTCCCGACGGATGTCCGCGCGAAGGAGCGCGAACGGTTCGACGAGGCGCGCCGTGCGCGTGAGCGGGAGATTGAGGTGCAGATGGAGGAGCGCCGGCGGCTGAGGGAGATCGAGGAAGAGAAGGAGATCAAAGAACTGCGGAGGCGCGCCGTGCCGAAAGCGAACGAGGTCCCGGAATGGTATGCGGACGCGCCGAAGAGGACGGGCAGGGCGAAGTCGTAATAATTCCCCGGGGGTGTGATCACGATCGGACGACGGCCGGGCCAAGACGTCGGGTCTGGGGCTCTGAGGTGGTTTGTACGTGATAGAGGACATGCTGGGCCGGTGCGTGCGTCCCCGTGTACAGTACGTCTGGTGTGTTGGTGTCTCGCTGCCCGTTTGGGCTGTGTATGGTCGCACAGCATCTCTGCTGGTTCATGATTCGTCTCTTCGCTCGCCAGTCGCCAACGCCCAATGTGGACGCGTCTTCACACTGCGCCGCATGTGATCAGCGTCACCGGGTCTGCAGGAGCTCGCAGTCGTTCGAGTCGACGACTCGACGCAACGGGTGCCTCACAGGGCGGGTACTGTATGCTCCCTGACAACCTGACGAGAGCGAGCGGCACCACGCCCTCGGAGACTGCATGTTCGTCAGATCTCAGGCGTCAGGCTGGCGAGGGCCGCGCTGCGGATTGGTTGAACGCAAACAAAGCAGTGAACATGAGATCGCACTACGTGTGAGAGCCAAAGATAACTCCTGCCTCGCGGAATCCTCGTGTAGGCTGCCTCTGCTACGTGCGAGGTGTAAAGTCCGATTGCTGTGCGCGATGCGCCCCTGCTCTGGCTCACACAGCGTCTCCCGCAGGCGTCTTGTGGTATTCGAGTCCGGGTGGGCAGCGCCGCGAGCTGGGTCTTTGGTAAAGATGCATCGGCAGTCTGGACGTGCCGTGGGTGTGAAGGAGGGACGGGGTGGGCAGGCGCCGCCGTCTTACGTCCGTGAGCAGTAAGCACCGCGTTGCTGGGCGGTCTGGGAGTGGGACCCTGCCTCTGTGCAGACGTGCGAAGGTTCGTAGGAAGGTGCAGGTACTCGAAGCAGGGCTAGGGCTGCGCCCGTCAAGTACGGCCAACCTTCTAGGACGCGTCTTAGTGCGGATCGAGCGCAACCATGTCACAGATTGCATCCGGGGTGATATAGTGCGGGCTGCTAAGTAGGTGTGCTCTAACCGAGAGTAGCAGGAGGATCCCCAGCGCGAGCGGCATGATCAGCCGTCATGGCGTGGCCCATCACGAATCAAGATACGGGGGGCAGGCGGTTCCTTGGATTATGAAGGCACGGACGACGCGTGGGATCGCGCACCGGGCGAGCTGCGGCGTGATGCGCGTATGATCCGTGCGCTTCTCTGCTAGTGCGGACGGACACAACGGCGGGCGGGAACATTCAGCCTGCCCCAGAAACGAGGGGGCAGTCGGGCGCGCGGACGTAGCGGGGCGGGGTGCGAACTCGTGCGGGAGCCCTGGGCTGCGCCTGCCTGCGACGGCGATCGTGTCTGCAGCGCGGGCCACCATCAGCGAATGGCAGTCCGAGAAGGGCGGGAAGCGGGAAGCGGGCAAGGGGCGCTGCGCCACGGCGCGAGGCGCGCGTGGGCCGCATACGGCAGCGAACATGCAGGGCGACGGGTGACAGCCGCAGGACGCTGTGGCCTGATCGCGACGAGAGGAGGCAGACGTCGTTCCACGTGCGGAAAGAAGGTTTGTGGGTCCACCGCGGTCCAGCGCTTGGTGCGCCTTCGCAGCAGGCCGCGCGGTCCAGACCGTCGCCGCCGCCCAGCATCCCATCACGCACAACGCCTGCAGCCCCTGCCGTCATCGCCCCTGTCCGCTCGGCGATGCGGCTCAGGGCCAGCGGCGTCACAGGCGGACACTAGCGGGCTACTCACTGCAGAGGGCGCCGACTCATCCAGCGCATAAACGCTGATGCTGACTGGCAGGGATCCTCGCGCGCCGCGCCCTGAAGAGCCTCAGGCAGAAGACAGCAACCAGCAGCTAACTGGGTTCGCGCGCATCAGCCCGGAGTAGCGGACGTAAATTCGCACAAGGGCGAGGCAGTCGAGGCGAGTCGAGACTCACCAAGGCCCGAAGACGCGTACGGCAGCGCATACGCAACCGGGAGGCGGGCACCGACGGTCAATGTCGTACCGTAAGAGCCACCCCGGCAAGGTAACGGGTTACTGCAACCTTCGCAGTGGGTCTGTCACGGCGGTGATGCGGCTCTCCTGGCACTGGTAGCCACGGCCATGGAGGACTCCTGCGTGCTTCGAACGGGCGGAGCCCGCCCCAGAATGGTTCTGGGTGAGCTGAGAGAACTCGAGAGCGAGCATCTTGTGGAAATACATCGTAGCGCACCGCGTATTCGCAGCGGTTATCCGATAGACAGAACGAGACGGCCATCGCACGTACTTACGCTGACTGTACGCCGCTCATGACTTCATGACGAGAGGGAAGCCTGCACGACGCACGTACACACGCGCCCGGACACGGAAGGTTGGAGAAGGTTAGCTCAGCCTCGAATAACGTTAACGCGCGGGTACGATCGAATAAACAATTAGACAAATTTGCTTCAGACAAGCTGAAAGTTACCGCATGGGCGGCCGAGTAGAGCACCCTCCCTGGGCTCGGAGCGCGCGTAGCGCAGCCCCGTTACGGTGCAGCGTACGTACTCGAGGGCGGCGCGCCGGTGAATTGCCCGCAAACGGCACGCCCTGAGTGGACGTGATCGTGAGCTGAAGGTGTCCACCGCCGGGCGCCACAGCTCGCGATCGTACGTGAGCAGCTGCCGGTGGGAGCGAGAAGGCCTCGGAGCAGACCATGGGCTGCAGCGGGGGCCCGGCAGGACGGCCCTGGGGTCGCACGGCAGTGCTCGACGGGGAACGTGCAGGTGGATAGATGGATGGATTACGGAGGGCAGACGCGGACAATTGGGAGAGCATAGCATTCGCGGGCATGCCGCAGCGTGAATGTATCATCAGCTATCGAACGATCACGAAACGGCGGTGGGGATGTGGGCGGCAACGGTTGGTGGACGGACAGCAGTGCAGGGACGCGCGGGCGTGGTGGAGGTGGCCCACAACGGAAGGCGGGCGCTGTGCTCGGGTAGGGACAATGGACGCTCGCGTAGCGAGGCGCTGCGAGGGAGGGAAGGAGTGGCGGGGACGGTGGACGGATGCGGGGAGGCAGGCGGCGAACACGCGCAGGCCACGATCGCTTCGCAGCCACATCGAGTCACGCCGGCGGGCGCTGCCCCGGAGGCGTGTGGCCCGTGCAGCACCTGCCGGAAATAGCTTAGGCACACGCGGGGCGACCCAAGAGATCGGGTCCCGATTAGGGTTAGCGCGATCCGAGGATAAGTTGGTTATTCGAATCATCATCATATCACCGCAACGAGTGGCACTCCCTCTGTGTCACCGGCCTTGTCACGTCGCGCCGTGCACCTGCCCACCATGGCGCCGTCACGCTGGCCACCTCCCTCTGCAGCATAAAAGCTGCCTCTCCTCCGCCAAGGTTCCCATCCATCCCACCGGGAACGCGTTTAGCCCCAGCGATCTACTCCCACTTGCCTCCGAGCGACCATCCGTGCCTTGCCCTGCCTCGACGACCTTGTCCTCGCGATCATCCTCACCCTCGTCCTCACCGACACCCACCTCGCTCACGAGCCACCCCCGTCGCGCTCCCAACCGCCACTATGCACTCGACCTCCATGGCGCCGCGCTCACATACCCGCTGCACTCGCTCGACCGCGCACCAGCGACCATCCGCGGAGACGACCCCCGTCTGCCACCGCGCGAACGACCAGTCCACGCCCGTGAACCACAACGCGCCCCAGTGCTGCCACTGCGGCTGGCGAGGGGACCACGCGCCAACGTGCCCCTTCAAGTGATTGTGGCCGCTGTGCCCTGTACTACCATCGTCCCGTCTCCTGTGAGTGCCCGCGCCTTCCCTCGTCGTCGTGTGTGGGCAGCCACACTAACGCGACGCGACGTCTCCCCCTCGCAGGTCTGTGTCATACCATAATATTGTCGCCTGTCGTCGATCTCGCCATGTTGTCATTCGCACCCGATCCCGCAGCATCTTGTATCAACACCATCGCCGCGCACTGCAAGCCATGCGCCGGCCCGTATCTTATTCGCCCCACGTATATTCACGCGCATTGTAGGAGGTGTAATTGGATGGACGGAAGGAAAGCGGAGGCGGGGAGAGCTGATGCTAATGAGCGTGGTTGTACATACCCCCATCCATGTATTGTGAACACTCCAATCCACAGTCGTCTCGCACTCACTCCCTATGCGCGATGCAGCCCGCGGTGGCATTTAGACGAACAGTGAGCAGCGCGGTGAGTGTAAATCTTCGTTGTTGTCTGTTTCGCAGGTACGCAGCCCGCGCCGAAGTCCGCACTCGCGTGTGGCCCGTGTTTGTGGCAAGATGCTGTGATCTTATCTCCAGGAACGGATCCGGCGTAACGTTATCATGACGTCGCGCACGCGTTCCCCGCATTCCCTCACGGCGCGCGTGTGCTCTCGGCGGGCTGCCTCTCACCGCCGCCTCCGAGCCCCCGCCGCCGTGCCGTCTCCTTCCCACCCGCCAAGGCCCGTCCTCCGACACGCCTGCCCGCAGCGCTGCCGGACGCGCCGCCGCGCCCGGCCATCCATCGATGCATCGCCGCCAGGCCATGGGATGCGTTGGCCCCGCGTCGCCATAACGATCGTCGCGACTCCCTGACATATCCCTTATGTCTCGGATGCGACGGAAGTCCTGGAGCGCCCGCCGGAGAAACGTCCTCCTCGACCTCGGATCGCACATTCCGTCCGCGCCGAAGCACTGGCTCGCGCCCGCGCAGGCTGCCTTTGTTCCAAATCTGTGCCCAACTGGCCTCTCCGACGCCCCGCCAGCGCGCGCGCACGGCGTGAACACTTCACCCCGCACTCAGCTGACCGCCGTGCTCGCCCCACCCCCCACGTGAACGCCTCTCCTGCGGACGCTTGGGTCTTCCACGGCAAATGCGCTCAGGTCGCATCGAAAGTTGGCCGCTGCCGCATCGATGGGCAGCCCGCGTCCGTCCTTTCTGTCTCTCGCACTTCTGCTCGCTTACGCACGTCTGATGCGATAACGATGTGTACGTCGTCCACCGTCCACGGAGCGGGGCAGCGGGGCCACAGTCAGCACCCGCCAGCCCCGGCGTTCTTTGCCTCCGCTTCAACAGACTGTGGGCAGATTGAGATCAGCTGTATCAGCGTATCAAGGAGGATCAAGGCAACATCAAGGACTGTCCTTGGACGAGCGCCGCACCAAGTGCCGGATGTCGGTACACCAACGTAGCCTTGGATGCATGCCAGCCTGAATGCCGGTGCTGCACCGGCCGGAGACACACACAATAGAGTGGATGATGCAGCCCATCTCCCATCTCGTCCGCTCTGCACAGCCCACAACGTCGACGTCTCGTAGGTTGTCTTCCCACTCCACATACGCACACCCGTCCAACGTTGTCAAATTGAATGCTAATTGTCACCTGGGCGGGAGCAGCGCCCGTACAGTATATACAGTATCGCCCGGCGGCGCGACTCCGCACACCATGGCGCGCGGAAAGCTTAACACTCAGAAACTGCTGGACGTGCGGCCATGCGGCCCAGCCGCAGTTGACGCAGCCCCTCACGAGCCTCGCACCCCGCTCCATCGCCCCGCGCATCGTGCTCGCCCCAGCCTTCGCAATCACTCTGCGAGAGACCCACGGAAACGCGGCAGGGCAGATCCGCAGAACGGTACACACGAGCGATGGCCTGGGAACCCGCGCTGCACCGGCGTACCTAGACACCGTGCGCAAGAGGACGGTAGCCTGCAAACGAGGCAACGCGAGCCTGATCTGCGGATGGCCCGCTGGGACGTCTGTGGATGACGGACGTCAAGAGAGTTCTGAGCCTAACGGGCTGCCTGCAGCCTTCTCGCGCGCCGGACACTCGCCGGCCGGCTGCCCGGGGACGCATCGTCGAGCTTCCTGGGCCAGCGGAGGTCTTCGCGGACGCCACATTCACACACAGGGGAGGCGAAACGTCCCGTGGAAGGCGAAGCACGGCTCTGGCCGCACGTCGTGCGTCGAAGCCCGGAAGCGGAGGGGCCCTGGGGCCACCGCGTCCTTCGACGCGCATGACCGTCGACGCACGCACGGACGCTCCCAGAAGCGCTGCACGGCGCGCGAGTGCTGCTGCACGTAACGCGAAGGCGAGCTCGGGCCTGGCGGCTGTGGCCCGGTTCTTTCGCCGTGGGCCCCGCAGCCTCTGCACCCGTGCGGGCGATTCTGCGGCCGGGCGGGGGCCTTCTATCTTGGGTCGCCGCGTCGGGGTCGTCCTGCCGCTTATAGGGCGCCCTTCTGCAGACTGCACGGTCGGTGCGTGTCGCGTGGGCCCGCGAGCCCTGGCGACGTCTTCTGCACGGCGTACGTCCCCGCTCTTCTGCTCTCTGGCCTGCTCTCGTCGCGCCTCGTCCTGCCTGTCTGCCCGAGGACCCCGCAAGCCTTGGCTTGGAACGTGCGATGATGGGGATGGGTAGAGCATCAGTAATCTGTCGCATCCACTCGCAGAATACGTACGTACGTACGTCGTCGCTCGCGCTTCGGACCCGTCAAATCCGCGCAATACAGTCCCGGGGTCAGTACGCACCACTGCATTGCATTGCATCAGTACTAGTGCCCGCGCACGATACATATGGAGGATACCTCATGAGCCCGTCAGTGGGGTGCCGTGCCGGGATCCTGTCCCTATGTAGACGGGTCCACTGGGATTTGGATGTAGGACGCATCTCCGGGTGCTATGGCTGAATGGAGATGACTCGGAGGAGGGATCATGTGGCGTTGAACTTCACCGTGAAGAGGACCCGGGCAGACAGCGGCTTGTATGCTGGGCTGAAGCATAGCGAAGGGCATGATTAGCCCTACTGAGGTTGTGTCGCGAATCGACCATTGAAGTGACGAGGGGATATGCACAGGATCGGTTTTGGGTCTTCAACTTTCTTGACGCAGTGGAGACGCGCGTGGTGGATGGAGGCGCTTAAGTCGTATTCGGCGTTTTACGTCGAAATACCGTGTGCTCTTCAAGATCGAACAACGTAGACGCAATAAGGCATGTCCAAAACATCTTGCCAAAAATCCATGTGCGTGTCCATTGAGTGGGCGTCGTACAGTAAGGAGATCAGTCGCGATTTTTTTCTGATCAAGCCATTCCCGGATTTTCCTGGTTCCCCGACATACTGTGCAAGACTGTGCAGCGACCAGCACTCACACTGCCAAAAACATGGTCTCAGAAGGTTTATATCAGCTGTAAGTAAGATATGGCGATTTTTCCAGGTCATTGGACTTCCCGGACGATGCACTGAAGTCTGCTGTCTCAACTTTCAAGGACTTGGTAGCTCAAGCCGTTGATGCAGCGTATGAACACTGTGTACGCCGTTTCATTCATAGCAACTTGACGCAGTGGAAGCGTGCGGGGCTCATATCACGTGATACCCCGAAGTCCCTGGATCGAAACCAGGAGTTGCTAGCATTGTATTTTTCTCTTTCAAAGGCGATTTTTTGAGCACGGAGAGTAGGCGTCTGTCTTGGGTCACGTGGTAAGGAGGAGGTGCGCGCTCGGTGTCCACAATAGGAATCCCCGAGCCTACCCCGTTGCTCTACTCTACTGTCTCCACATGGGTCTCTACAGGATCTCTAAGTACTGCTGGCAGCTGCTACAGTATTCTCTGGGTCGACCCAACCGCGATGTCCACTGGCCCGACGGACTCATCAATGCCGATGTCATGGCGAGCCATCACTGAGAAACCATACCTCAAGCCCGCAATACAATCAGTCGCACACTCGACGACCCAGCTGCTGACAGGCTCGACCGTCGCAACGCCACACTTCTTACGTCTGCAGACCTATAGTCTCTGCAGTGGGAAGCCGTTCTCGATATGACTTGGTTCTCCCATGTCCTGGCCAAGTTACCAGCAACTGCGGCGTGCGCCGCCTAGGTTCCTGTCACACCTCGGTTGAACCACACGCTATTTCAACGGTTCTACGTCAGGCTCGACTGCGCCACGCAGACTCTCAGCCTCAAGCTTGTTCGTAGGAGACGCGCTCATGCAGCCGCCCAATGGCAACAAGGGCTCAAGTGCTGGAACCCGCATCACAAGGAAGGGACCCGCGATTCCTTAGGCTCTCCTGGATATTGCCGGCCGCGAGAGGAATTGCAACTGTCCACTACAAATCCTGACGCCACTACGCTATCTTCCACTTCACTCGGAAGATATCATCCTTGCAGGGTCTCTGGGCGAGCCGCCTGGTGTGGGGACGTATGTACGGCCAGGGTCTTCCACTCAACTTCCACTTCTCCCGACTCGGCCTCGTGCGTATGGACAGCGAAGCACGAAGTATCAGACACCCGCAGGACTTCGCCTCGGGGAGTAAAGTGGCTCGACCCGTTCAGTGCTGTAATCCCGTCGTGGACTCGCGGGGCGCTGGAAGCTGGCCCGCATATAGCACGTCCGCGATGGAGGCGTGCGGCGAGTCTGTTGGTTCGATTCCGCGATCGCGACATGCCTGGGTGCGAGGTTAACTTTGTCTCTGACAGATACGATACGATGGGCGGAGATGACTGCTATCTGTGGACGGTGAGAGGTGCACTTTCGAACCACCGAGGCGTCAAGCAAGTCGCTCGTACGACATTGCCGTGAACCTTGCACGTCGTCGTGAGTCATATCGTTGCGTGAGTCTCGACGCGTCCGCGGCCCTGATCAAGAGAGTTCGCGTGTTACGGAGTTCGTACGTACAGATCTCGCTGCGAACATGTAGCTGTTCAGTGTCACCGATGTCCACGGTCTCGAGCTGACGGCGCACGTTACAGACCGAAGACGTTCGAAGAGTAAGGGCGCGGCTTAAGTGACATGTCTTCTATGTTTACGTCTTCTATATTTACGTGCCTTCTATTGCGCTGACCTTCTGCCTGGCAGATTGAATCATCATTCAGGCTGGTCGGTGCTATCGCCAGTGGCCACTCAACACGTTTGTTAGTCCCGGCCTTGGGGGACAAGCACGCCCACACATTGTGTATCCGCTTCTTTCAGCCCTGTCATCGCCGGAGAAGTTGACTCGCCGTTGTGTTCTGCAGCTCAGCATCACAGAATACAAGGATGTGGCGGAATGTATGCGGGTTCCCACAGATTCAATATGTCGTTGTTCCCCGCTGGAAGTACTCTGACACGTGCGTCCGTCGTTCATTATACCCAAGCAGCATCTGCGGACCCTCCAATCCGGAGACAACACGAGCTTCTCACCGTCCCTGATTGTCGCTCTTCTCAAGCCCAGCAGCTATCGGCCGGTCACACTATCCACGTATTCAATCGGACTCACTGTCACTCACATGATGCCGCTGTAGATTCAGGCCAATCCTTCCCCTGACCGGCATGTGCATGAGCGCCGGCGCGCGAGTCTAGGGGCTACGGTTGCGCTCAAGGGCGCCGCTGAGCAAGATGATATGCGGTCAGCAGGTGCTGGTGTCCGATTGCGAGCGCCATTGATCCTCCCCGCGTTAACATGGCATGGTGAAAGAAGGTGAGTAGGGGCCCTTGATCTCTGTATTTCGGTGACTAGAGTACTAGGCAGGTGGCTTAATGAACTCTGCTCCTTTGTGCAATCCACCTGTCTGAAGTAGATGCACGGAACAGCGCACACAACGCAATTGTTCGGCGTCTTCCACAAGTCGTCACTGCGGAGTATCAGCGTCACTTGTGACAACAGCGGCGTCAATCCCGACGTTCACGGCAGCGCGATAAACGCGAGAGTACGTATGTTAATTAACCATGCCGTGACAGTGCAGTCGGACGCCCACAGACTATGTGACCGCGCGTAATCCCGCCCATGTCGGACCCGACATGTCCCTGATGGTCTTCTGCAGCTAGGCACCACGTCTTCCTCATGCCTATGTCCTTGAGGAAAGTGCGAAACGAGGATGTAACTCGTCTCGCCGCTATCTGGATGCATTGCGGGGCCCTAGATAGACTTCGGGAATTGCGGAGAGAATTCAAGGGTCCACGTCTTGTCGGGCGTCAGTGTCTCTCGCAGGGACCGGTGGGTCGCCAATTGGATTACAATGTCGCGAGTGCAGCTTAATTGACACTCACCACACAGCTTCTCAAACTCGATCTCCCTCTTCATTCGACGAAGGCGCGGATGCGTATCTACGCCACTCCCGAGTGCTCGGATAGTGGCTACAGAGGCCCTCCCTGCAACCCGTCGGCTGAGAGGAGGTATCGCCTCCCGCTCGAGTATACTACTAAACCCGTCGGGATTATCCTGCTTGATAGAGGAATCAGTCTTGCTGACGAAGCGTATTCGTAAGTGATGCAGCCCGGACACACGTAACCTGCTTACAGTATGCAGACTCGCAGACTCGCAAGAGTCGCAATGGATCACACAAGCGGCCTCTTCGGGCTCCTGGATTACTCTTGATATGGAGATGCCGGCGACATCGGTGGATCGGGCACTGCGAGCGTCCCCGCAAAAGCTGTGCTGGACATCGAATTTGACAATCCCGAATTTGTCGGTGCACTAGTGATGCGCCACTAGCTATTCAGGTCGCCAGATGCATGGGACATAGGCTCAACTACACTCGGGTATGACGAAGATTCGAATTCTTCAAGGCCGCCGTCCTCGTGTCAGAAGCGGCCTGTGAAATGCTGCGGCGATGATCAACGCCGCTCAGGGTACGCCATTTCAATCTGTGTATACGAATTCTTTTCGCTAAGTACAATGCGCAGTGTAGTTGCTTCCCACTCTGGTTTTCAGAGCGTCACCTGCGGCACTCATCAGGTTCTGCAACCCTAGTCACCCGTCACAAGCCGCAATCTGGGGTGCGCAGATCGAGCACAAGCGGCCGCAGGAATAGCACGCGCATAAGGTTAAGGAAGAGACTCGGTGTGTACACTCGCGGACGGCCTTCGGAGTGCGCGCACATGGGGTCGACAGCAGATTGCTTCGGTGCCTGATATCGTCCGTGCGATCCTGACTGCCGTCATGTCATGATGCTGGATCGTCCGGACGCTGAGCCTGAACAGCAGATGCATTGCCCATATGCATGTCCAGAAGCCTCGCACGACAGAAGCGCTGACGTCAATTCTAGAAGTCCGTGTTCGAGTGCTGTAGACGATGAACATCGCACCAGAATCCGGGTATGTCAACCACTTTGGACGCCCATGCCTGCTTCTGAGATGCGATGCTGAACAGACCTCGACCAAACGGCGGACGTAGCGGGCGCCTCCAGAATCAGAAGGACATCTGCCTTTAGTTATCCTCCTGCGTTCGATCGCTGCTACAGCTTCTGGCCGCCATTCCACCGCGTTGACGATATCGTCAATTTGGTATATTGGGCCCGGCTTCCGGGCATAGCGCAGCTGACTCCGGCCGCCGGCCGTGATTATTCAGGGCTCATATCCAACCTCAAATGACAACGCTGCGTTTAGCCAGAGGAACGGCTGGTGTTCCGCATGGATCGAACGACGACTTCTCGGTGTGTGGGGAAGGCGTCAATGTGAAGAGCTGCGGAAGGCTTCCCGCTTGGACCGGAGTACTCAGATGACCGTCGTGAGATTGCGCGAACTAGCTAGGTGACGGCGTTTTCCAGGGAGACAATGTGTATCGACACGAGGAGAACGAACGATGGTTTGGTCGGGCCGATGTCGCCATTATCAAACCACTCCACGGTGCGGTGACGGACGTGCAATGCTAGCCCACTGTACTGTTTATTTACTGGGTAATCTATGACATAGGACGAGAAATGCGCCTACGCAACGTTGCCCGAGAAGAGAAGATCGCACATCGTGGCTAGTACGACTTCTCATCTTCGCCGCCGCGCCGCGACCCACTCAGGAGGACGACTCGCATGCCCGTACATGATACGTGCAGCGAAGCTCCGGGCGCGCCATATCTTAGCTTACCTAGCAACTGGATGATACGGAAGTCACAATCCTCACCAGAGGTCACGGCATACGGTAGCTGCACAATAGATGTTGTCCTCCGTGAACGTTTGAACATTGCGACACCTGACTAACTGGTGAAACGGTTGTCTTTTCCAGCGCGTTCGGAGAGACAATCTGGCTCTCTGACCGCAAGACACCTCTCACAACGTCATCCACTTACTCACAACTTACACACCATCATGTAGATGCGAACGGTAACACTCATCGCCTTGCTTGCCGATGGTCCGCAGTCGACGACACAACTTCGTTCGGATATCACCCCGAGTGTGATCTCAACTAAAATGACCTTAGGCTTCAAAACTTCCTGTGTCCTGCCAGTGGGAGTTTCTGTCGTCTCAGAAGCGTGGAGGGTTACGTATGACGAGCGGCCTGTGTCGCAACGCTTCATGCTTACCACCGCACAATAGACTCACTACCTTAACCAGTCTGCGGACAGAGGTTACGAGGCCATAACAACCGAATCCACCGGATTCTGAGCAATTAGCACCGGTGCCGAGCACCTGCGACTGCGCGTATGTATACACACCGAAAGGCTACGGACACGCTTTGGACACACTCATGAAAATCATAACAGGTCTTGTGCTTCTACTACCGACCCGGCGGCTACCACTGGTGAGTAGGTTGCGCTTCCGGACATACCGGGCCCTGTACCATCAGCGTAGTGGTCCTCTGACAACTCTTCTCACACATAATTTTGACACAGACTGCTTGCGACGGTCTCAAAGGGCAAAGCATCGCAAGTCTGCTATAATGAATGACGTTCGTGGGCTTCGAATCCTATCAAAGCTTCTTCAGTACCGGACCGATAGAACCGCATGACGATGGCTTGTGAGTGTGAAGTATCTCGACTGCCTCACTATCTGAATCGCTCCTGACACATCTCCATCGTACCCATAAAAGTGCTGCTAATGCCCGGATTGTACTGGTGCACAATCCCGAGGCTAGTCTGGTCTGAAATGACCATGCGGCACTTGGACCCCCCAGGCTGGACACAGGCAAGGATCTTGGAATCTGACTCACCGATCGTGATTTGCGTCATGTCCGATCGATTCACGGGCGACAAGGGGTTCTCGAGTCTATCAAAAGTGAGTAACGGATGCACCCGACAGGCCCTCACCTCGTCTTCGGTGCCAACGCGTGTTCAGTCCGTACACTCATGACGCCCGGCGTTTATACAGAAACAAGCAACTGAATTGCACAGGGACGGATCTTGCTGTGACGAGGTAAATGTGAAGACACGAAAGGCAGCGCTAGGATCATACCCGAGCGACTAGCAGGATACTGGATCCGACTGGGGTCGCCTCGGAAGACTCTTGTCCCATACTATTCGTGCCATGCAGGCCGAGGACCCCCAGCTCGTGCTCGTCTCCTGACTCCGTGGAGCGTTCGCCTTCCAGGCTGTCGTAGTGGCTGCTCTCACCAGTCCCCTCCGAGTCCGGGCCATCGGACCCATGGGGAAGGGAGCCGCTGAGGCTCTCTATCAGAGTAGAGAAGCGGATATCCGAGAGCTGCGATGGGCTGGAGATGATGCTCTGGGGAGTCAGCGCTCGCTGGCGAAGGTTGAGTAAGAGCCGGGACAGCAGTATGGTCGTGAGGCTAAAGAAACGGTGTCAGACGAGCACGCATATAGGATAATGTCCACTATATCATACGTGGTGGGAATTCCGTGATATTCTGGTATATCTGTTCAGTATATGTCAGCTAGATCCCACACTCAAGATGATAGGAGAACTTGCGTTGGACGTCCACATTACAATATTGATTACATTGAGTACAAGGAGTATACTGGGATGCAGCGCTTCGTCAGTCTAGACCGACCTCTGGCATGACGAGCAATAGCAGTGACAGTACCCGAAATAGGCCGTTCCTGTTGCCACAAACAGGTCAATCTCCGGACCGTCCAAGGCTATGTTCACGTACCATCCCTGATTAGCAATGACGTGAGAGGCAGCTTCATGTTGGTGGTAGCGGCACTGAGTTTCTTGACGCCATAGGTAACACGCCAAGTGACCGCCAGAACAATCGCATCTGCTACAATGATGCTGAGTCGTGTGGCCATTTCGACTGCAGCGTGGACAGACAGCGCATGAGAACGATAAAAGTCAAGAACGAATGTGGTCATCGTACATCTAGGTACCCATTCCCCGTTAGTACTAATCGCACCACTGAGAGGGAGATACTTACCCGTATAGTGTCTTTGTAGACGCGGTGTTGAAGATGTGACATTGGCCATCTTCGAACACCCACTCCAGACGGCTATAGTCGTACTGACTTGCCGTCGTCAGATCTGTATGTACGGACAGACGACGACTTACAATGGTCGCAATCACGGGCACCCAGTAGAGCGCCATAACGACCGAGGACAGTGGCCATTCCCGCCCATTGATAGCGTGGACCCGCACAGCTGAAATGACTGGAGGGCGGCGTCAACGCCTATTCAACGGGTTACAGCATAAATCCCGTAACTCACATCCCCATAGGATATTCAGCCCGCAGTAGGTGGCAGCGGTTACTAGGTTGAGTTGTATGTCCTTGAGGATAGCGTGAACCGTCAGCTCAGATCTATAGACCAACGTGGAGGCCCCACGCACGTCTGAGGAAGGGTGATAATTTCAATCAGGTCCATTCCATTCATTGACGACGAAATGTGATTCACGTACTCGACACGACGGGATGTTAATCCACGCAACAACATACCATACCAATTCCAGAGCAGTGAGTAGATGCAAGAGAGAGTAGATCACTGTCGGCCAGCCCTTGCGACGCGTCCAGAGCACGGCGACCTCTTGTCCGAACGTGAGGACATGGTCGTAAACGTACACCGCTGTACGCGTCGCTTCCAGTCAGTTCACGCGCACACCATGATCACCGGCCCTCATGCCATCGCCGAGAGTGCACTTACAGCATACAGCGGAAAGGCAGCATATACTGACGAACCTGACAAGCGTGTCGGCATTCAGAACCAATGAAGAAGCACCAGCAAGTCGGACGCACTGTTGTTCAGAAGCCGCGATGAGTTCCTCCTCCGATGGACCGTCCGAAGACATCGTACTGCACCTGAGGCTATGGTGACATGAGAACCTGGGTTCCAAGGAAGGATTGCAGCGTAGCCGTCAACGCTAGGTATATGAAGGTCGTCTGGAGCGCACACCAGCATCCTGATGGCTCATTTGAGCTAGTACAGTACTAGTAAAGCACGGGGAACTCGTTGGATATGATCGAGTTGGGATCGAATCGCAATTTTGCACCTGTGTAGAGACCAGCCGCTTCTCGAAGCCAGATAGCCTTGCTTGCCATCATAGCATCCTTGCTATCGCCCAACGACAAAGTCTTGGATCAGCCTGCTCATCTGTTGATGCGCCTCATTGACAGTTGGTCAGATCGTCGCAGTGTTCTCCATGATGCAAAGTAATGGACCCGCTGGGGTGGACTTGTCCACGTGGACTCCACGGAGCTGGACTGACCAAACAGTGACGCCGATAACGAGCTGATTAGATTGGCATTATATGGTCTACTGACTCATTGTAATCCGTTATTACTGCCCTGTTATTACTGCCACTGATCGCAATACTTCTTACCTATTGTTTCCTGATATGCAGCGAAGCGTCTTAAGCCGCACAAAGGCAAATACACATTTTCGTGTCGCCGGGTACATGTAGATACTATAATGAAGTAACCTAATATATTCTAAATGATGTTGGTCCCAAATCGGTGTGAGTATGATGATACGCTCACGACGAGCGAGGAGGCAAGGAGGCGTGTGGGCGGGTGTGCCGGACAGGTGTGCGGGTACTGGACAAGCGGGCAGGTGCATGGGCAAGCGTGTGCGGGCGGGCAAGTGCGTGGGCGAGCCCGCAGACAGGCAGGGCAGTAATGGGCCAGGATGGGCAGCAGCGGATGCTGTTTGTCGTGTGTGAGCAGCACGAGCGCGTTGAGAAGGTGTCGGCGTGAAAGGCCAGGCTTGTGGGCGTGTTTGCGCACAGTGGGCGCGGACTTCGTGCACAGCGGGCACAGAGCGAGCGCCTGCATGGCAGAGGCGGATGGACGTCCGCCAACACACGCGGCGCTCGCTGACTTCGCAGGTTTGTCTTGATCGCGTGGGCTGGCAGGTTCCCAGGCAGCCGAGTGGGTGACCAGGCGGGTAAGCGGGTGAGCGAAAACAGATGGGTGCCCAAGTGCCTGAGCATATGAGAGAGCGGGGTGAATGTAGATGGCTGCGATTGTTTGGTAAGCCCTTGTGTGCTGCGCGAGTGCACGTACCAGTGTGCCTGGCAGGCCCTTGTTCATCGCGGTCCTGCTTGCTGAGTTGGGTCGTGCTGGGCTTATGTCGTGTCGGTGTGTAACAAGCTGGCCTCACCGTACCCGTACGCGTCTGCGCGTGATATATCCCATCCACAGGCAATGGCTCTTGTTAGCGGGTCCGTGCGCGGTATGATGTTGAGGCTCGGTGAGTCGTCAGGCGCATACCTGGTGAGTTTGCGCTAACAGGCTTGTGTCGCTTGCGCACGCGCGCACCGGGTCGTCTTCACCACGCTCATGCTCGTTGGGCATGCACGCGCGGGGTGCTGAGGCCGTCTCCGTCGCGTTCGTCTGAGTTCGGTCGTCCTTGGTGGGCATTCACTTGTCAGGGTCAGCTACCGGACCGAGGTGACAAGCAGGGGACTCACCTGGTTTGTTGGCCTTGCTGGCTACAACCACCTTCCCTCCCTGCACGACCATTCTTTGCGACCCTCCAGCAATGCCCTTGCTAGAGCTCGTTGCATTTGGGTACGGCGCGGTCTTGAGGTTGTCTTGCGCCGTAAAAGGCTGTAATCTTATCGCCTTTGTTTGTACGTCACGTGCGTCGTGGAGTCCACGGGAGTCCACCGTGGACAGTCCACCCCAGCGGACGGCTTGTTCTCCCATGATGTGCCGTGCAGGCTAGAGCAGGGCTAGAGTACAAAACGGCTGCGCCGCGCTCCGAGTCGGCCGCCGCCGCCACTCGCCATTTGGTTGGAAAGGAGCGAAAAAGGGCTCGCAATAGTCTCGCAATGCATGAGCTTTGTCGAGGTGTACACTGTACCGTTGTCGGTCGACTCGAAGCACCTGCCATCCTCGAGACAGGCTGAGACAGACTGACAGAAACCAGAACAGACACGGCGAGAACATCCGATGAGCGGTCTCCGGACTTCGTCGACTACCATCCGCCCTAAGTACGTAGTTAGGCACCGCTAACACGCATCCTCGCGTAAGAGGCGAACGTAGGGCGCAGTTCGGTGGGCACTGTATGGAAGTATACAGTACATAGACTCGGAGGCCATGATACAGGCGACGGACTAGAAACGTCGTCTCAATGTCAGAGTGATACTTGTATGGGAGCCAACAATTGTGGCATAGGTCGAACTGTGGTCCGACAGACCGGTGGTCATTCAACCAACAAGGGACCGCTGACGCTGATGCTGAACGTTGAACGCAACGACGGCGCAGGACGTTAACATCAGACGATGGGCAGCTGATGTCACCTAGACTGAAATCCGCCTGCCGCACCTACCTGAACATTCAACTGTGGGACCGTTGAGATTTTGAAACGTTGAGACGTTGACCCACGGCTCGCGGCGTTCGGCTGGGAACTCATGAAGTCCATTCTTCGTGCAGTTCGCCATTGAGACAGATTGCAGTTAGCCCGCGACCACAGGATGATACAGCAGTACACAAGAACAAGGTTCAATTCTTCTTTCCTTCTTCCGTCCGTCCTCTCGTGATGCTATCACAACCTCCCGAACTTGTCCAGCGCCGGCCGGCCAAAGGTCGGCTGTTCACCCCACAGTCAGCTTCTGCTCTCTGTAATTTACCAATGCACGAGTGGACACGCACCGGAGGGCAGGCTTGTTCTGCAAGATCTCCTCGATCTTCGCCAGGACCTCGGGCGTCAGCTTCGGGATCACCTCGAGGGCCTTCAGGTTCTCAACGACCTGCTCGGCCGCGACGCGCCGAGGATAACCGTGCTCGTGTTCGGGTTGATCGCGATCCACGCGAGGCAAGCTGCGCGACGGTGCAGTCCAGTTCTACGATGCACACGAGACGCGGCGATCAAGATCAGCACGACGGGAAGGACGAAGAGACGGCCGACGGCGGCCGGGGCGACGCACCGTTTCGGCGAGCGCGGTGAGCGTCCTGACCTTCTCGAGCTTCTTCATGCCTCCTCTCGTTCAGGCTCTGGATCGTGTTCTTGAAGAAGTCCTTGTGGTTCTCGAACCGCGAGCCCGCCGGATCCGTTGTTGTACTGCAGTGAATATGCCGGCGTGAGCACCGGCATGTACCGTGGCGTGGGGAGGGCTTGCTTACCTTGCCGGTGAGCAGGCCGCTCGAGAGCGCGGAGAAGACCGTCGTGCCGAGGCCATACTTCTTGTAGAGCGGTCTGTCCGGATTGGGTGAGCGGCACACGTTCGCGTAGGCGGGATGGGACTCACCCGTATTCGCCCTCCGGACGGTCGCGGTGGAACATGCTACAGCGCTGCGTCAGCACCCGCCCTCACAGGAGCAACAACGGCCGTACTGGTGTTGACATTGCTCGGCGATAGGGCCCTGGAGGCCGAGCTTGTCCGCAACGTCTGTTGGCCGGGAAGGCTGTATTCAGTGCGCGTGTTTGTTGCGAGAAGGATCAGACGCACGGTATGCTTCCTCGATCTCACGAGCAGACCACTCCGAGGTCGCCCAATAGAATGCCTGGCGGGGAACTGTCAATCACTGAATGTCGACGTCCGCGCAGTGGGTATATGCGTACCCAGCCCTGGTCGATCACGAAGTTGAACGCACGGACGACCTCGTCCATAGGAACTGAATGGTGGCACGGTTACGGACGGCCCTGAACAGATGGCTAGTTACTCACCGGTGGAGTCGGGCGGTGGGCGAAGATTACGTCCACATAGTCAAGGCCCAGTCGTTCCAGGACAGCTTCGTGCCCTCGACGATGCTTACAACTGTCAGCCGCGGGACAAGAGGCTGTCCATGTTCACGTACTGCTTCCTGGAGAGACCCGTGCCGTTGGGGTGGTTCTTCTCGCCCCAGTACAGCTTGGTGGTGATGACAGGTCGGTCCTACGGAGGTTGAGCTCCCTGATGACTCGGCCCCTATGATAACAGCATCAAGGTCAGTCTCGAGATGGCCGACGCGTGATGTCTGAAGTCAATGAAGGCGAACGCACATTTCCTTCTCCGAGTTCCCATCAGCATATACCTCAGCGGTGTCAAACCTGCGAAGATGCGCATATATGCATCAGATCTCGGAGAAACGCAGAAAACATCAACTCTGATGAGCATACATGTTGATGCCATTCTCGAACGCGACCTTGATGATGTCCTAGATGGGAGCAGCGGCGCGTTTGCTTCATCAAGAGCTCTTCTGCTGACGAATTCGTTTGTCCGGAACTCACCTTCACGGGGTCGCCCTTGACGGTCCCACCGAGTGTCAGCCCTAAGAATCATGGGTTTGAGTTCAAACATCCGAACGATCCTGACTTGTGGAAGCCGCGAAGATACTCACATCCACCCAGGGAGAAGACGGGGACGCGCAAGCCGCTGGGGCCGAGGCGCCTGAAAGGCATGCCCTTCGGATCGTACTCAACAACCGACATAATGGTCTCTAGGTGTGGGACGTAGTAGGAGGGAACAGGAGGGGGTCGGTGGCGGTGGCGGTAGTCCACACTGGCGGTTTATATCTGTACAGTACAGTCAGCGTGATCCATATCGCGCTCATCGAATGGCTGGCCCTCACTCAAGCACATCGCTGACCCACACGGCGCCACTGCAGGACTGACGAATCTACTCGAGGCGTAGGGCGTAGACGCGATGGCGGCGTTCCGAAAATGACTCCATAGGGACTGTCCCCGACTTCGAGCAGCATGGCACACGTACCAGTGACACCCCAATACACCGACCCATGGTCATCTGCAACGCAGATATGCTTCCCAACAGAAGTCGCAGTCTCTCAGGAACAGCGGCCGGCGATAAAGATGTTCCTCGCCATCGCGCTATTTCTCCAAGAATAGTCCGCCCAGTCCACCGCAAGCATATGAGCTAGATACTGGAATAGTGGAGGTGCGCAGGCTTGCGGAGCATGATGTCGACTTGTTGCCATACAGCGTACGCGTGAACTTGGAAAATCGAGTGTACGTAGCTGTTCCAGGATCTCTCGTTCGCGCAGGCCATAGCTTACGATCCTAGGTCATTCAAGGATAAAGCCACAACAAGCACGATCATGATGATCCAGGGTGATTATACGACACGGTCTAATAGCGCGAGTCTGGAGAGGACCAGGTGTGTTGGACCGTGGAAGACTTCCTGGTTTGGAATTGGAGCGCGCGTCACGACGCCCGCCTGCCTGCTCGCTGCTACTGACCACCATGCGCCTCTACGCCCTCTCGTTCTTGGCCCTTCCGCTTTCTCATTCGCCTCTCTCGACGACCAGACTGCAATGTCTGGACCATCCTGAGAGTCGGCGCCATATACCCCGCAAACCCATTCCCAGCCGACGCTCGCGGACCTGCTCACGATCGAGTCTTCCGCCTCGATCTACTACTCTTACGCGCGTGAGACGGAAATGAGCTCTCTCTTCAGCGACGAGAGGCACAGCTCACTCTGCTGGTCCGACGAACAAGGCCGTCATGGCGTTGGCGCGGAAGCCGTGAGTGCCCTTCTCTGCATTTACGCCGGATTACTGACTGCATTCGTCTATCCTTGCCAGGCATGAGGGCTCTGCACCTGTGAAGGACGGAGAGATCACCTCTGAGGCAGAGTTGACGCCCTCTCGAAGGAGAACGTTGTACGCTGGGTCTCGGCTCAATCATACCTGTGAGCACTTCGCCTTGATCCTGCAGAGGACGGCTGTTGACGCCTTCTTTGACAGAAATCCCCAATCTCCGTCTCGTCCTCGAGCCATATGATACTATGTTGCAGGAGAAGAGCGTCTCATTCAACAGGTCGGCGGTGACGAGAGCACACCGGAGTGGTCCCGCGTGCGCTTGAATGATGATGTGCGTCTCATTGCCATGAAGGAGGTATGCTTGCATCGTTGTCTTTCAATGACCACCAGATCCCTGATGATCACGTATGTGCTTAGGCATCGAACGGTGTGCTGTACATGATCGACGGCACTGTCACGCTTGATTAAGGCGTCGCCATCTACCTCTGTATCACCACCTCATGTACTATGGAGACACTATTCTCGTCTTGTACTAACAGCACATCTCATCTATATTCACAGACTCAATTAAGTACCGTGTACTACATTATTCTATCATGTGTCCGACTTATCTAGAACAGGAGGGAACGGCCACGCCGCTCGCCACTGCCAAATCTGACTCATCACACACCCATCCAAGTACCCCGACGCGAGATCCGCCGTTGAACCCGCTCCCCTAGGGCAAGGCAGGATGCGCGATAGGTTTATTGACGGACGCAGACGCAGGGCGCTCAGCCACCGCTGCCCGCCCTCCGTCGTCCATCTCCGCCGCTCGCGCCCTCTCGCGGTCACGCACCCCCGCGCGACCGACACAGACAGCGCTCGCTCATCCGGACTCCCTCCGCTCCCTCACGCTGGGCACTGCAGAGGGCCACGTTCGCATTCCCTCACTACAATGCTTCCTCCTTAGGCGCCAGTGGCCAACCTGGGCCCATTCAAGATTCTGTGACCCGGACTGCCCGAACATTCAACGGTGGATGCACCGTCGTCCTGTCCACCTTGCCAAGATGTATTGGCGTCAGTTCAACGCTGATCCTGACAAGATTTTGGATCGGCCACCACTTGAGTGGACAGCGGGCTGTCTAGCGTTGCAGGCGGTGTGCATTTCCGTGCCCAGGCCTGTCTCGCCGCGTCTCGTCAGTCCTGCCATAGTGAGTCCTCTGTATCAGTAGTCCCGTCGCGGAAATGCTTAGTGGCGCAACACATCGATGGGCCGAACGCTCAAGGCTCTGGTGCCGCAGCATAACTATGACCATGAGGTTCGTATGCTGTGGGACGCACGCATGAAACCTTAACTATCTGCAGGTGCTGGCCAATCAGCTCTTCTTTCTATTGTTCGCCTTCATGTGAACGAGGATACTTCCGGATGCCCGGTACTTATCTCTGGCTCTTAAGAAAAGGTGCTCTTGCCTGCCTCGCGACTGTCGCATCCGTCTTTCATTCCGTACCGCCACTGAGATGTTGATCCCAAACTCTCCGCCGCCTCCCTACGCAGGCTCGGCTGTCACTCACGACTACAGACAGCATCGACCGTCGATCAGTGCCGATGTAGTCGTGCGTGAGGCGAAGTTCCGTGTCAATGACTTGAAGTTGCCGGTTACCTTCGAGCAGTTGTCAACTCAGATGGTTGCCCGAGGTTCGACCACAGCAGCCTGTCCATACCTTTTACTGACGTCTATGCCGCAATGGTGTCGTGCAGGACATCCCGCACCCCGGTACTCATCTGCGAGCCAGGTGAACTGAAGCTCGAGGTCACGGACGGACGTCGCGATTCACCCCAGGCGAAGGAGGGAAAATAAACATGCAAGTGGTGTATCAATGTTGCTGCACGGTTGTCTGACGTCTTCGTCTCTAGTGACCAGCCGTTCTTACACTACTACAATAAGGTGTACCTACCTGCTATCCGTGGCGACGTTGGCGAGCGATCAGCTGGGAACCCCCCTCCCTATGTCAGTGAATCTTGCATCAAACGGGACCAGACGATTATTGAAGTCGGCGGAGTCAACATACAACTGCAGAGGTATGATGCGATGAGTAGTCGGATGCATTCAACACTGATGATCGACATAGGACGATCCGTGTCCCAGGTAAGAACAGATAATGTTGTCATGTACCTCTTCATCTCAGGGATCTGCAGATAACGACAAGCTACAAGCATTGCCTCCCAATATGGGGGCGTTCAAGGTTTAGTCAGTGTATGTTCAACACTACTACGACTATCACACTGATGACGGGCACGTCGCAGCAATGTTGCGGACTTCGCAGACAACTCCCCCAGTCTGTAGTCAACAAAGGCGGTGTCTTCATTGTATGTCGTCGTCGCTTGCAGTGGCCGGTCTAGTCACACTGATAATGATTGGTAGGCTATGTATCAGAGGGAGGCCATGTGGATCTCTTTCTCTCATCCTACGAACAGCAGGGTGCATCCGCTGTGAAAGTATCTGTTGGCGGAGTGAATGCCCTCACTGGGACAGCACAGGGTATGCATAACGAAGGTGACCAGGATTATCTACCAATCCACGACAGTGGTGGTCAACTGTATGTTGATTTGTACTTACCAAGTGAGATACTTTGACTCAAATTCTCACAGATGGCTGGTAAGGATATTTCAATTTCACTCATTAACAGTATCCTTTATCACCTTCACAGGATGGAATCTGTACTTCACCTGGTGTTGTCCGCCGTGAGTACACTCATTTTGCTCATAATCACAGATACCATTCATATATGCCATTGTCTCATTAGAGTTTGTTGCTATGCCACTGGGCCATGGTTACACTATTGAGGGTCAGATAACTGGCAAAGAGGTAGGTCCTCTATCATTTTCAGCTTTGACATGATCATTGTCTTATGTCTTTCAGGAAGTTGGAGGAATGCAGATTGATGTCTTCAAGCCATACCCAACTGCTGTCACTTTCAGATGCAATGGAAAGGACATGAACCTCTTTAGGTCACCAGCTCAACAGGGATTGAGACCATCAGTTTCTTTGTGGATGCATGACAGTGCTGAGTGAGCTCTAATCATGGATCATCCTGCTAGTATCAGTGATCCAAATGACAATTTTGCCTTGTCTAGCATATCTCAACAACTGGTACCAGGAGATATAGTGGCACAAGCAACCCTCACTGCTTGTACAAACATACAGATCATTGCTTATGATAGTTGGCCATGTATGTCATGGGATTGCATGGCAGTCTTAGTTACAAGACTGAATTTTGACACAGTGACCATCAAAACACTCAATGGAAAAGAAATCAAGGTGCCGTACGATAATCAACTTACCATAGATGGCCTCAAGGCACAAATACAAGACAAGGAGGGCACTCCACAAGACCAACAGAGATTGATCTTTGCTAGTAAACAGCTGGAAGATGGAAGAATCCTATCTGGTATATATTGTTGCCATGCAACATTGCCGACACTTAAGTAGATTACTGACTACGCCCCTAGATTACAACATCAAGCCTGGGTCAGCCCTGCATCTAGTCCTCCGGTTGAGAGGTGGTGGACTCGGAGATGCAGATGCCATAGCTGGGTTTGCTGCAGGTGGGCGGATTTCCCAAAAGATCAACCGAGACACATTGCCGCCACTGGCATACGATGATGCTGCCCCGACGAGGCTTCATATCACGGTCATTAATGCGGCACATTTCTCTGCCATGACAGGCCTTCCTGCCCCCTCTACTCCCGTCAGCACCTCCACTTACCTCGAGAACAAGCTGCCGTGGTTCACCCTTTACGACGAGCGTGTCCCGACTGCGAAGATGAACTTTGAGGCGAATCCACTCCCCAAAGTCAAGTCTGTCGCGGCGCTGGATGCCGAACGCGGCATGCAGAGAAAGACCACATCGCAGAGGGGGTGCGCCTTCTGCGTCCACGGCAAGGCTGCCTTCCTCCTCCACCCCTGCTCTCACGTCGTCTGCGAGGACTGCGCGTCCGGGCTTGGCTCCGACGTCTGCCCCGCATGCCCGACGACCGTTCGTCGCCGAGAGAGGTTCGTTGACGAAGAAGACAACCCGCAGTTCGGACTGGAGGCCGGATCATACGAGGACCGCGTCGTTCATTTGAAGCGGTATGCGAAGGGCGACAAGGTGGCGAGTTTTATACTGCGCGAGCATGCGGTCTCGAAGTTGTCGGGAGATGGAAAGGCGTGAATTCTGCCTCGAATTTGTTCCGTGTTACATCATCCGTCTGTCTGTGCCATGTACAATATAGCGAGTTCGAAAAGTCCAGAGATATTTGAACATAGTGCTTCATCTGAGTCCGGCGCATTGTGCATGTCGCGTGCGAGCGCTCGAGCGATGTGGGCGACCGGTCCTTCGTCTTCTGAGCAGAACGCATACGGTTACCCGCTAGTCCGAGGATGAGGATCTGCACGAAATGCAAGGATTGAGCGGGTAATTGTAGTCGTAAGAGCTGTATTTATTGGTCGAGGCGGAGGTGGAGCTGGTCTGCTCCGCCGAGGTGTCCCTTCAGCACTGGCACCGTGACGTGGCGCTCAGTCTCAGACCCGCTGCTCGTGCACTTCATGACAGCATGCACCCTTTTGTTCGACACCCGCAAATGCTGTGGTACCATGTCTTTGCTAGTCAGACTAGCCTACTAGCTGGTAAACGCACGCTGCATCGGTGCACATGTGGATCAGCGGTGCACTCTAGTGAACAAGACAAAGGAGCTCTTCACATGAAGCGAGTATCGTTGGCGGTACTGAGTTCAACACTCCCCTGCCGATTCGAGTAGTCTTCCAACCCCCTTTGGCAAATACAAGCATGTATATGAGCCTCGAGGCCGGCTTTAGGAGGCTGGCATCTAGCGACTACGTCGCATCGAGAGAGCATAAGCAAGCGGTGCGAGAAGTACAGAGACAGTCGACACTACTTACGTGAAGGGCACATAACCGTGAAAGAGCAGAACATCTCGCGCGCTCACATAGGTGCGTGACGGCCTGTGAGACTCATCAATAACGAATCACAATCGCACGAGGATCACACGTACCCAGGATACATTCGCCGATGGTGCGCAAGCTCTTCGGCGTGACGTAGAACATAGCTCAAGTGGTTGTGGCTACGAGTCAGCCCTCGTGCCAGCGGGTCTGTACATCAAACAAGAGCACGCTTCGTCGGTTACTATAGGCAGCGAGGATTGAGCATATCTCACCTAGAGACTTCGTCCGTTGTACCGTTTCCCCAACAGCGCAAGGTGAAGGATTCTGCCGAGTACTTGACTATGTAGATACACCACACCACCGCCCGAACAGCGGTGAGATGCGCCTGCATCGCCAGGTATGAGGCACGGGATACGCCAGGTTGATTGCCTTACGATGCTTCGATCAAGCAGGGATGCCGATACGCCAGTAAACCGTGCTGGTGCCTGATCACGAATCGGAGCGTGAGGACTCAGGAGAAGGGGTACACGGAGGCATATACGCACAAAATGACCATCGGATGTCGGCGATGCGATACTCAGACGAGTAAGACGGGAATGGCGACAATTCTCGAGGTCTTTGGTCGCCGAACATGACACATCGCTTTGCGCTGAAAGGAATCATACGACGCTACGTAGCCCGTGAAGTAAAGTCGAACTCACTGTAGCTGAACGTTTCCTTTTGGATTCCCTACTTCGTGCCGCTCCTCAGAGCCTCGCGGGTGAACCAACCTATACCCTTCCGGTTCCATGGTCTCGACTCTAGGCGTTGATGAGGACGAGTGCTTCAACGCCCTCTCAGGCTCCATCCGGCACATACAGGACACAGATATGATGTGGACCACTCAGATGAGTTGCACGCCGTGGGAGACGTGTTCAATTGCAAGGTACATCATCGAACGATGTGTATCAAGCTGATTCGACAGAACCTTGGTCGCAGCTGGAGATTGAGTCGGTCGCGGTGGTCGTCTGCAAACACCGCCTCGCCAAGCGTATTCCGAGCTGCTCATAGTCACGTACACCCCTTCTTACCATATAGATGTGAGGACACGACTTCGAGGGCTCTGTGATAAGGCCGAGCCTTCGCGTTGAGAGTGCAGAACAATGTGAGTGAAGATGACAGGCCAAAACCGCGGGACACACGTACTACACACCCGCTGTTCGTGTCATGTTCTCCATATTCGTTGCAAGAACGTGTAGCCTGATCAGCCCGTGCCCTTGCCTCAGAGTGAGACGGTCTAGCCGTTCAGTTATTCAGGTTCTGCGGTGTAAGTCAGAGCGAGTACTTGTGGTAAATTGGCGCCCTGGAAAGGACACTGAGATTATAGACGCCCATACGACGCGCTCTCGACTCGCTTCGAACGCTCTAAATGGACCCCTCCTCCTCCTCCTGTTTCTGCGAATGGGCATCCACCAGCACTGCGCTTCGCGGCCATGTTACGTCGTTATGATCAAGTTGTGAGTCTAACAGTGGTATGCGACGTTAAGACTAGTACTGTCCACGGCATGATTGCGACTGGCTGTGCGCCGCCGTCACGGTGCATCAAGCTGAGCGGGTCATCCTTGATTGCGGCAAACGCACTGCGTGCAGAAGACGGGATCGCGTGCGTAGCCATGCGAACGAAACAAGAACGCGGGAACAGATCTACCCTCTACCCGGCGCGCATTAAAAGCTGCTTGTCGCCCAATTGCCCGAGCCAGGTGCCGGTGAATCCTCATCACCCAGATTCGACCTCACTTCTCTTCGCGGCATCATGATACCCAGCGTCGGTGCCTTGACAGTCCTCCTCGCCTCTTTCGCCACCTACTGCGCCGCAAGTGAGGCATTCTTCGCAACGGCGATCGTAACAGACGCTAAGAACAACTCGGCCCTCGAGTGCTGGCAGCTAGACGCAAATGTTTCTGTCTCCACTGGTGCGGGTACTGCGGGTGCGATGACCATCCAGCTGGGTAACCTTGCGAACGTGACATACACCGCGCTCCCGGCTAACTTCTATGGCGGTGTCCACAACGCGCCTTATCCCCAGTGAGTCGGATATATCGCCTGCATACTGCGTGAGCTGACCGGCTACGCAGATGGGTCGTCTTCACCTCTGGCCTGGCGGTAGTCACCCTGCCAAACAACACAGGAACGGCGTATGTACCGGGAGGGCCGAATGGCATCATTATCGCGGTGGACACGACCGGTAGTGGCCACAATACTTCGTACCCCACCAACAGCGAGACGATCGGGCTTCAGATACCCTTCGCCAACGGCATTATTCCGTCCCACACAGTCACGAGCGAGGGGCCTTGCGTCGGGAATCAGGTGCAGAATGTTACGGAGACAGAGTGAGACTGGAGTTCAGGTATGTCTCAGTTTGTTGCATTGAGAACAGCCTTGCTTAGGGTTGGTAGAGACAGTCGGAGCGTGATGGGACAAGTTACTGGAAGTCTAATCATACGTTAGTCAAAAATTCATAATCATATGACGCATTTCGCGTTGAAAGTGGCGAGATGGGACCATCATGACCCTTCATAACACTGGTACGGACGAACTTCACACTGGTTGGTACGCTTCGCTCAGCAGGTACGCGTCGCTGGTGATTTCCGTCCCGTTCGACTCGATATGATATTGTAGCAGGTGAGCTGCTGCAAGTCGAACGGAGGTTTTGTCCTCGCTCAATACAGGCATTCGAAGGCTGTATGCGCGCGGGAGCCCAGTTCACACCACTGTCTCTGACGACAAATGGGAAACTTCGTACATCGTCCAGAATCTCAAACATCGCCACCTTCAAGTTCTTCCCTATCTCTGCTTTCTTTGGTCCTGGTATTCATCCCATAGGACCCGTACTGAATCATGATTGCGATGTCACGGTCGATCCTGGTGCAGCAGAGGATCGGAAAGACGTCCCTCGAGGTGGAAAGAACAGGAATGACAGGAAACGTTCACAAACGATGTCGAACAGAATGAAGTGTCTCGGAGTATCATACGGTGCGTGTACTGGCCGCGTATTATGTATATGATATAATACTATATGCTGCTCACAACAGTTGACTCCTCGAGCGCGACAGGTGGTTAGTGTGGCATCTGCAGCACGTTCCTATAGTTGGCCACGCCGTCGGACACCTGCACAATCGCGCAGGCTGCCGTGTAACATGCAGAATTGGGATACGGGAGCACTCGCCTATTGTCCCGACTCTAGCATTCTGTGCGTTGGGATACATGGGAAACCTCCACGGTCCTCTGGCTGTGACGGGTATGTATGATACATCGGCGGACAGTCGACAAGGTTCTGAACGACTACATCCATGGCATTCTCCAATACGCAATGGTAGCTCGGGTAGTGACCCCAGATAGGCGTAGACGTCGAGCTTATCCGCGATGTTTGTGAGTCTACTACTATGTACTATATCATTGTCCGCCATGCATGTGTACGACCACGAGTATCTTGCGTGACTGGAACTGAATATGTAGGCTAAAGGACTATGAGTGGTGACAGCGTCTTGATCAATTATTCGATCCTTCGAAGTGAGTGTACTAGACTACATAGTACACGCTTATTTTGGGGAGAGTCATACCCACTCGATCGAGTCGTCAGCCACAGAATCCTCAAGAAATGACCTCATCAAGAATCACCTTGTCGCCTCAATCCTGAAACCAGTATCATAGACTCCACAACAGTCAGACCTGCAAGCCTTTGCAGATCCTCCTCTAATTTGTCTTTGCGGCTCTCCGAGACGAGGTTTCTCGTAGCATTGATCATGGCCCCATTCTTCAATCCGATGCACTCCAGCTTGCTGGCATAAACCTCGGGATCCCAGCCCAACGATTGGATATACCGTGCGACGTCAGGATCTACTCCTGCGATGGCAGTAGGAAATTGGCTCGAAGGAGTGGTTTGAGCGAGATGGCTATCGCCAGCACTTGCTTGATGCGGGTCTGCGAGGCCATTAACTCCGTCTCCTTTTACGACGAGAGACATCGCGGCCGTCGCTCTCACTAAACCCGATGGTGTCAGGCCATCGGATTCACCTTCACTGGAATTCGGCTTCTTTGGAAGAGGTGACGGCGATGGGACCGGCACCCCAGTGCGGGCCGTCTTGGAGGCGACATCGCAAGAAGCCTGCCGCTCTGGCACGCCTACACTTTGCTGAACAAGACTCATGCTCCGTGTACCGGATGGGGATGTGGCCATTCCAACGTCGCTGTAGATTTGGGAATTCTTCGGGGGAAGATTGTCCTTAAGCGGTGCGATGCGGTGGCTGCTGTGGTCGGTCGAAGGCGCGGGTGGTACAACTTCCGGTTTGCGACTGTGTGTCGAGCCACCAACCTGATAGTCCGGAACGCGCACCTGAACTATTTGCGCATCAGCCTTATAATGGGGAGGGTCTACAGCAATATTAGAAGCTTGTATCGACATCTTCATGCCATCTGGCGCGAGTTTCGCGCGCTTTGGCTCCTGCTCCCTTGAGTGCTGCCTACTTGAATGTCATCAGAGAATGCGTAGCGCAGCATACGCCTAATAACTCACTCATCTGCGCATTCACTGCCTTCGCTACGCACAAGCTTCCTCTTTGTCGGGGACGCTTGTCCATTATTGGACACTCGAGGCTGCGGTACTACTGGTGGGCCTTGGGGTGCCAGGCTGGGCAAAGAACGAGGCAGAGGCGACTTCGTCTTGACAGACAAGACTGTACTGGTTGCCCTGTCTACGAGTGGGCTGTGCTTGAAAGCAAGAGTGGACTCTACTTCCTGTTTCTGTGATCCAGGTTGTGCGAGGGAAATCTGTGGTAACGGCTCGTTATCGAGCAACGTGGTCGAGGGACGGGGCAACACAGGCGAAGAGAGGGGTTTGCATATAAGCCGGGGTAGCTCGGGCGAGTGCTGGGTCACTGCGTCTTTTGACGTGCTCGGTGGGGGATGCGGCTGTGTCAACGACGGTCGAGTGAGCGAAAAACGCCTCCGTGGTAGCGGCAATGGCAGAGGTCGTGCTTCCGTAAGTTCGGGCCCAGCATCAATGCTGTTCGCTTGGCTTGCTGGTGTGGCCCCGATCTCGTCCGTAACCACTTTCAGCGATTGCGCGACAGTGCCAGGTGCAGGAGCTGACTGGTGACTCGGACTCTGGGCGTCAGCTGGAGCGAGTTCGCTGCGTGTGTCGCCGGGTTCGTTTGTGGCGATGTCAGTGGCAATGGAAACCATCGTCGTTCCCATACTTGAGCCACTGACAGGATCAGGTGCGGGCCGTGAGGTTGGTTTACCTCGACGGTCCTCAGGCTCACATCCTCCTGTAGTCGTCGCTTTCATTGTGCGATGACGAGCTCGAAGGACAATGTCCGGTGATAGCGAGGTTCGCACATCTGCGTTTGCAATCAATGTCAGTGCACGTTGGGAAGCATACAGTAAGGAGGTTGACTGTACACGGTGCTGCCTCAGCGCGAAGCCTTGCAGATACCCTCCTGCTAACCAAGTCACCGTTGCGGTCGAATCCAGATTCCCTGTAATCCGGATCTTCATCAGCCTGAGACTCGGCTTCCTCGCTGGAAGCTCCAAGATCAACATCATCGCTGTCCTCTTCTTTGAGCGTGTCATCCCAAATACGCGCATCCATTGTCGCCAGACCTGCCCACGGCGGAGATCCGACTGCATCGGATGAATCGACGTTGGTGACAGTTGCGTCCCATTTCTCCAGAAAGTTGGGATCTTCACCGAGATCGTCGAGGCCACGTTCGTTTGCACAGATGCGCCGCACAGACCGGATAGAGCAGTTAAAAAATCTAGCAATTTTTTGACTGGAGCTTGTTGCTCGTTGCGCATTCGCCGGATGGCAGCGCGCCTGACGCGGTCAATTCGCATCCCGATATCGTCCCGGTGGTGAGGTCAGTGAGGCGGTCTATAAGTACTCAGTTAAACCTGATCATCAATAAGGGGTGGCACTCCTCACCGTAACACCGCTTCTGATCTAAGCTAAGTAGTCAACGATTACAGGTTTGAACTTCAGGAGCTCGAGATAGCTAACACTGGCACGTACACGGTGGTACAGATCAAGTTTTGGATTCGTCTTGAGTTTGTGTGACGACTGTCAGCTTATGCTAGGTGGAATGTGTCTCGATCCTAATCGCATGCAGAGGCGTGAGATCTTGAGACCTTGAGGTCGAAGGCGTGAACGTGACCGACCACTTATAGCCCGCTTGACTCCGCGACGCGGCGCAACTCTGTGCGCAGTAAGTACCAAGCAAGTAGGCAACTTAGTACTTCCGTAGATCGCGCCGTGCTTTGCATTGTCGATACTCGTCTCGAGAACAACCCGCCTTCTGACATTGAATCGCGGTCTGCCGCGGCCATGCTACCTTTGTCGCCTCAAACCCGATATCAACGCCGTCGCCTCGACGATCGTCAATCCCGCCTGGCCAGGCGCCTTTGTTCACGGGCAGGCCGTACAGTTGGGCGCTGAGTGTGCTAGCTGACTTTTCTGAAAGCAGGCCAAGCGATGATTGCAGTGCGTCTTGCTCAAGATTGTTCCTCGGTATAAACGTAGCAGGCCTTTGCCGAAGCTTGGCTCCTTTGTACCACTGCGTCGAAGTGTCACTGTAAGAAGCGCGTGTCAACTTATTGGTGGCCTTCCGTTACTAGCTTACGGTGACCTACGTGTCAGCCAGGCATCACTCCTCTTCACAGGCGTGATCCGTGGGACGGGCAATGGTGTGACACACGATCTCAGCCTCCACCGGGGAAGCTGGGGTCGTGCTTGAGGTAGAGAACTGGGAGTCTCCGAGCTCTGCTTGACTTAAAAGCGGAAAGCAGGCCTGGATTACCTCCTTGCTGATTTTGGCTGACGACAGCAGAAGTTGTCGCCATGGCCTTGCGACGTACGACATCTCAAAAGCCGCCATTTCGCCCACTTTGGCTCGGGGGCAGCGCGGATGACGACGTGTGTACATCTGCCATTAACCCTGAATCTGCGGAAATTGAGACGTACCAGAGATAGGATACAGACATGGCACTCATCCCCGCGCAGTCTCGCCGAGTGTATGCCAGTGGCCCCAGAACCCAAGAGATCTGCGAATTTCGGAGCATGAGATGGTACGCGGGTGTTAAAGTTATGGAACTCACGAAGCATCCAGTCCAAGTACCCTAGAACAACTGCATCAAGGCAAGGCGTCATTGATAGCATAGCTCGACTAACCAGCGGATAAACTCCTGGACACCACTGTCATCTCTAAGACGATTCAATAGGGTGTATACGTGTACTCGTAGGTGTGGATTGTACAAAACCTTCACAGTTTCAGGCTGTTCATGAAACAAAGCCGGTGACTGTTCAAACATACAGTGGTCGTAGGACCCGTTGCCGGACATCCAACGTAGAACCGGCCGTGAAAACAGCATACACTAGTCCACATACAGTCCTTCACATAGAGGTATAAAAAGCCTACCGTTTCATGTCCCTCGTCCATACACATTCCTACAGTCTCATCAGTGACCGAGGTTCTCATAAAACCTCACGATTCCTCCAATCCCGGGGCACAGAGCCAAGCGCACGCGCTCGTTCTCCCTCCGCATGACTGCCTTGCCCCTGTCCTCGAGCCACGCCACGGCGCCGCCGTTCCGTACCATCTCGCTGCGCGCCTTGACGAGCTTCGCGAGGCGGTCGCGCTGGATGGACCACTTCAGCTTGCGCATGGCAGGGATGAGTGACGGCGAGATCGCCGCGGAGGAGAGCTCGTCTGGGAGGACGCGCGCGGAGTAGACATGGAAGAGGCTAGTGGGAGAGCGTCGCCGCAGGGCGGACTCTACGATGTTGCCCGCGTGCGTGCGCTGGAGGCGGAGGGAGACCTCGTACTGTGCAACCATCTGAAGAAACAGAAGGTACATGGTGAGCATCTGGCTTGCAGACAACCTGGAGAGGTCGTGGGCGACATACGTGCTGCGAGTAAAAGTACATTCCCGCTCTCCACCGTCGTTCTATTCCAAGGCCGCGCATGATCCCGCGATGCACTAGGTCGCTGACCGTTGGCCGCAAGGGTGTACCCTCCGAATTCTGTCCGAACAGGGAGTGCGACACACGAGAGGGCGCGACTACATGGAGGCGGTGATGGTGCAGTACGGGGTCTTCGGCATAGCACGCGAGGACGCAAGAGACACGAGCAACGCTGGCGAGCTCTGGAAGATCCAGGAATGAGACTTAAAACACTATTGTGAGCACGTCAATAGTATAGCTAGACAAGAACTGCGGACATATATGGAGCCAGACTTCCGGAGGTACAACATGGATAATATCGTCACAAGTCGTTAAGCTCATAGGGCAGCGTATCAGAGAGGTTGATTTGACCAGAGATGATGAAGGCAAGAGACAAGCAGCAGACGGCGAGAAACCCCGCAGCGGGTATGTTATGGTCGGGAGCAGCGTCGCGGCGAGCAACGCGCTACATTCGGTAATCGAACTAACACGTGATTGTCGCGTACACGATCGCACGGGCGCTTCCGGACGCGTTCCAAGACAGACAGAACACGAAGCACACACCCACCAATTGTCAACTAGCAACTCTCCTGAGTCTCAGAGGGACAATCTCGGCAAGTCAAGTAAGTGATATCGAAATCGTCTTGAGGGAAAGAGCGGATCCAGGTAAGGAAGAAGAATGATTCTAGAGTACATCCAGCGCTGGTATACGTACAACACATCTGCGACGAGGTATCAGCGTCCAGACCTGAACGCGTTACGCGAATATGACCTCACCCACCGTATCAACTTGCTCGGTACATGTTAGGACGAAGTGTTCCGAGCATTTGAACGACCACCGCCAGCCTTCTTCTTTCCACCGCGGCCTGCTCGGCGGCCGTTGCGTTTGCCCCGACATGTCTCGCAGTACCACTCTCCAACTGGTGGTATTTGGAGGCCACGCACATGAGGTGGAACTGACGCAAATCATCAGCAAATTGAGCAAGCATCGCATTAAGCGCACTCACCCATTCAGTATCACAGCTAGCATCGTCACACGCGATCATCTCTCCGTAACTGACACCATTGCACACACAATACGTCTTGCCGTCATCGCCCTCGCCCTCGCCTTCCCCAGCAGGTGCAACAGCGCCCTCGTTCTCGTCGACTACAACAGCAGAGGTGTTGACGAAATTGCGGGCAACTGGCATCCCAGGGCCCTCCAGCTGGCCGGGCGTCCACTCGCCCATCCCGTTCAGAGTGTGCGCGAACGGGTTCGGAAGAGAAGGGTGTGCAGCGGAGGCTGAGGGAGGTGGGACATACATCTCGTGTACTTGGTCAACTGGTGTCGAGGCATGGTGTTCATGGTTTTGCGCTGCACGAGAGCGTTTGTTGGCTGCATTGCCGTTACCCGAGCGAGAGGGGGCATTCTGGCGAGGGTGAGGAGCGCCCAAGATTTGCGCGCTCGGTGGCAAGTGCGAGGCCACCGACATCAGGGATTCAGCGGGTGAAGCGGCACGATCGGGCCTTTCAGTGCGGTTTGTTAGAAAATAGATGCTGCTCTGACTTTGTTGTGAGCGTACCGTTTGCTTCTCGGACCATTGCGCTGCCGTCCAGCGTCAGCATTCCTCTCTTTCCTCGGCGTCTTGCCCACCGCCTCCGACTCATCATCTCTCCCCGCTGCCCTCTTCCGCTTCGCTGGGCTTGCGTCCACTGAGCCGCTCGCAAGCAAACTCCCATACGCTCCTCTTCTCTGTCGGCGCCCTTCTCCGAGGCCGCCTTGCAATGAGGTAGAGTAAGGCGCCACATGAGGGTAGACCGTCTTCCGGCAGAGTGCATCGATGCTATCGAAGTCGCGGTCTGGAACGTTCTGCAGGAGGGCTTTCATATGCGACTTGTGACCACGGAGGCCGTCTGCAGCATGACAAGCAACGCGTATCTTGTCCTCGCTGCCGAGCTTGAGGCGGGTGGCTTCCTCTGCGATGTCGGCCAGCAGCCACAGGCGTTCCTCCTTGGACCCAACGTTGGTTTCGAGCATGTTGGTGAGTTGGGTGATCTTGGCGGTCAAGGATGTCATCGAGGCAGATAGGACAGCATCAAGCTCGCGAAACTCGGCAAAGTTGCGGGAGAGGTCGAGCGGGAGAGAGTCGAGTGTGTGGGTATACTCGCCGAGGATGACAAGGGAGTGAGCGGTGGCCACGGCGTTGGAAGAGGACGCGTTGGGTGCGCGACGAGACATGGTCGCCTGGTGAGGGCGGGACAAAACGATAGAGGACGACCGTCAAATGGCCGTGCTGCAGGGTCCCTTCGCGGTGAACTAGACGCCCATGAGGAATTAAGGTTGGGCACGTGCGCCGTAGTACCACGTGGCCAGCTGAATCGGGAATTGCCCGATATGGGTATTGTCCTCCCCGGTCACCGTGACGGTGCGACGTGCGACTTTGCTGGTTTGTCCACTACCGTCACTCTCCCGCGACGGCCAGCGAGTACCTTCCCATCTTCGTGATACGGTGGGCACGGGCTGCTCACTGCAGTGGACGACGAGCGTGTCCAAAGAAAGCATATTGATTGATCGCCCCCGCCAGTGAAGGACGGCGGCTGTGTGGAGTCTTGCGCACCAGTCTCTGCTCTTCCTCACCTTTCTTTCATTCTACCTTCATTCTTCATGGACTCCCCGTCGGTCCTTGTCGTACCTCCAACCCCTCTCGACCCTTCACGGCCGCCTGTCTCGCCCCCGGTCTCCTCGGCTGCGACGACGCCTGACCTCTCCGTCGACGATTCCAGTCGCGAACGCGCCTCCTCCGAAACGACCATCGTCACGATATATTCTATGTACGAGGAGGACGAAGGCAGCTGGTCTGCCTCCCCGTCCGTGCTCCACCCCGGCAAGGACACAGCAGTCGACGTCGCTGTCTTGGGTGTCGACCGCAGAAGCACGACACCACGGTGGAGTAGGCCGGTCGAGGACAGCGCATACTTCGAACAGGACACCTTCAAGCGGGCGAGCATCGTTGAAAAGGCACGGCAGTCCGTCGTCTCTAACGGATCCGTCCAGCTTGCCTACGCCGAGCGGCCCCCGTCAAGTCAGGCGCGCTCGTCAAAGACGTCTTACACTGACGCGCGCCATCTCTCCAACGGCTCTGCACAACCCTCGGCCTCAAACAGTCGGAGTACATCTAGTTACGCTACTGCCAGCGACGGCACTCCTCGGGTACTGTCCTATGCCTCTCTATCTGTGCCAAACAGTCGACCGTCATCCAGTCAACCCACCTCGCCTACCACCCGACCTCGGTCATCCTCTCCGCATCTCACGCCCGCTTCCACACCGCCCCCACAAGCGCTCTCCCTCGCCGCAACGCCCCCACGGTCATCTCCGCCCCACCTCCCGTCTTCTCCCAGCTCACCATCAAGTGCGGCATCAATCACCCCTGCACCGGACGAAGACCCGGATGCATTCCACGTGCGCTCGACCTATGCGCAGCTGGACGTATGCGGCGTGCGCGGCGATGGGTACGAGGAGGGCGTAGAGCGGACGCGCGCACGGGTCGGGGGCAGCCGCGCGAGCGAGCTGCGGGCACAGGAGGCGCTTGCGGACGCGCACGAGAAGACGCGTGAGCTCACGCCGCAGGAGGTGGGCATGCTCGCGAGCCTCGACCGGTGCGTACCAGTGCCATGTCTTGCTTATCGCCGCACACGTCTGACACAAACACAGCTATGGTTTCTACGTGACACCTTCTCATGACCGGTGCATACTGCTGCACGCCGCCCCGCTGCTGAAGCCTCTCGCGCGACTCAGCTCGGCTAACACGAGCGGGCCTGCGAGCCCACCGCTGTTGCCGTCCCAGCTGTCGCTGCCACTCCAGCCGAAGGAGAAGTCGCGCGTGGCGAAGTGGTCGCGGATGCTCGAGGCGCGGGAGCGCGATCCTGGGTCCAACATCGAGGCGTGGGGTGTGCGGTCGTCGAAGGAGCACAAGTTGCGGGAGCGGACGTTCAAGGGGATCCCGGACTGCTGGCGGAGCGCGGCATGGGACACGCTGATGTGCAGGTTCTCACGGCATGGCAAGGCAGAGACTCGAAGGCTCTCAGGAGAGTATAGAGAAGCTCTCGATCGGCCTTCGACGTATGATGTGCAGATCGACCTGGATGTGCCGCGGACGATTAGTGGCCATGTCATGTTCCGCACGCGATACGGTCAAGGGTGGGTTCTAGCGCATGTGTGTTGACTGTGCATACTAACCGCGAATGTAGGCAAAGGTCACTGTTCCATGTCCTCCACTCGTTTTCATTACACTGCGAAACCTGCGGGTATTGTCAAGGCATGGGGCCAATTGCGGCGACCCTTCTCTGTTATTTCGAGCCCGAGCGTGTATACGCGTCACTCGTGCGCCTACACGACGCCTACCAAATGCACACGATCTTCAGCCCCGGGTTTCCAGGCCTGCTCGAGGCGATATACGTGCAGGAGCGGATGATGGAGCAGCTGCTGCCCCCGGTGTACGCCGCGTTCAAGAAGCACATGATCTCGACGACGTCGTATGCGACCAAGTGGTATATCACGCTATTCGCCAACTCGGTGCCGTTCCAGACGCAGCTGCGATTATGGGATGCGTTTCTCCTGGAGGGGCACGACATATTCGTGGTGGTCGCTGTGGCGATTGTGTGGATACATAGGGGTGAGTCTGCGTAATTAAATTTCGTGACGGCGCTCCGTGCTTATTGTCTCGGGCTAGATCACATCACGTCTGCCTCGGCAAGTTTTGAGACGGTGTTGTCGCTGCTGTCATCTTTCTTCGTCCCTGAGGACGAGAACGCGCTTCTGTCGTGGGTCGAGAAGGTGGTTGCTGACAAGAAGCTCCGCTCGAGTATGCGGCAGTGGCGGGCGGACTGGCAACGACTAGTCGAGTCAGGCCAGCAGAACTCAGCGCTGCTCTAGGCGAGGTGAGGCGCGGTACCGTGCCGCACGTATGGTGGTGATATTTTTACGTCGTCGGTGGTTCTCTTTACTTCCAGTCCGAGTGTTGACCGTATCATTATACCGTCGGATTTCTGGACTATTCATTCGCTGCACTCGGTCTGTCTGTTTGCTGTTTTCTGTGGTTTCCATCTTACGCTCTCTTCTCTCCTCGAGCCTTCTAAGCTATCCCGTTTGATATCCGCATCGTAGTCGCCTCGCATCACGGACGTCCATGTCAGGTGCTAATCTTGAACCCTCGTCGTAGTACAGTACAGTCATCACTTCCCGCATCGTCGTTCGCAATCCGCATCCATGTATCGCATGTGCAATGAAACATATGTTCTGCTGAAACTTGGGAGGGCTGGTCAATGCCACGGGGCCTGCGTGTCGCCGTTCTGGAAGGAAAGTCATCATTCCGTACTACTCCTCGAGGCGAATTGCACATCTGCCGGTATAAGGTTGTACGTAAAGCCACATCTCCGAGTCAGTAGAGAACAACGTTCATATAACGCTCTGGGAGAGTGTGGGACTGGTGCCGCGCCACATCGCTTGAGCGCTTACGCGATCCTCAGCTCGCGAGGGGCTCCCTCCCCTTGCCTTTGATGCCTGGACTTCCACTACGACGCCCGCGCTGCATCACACCGCACGCGCGCGCTCGTACGTCAGGCCGCTCGTGCCCCATGGTCGGCTGGTGCTCGAGAGATGCGTCTTGCGCCCGACCAACTAATTTGAGCCGCTCCCTTCATCCAGATATGGCAAGTCAGTGTCGCGGAGCTTGAGAAGCGCATCTGCATTTGGACGATCCCTTGTACTCTGCTCCCGGAATGGCAGCCCTTCTTCGAGCCTGATCCCAGCGCAACCGCTAGCAACCATATAAACAGAGAACAAGAATGCGTTGTGTCTCCCTCAAGCCCTTCCAGCCTGGTTGGCCCGCCTCGACATTGTCGCCGCCCTGCCGCTCTCGACTCGAGGCCACTCTCCTCCACCGCGTAACGACTACCGGGTCGACGTGCACCATCGGCCTCTGATCTATTCCCTACGCCCTCCGAGCCCGCCATGTCGTCGAACTACACGTCGCCGCCGTCGTCGCCAATCGCGAGCTTCTTCCCCACGGCCCGCTTCCCCGCACGCGTTCTCGTCCTTCCACCAGTCGCCGCGAGACGGGCACGCAATGTACGCGGCCCTCGCACCTTCGCACAGCGAACGTGCAGTCTGGTGGCCAGGCCAGCTCGGGCACGGCAAGAAGTTCATACAGAGGAAGTGAAGGAGGGAGAGCTCCGCGAGGATCCGTGCGCAGGCGCACGTCCCGCGGGCGAAGGCGATCATAGACGAGGCGACGGCGCCGGACTCGCCAGCCGTCGAGAGGATGGGCGGGAGAGAATCCGCCATCAACGTCAACACTAAAGGCCGCTCGTAGGAGAGGTCCGCCACGACGGGTCCAACGACCCATTGACAATGACCATACACCGCTCACGTTCCGCATCCACGACACGTTGCACATCTTTCAGTCATCCACATGCCCATTACAGTTCACTCCCATATCTCTTGCATCTACGCACCACTTGACATCCCAGCGCCTGCGTTCGAATTTGTAGCCATACCATTTTATTGTCTCGCTCTCGCCCTCGTCTCTTTTAGCCGTGACTCTATACCGGCATCTCGTTATTGTACTCGTAACCATCTCATCTAACGGACACTGCATATTCTAATGGGTTCTGGCAGAATGCACTCGGATTGTTCCATGTCGCTGGCGTCCGAACGTAACTCTGTTCTGCGCGTGGTAAGCCTCGTCCGCCAATGACTTCTCAATTCACAGCGCTGTAGTCCCAACATCATTGGTCCATCGCGTCATGTTCACATGCCGACGTACCATTCACCGACGTTGGTGAGTGCCTGATCATTCAAGTTCGTGTACTGCGTTGACGTAGCATGGCCGTAGTATATCCACCTGCTGGCAAATTGGCCTTTTTCAGTATGCCTGCCGAGATCGTCTCACACCATGATCTCTTACCACATCGTTCCGATTCTGCATCCGTCAGTCTGTACGCATGACTTTCTGGACCTGAGCGTCTCGCCATAGATGCCAACGGCCTGCTCAACTGCTCAAGCTATCGGCAGTGAGCAAGACCTATTGCACCGCGACCCTGCAACAAAGGAAAGCACTGCCGTGATAGCCTTGAAGCCGTTGACATCTGGTGCGTGCCAGATCCGCAGTCGCCAAGGCCGTGTTGTTATGTTTTAGAGGTCCACCCACGGTATATCTTCTGATCCTCTATAGCGAGTGGGCGCTCACCGAAATCACGCTAGCTCGCAACAATATTCGGTCTCTCATATATGACACCACCGTACGTCGACCGTTCAAGAACGTTTCCGCACGAACCCTGGCAGGCATGCATCCTCGCAGACCATCCCAAAGACGCACCAACGCGCCGTCATCCGGGACATGCGCCACAGGCAGCACGTCACTTACAAGGAGATTGCCACATTCATCGGTGCTCTTGCCGTGAAGCTCGATTGGCCGTGGCGAACGGCCATGGCGATGACCTCAGCGAAGATGGGAAGCACCTCAAGGGTGGGAGGCGGTGACCGATGTCGACACGTTTGATAACGCGGAGGTTGTGGCGGCTCAAGCTCGAGCCCTGGCACAACAGGAGCGCCAGGGAGCGAAGAAGTGAAGGAGGAAGTGCAAGAATGGACATGGATGATGCGCGACAAGCTCAGCCTCAGGCTGGCGGTGACAGCGAACCTGACGGCGGCGCCACCGAAATTGTTATGGCACATATGTGGCGCACGGAATCCGAGATCGAGTTTGGAGAGACCCTTTCTGACAGCAGCGAGACTAGCACCAGCCAAGTCAGCGAGTTTCAGCCCGATGATAGCTCCGACTCGGAGCACGACTTGCCTCTGTCCGTTATTCATCGTGCAAGGATTTCAGCAAGACTGCGAAGGGAGAAGGCGCCATGTTAGTTTCGTTCCCTTGTACGTATGGACTATAGCAAGCTTGTGCTGATGATAATCGTTCTGCAGATGTGCGCACGTCTCTGTCTTCCGACGTCGTGATACGTGCCGCCCGCAAGCACACGAAGCGGCGGGCATCTCAAAAACGTGCGCCTCGCAATACCGGATATGCGACGCGCCCAAACTCACTGCCTACGGCTACGACCTCTGCTGCTATCATGGACAAGAGCCAAGACCAACAGGAATCCGATACAGGCTCGCTTTCTGCTACTAACAACCAATGCTCAGAGATAGCCAAGCTTGCACCTCGGGTCCTCCTAGAGCTCCCCAGACGGAACCTGAGATCGCGTGCCACACCTACGGATCACGCCTGTGAAGAGGGACAGCGATGCCCGACTGACATTGGCATATGCACGGATGCGTACGTCGCCATAACTGTTATGACCGCGGTCAGCTACTCATAAATTGACATGTCTCTTATAGTGTGACTTCGACACAGTGGGCCAAACGGGCCAAGCTCGGACCCGCTACCTTTACCACGAGGAACAGTCTCGGTCTCGAGCAGAACGCACCTCGGGAGACTGAGGCTTCAGCGCCCGCGCATTCCCAGCTTGCCACTGCAGAAAAAGCCACAGAGACGCACTGCGATCGGCCTGCTCCGCGCTTCTCAAAAGGTACGCAGAAGATCTTGCCTTCCTCGCGACCAAGAGATGATTCATAACGGGAAGAAGTCCTTCGGTCGGACACCACATTGACGCAGGCACCTAGCAGCTCGATGCCCGTAGCGAGCTCGCCGCAGGCGACAAGGGCGGGCCCCCTTCGGAATGCTCAGCTTCGCGCCGATGTAAATGACCAACCGCGAGGTGCGGATGCCGGGTCTCAGGATCCCAATGCTCTGCCGGTTGGTGACGTCCGAGACTTGTCAACCTCAAATCATGCTCAGTTTGGCGACAAAGGACCCGCGACGTCCCCAGGACTGCTGGATGCCGCAATCCAGGCATTGCTCGGAAGGGGCACCAATGCCGGTCTCCGGGTCCAAACTGTCAATACTGTTACTCATGCACCTGCGTCTTCTGCCACCACCCAACGTAAAATTCCTGACGCTACGCTCGACAATGTAGATCCCGCTGTGATACAGTACCTGCGATCGCTTGGCCTGCCTCCGGAGAAGTACGTTATCAAGCTCAACTCCATCGGCCTCAACACGGGCGCCCTAATCACGGCGATGAAGAGATTGGTTCCGGAGAGCCGAAAGGACAAATCAGAGGAGGAACTTCAGAGGCGTGCAGGGGTGACGGTCGTCGAGGCTATGGTATTGATCTCGGGCTTGAGGCGGCAACATGAGTAGCTAGTACTGCTGAATTAATCCCGGTAGCTTGTTCCTATTGAATTACCCCTGCGTCTCCTCTGATTGTCATGCGTGGCGAGCCTTATGGTGCGCGAAAGTGATGACTAAATGGAATCCCCTCCTCCTCCTCTGATGGCTGATGTCCCTTGTAGGTAAGTTAAGCAGAGTATGGTTGTAGTATTTCCGGTAGCATTCTTTTTTTGTTGTTGGTTCCCTTTATTGTCACTGAGGGCGAAGCCCTATGTAGACATTACATGCGAAGGTCTGGTCTATGTATTCGTGTCCGTTGTCGCGTAGCATCGCCGTCCGCCGAAGCTTCGGGCTGGTGGGTGGTAGCATTCTATGTGTGCATATCGGACGTATTGGCCGGGGCAGGCGCGACGCAGTAATCCCCGACTCCGACCGGAGGGAGAGGAGGGCTTTGTCGACCATAAGTCGTTCGCAGCCGGCGATGCCGCTCCCTCCGTGGGAAACACGTGACTTAAAATTCCCATAAGCGGTATCGCAGCAATGCTCGAGTGTCTTACGAGGCAGCTCGAGGCAGTTGGATCCGACCGCGCATCTGGCTGCGTCTGGACGTCTGGATCTTTGACCACCAAATAACTCCTCCCAAAGGCAAGAGGGCCTCTATTACGTTGGGAGCCCTCGCATGCACTGTAGTGCTTATGTATTATGGTAAGTAAGTTCACCGTGTACTTAGCTCAGACTCGTGGAAGCCCGAGACGCCCGGGCGGCGAAGCCGCCGCGGGCGTGAGGGCTTCCAATTGAGTCTCCATACCATTCCGATGGTACAATATTACAATACACACATAATATACTATGGTGCTGCTGTGGCAGGCTGAGTAGCTGTGTGCCATGCAGGAGTCGGGGATCGGCGCTTGCGCCGCTACGATACTATCACTATGATATATTAAGTCACCGTGCCGCAGTATTTACTCTGTCACGTTATTACTATGTACCCGACCTCGGCCTCGGATCCGGAGCGCGTTCTCGTTCCCGTTCTCGCGCAACGGAAAGGATCGTCAACTCTGCTCGGAGACTACCTCACGCTAACGCACGCAACTGGATGAGATGCCTGGCGGCCGTCACTGAGTAGTACCCGAAGACAACCTCAAAACGGTATGTACCACTGCATGACAGCTCTCAGTCCTCCGAGTCTGAACGTCGAAAGTCCTGACATGGACAGTCGAGTTGTTTACAAGGCGCAAACCGTGTTCCCCTGTTGATGGTCCCCAATCCAAATGGCGGTGGTCCGTCTCATTGGCCTGAGCTTCCGGACCACATCAGGATGCCGCATGAGCAAATCGACCGCACAAGGCGTGCAGCCATTCGGCGCATGTGCAACGAGCTCGCCTGGCGCCATGTCAAGGTTTCAAGGTCCCTCAGGTGCTCTCGTCGGTCTATACGTCGCGTCTGTAAAAACGAGCACGGAGACGACCTGGAAGAAGACACTGAATATCTGAAGGAGTGGGATGCGACTGTTCCCAACAACGATTCCTTCCATGACGCCTCAGTCAGAGCTCTATCCCGGACTGGTCAGGTGCTGACGTATACACACGCCAGAGGCCGTGCAACTACAGAACACGGGGATAGGGATCCTCTCAAACTCGCAACTTCTAGTGAAAAATCTGAGTATCTGCGTAATGAAGATTCAAAGTATGAGGATCTCGGATCCGAGTGCGACGTTCCGGTCGAGAGGAGGGTTCCCGCAGGGCTTCTCCGACATGAAGCAGCACCGTGTACATCCATCCCGATTTCTACATGGGTCTTGATGTGTTCTGACAATCTGCCACTGCAGATGTACGGACGTCGTCTTCGCCCAACATTGTCCTGCGAACTCGGCATCGCTTGAACACGGCGATGTCCATGGGACAACCTGAGGGCCTTCGAATCAAAGTGACCTCAGGCTCCTCGCCGAATTCCGCCTTAACTAATGTTTTGCTGCAGCGAGGCACAGGGTCCGTCAGCAACAGCACCGCTTCCGTGGAAGCTGATCAGGAGGAAGACACATCTGTTTCACACCCACTGACACCATCGGCTTCGAACAATTCCGAGTCTTCGCTGTCTCGCTCACTGTCTCCGCTGTCTCCGCTATCGCCTAGCGTCTCCCCACGTTCATTATCACCAATCTCACCTCCGCCTCGACCTGAGCAGCGAGAATATCTGAGTCCCTTCGGGTTGGGGACCTCTGATCCTCAATCTGAGTCGGCTACGGACGCAAGACCGCAGGGAAGGCGAACAACACCTGATGTATCCGGAGGGAGGTCGGTGGTACCTACACACCCACGGATTGACAACCCGAAGGCGAAAGGCGGAACCCTTCATGCCAGCATTTTGAGCGATCATACAGCAGGGTAAGCGGCTCCCTGGCTGTTAAACACGACTGAACTCATAGTTGCTACACAGAGGGGAGCAGCCGGCATCAAGTCAGAGGCATATACAGCCGGCGAATCCGGCCACTGGCGCCTGTGAGCCTTCCATCGCCAAAGGTACTACTGCAGACGGACCTAAAGTTAGGGCTGAGCCATCGCGCTCGTGGGACGCCAATGGTGGCGCTGAACCCCGTATTACGGAGACAAAACCGCCACTTTTACCCCTCCCAAGGACTTCTCGAGCATCGATATCCCATCCGCTACCGACTGCCAGAAAAACAGTGTCGCAGCTTCCGCGCAGGCCAGTCTGGTCACTGCGCCAACTGTCTCCGTCAATCTCGCCCAGTTCTTCGATCATAATTCTCGACGACTTGCCGTCGTCACCACAGCCGCCTCATCCACGAAGGACACTCGAGCTCACCCTGTCACGACGTGCACTGCCATCCAGGCTCAGCTCATTCATAGACCGGACGCACAGTGAGACGAAACAGCCACCGCGTCGTCCTTCGCCCAGACCACCCGAAAGCCCACCAGTAGTGCAACCTCGAGTGTCCGACGTTGGTCGCCAAGCGTCTCTGACAAAGAGGAAACACACTCTTAGTGAAGACGGCGTACGCATAGACGAGTGAGTCGTTTGACGTGTGATGTACTGCACAACTGGTGCGACGAAACTGACGTCTCTCGAAACTGCAGGCAACACTCCGGGGAACAAGAACCAAAGCGCGCGAAACTTCTCGCGTCAGACGCCTCGAAGCCGTTAATCCAAACCTCAGATTCTGTTGTCCCTAGGCCTCCCCGTTCTAGTGCCGATGCACCAGCTCAGCCTGAGGCACTCACCGCCGATTCTCAGGTCGGCGGCTCCATGCCCGATTGCAGGCTAGAGTTCGTACCAACTTCGCTTCCAATCGACCACGGTAGGTACGCGTCGCCTAAGGATATCTCCTTCATGGATGCCGAGCGTCCCCAGCCACACAGCAACGCTGCAATTACGGCCATGATCCCTCTTGTTGCACCGAGCGCGAACATTTCTCAGCAAAGCGCGCCGTCAATGAACGGTGCAGATCAAAACAGAGGGGCTCCGAGTCTCTGTTATGTCGCCTCGGCGACCTCGGCGAGCAAGGTATCTGCTCCATCCTCGTCACGGTCATCTTCCCACCTGGACCAGCCGAATTCTTCTAGCAGAGTGCCCAGCAGCGAGACTGTGGAGACGGCCCCATCATCTGCCGTCGTAGGAGACGGAGTAGGCCTCGCAGGCTCGCAACAGGCGAGCGTCGGTGGTAGCCATGGACTGGCTCAAACTGCGCCTTCCAATCCACAACCCAACACTCTCGCAGGAATAGATCCTGATGTCATACGCTATGTCGAATCGTTGGGCTTGCCTGCGGAGGTATATGCAGGCAAGCTGGAGCTGGTTGGGCTGAAGAATGCGACCATCTTGAACGCCACGAAGAATTTCGTCCCCGAGAGCCGCAAGGATAAACTTGAGGAGGATCTCCAGAAGCTGGCGGGGTTGACCGTGGCCGAGTCTATGATTCTCATCTCAGGATTGCGGCGATCGGCGAGTGGGTCCTGAAAATGTGCACATTCACACTGGCGCATAATTCGAGTTGATTGCTTCCATATTGACATTCAATCGTGCTTGCCACTCCCAGATTGTCTCGTCTACGGGCGTCACGGTGAATATTGTGATGTACTTATCAATCGATTCGGACGCAATAGCAATAGTGGGCTTGAGCTTGCGCTCTGAGCAACTCGTGCTCTATGTAAAGAAGGCCCCGAAAAAGAATGCCTATTCCCTTTAGGTCCGCATTGGGCCCGCATGCAGATATAGCGTGTAGACGCCCCTTCCTCAATACGAACCAAAAACACCGGTATGTTCGATTTCCCGTCTTTGACTACCATAAGCTATGCTGATGAGTGCTCCCCTCGATGATGGCTCTAGGATCATCTGGCGGCGGGCGCTCTCACTGGTCTTACCATCGAGACACAGGATGCAGATTGACCGCGTAAGGCGTGCCGTCATTAGGCGAATGCGCAACGAGCAACATGCGTCTTTCAAGCAGATTGCTAAATTTCTCAACTGCTCTCGCCGGTCTGTGCACCGCATCTGTGCAAACGAACGTGGCCGCGACGACCTCGATGAAGACACCACATATCTGAAGATGTGGGATGCGGTGGTCACCGATGTTGATTCCTTTGATGCAGCTGCAGTGCCCGCGGGAGGCTTGGCGACCACGAGTGCCCACACCAGGGATTGCATGACTAAGGAGGAGGAGGATAGTGATGACGATGAGGTTGGAACTTCGAGCGAAGAAGCCGACGAAAACTCGGATTACAAGGAACCTGGGTCCGGATATGACAGTCTGTTCGAGAGGAGGGTGTCTGCAAGACTTCGCCATGAAGCACCACCATGTACGTTCGATTCTGATTTCTGGATATCTCTCGATGTGCACTAACAATTGTTGCGTCGCTGAAGACGTGCAAACATCACTCTCACCGGACATTGTCCTTCGATGTCGTCGTCGCTTCACAATGGCGATTACAGGACGGTCTGAGGGTCGTCGAAGCAATCCAGCACCACGCCCTGCACCAAGTTCTGGCTCACTTGCTATGTTGCCGCCAGGTCTGTCAACGACTTGAAGAGCATGACCACTAGGAAAGCTGATCTGGACGACAGGTCCCCCCACTCTCCTCACTCATTATCCCCTCTGTCCCCCTTATCTCACCTCAGTTCTCCCGTCGACTTTTCGCGCTCACTGTCCCCATTAACCCCCATCAACTCCCCGCGCTCGCTGTCACCATTAGTGTCATGCACTCCAAATGAGAAGCAAGAACCGCGAGAGCAGTCTCGCGCTAACATAAGCGGCATCATCAAATCCAAAATCTTGACTACCGGTTCACAGACCGAAAAGGCGAAGATGAAAGGTGTTCGTACAGCAAGGTAAGAGGCTGCTACATGGTCTTCCGACTCAACTGAAGTTTACAATTGCCGTGCAGAGGGGCCCGGAGGCATTCTCACGCACAATTCGCCTTGCAAATGGACGCCGAGACAGGTGTGGTGCTCAACACCATCGACGCACGGAGAGCCACGCCCACACCAACTGACGCACGGAGTCCACGTCGCCAGTCAGTACCTCTGGCTGTTGCTGTTGCGGGAACCCTCGAGGAATCGCCAGTTGCGCGTGAGATGGTAGCCGAACCAGGGGGCTCTGCGAACGGCAGTGCTGAACCCAAAATTATGCAAGTACGATCTCAACCTTTGCTCCCACTCCAGACAGCGCATTTGCCGGTTTCCCAAGCACCGTTGACGCAATCCGGTTCATCGCCGAGTACGTCTATAGGTGTAGCATCTCAGCGCTCCCTCGAGCCACCCCGGTTCATACGCAAACCATCTGCGTCGCCCCGTTTCCCGACCCCATTGCTCGACAGCAGGCTGTCACCAGAAACACCTCTGAAACTCCATTCACAACATAGGGTACTCGAATTCGCTCTTTCGCGGCGTGCGCTGCCAATCAAACGCGCTCTGCTCGTAGACAGGGCGACCAGTACAGCCCCGCACGTTGAGACCCTAGTAAGGCAGCCCCTGCCTCGTTCTTCACCCAATTCACTTGAACCGCGACCAATGCAGCAATCTCGACTCGTGCCTGATGGTAGTCAAGTGTCTCTGACGAAGAGGAAACGTGAAATTGGCGAAGACGGCGAATGCGCAGATGAGCAGTGAGTCATGACTTGCGCCGAAAAACGGATGCGACAGAACTAATGTTCTTTCTTCAGGCAACGCTCTGGGAAGTTAGAGCCCAAGCGCACCAAATTCGCGCCAGACGTCTCGAGGACGTCAGCACAGGTATCAGATGTGGCTGTGACCTCTCCCCGTTCCAGTGCTGGCGCACTCGGCAAAATCCCTCAGATCCGAGTCAGCAGCTCTACACGCAGTCGCAAGCTGGAGGTCGAACTACCCTCGCCTCCGACCGACCACGGCAGCCACTGTGACGCTTCACGAGTCCGGAAAGTTGTCTCAATGATGGACACCGAACATCCACAGACCTACAGCAATTTCAGGATGGCGACACCCCCTTCCGGAGCTACACCAAGCACAGTGAGCGCTGTCCGGCAGAGCCTGGACTCGGCCAACTGTGTGGATGAAGAGACGTCTTGCGATGTTGCCTCTGCCCACAAGCGGCCTGTGCTGTCGCCGTCACCTTCCGATGCGAACCAGCGGGGATCCTCTAGAGGGCATGAGCCCAGTGGTTTGAGATTGTCAGCTCCAGTGAAAGGGGCAACCCCGACTCTCATCGCAGGAGGGAATGGAGCTGGCCTCGCAGGCCCGCATCAAGGAAGTGTCGACGATAGCCATTCCGCCCAGACTATCCTGCCCAATCCACTGCCCAATGCTCCTACAGGGATCGATCCTGATGTCGCACAATATGTCAAGTCGCTGGGCTTGCCGCCGGAGGTCTATGCGAGCAAGCTAGAGCTCGTCGGCTTAAAGAACGGGATCATTCTGAATGCTACGAAGAACTTCGTCCCCGATAGCCGCAAGGATAAACTTGAGGAGGATCTCCAGAAGTTGGCGGGGTTGACCGTGGCCGAGTCTATGATTCTCATCTCAGGATTGAGGCGACCTGCGAATGGGTGAGAAATGATCCATTGGACTTCGTACGCACAGTTGAGTCAAACGGTAGGTTGCATCTATGTTCAACTGTACTTGCCATCCTGGTAACTTAGTAGTACTTAGATCTAGATTTCGCGCACGGTAGTGGGACCGACCCTCGCGTTGCATTGTGCAACGTCGATGCGGAGAAGGATACAGTATGATTGCAGTATGACCCAGTAACTTACTAGTAGTAGTCAGTCAATGAACGTCGGAGCTCGAGCGGATCGGAGATTGTCAGACCCAGTATGGAAATCGAGACGTTGCCAGCTCGAACTTGAATCATCCTGGCCCACAACTGCCATCTGGCTGTCCTTGTTACTATCTCAGGCTCCTTCTTTGGAGCTCCAGTACTTGTTTCTGAAGTTACAAGTCGCGACTGGAATTCAAACGATCGGTCTTCGAGAGACCCGGAGCCTCTTTGGCGAAAGCTCCTCAGTTCATGTCCAGACTCAGTGCGGTGACACAGGACGTACACTTTCTCTTTGGCGAGTCACAAAAGACTGGGTGAGTCGTTACTCGGGTTCAAGAGCTAGCATATGTCCAACATACAGTAAATGTCATAGTAGTGGACGACAAGTTACGATCCATCTCAATGACTGGTCGCCGGCGGACGAGATCCATGGAATTGGGAAAACCTGACGCTCCCGACCAAGCTCCCGACCACGTTGGACCTGTACGCTTGCGCTTGGGTCGCATTGGTGCAAAGCTGGACACAACTGCCGTAGGAGAGGCCGGAGCGCCGCCTAAAGCTCTGGACTATGCCGGACGTCCGCGCCTTGAGCCAATTCTTAAACCTGCACCACCCATCACGGGTCTGCGTGAATATATCGATTGGTCCGGCCCTGGGCGTCCCCGCCTCCCTCCCATTGGCATGCCAGATGTGGACCCAACAGCTGTCCGGCAGGTCAAAAAGTTGCCCGAACCTCGTGACTTTAGTGGACCCTCACGTCCCCGCCTTCCGCCCATTCTTGGGCCGTCGTCGCCTCAACCGCAGCTGGAACCTCTCGAGGAGCCTCTGCTGCCCTTCTCAGACCGTCCTGTCTCTCAACCAGTCAACTCAGAGCCTCCCATTCCCGGTGGAGTGCACCGCACCTCTTCAAAGAGGAAGAACGTTGGACACACTGTCCCCGATGGGTATGTCTCCCCCGTATTTCTGACGCGGTATCTGACCTTGATCGTTACACAGAGAGTACCCTGTGCAGCCGAGTCTGAAGCGCCTCAAATCGGAATCTGATGGCGCTGTTGCGCCAATACAAAATTCGTCGCGACACTCCAAAGATGCAATGTCTCGCTCTGTTGCTGGACCGCCAATCACCTCATCTGAAGTGCTGCCGCAGACTGCGTCTACGTCGAAATCCATCCTAGAGACTATGTCCTCTTCACCTTCGTCTCCCCAAGACGTTCGCGCGCCGGGTATAACGTCCAATCCCTCAACCTCTCAATCAACTAAAGAACAACGCCCAAATGGTGACAACAATGTGGCCACCCCGAGGCCGTCTACTGCAGTGAGTGCAGGCATTGTTTGGCCTTAGAAGAGTGGAGCATTAAGTCTTAACGCGGATGGACAGGTCTCTGGTAATGTCGGCCCGGGTATGGGCACATCCGCGCCATCCTCGCAATCAGAGCAACTGGAGACCTTTGTCGCCGACACCTTCGTCTGGTCATCATCAGGCAGGCCGATGATGCTACGCCAGAAATCTCCTCCTGTCGTAGGAAATAACAGCAAGGTTTCCTCGTCATCACGCGCGGCTGGTGGCGAGTCTTCGATTCCAGTGGCTCCTTCAGACCCATTATCTGCCATCCATCAAAACGTAGATCCTGACGTCAGGCGGTATCTCGAATCTCTGAGGCTGTCGCCAGAGGTGTATGCCAGCAAGCTAGAGCGCATCGGGTTGAAGAATGGGGCCATGATCGACGCTACGCGAGACTTCATCTCGGAGAGTCGCAAAGACAAGTTGGAAGAGGACCTTCAAAAGCTCGCAGGTTTGACCGTTATTGAGTCCATGGTACTGATTTCAGGGTTGAGGCGGCCCAATCCTTGATGAACCTGTTTTTAAATCGGTGCTGTTACTGTCCTACGATGTGTTCACTTATACGGTTATACACGATGTACAATGAACGATACCTCAATGGCGACAATATTGTGGTGGCAACTACATACATCTTGCAACGATAGCAGAACAACAACACGAGGTACATCCGAACGTTCATACATATCCATAATCCCTTCGAAATCCAACTGGTGAGACACCATACCAACTTCCGTCCGCTACTGCCCACGGTAGACACGCTCATGCATCCAAGACGCTCTGTCGAGTCTCCATCGCCTTCTTAGCTCGCCACTCGCAACCCTCCACGTACTCGCAGTTCCTATCAGCATTCACGCACGGTCAGACACGCGTACAGCATAAAGCGGCACAATAGACTCACAAACATCGCCGGGTCAGCTCGATGTCAACGCCTTTTGGCGGTCGCTGCCCGAGCCACCACTGCAGAACGCTATCGAGGTAGTCGTCCAGCAGCTTGTCGTCGACCATGAACTCTTTCGACCCAAGTATGCGCGCCTCCACGTCCAGCTCGGCAGCGGATATCTGCATTTCCTCGCCATCGGAGTCGTTACCCTGCAGCTCTACTGTAGTGTCTCGCGCATCGGAAGACTTGTCGTCGTCTTGAGCAACTGTTGTCTCTCTGCGCAACGTATCCTCCTTCCCGCCAAGGTCTTCCGCACTCGGGGTCAGCGTGTCCGGTACTGCGCCCACAACCTCGGCGACAGCGTCCTCCTGCCCGTTGTCAAGAGCAGTTTCCTTGATGCTCTCCGTGATGGCCTGCGCGAGCTGGTCGTCGCCGCCAGCCCATACGCGCGGCGCTTCGTTCAGGCTTGCCTCAATCGCACGAGCCAGATCTACCGCCTCCTGATCGGGAATTATCCTCGCCCTCTGCGCATGAGAGGGCTGCAAGCGATACACGACGGTGAGCGTCCGGTCGACGCCGGATACTTGCAACGCAGAGACGGCGTGGTGCCACGCCGCGGTGAGGTCGTCCAGACATTTGATGGTTTGGAGACCCGCATCGTGCATGAAGGTGGCGGAGAATGTCCGTTGCGGGTCGAGGCTGAGCCTTTTCCATATTGCGGGGAAGTCAATGGGTGGCGGGGAGGAGTCAGTGAGTGGTTGGGAGGTCTTCCTGGATTTCGTCGGTGAGGGTGGGCGGAGGAGGCTGCTTAGCAAGCGGTGGTAGAGCATGAGTTGTAGGCGAGCGGAAAGTGTGTCCTCGTCAGGCGGGAGGCTCGGTGTGCGCCGCGTCTTCGTGTCTGAGATGTGTATAATATACGACGAAGGGGGCGCAACGATGAACTGGCCATCGTCTCCCACGTCGAGATGAGTCTGCTGGTCCGTATGTCGCGTAGAGACCTCCGTAGCAGCTGGTGAGCGCACGGCAAAGACAGACTCGATGTCATCCCGCTCTGGTACCTGCACTGCTGCGTGGAAGTACGACGTTAATTGAGGCTGCGAGAGCTCAGGCGTTTGACGCGACTTCTTGCTGCTGCCCTTCGTTGGGGTAGAAGGGGAAGCACGCTTGTTTACGCCCTTTCCGCTTCCAGGAGGGCGGACTTTGCGGCGCTTCTGCTCTGGAGGTGGGGTTGATGGCGGTGCAGATTTGCGGACCAGCTCATCCTGAGGAATATGTTTGGTGGATGGTCAAAAACATACTGACGAAGGACTCACGATAATCCCGACGACGATTTGGTCGTGTACGATGCCGAATACGGGCATTTCGCGCTGCGAGGGCGTTAAGCTATGACAAGCCACGAGAGAAGCGTGATAGCTACAGAGAGGCCAGATTCCATGAGCGAGTCGAGGCATGCTAGCATGTTCACGAGGCTGTCGCGTGGTGTGAGGAGATCGTGCTCGACATGTACACATTGATCAACATACCGTAATCCCCAGCGTTCCTCCTGGGTCGTGATCTCAATCTGTACTTCTTCCGGGCGCACTTCACGCTCCAAAACTTTATGGACCGACTGAGGGATGTAAATTTCTGCTGATGTCCCACGAGAAGACACAAACCTGCCCACGAGTAATGACACGATGGTTCTGTTGTGCGACACCCTTGTCTACACTGATAGTCTTGCCTTCGTCCGTCACGAATGATTCCGGCCTCTGCTCAGGTTTCAAGTGTCGCTTCTGCCGGAGGCCATAGTCAAACTGCACTTCGCACCTGTAGGCAGATGGCAGAATGAGGCATGGATCCCTGGATGTCACTTCGGGATGCATACCAAGCGGGACCCACTAAATCGGACACAGAGAAGTGCTTATTCCAACTTCGAAACCGTCGGAAGGGGCTGCGGGTATCGCGCACTGGCGGGCGATATGGCGGAACGTCCCTCGTCGATGCCTTCACATATGCAGAGAAGTCAGCAGGCTCCGCCTCCAGCTTGATTTCAATCACAGGACCTCCTGGTTTGTTGCCGTCATGGTTGTTGTTCGGCGCATATGGGGCGTTTGGAATAGAGGCGGCGTTATTACTAAGTGTAGCGTCGATCTGCGCGAGGTCTGCCGCCGTAAACTCTGAGAAGTCGTATGCGTCGAACTCGTCGTCAGAAGTCTCAGGTGCTGTAGACTGTGAAGCAGGTTCCGAGACCGCGTGCGGTAGGTCGGCGCGAGGACTTTGGGACAAGCAGACACCTTCGAGATCCACCGGCGAGTAATATGCATCGTATTCGTCTTCTATTTCTGACATTCTGAACGCGATGTGAGTGCAGGACAGTCGCAGGAAGGAGGAGAACAACTAACCACAGCCCCTGAGAGTCGCAAACAAAAACGATCTCCAACAAACCGACGCGACGCGTGTTGTCGCGATCACGTGCTGCCGACTGCAGACACCGGTGCCACTGCCAGTGTGTCACAGTTGAATGAGCTGAATCTCTCACTTCCAGCTGCTCTTCACAGCATCGAATCACCCCCGAGCAGGCTCTTTGGGTCGAGTGAAGTCGAAGCCGTTCTAATGCCCTCTTATTACCGTCGTTCACATTCAAGACCCGCAGGAGCCGACACCATGTGGCAGTCAGTCACCGCGGTGTCGGTCAACATGGTCGAGTTGTGAGCGAATATCTGATGAAGGATGGTCACTGCCTGTCAACCACTACGCAACTTTCGGTGTATTCCAATGCGTCTACGTATGCGCGAGACCGATGGCCGTGGTCTATCCAAGACCGCCCGATAGTAAGTATGACTGAAACGGCCCTCCTCTATGCAGAAACGTCGCCGTGACGGATCCTCATAACCATCTTGCCAAACTTCTGCCTCTTCCTCATGAGCTCGAAGCCCTCTTCTGCTTCCTCAAGGCCGTCTAGCACCAACGATACGTGGGGTACAACACGGTGCTCCGCAATGAAGTTGGTCGCGTCGATGAGGTCTTGCCGGGATCCCATCATGACACCTTGACGAGTCAGGTGGACGTGAACAAGGATACCGATGGTGAGTAGGTACCGGAAGCTTACCGCATATTTGTTGACACTTCGTATAATGAGATGCGGCATAGATCGTCTGATATGGCGGTGTGGTCCTGGAGAATACCATCAGCCAGTGCCGGTTCGACCTACTAGATTGCTGTCCACACGTACATTCCGTACAACACTACTCGGCCACCGCTCTTGAGGATAGGGCCCGTCTTCACCATGATGTCTCCCCCGACGCAGTCAATAACGGCACTCAAAAGCACTTTCTCTGCCTTCCCTTCTTCGGCGCCACTTTCTTCGAGCTTCTTGGTAAGCTGGTTGATCCAATCCTCTATTTTGTGGTCTGCGTTAGCAGTCAGAAGGCGGACATAGGTAAAGGAGGCTTACCATTTTTATAGTTCACTCCGGCCTTGGCCCCAAGCCCTATGGCCCGCCGAATGTTCTCATCCGAGCCGCTCGTGACGTAGACGGTCGCCCCACGCGCAAGACAGATCTGCAGGGCAAGCACTGCTACGCCACCTCCGATCCCCGTTATGAGCACATTATCGCCCTGATTGACTTTGCCGTACACAACAGCGGATCTGTGTCGTCTTCAGTGCAACTGCGGGAAAGTAAAGGGGTCAGTAAGCTCACCTCCACGCTGTCAACCCGCTGATTGGCCACGCTGCAGCGTGAACATCGTCGAGGTGTTCAGGTGTAGGGATAACTTCGCTTCTGTCGACGACTACATATTGCGTGAATGTGCCAACGTGCACTTTGGTGCCGCCTATCACAGCAAAGCTTTGCGGCAACGTACGGATGTCAGCTCCAGCACTTCTATCGTCAAGGAAATCGGAGTACGCACTTCGGCGATTCAGGGGCGTCAGGGTGCTTATCCCAGCCGCGCATGGGGAGCAGAAATACTCGTTTGTTCAACAACTGGTCATCCGCGTCTCCGGTGGCGACCACAACACCTAGCCAATGGACGTCACCGTTTTCTCCTACTGCGAGGTCATGTCAGCTGAAGCTCGCACCTGCTCCATCCGCTCCTAAAGGACTGTCAAACTCAGTGCCAGGCCCATACATACCAAGACGCAACCACAGCTATCGGCGCCGTTCAGAGGGGTATATGAACAGTGAGGCATGGACCACATACATCTCTGGCGTTGAAACCTGCAGCGTTGATTTTGACGAGTACCTGTCCTTCCTGTAGCGGAGGTATCGCCTTGTCCTCAAGCACAGCGTCATGGTAGGCCGGTACAGAGCCTTCAGTTGCTCTGCGTAAAATGAGGGTCTTCGATGAAGTGGGGGGCAGCTCTGAGCTTGCCATCGTCGCGCGGGCGTCGTCTTCGTCGGTCAGTATCCTCACGCCTTACGTCCGCATGGGCTTATATATATCTCATTGACAGTGAATAGCCACCATATCGGCCTCTGGCGGTGGCGAACAGCGTTGCGGGTGTCAAGACTGTGATGGGCAATAGGGAATGTATGGCCGGTGGATCTGTAGCGGCTGTCAAGAGACCCCGAACGAGTACTCAGTCAAACCTCCGGACAAAGAAGCCAGTGAAGACCTATTCTAATTGGCGAAAGATCTCCTTGGCTAACGGACATGCGAGTCATAGATATTGCTATGTACGGGCCGCAGACGTCTGCTGCTATCTGCAGTCCTGGTGTTTCCGTCCGCAGACTGGTCCCAATCGCACTTCTGTATTGTACAACGCC